AAATTCCCGTGAAGAATAAATTTTTAAAATTTTGAGTAAACAGTTTTTTTTTGTTTGAAATGATAAAATCCCATATTTTGATATACATAATAATGTATTAATAGAAACTTTTTGTAAATATAAAAAAAAAACAAATAGGTATTAATTTTAATAATTTTTTTACTCCGTTTTTACTTTTTACATAACCTTAAATATGATAAATAAATATTTCAAAATATTCCCAAAAAGAATCAGATTTATTTTTTAGAAAATATATATTGTGATCAAAACAGTAATATTTACCTTTACTTGGAAAAACAAATTTTAATTCCTAGAAAGTTATAAGAAAATATTTATTAATTATTACACAGCCACACAAAAAAAATTTGGTTCTGACCTAGAGGTCTCACTATGTCTACCTTATGTTTTTGGGGTCGCTGAATCCAAATCCAAGGTCCATTTAACCCTATCAGATCAGGGTTTTGACATAACCTCAAAAAACCAATATGGCGAACACCTTTTGAAAAAATTCATCGGATTTGCTTGAAACTCGTTACTCGGGGGTTTTCAGGGTCGCTGAATCCGATTCCGATGTCTATTTACCCCATTCAAATCAGATTTTTATCTTACCTCAAAACATGATTTTATTTTTGTATTGATTTAACTAAGGTTGTGAGATTTTTAGAGTATGATATAGTATTCGTAATCAATGTCCAGAAAAACTCTTAGATACCAAGTTTCAAAAAAATAGGAATTTTTTTTTTTAATTTACGAAGCTGAAGTACGCAACGTTTATATAAACGATTTTTAAAGAAATAATTTTTTAAAATGAAAAATTCTATAATTTTTTGCCTAAAAAATTTTTTTTTATAATTTGTTGATTAATGAAAACTATAAAAAACATTGTTTAGGCAAAAAATTATAGAATTTTTCATTTTAAAAAATTATTTCTTTAAAAATCTTTTATATAAACGTTGCGTACTTCAGCTTCGTTAAAATTTGTGCAAAATATTGATTCGTCGTATTGAATTTTTTGAAAACTAACACCAAATTCGGATTCAGCGACCTTAAAAACCCCCGAGTAACAAGTTTCAAGCGAATCTGATGAGTTTAAAAAAAAACAAAAAAAAAAAAAACGTCCGCCATATTGGATCCGCCATTTTGAATTTTGAAAAACTGACATCAAATTCGTAATCAGCGACATCGAAAACCCCCGAGTAACAAGTTTCAAGCGAATCCGATGAATTTTTCCAAAAGGTGTCCGCCATATTGGTTTTTTAAGGTTATGTCAAAACCCTGATCTGATGCGGGGTTAAATGGACTTCGGATTCGGATTCAGCGACCCCAAAAACATAAGGTAGACATAGTGAGACCCCCAGGTCAGAAACAAAATTTTTTTTTGTATGGCTATGTTATTATAGATTATAGATGAAAAAAAGTTAGGTTATGAATAAAATATTTAATTAATATAAACTATTACAAAATACTACTAATAAAAAATTTAAAAAATTTTAATTTATATTTATAACTGTATATAGTTTTGGATAATGCGTAAAAGACAGAATCGATTTCTTTAATGGAGTTTCGTGAATTTTCAAGTTAGAGCTTTAAATGTGAAGGGGTTTTACATATACATATATACATGTGTGTGTGTGTGTGTGTGTTTGCAATACTTTGCGTGTAAGTAATTTGTGAATAAAGTACAAGTTCTTATGCCTGAATAGAAGTAGCAAATAGGCAGTCAAGTGTAAGGATTGATCAACTTTACTGACCTAGACCTTGACGAAAACGAGTTTTCTTTGATTATTCTTGCTTATAAGAACACGTGGTTTTAGTCTCTAAAAAAAATGCCTTATGAGATATTATGTACTTTCATGAAATTAACTATTACAATATAACAGGAAAGAAAATTAAATTTTCAGAAAAAAATTTTTCTCACGAAATTATCGTCTCTTTTTATTTTATTAGAATATAATTATTTGAATTAGCCGCATCAAGTTCAATTTTATGAAAATTTTTTAATAATCCGTTAATTTACATTTTTAATTGCAAAAACTCATTTGTCGAATGTTTTGAAATTTTACTTAATTTTCTTATACATTCATTATTAAACGATTGAGAATAATTATAATTTTTTTTTTAATTTCCTATTCTGTACAGTGGAAGAAAATATATAAGAAATTTACAAAAAGTAAAAATTTTAGTAAGTTACAATTCGTGGAAAACGTGATGAAAAAAAAATTGGTATAACAAAATGCTAAATGAAAGAAAAGAATTATTAAAAATTATATTTGCGAAGATCGTAAATATTGGAAAAACAAAATTTGAAATATTTACTAAAATTTCTGCTATATTTATTGAAATTTCTTAAATATTTTTTTTTCAGTGTATATGAAAACTGTAAAAAAAAACTCAGAACTTCAATAAAAAAAAATAAAAGTAAAATATGGTAATAAAAAAATTTCAATACAAAAATTAAAATAATTTTTTTATTTGAGTCAAATTATTTTTTCACTTTAAACCAAAAAGATTTGCAAAAAAAAAAATGTAATATTCGTTCAAGGCATTAAATTTAAAGAATTAAGAAATATTATTTTATTTTTTTTCATTTATTTAACATTATTTTTATTTTATAAGTAAAATTATAAAATTTTTTTATATCATTTTTAGTCTAAAGAATTTTTTTACACTCTCTGAAATTTGAATTAGTAAAAATGTTAACTATATTAGTGACTGATTTTTTGCTATGAAATAATTAAATTTTACTAATGATTTAGTGAACAGTTCTTTTCTTTTGCTAATTTATTAGTAAAATTTAATTAATTTATAAAAAAAAGTCAGTCACTAATTCAAATTAAGTAATATTTTATATTTCTATTGATTTAGAATTTAGAAAGTGTAAAAAATTCTTTTTTACTACTTAAAAACAAATTTTTGTAAATAAAAAAAATCATACGATGATTTTTATCAACCCTGAATAAAAAAAAAAATACTTGGAAACAAATTTTTTAAAACTAAAAAAATTTGATTTTAATATAATAAATCATTTCTTTAAAAATTCACTGAACGTTAATATATTATAGATAACTAGCAAAATTAAACGCGCTCAAACGCGCCAAATTGACTATTTAATTGTTTGTTATAAAGAAATTAAAGATTAATATTATCAATAATAATTTAATTTATTAGAATATTATTACATATTAAATGATAATAATGAAAATTATATGTTTACAGGACTCGGATTATACGATATTTTCCGACTTTTTTCAAAAATACGACTTTTATCAACTTATTTTAATAAAATTCGACATTTTTTTTACATTTGAAAAGAAAATATAAATAAAATACATTTTTTTAGTATAAAATGTAGATCTTCTTCAGATCTTCTTCAATTCAATTATTTAACAAATTTTCAACTAAAATGATTCTTCACTAAATTAATTATTTTTAATAATTTTAATGAAATACATCACAAATTCAATTATATCAAAATTATTTTTCAATTAAAATTTTTATGAAATTTAACAATTGTTTATAATTTAAAAAAAAAATATCACAATAAAATTGAATTATTTTTTAAAAATTTCAATTCAAAATAAACTAAAATTCAATTATTACCCGAAATTTTAATTCAAAATCAATTAAAAATCCAATAATTATCCAAAATTTTCAATTTAAAATTTAATTATTTACCAAGTTTTCAGTTTGAAATGAAATAAAATTCAATTATTTTCTAAAATTTCTATTCAAAATTAATTATCCAAATTTTCAATCAAAAATGAACTTGAATTAAATTATTATCCAAAATTTCAATTAAAATTCAATTATTTCCCAAAATTTTCAATTCAAAATGAACTGAAATTCAATTATTTTCCAAATTTAAAATCAAATAAAATTTAATTATTCTCAAAAATTTGAATTCAAAATTAATTGAATTTTCAATAATTTGAATTTAAAAGCATCTAAAATTTAATTATTTCTAAAATTTTCCATCGAAAATTTTTTTTTGAAATTTAATAATTTCAATTATAACTCTAAGGAAATTCAATTATTTTTAACTATTTTAATAATATTCTTTGAAAATTCAACTATCTGAAACCATTTTTCAATTAAAAATGATTTTCAAATTATTGTATTTTGTCCGCATTTTCTAATAAATTTTTAGTGAAATCATCTAAAATTTTAATTACAAAACACTTAAAGTTTCAATTAATTTCAAAAATCTCAATTTTAAATCTTTGAAAATTCAATTAAATTTAAAAAATGTTTTCCAAAAAATGTTTGATAAATTATTTTTAGTTCTGTGAAATTTAACAATTGTTTGAAAACTAACAATATCTTTTGAAATTTAATTATTTCTAAAAATTTCAACTTTAACCCTTCGAAAAGGATTATTATTAAAAAAAAAATTTTATTTAAAAATCTGTAAAACATTTTTGTTAAAATAAAAAACAAATCCACTTTTTTTTGGAATATAAATCGACTAAAACGACTTTTTGTGTCTTTAAGTTGATTCGAGGCCTGTGTTTTTATAATTAATATTTAATAGGTATTCGTTGGCCCCTGGTACCTTAAAAATTAATTTTTTTCAAATCAAATCAATATACAACTTTAAAAAAAATTTTGTTGGTAAACGTTGTGTACTTCAGCTTCGTGAATTGAATTTTTGAATTTGGAATTTTAAAGAAACTTATTCCGAAATTTGGAAACACAATTATACAACTTTGGCAAAAATGAGAAAAAGAATTGTCAAAATTTGACACGTCATAAGATTACTATTCAAAAAAACACGTGAAATCAGAAAAGGCCAACTTTAAGTTAGGACAGAAGGACAGACCAAGCATTTTGTTATTTAAAAATTATAAATTGTATAATTAAATTAAATTGTAAGACATTATTATTTTGAAAGAAAAGTCAATATATATATATATATATATATATATATATATATATAATTATTTAGATTATATAAATATTATTGTAAAAAAAAACTAAAATAATGTCATGTATTTTTGCAGTTATAAACCAACCAGATTATGGGGGTTCAGTGGTCACGTGCAAACAATTGTTCATAGTATAATTGGAAGAGTGCGATGTCCGTGGCCTATAGGAGAACGAGTTTACATTGGTTTACCAGATGAAACTACACTTACCTATGACCTCTACGAGCCATTAACTACCGGTCATGAAGGTACAATAAAAAATGTGAAACAAAAAATTTTTTTTCAATCTTTATATTTCACAATTTAAAAAAATAGTGATTAATTCGTATTTTTTCAAAATTATTCAAATTTCATCGGAGAATTTAATTTTTACATTTTTTTGTTTTAATTATATTTTTACTTTGAAAAAATACCTCAATATTTATTTATTTATTTTTTAAATGTAGGTAAAGTACTAATTATACTAAAAAATAAAATTGTAAAAATAATAAAATAAATTTTAATTTTTTAATTTTGTTTTCTCCAATAGGGATTTATTTATTTATTTATTTTGAAATATAGGTAAAGTACTAAATATACTAAAAAAATAAAATTGTAAAAATAATGAAATATGTAATTTTAATTTTTTTATTTTATTTTCACCAATAGGGAAAGTTTGTTTTCCTTGGATAAGATTTATAGCGAACAAACATTATTTAGCAAATAGTTTAACATTTTTTATATGTATATTTTTACAAATATTGTAATTTGTTTCATAAAAAAGAATATTTTTTTTATTTTAAATTTCAATTTTTTCGAAAACGAAAAATCACAATTATTTCTACTTTTTTATTAAAATATGTACTTTATATACAATTATTATGAATTTCTTTTTCAAAGTAGAATAATTTCTATAAAGAAAAATTGTTAAAAAATTACAATTTTCGAAAATATGGCAAAAATAAAAATTTTTTCACAAAAGAAAAATTTGGGATTAATTTAAAATTTTTAATGAAATATATAATTTATGTAGATAAATCGATTCGTTTTGTATCGAGAAATTTTATTTATTAGGTTGCATTTTAAATAAAAAATTTTTTTTATGAAAAACTGTACTTTTTGAAAAAAATGTGAAATTTTTTTCAGTATTTCTAAAAATCTCTATTAAATTTTATTAAAAAACTTATACACTTATATACTTTTTTTTTTCTTTTGTAAAGTCTTTTTTAGCAAAAGAATTCTTTACTGATTATTTTATCAACATTGTGACTACTGTGTTTGCATACTATTCACATTAAAAAAAAAAAAAAATGTTTCTTGATATACATTCAGATATCGATTAATTTTTTTTCCTTTTCATTTAACGTTTCTAATTGTAAATTGCCTGCAATTGTATATTGAAAGCCTAAGATAATTTCATTATTTTCTTTATTTTTGTTTATTTTATTGAGTACTTTCATATTTTACATTTGTAACATATTTTCTATAGTTTGTATAGATATTTTTAGTCCATAATTAAGTGATCGCAGAAAATATTTCATAGCTTAAAGTGTACAGCTTTTTCACAATTATTTTTTCAACATTTTTTTTAAACAAGATTCATTTTCACTTTTATAGTTTACAATTAGACTTGTCGAGTTTTTTTTTTTTTTTTTTTTTTAATTAAATTATTTTAATTTTCAAAATATTGGAACAGAATATCAAAAATTGTTTCTTATAAAATATTTTATTGGCGGATAATACAAAATACTTATAATTCATTATAATTAACATATACACAGTACTATTTGTTTTTTACACGATAAAACAAATTTTTGTTCTCAAATATGAAAAATTATAAATTTTTACGATTCTTGTGAATTTGATTTAAAAAATTTTTTAAAAAAGAACTACAAAAATATTTTTTTTTTTTAAATATCTATTTTACTAAAGTTGAGAATTTTTCTTATCTAAGAATTAGTTTTTACTTATTTACATAATAGTAATAGTTGATAATAAATGTTTAATAATAATAAAAGTATATTATTACACTGGAAAACAAAATTTTTTTTGATAATTATTTTTCTTTTAAAAATTCGTTTATAATATCTAATATTTGCAAATAAATAAATAAAATATTTATTATCTAATTAAATTAATGGTGATTTGAAAATAACTAAAGTCGAATATATATTTTAATCGCTTAAAATATTTCTTTGTTTCAGATGACGTGACAATTGCAATTTGTCCAGGAATAGGAAATAGTTCAGAAAGTGTCTACATACGAACATTTGTACACTTTGTTCAATGTCATGGTTATAGATGCGCTGTACTTAATCATGTCGGTGCTCTCTCTAGTGTAAAAGTTACTGCACCCAGAATATTTACATATGGTAAATAAATATTTTCACGTTTTTAAATTATTTAAACATTGAAGTAGAAAATTTATTGAATTTTCCAATTTAATATTATTACCCTTATGAAAAATAATTACTGGCATAACTACTAGAAACTCTAGTAATTTTTTCGCAAGATGTGATTTTTTAGTAAAAAAAAAAAAAAAATTATTTCTTTAATTTCATTGAAATTATAATTTGGCGAAAAAATTACTAAAATTTTCTGTAATTATTTTTCATAAGGTTAATAAATCAAAAAATTAAAAATTATTAAATGAAAAATATTAATAATTAAGTAATTAAATTATTAAATTGTAATAATTAAATTATTTTGATTACAACGTTAATTATTTACGTTTCAGGTCACACTGATGATTATCATGTAATGCTTCAGGACTTAATAGAAAAACATTCGGAAACAAAAATAGTTTGTATAGGATTTAGCTTAGGAGGAAATTTAGTAACCAAATACATGGGAGAGAGAGGCTCTAATAAAATGTCACATATCATTGGTGGCATTTCCGTTTGTCAGGGTTACAATGCCATTGAGTAAGTAATCAAGAATTTAAAATGATTTAAATTTTTTTTTGATTAATTCTACAAAAAAAAAAAATATTCAGAAGAAATAGTTTTTAATATAATGATAATTGTATAATTAAAAATTTGTTTTCCTTTTTGCAGAGGTTCAAAATTTTTATTAAATTGGCAAAATTTTAGACGTTTTTATCTGTACGTCATGACGGAATCTGTTAAAAATATCATACTGAAACATAAACATGTTCTTCTATCCGAAGAGGTTAAGCAGAGGCATGGTTTAATTGAGAAAGATATCGTATCAGCCGCAACATTACCAGAATTAGATGAAGCCTATACGAGAAAGGTTTGTGATTTTTTTTTTCCCCAATTTTTAATAGCCAAAATGATTTTTGAAATTTTTACAATACATTTTTGGCAAAAATTATTTCATAAAATTTTCTCTATTTAATTTGGAATTAATTATTATTTCTACAGGTGCACAATTTTAGATCTGTGAAAGATCTTTACAAATGGAGTAGTTCTGCATTTTATCTTGACAATATTGCAACACCAATGGTGTTCATTAATGCTGTCGATGATCCAATTGTTCCTGAATTGTTGCTAAATCCTATTAAAGATTTTGCTGGTAAGATGAAAATTGATTCTTAATTTAATAATAATTTAAGGGGACACGTAAAAATTTTAAACGCAAAATTAAAATTTTTTAAATTACCTTACAGAAAATAAAAAAGAACAACTTTTTTCTTTATGAATTTTTCTTCTAAGTCTAATATTTTTGTTAATAAATAAAAAAATTTCTTTTTCAAATTTAATTAATTTTTCAAACATAACTCATCGTATCTCCGATAATTATTAATTAATTTGATTCAAATTGAATATATTCAAGTATTAGTCTACTAAAGCCAATGAAATCCTAAAAAAAAAAGTTAAAAACACTTTTATTGTTTAATTATTTTTAATTGAAAATTGAGTTCTGTTTAAAAAATTATTAACTGAGTTATAGATTTTTAAAAAAATTTTCTTTATTATATTTTTAAATAATCAATATTGTCAGAAAATTAATTGACACTCCTAAACAGCATAAATTTCAATAGGTTGAAATTGCACTGGTCTCTCCCCTTAAGTCAAAAAAAACTAATTTGATGAAAAAAAAAAATAATCAAATTTAATTTGAAAAAATCGAATTTTTTTTTTTTATTTAAAATAACATGATTTTTGTCAACCCCTGTTTTGTGTATAAATTTAGTTTGTCCGAGATATCGCGAGTTGAAGTGAAAAAATTAATTAAATTTTACTTTTTCAAAAATTTTTTTTTAATATTTCAAAAGGGGTAAGAGTTTGGAAATTTGTTTTTTAAGAAAAAAAGAAAAGTTTTCTAATCGCAAGCATTTTATGTTATTTGAATTTAAAAAATGAAACCATAATTTTCCAAATTCCAGCTAGACATCCAAGTTCCTTGTATGTGGAGTTGGCACATGGTGGTCATTTGGGATTTTACGAAGGCGGTCTTCTTTATCCAAATCCAATAACCTGGTTGGATCGAACACTTGTTTCTCTTGTTGGAGCTCTGACATTAGCAAACGCCGACAGAGAATTGAAAACTTCTTAACTGTATAGTTAATATTTATTCAACCAAATTAAATTTTCCAATTTATGGGGAAAACATCAGGTAAAATCTATAAATGCTCTAGCGCTTAAGCGACTCGAGTTGAGATTTCTCTGCGAAAGTGACTGAAATTGAAAAAAAAAAATAGTGCTACGGTTAGTTACTAGAGTCTAGAGAAGGATAGAGATCTTAAAAGAATGAATTTTAACAAAATTAAAAGTAAACGTTTTATTTTTACTTTATCGCACTTTCATATACAAAAAAAAAAAAATATTTATATTTGTAATTAAAATGAAATTTTTTCTTTCTATTTTGAATTAATAAGATCTCTATTTGGGTAAATTTGTTTCTAAAAGAAGGCATTGTCACGCGAGAATTGTATATTAATGAATATACAAAACACTCATATATATGTAATTCTGCTCAATGCAGCACATATTTTTGCAAACTATAAAAAAATTAAATTTACAGGAAAATAATTTTTACAGAGTTGTTATCGTGACTCGACATCTGTGGAACGGAATCGTGTCGCTTAAAAAAAAAAAAAAAAAAGAAAGAAAGAAAAAAAGCAAGGTCTTGTTAGGGTTTTTGTATTTGTAGCCATTTTATTTCATATATGCCATGAATTATTATTGAAATTTATTTAAATAGTTAAGTAATAATGAGTTTATTTTGTTACCAAAAGATATAGATAATTTAATTTCATACAATTTGATTTTGCTTTAAAAAAGAAAATAAAAATTCTATTTTCAAAAATTATTATTTCTACATCGAAAAAAGATTCAGCGAATGTTAATCTATCTAGGAATCTACTTTGGTAGTGACTTAGATAAATTGATTTTTCTACAAAAAAAAAGTCATGTGATCCTTGTATACTGTATAAGTAGAAAAAGGAATAGGAATGCTAGTTTATTGAAAAAAAAAAAAAAAAAAAACGGTGCGTTTATACATATTTTATAATGGTAAGACAAAACTTCCTTCTAAATAAGAAAAAAAACTAATAGTATTTATTTTAATTAGAATTAACGTATGTGATGTTTATATTATCTCGCCTCAGCGCTGTTTGATGACGCGCAATTTGATTATATCAATATTTAAGTAAACTCGTTGACACTTAGGGATTTTTTATTCATCTAGATGATATACTCGGATATTTACAGTATTAAAAAGAAAATTACAAGAGCAATTTAAAATAGGGGGCCAAGAGTGTGAAACTTTTGAAAAAAAAAGAATTTTCAAACACAAAAAAAAATTATATTTCTTTCATTCGAAATCGATTTATTTTTTAAAGATTAATAAATACTTTCTGATTTATTTTTTTTTCTTTTATTAATTTAATTAATTAATCTGTGTCGTATAAATTTAAAAATCAAAATGCACTTTAATGGAAGTATTTTTACCTTAACGATAAGGAATTAATTTTAAAGATACATTTTTGGATTATTAACTAAAAATTTTTAAAATTCGAAATTTTTCTCTTTTTTTAATTTGTAATATATTATTTTAAAACAAAATTTATTCTTTCGTAAAATTTAATAATACAATAAAAAGAGTTTCTTTTGTTTTGTATTGATAGTTTTCAAATATCAAAAAATTTTCTCTAGTTTTACAATATAATTTAAAAATATTAAATGAAAAATAATTAATAAAAATAGAAATTAATTCTTTTTTTTTACTTCCAATGAATAATTTAATTCTTAAATAAATGTTATATTTAAAAAAATTTCAATTCCTAGCATTAATTTTTAATTGAGATAAAAAAAACAAGTAAAAAAAATTTTTATTTAATCTTAATAAAAAATATGGAATTTTAAGAAAATTATTTTTTAAATTTTGTACCTTAAAAAAAAATTTATTCCTTGTCTGTATAAGTGTAATCTTGAGACGCAAGTTATGTATTTGAGAAATCTGATAAACAAAAGATGCAAAAAATATTCAGAAAATGGTTTTTTTTTTTTTGTATCAAATTAAAGAAAGTTTATATAATTTTTTGCTTATGGCACATTGGACAATTATTGTTAAAATGGTAAAAAAAAATTAAAATTTCCTTTCTAATTGAAAATAATTTTCATATATTCAATAAAAAAAATTTTTTCATCATTTTAACAATAATTTTTTTCTACAGTAAGTCTTGTAATGTTAACAATTTTTTTTTTTTGACATTTATATAATAATGTTTATTTAGATTGAACGAATGTGGTTATGAATGAAAAAGTGTTAAATGCATTTTTATTTTGAATAATTTTAAATGAAAAGATTGCAAATTTATAACAATAATAATAATTATTATTATTATAATAGATAAAGCCTTGTTCTTCAAGCTTTTGTAATTGAAATTCAATTTGGTAAATTTGTAATACAAAGTGTGTGTAATCTCATATTTGTGCAATTACAATTATAATGCAATTGTAATTAGAAATTTTTTGTGAGGATATAAATTATATTTTTATTATTATAATACATATATATATATTATATAATACTTAAAAACTGAAATGTATTTGCAAAAAATTGTTTTTGAAAGGCAAAAAATGTTTGATGAATATTCAACATTTGTTGGTATGTATTTTATTTTAATTTTGTATTTTAAAAAGAAATCATTGTTTTTAGAATAACTGATGCATTTAGGGCCTAAAAAATCACAAAAAATTTTCAGTTCAAGAATTGAGAAATATATGAGTCAATCCATTATATTTCACTTACAATTGTTGTCGTATATTTTTAGGAAAATCCGTACATTTCATTTTTGTCAATTATTTAATTAAATTTTATATATTAACCTTGGAATTTAAATTAAAAAAATGAGTTGTAAAAAAATAGCACAGAAATTATTATATGTTAATAAAATTTTCTAAAAATAAGCAGAAATGACTTTTTGGTGAAATAAAATAAATTGACCCTAATATTTTCTTTTTAAAATTATTCTCCTGCATTTTAAACAATTTTTTAGTGTACAAAGCATTTATCATTATATAAATTGTGATTTTAGTGTCCAATGAAACGAAAGAATATTACAGAAAAAAAAAAGAAATGAAAGTAAAAAAAAAAATTGAATTAACTTTATTAATTTGAGTCTCATGAAAGTATTCACTGCCTTAAAAAACATATTTATAAAAAAACTAATTATTTTGATAAATTTATATATTTACTTTTATTAGAAATATCTATTGCATTTGGTTTTAGTTTTATTTTCAAATTCATAAATTAATATTCACTTTCTTCTGAGAGCTATTGCGGATATTTTGTTTTAAATGTATATATTTTAAAAAACAAAAAAAAACAACATTTTCTTAATTCATTAATCATAATATTATAGGTGTAAATTTTATTTATTTTTTTAAAATGAAATTAATAATTAAAAGTAAGATATTGATATTAACGAATTCCCTGTTGTTATACCTATTAAAATTAATTTTATAAAAATTGTGCTAGGTAGTGAATATTTTTTGCAGCTATTTAACTATTTTTTTCCCAATGAGTATTATTTACATGAATTTGTCAAAATTAGTTTACAAATTCATATAAAACAGCTACAGTGTTTGTGTATATATGTATTTATGTTAATTTCTGATAAAAAGCTATCAATATAAAAATAAAATAATTCTAATATCCTAATGAATTTTGGTTTTTTTCCAATTTACCTATGGGTATAATTTGTTTTTCAAATATTCTGTTATCTTTTGGAATGTTAAATATATTTTTTTAATTGATTATTAAATTATTTCTTTGATTACACAGGTTTAAGACATTTTTTTTTAGATATCAGAGTGGTTTCCTATTTATTTTTGTGTAGTCCTGAACACGATCCCGGGAGAAAGAGTTGAGCAATATTTTAGAAAAGGGTAAAATTCTGAAATTATATACCACCACCAGAGGACAGAGTCTTAGGTTTTTTTTACCCCTTCCAACACTTTCTCCCACCTAGGTCCTCTTCGTATGTGTGGCGGATATACTTAAACGATTAAATTTTTCGTAACCTTGAGAAAATTGTTGTTTCAGTTTATTTTTCATTTTATTATAATTATACTTATTTGTTCATATAATTAGTTAAATGAGGTATAGTTATATCTAATCTAATATATCAATTTACCATTTTCACAAAGAAAGTAACAAATTTTTATTTTCTATTCAAATTTCTAATTCCCTTAAAGTTTACGTTTTAAGCTTTAATTTAAGCCTATATACCGTGGTTGTCCCAGTTACCGTCCAGCTAAGACCCAGATTCCGTCCATTTCAATTTTGAAGATAACATTTATAAAAACAAGTTGTAAATTCAGATCCCACATAGCACGACTTCTTGCTGGGAGGTTACTGCATGTAACAATATCTGTAGGGTTTGTAAGGTTACCGTGTAAGCCTGCAGTAAACTTGAGGTCATCTTAAAACTTCCACCTTACAGTAAGCTTACACAGTAAAGCTAAGGTAAGCTTACACAGTAAGGTCGTGGTAAGTTTACATGGTAAAGTTGTGGTAAGCTTACACGGTAAGGTAGTTGTAAGCTTCCTTTAAGGTTACTGTAAGGTTGATGTAAGGTTACTGTAAACATAGAATGTTGTTAATAAATCAAATTTATTAATATTTATGCGCAGTAGTTTTTTATGGCACATACGGCTGCGCAGTAACTTTTATTTGACAAACCCTATTGGGGTTCATAAAGTACTTTACCAAATATATAATTTTTTATACAAAAAAATTTATAATATAATATATATTATAATATAATTATTTTTAATATATTTTCATATTACTTTATATTAACAGTAACCTTACAGCAACCTTACAGTAACCTTACGGGAAGCTTACAACAACCTTACCGTGTAAGCTTACCCCAACCTTACCATGTAAACTTACCACGACCTTACTGTGTAAGCTTACTTAGCTTTACTGTGTAAGATTATTGTAAGGCGGAAGTTTTAAGATGACCTCAAGTTTACTGCAGGCTTACACGGTAACCTTACAAACCCTACAGATATTCTTACAGTAACCTCACAGCAAGAAGTCGTGCTATGTGGGATGTTCATTACATGAACGCACAGTGGCCGATTTCCCGAAAAACCTGGCCAAAAGTCAAAAAATTTTTTTTAGAAATTCATACTTTTTATTATTGAATATTATAAAGGAGGGTTCACTGCATAATTTTGCGAAAAAAATTACCCTTTTTTTATCACCAATTTATTATGTGAACAAGTAAAAGTGATCTTTGCCAGAGATTTACTTAGAACGTTTCATAACTATAAATTTTCGTCACAGTTAAAATAGTGAAAATATACTAATATACAGCAGATTTTTGAATATCTTTTTTTGGGAATTATTAACAAAGGTGTATGAAATATGTTGAATGTATTTATCATCACATTTAAAACGTACAGTTTTTAAAAAATGACATTAAACATCGCTATTCATGGCTACGATTTTTGTATTGTTTTATCAACGTAAATCATGAAAATAATTGTGAAATCCACCGATATCCGCGCCCTACCTGGTATTATCATAAACTAGAATATATTTTTGATTCATTTTAATTGAAATCAGCTGCCCCAAGCTGCCCCTGCAGTTTTGGTATCACTTTTTATTTCACCCAGCGCGGTTTACCGACAGCGCGTTGCACCGGCCGGCGGTGCAACTGAACGTGAAAGACTGACTTTTTCTTCATTCGCATTCGCTTTAAACTAAAATTTAAGCACTTTCTGTAATTTAAAAAAAATAAACTCTAACACATATACGCAATTTTATAATACCAGCAAATATTTTGGATCCGCCATATTGAATTTGATAAACAAATGTAAAATTTGATTTCAGAAACCCAGTAAACGTAAGTATACTAAGTTTGGTTAAAATCGTACCATTTTTTAATTTTTAGCAAAGTTTTTTAAAATCTAAACGGCCATTTTGGATCCGCCATTTTGAATTTGTCACAACCAATGTAAAATTTGAATTCAGAAGCCCAAAAAACATGGGTATACCAATTTTGATTGAAATCGTATCATTTTTCGATTTTCAGCAAAGTTTTTTAAAATCTAAACGGCCATTTTGGATCCGCCATTTTGAATTTGACACAACCAATGTAAAATTTGAATTCAGAAGCCCAAAAAACATGGGTATACCAATTTTGGTTGAAATCGTATCATTTTTCGATTTTTGGCCAGGTTTTTCGGGAAATCGGCCACTGTGGAACGTAAGGAATACGATTTTATTATAAATATAACCTTCAATTTTTCTATTTAAAAATTTTTTCGATTAAAAAAGAATTTTTGGAAAAAAGACGATAAAATTTTTTTTTGGGTATTTTTTAAAATCCTTTGGTCAGATTTGAGATATTAATATGATAAATGAGCCTACCAAATTTTATCTAAATCCATTAAAACCTGTTAAAGTTATCTTCTAAACAAAAAAAGGATCCACACACACACACACACATATATATATATACATACATACATAAATACATACATCCGGACAATTGATCAGGATCTCATATAACATGTTTCTATATAGAGAAAAATTTGTTTCCGACACTTTGAAAATTTTTACAAACGAAAGGACTACAAAGCTTCCTCCACGAGGAAGCAAAATTATTTCCTTTCATTTGTTTACTTCAACTAATAAGTCCGTTGTATGCCAAAAAAAAATAAAATATTGTTCAAAAATAATTTAAATTATTATACGAGATATTTGTAAAAATGGACGGAAACTGGGCCACCCACAGTAGAAGTCTCTAGCACGTCAGGTTAAGGAGAAAAAAAAATACTGAAAACTCTCAAAAACACGGTTCTTGCAGACTTTAACCCCACTTTACTCAAAATCCTTACGTGATACGCAATTTTGGAACCCGGTATCGTGTTCTTTTAAACATTGCGTATTACATTACTTTTGGAATTCCCTAATTTAATTAAAAAATAATTAAATTAAAAATTGAGCCGCTGGATTCTACAAGGGCACGTAAATTTTTTCGGCCGGAAAAAGAAGTCCCCTGGACACTTAAAATTCATTTTTCGAATTTTAATATTTTTCGAGCATATTCTTATACAGATTTCAATTGTGCATCTTTTTTTCTTAAGGCCATGTGGGCAAAGGACGTTTTTTTGTGGTTTGAAAGTTACTCTGAAATAAAAAATGATTTTGGGTTAAAATTTGGAGAAATGATTTTGTTTGGTACAAGGAATCTCGCTGTTCTACTCATTTACCATAACTTAACGCAAAAATAATACTGCCGTGTTTTCTAAAAACTTAGGTAACTGCAAAAAAATCGAAAAATGAGTTTTTTATATCGTTGGAATCGTGGAAAAAAGATACACCTGTTAATGCAAATTATTTTTAAAAATTGTTAATATTATTAATAATAATTTATGCATAAATAATTGAAAATACCGGTAACTGCAAAAATTGATGAGTGATAATTTGAGAAACTTAGGTAACTGCTATAAAAACTTGGGTGTCTTTGGGTGTTGTGACGTATTTTGTAGGTCGTGATTTGAAGAACTTAGGTAACTGCACCAGTGCCTAAGTTTCTCAAAACACGGACCTCATTTTTCGAGCCCTCGTCGCATGGAAAACTTAGGTAACTACAGAGTGCTATCAGAGCACTGTAGTTACCTAAGTTTTCTATGCGACAAGGCCTCGAAAAAGGAGGTCCGTGTTTTGAAGGACCAAGTAACTGCAAAATCTTATACATTTCTTTAAAATTACAATGTTTTTTGTGCAATTAATAATTTATAATGACAATAAATAATGAAATAAAAAACTCCAATACTATATATATAATTATACCTAAATAATAATTTATCAATTATTGAAAAATTAAGTATTAATTTTAATAAATAACATAAAAGCATTAATAAATTAAGAAAATGAAGTTCAGTAATATGTTTATTTCATGATTAATATATAATTAATTTAGTTCAATTATTTAAAAAATTAAAATCGTTTTTAATTATTTAAATAAACGTTAATAAAGCAGCGAACTACATTACCTACAATAATTTGACTTTAATATTGTAAAATTAAAATAAATTCAATCATTTAGTTTAATATTTGTAAAAAACAATAATTATAATGATAACTTTCGCATCTTATTAAATAATTACACTTTATTATTTATTATTTATTTTCATATTATTTTTTTTATTTTATTTAATATAATTATTTAATATATTTTTACTATTTTTTAATTTTTTTTATGTATTTTATTTTATTTTATATTATTATTTAATATATTCTGAGTTAATACAATATTTGACTCTAATATTGTATAATTAAAATAAATTTAACCATAAAATTAAATATTTGTAAAAAACAATAATTATAGTGACAACTTTCGCAGCTTATTAAATAATTATAGTTTATTATTTAATATATTTTTTGCCCAGAAAGATGAAAATTCTTATATATTCCCTGCAGTTACCTAAGTTTTCTGTGCGACGAGAGGCCTAATACGGGCGCTCGTAGCACGAGGGACCAAGTAACTACCAGTTACCTAAGTTTCTCGTGCGACGACCCTCCAATCAGCATACCGGTAACTACATTTTTAATAATTTATTGAATGTTTAAACAAATACAACATTTATTTTTACATAATTAAAAAGAATAAATTTAGACGAATCGAAGGAACAAAACGGCATTTAAAAATTTTAATTAGGCTTTGCGGTACATATCAATGAAGTTTAAACAGTTTTTCGCGTTTTTCTCGAAATCTTTCATTCTGCAGTTACCTAAGTTTTTAGAAAACACGGCAGAATAAAAATAAAGCAATAAATAGTAAAATAATGTGTTTTATCATAGTTCATTCAGCGGCCACTCGCTCGAATTGGCGCTGTTTACTGGAGCACTGACACACTCAAGCAACGTCTGTGTATGCGCCGCCATCTTTGTTTTCATTTTCGTTTAAAAATCATACTTTTTAAACTTCATTTTTTAATAATTTTACTCAAAATTATGCATTTTTCGGAGAACAGCGAGATTCTTTGTACCCTAATGTATCATCCCTCAAAATTTTAGACAAAAATCTTTTCTCATTTTAGAGTGAAATGTATACTACCAAAACACATTTTCCCATACTAAGTCACGTGGGAGGTTCCCACATGCCGTTAATAAGAAATTTTCCATCTTTTTCCGTTTTCGAAATATAAGAGAAAAACTGTTTTTTTAAAAAAGAAAATTTTCATTGTTTTTTTGACTTTAACTCGCGACAGCTCAGACAATTTTACGAATTTCTTAATGAAACAAAAACGAAAATACGTGTTATTATATTCTACGAGTGACTAAAAAAGAAAAAAGTTGTTTTGATTAATAAATTCGTAAAATTGTCTGAGCTGCCGCGAGTTGAAGTCAAATAAACAATGAAAATTTTCTTTTTTAAAAAAACAGTTTTTCTCTTATATTTCGAAAACGGAAAAAGATGGAAAATTTCTTATTAAGAGAAAAAGATGCGCAATCGAATTCTGTATAAGAATATGCTCGAAAAATATTAAAATTCGAAAAATGAATTTTGAGTGTCCAGGGGACTTCTTTTTCCGGCCGAAAAAATTTACGTGCCCTTGTAGAATCCAGCTGCTCAATTTTGAGCAATATCTTATATTATTAGATAAAATAAATAAAAATGTAAATACTACTAATGTATTAATTTGTACATATACAAATGTATAGATACAATTTAATAAATTAATGCTACACCCTAGTTTTACCCCTAGAACGGAAATATGATTTTTTTACCCTCTAAAGGAAAACTGAATGTCGATTATGTAATTTGATTTGACTTTGATGTCAAAATCAAATTCGTTTTAGTGTCAAAATCAAATTTATTTTTTCGAATTTATTTTTTTTATTGCAATTTGACGTCAAAATCAAATTAATTTTTTTGATTGCAATTTAAAAATCAAATTTTACTTCATTTTTTTTTTTGCAATTCGACGTCAAATTTAAATTCAATAAAAAAATAAATTAAAATTTGATCTTTAAATTGCAATTAAAAAAATTAATTTGATTTTCACGTCAAATTGCAATAAAAAAAAATAAATTCGTAAAAATAAATTTGATTTTGACATCAAAGTCAAATCAAATTATATAATCGACACCCTGGAGTGGTTTTAATAAAATTTAATAAATTAAAAAAATTTTAAAGCAATAAAGAGGCACGTGTAAAAAAAAGTGAATCCTTGAAAAAATATCGGTTTGTCGAACAATAATAAAAAATTATCATTTAACAACTCAGAATATAAAAAATTTAGTAAAATATAGTTTGATAAATTCAAATATAGAAAACTGTCAAAGAAAGTATTTTTTTGATTTATTTTTTCTTTGGAGTTCAAAGTAGTAAATTTCATACGTAACAAGTGATCATTTGCTGCAAATAAAATTATTATTACTAACCTGGTAAATTTTCACATTAATTTTGTCTAAAAATTCGTTAAGTGCACCAAAAATATATTTTAATGGTATAAAAAAATCATATCATAATTTTTTCCTTTTCAACTTTAGAATGAAAATTTTCATTATCAGATGATAAATAATTTTATTTAATTTATTTTTGTAACTTCGTTTGAAAATTTTTGATTTTCAATAATATTCTTTATTAAAATAAAGATTATTATTATTAAAATAATTTAATTTTTTTTAAATGTAAGAGATATTTTATATTTGAAATCAAGGAAGTTCAATAATTCTTTCAATATCATTAAAGCGAAAGCGATAATAGCGACTGATAATTTGATATAATAATTAATAATAATTGTGTAGTGAATATTATTTTTTATAATAAAATTATTATTTATGGATGTTTTACAACTAGATAATAAACAAAAATAATATTTTTAAAATTAAATATTATAATTTTTTCTAGTAAAATTATATTTGAAATTAAAGAAAATTATTTATCATTTTTGATGAAATTTTGTTTCTAATTTCATAAAAAGATATTTATAATTTTTGTATTTTTCAACACTATGAATTTGCAATTTGTAATAAATTTTACTATTCTAATAAAAAAATCTCAACTATTGTCACTAAAATAGTAAAATGACATCTTTGTACCAAATTCGAATGTATACAAATTCTATAGTATAAAGAATTTTTAGAAAATTACACAAGTTTGACATACCTATATATTTTCATCTTTTATATTTTATTTATTTCACATATATTAATTTATACCACAAATAAAGTCCTAAATCTGATTTATAACAAAAAATAAAATCCATTTCTATTGTCGTGATTCACTTTTCATTTTAATCTTGTCTATTTCAATTTTTATCAAAAAACTGCGTACAAAAATGTATCTTCATATATATATTTAGAAAATTTATCTCTTCATCAATTTTTTAGGCAAATAAATACAATTTATATAAGTTATTTTAAACAATAACATGTATCATCATGTTTGAAGAGATAAGAGTTTGTCTTATCACATATACAATACAGCAATTCAATTATTAGCATATAAAGATATTGTTTTAAAAATAATTTAATTTCAAATGATTTTACTATATCTGAAATCTTTAACTTACATTGATTTTTTCACTGATAAGATTATAATATTTTTAATTAACATTATTAATGTACATGATGTATTCCATGCCAAAGTGTAAGTCCATCTGCAATATTGCATCTCCGATTTTTTTGAGATTTTTTTCTTCCTTTAATACTAATTGAGACTAGTTTCCATGAATTTTTTCAAATTTTTTTAGCAATAGCCGTTTTCGAGTTATGGAATCTTGAAAATTGGAGAATTTTTATGACTTTTAATTTTTGAATGCTCATAACTTCCTTAAAAATGGATCAATTTTAAAAGTCTTTTTTTTCAAAATGTGTTTTTAAACGTACTTTTCAAAAAAAAAAAATAGAAATTTTTTTTTAAACGATATTACTATCAAATTTTTGAGTTTTAATGATAAAAAGTCATTTTTCTCATTTGACGTACTAATCAAATTTTTACAAAAATTTTTCAAAAAAACTACTTCTTTTTACGAAACTTTTAAGCCTAGGCCGATAATGGGCAAACAATTTTTACAATATTTTCGGAATTTTTTAAAAATATTTTTGATTTTTTTTATACTACACGGAGAAAAAAGAATTGTTTTGGTTACTAAAAATTAAGTACACACAACAATTTCGGCTTGTCAATATAGAACCAGCAGTTCTATTTGTTTTTGGGACAAAAACAATTGTCAAAATGGGATTGTTATTAAAACTATTCGGATTGGTCGGTGAACAAACAGTATTGTTTGATGAACAAAGAAAATTGTTATGGAACCGTTGAAATAACAAAACTAAATTGTTAAATAGGCAATACAATTTTTTGAATTAACAAAGCTTTGATCCGTCTAATATACAATTTGTTCAGTTTCTTCGCCTTCTAAAATAATCGATAGCAGATTTCCATAGGTCATATCACCAGTTTCATTTGCATTAAAATCTGTGGAACATGCGCAGCTTCTAAATCAAATTCTTTGACCTGAAACGATGAAATTGTATCTTCATTCATTCACTATACACTTGCAATATATTTTTCACTTTAACCGGATTCATTATTTAACAGCACGTGGTCAAGATGACCACGTGACATGGAACAATAAACCTATCAGCTAAACAAATCCGGATTGTTCCATCAGCAATCGACAGAGAGTTCTCGGTAGTACCTGTAATATTTTGTAATGTCTTGTAATAATAAGTATTATTTTGTAATATCATGTAATACTGTGTAATACTTGTAATATTGTGGTATTATGGTGTAATACCTTAAAAAATTTAAAGAAAATCAAACCAAAAAATGTTAATATATAAGTAAAAATTTTAAACATTTGTTCAAATGTAGCGCGGGAGTTGATGCTGAAGTATGGCAACTTTGCCATTGAATGTTTACAGAATCAAATCAGAAAATGGTTCTTTAGTAATTTGCCGAATTTTAGCTGTTAGCAACCTTACCGGAATAAGTAAAAAAATCGAGTACAGTAAGACATCTGCTCCTGTAATTACACCGATAAAAAATGCACGAGGCTTAGGTTGTTTGTGTTCGTGGTTTAAGATAGCAAAAACCAAATATTAAACGTTATAAACAAGGATGCTCACGGATATTATAATATAGAAAATTATATTTGTTCAGTTCCTCGTACACACAGTAAACTTGGTTGTATCTTTTTCTATTGCAACGTTTTGATGCACATAAGTTATATCAAAAAGAGATCGTTTTGTGTATCATTTTTAGAAATGATACACGAAACGGTCTCATTTTTTGATGCAAAAAATTTAATCAATTTATATCAATCATGGCCGAATTGAATCGACTCAAAATTAAACAAATTTTTTTCAAATATTTTGGTAATAGTACAATTGCGGAGACCATTTCACTATTTAATTTGAAAATGAAAATAACAGAAAATCAAAGACAATGTGCAATTCGATAATTAAAAAGTGACAGCTTATAAACATAACCTAAAATGCATGAGAAAAAATTTGTCGATAAAATCAATATCGCCGAGCTTTTTAGAAGGTAGATGGCAGTTTTGCTTTTTATAAAAACGATTCAGAAAAAATTTAAAGAAAGAAAATAGATGAGTGCTGCCATCTACCTTCTAAAAAGCTCGGCTATATTGATTTTATCGACAAATTTTTTCTCATGCATTTTAGGTTATGTTTATAAGCTGTCACTTTTTAATTATCGAATTGCACATTGTCTTTGATTTTCTGTTATTTTCATTTTCAAATTAAATAGTGAAATGGTCTCCGCAATTGTACTATTACCAAAATATCTGAAAAAAATTCGTTTAATTTTGAGTCGATTCAATTCGGCCATGATTGATATAAATTGATTACATCTTTTGCATCAAAAAATGAGACCGTTTCGTGTATCATTTCTAAAAATGATACACAAAACGATCTCTTTTTGATATAACTTATGTGCATCAAAACGTTGCAAAGATTTGATGCAATTTTTGGTCTCAATTTGATACTTTTAGGAAAACTTTGCAAAGTTAAAAACAAATAAGTTATATTTATCGTGTTCTTTAAAAGAAATTTCAAAACATGTGAAATAATAGTTATTTACGTTTTAAAAATGAGAAATTTATTATTTTCTTTTATAAGTAGGGTGAATTCACTAATTGCGGCGCGATTCGAGTCAAAACACCTTTGAAATAGAAAATTCGACAATTCTATTGTATAAACTCAATTTAAGACTTATTAAACTAAAAGATTATGTTATTTAGATGTTAAAAAAATGTTTAACTTTATTAAAATCGATTATTTAAACAGATATGAGAAATTAAAACTAATACCGTAATTTACTATTGCGATGCGTTTGTATCAGTTTCGGTGACCAAAATTACGTGTATTTTGAAGATACTTTGCCCGTCGAAATTGGAGCCAATGGAAGTATTAAAAATGTTTCAATTACGGCGAGGGAAAAAATTTGATCTCAAATAATTTAATTAATAATTGTTTAAATGTGCATCTTCATTAGTAATTGTATCAAAAAAAGATTAAAATAATTTTTTTTAATCATTTTGCAACAGTTATATTAAATACTAGCTTTCGTACCCGCCTTCGGCGGGAGCACAATCTAGTGGTGTGCGCCCAACAGTATTTTCGTGCAAATAATTTTTAAAATATATTTAAAGAATAAAATATAATTATAAAAAATTATTACAAAATTAAAAAATATTTTTTTAAAATTTTAGAAATTAATTTCTTTTTAAACTAAGCATTCTAATTATCTTCAAAAACACATTTAAAAAATTTAACATAGATGTTAAATTTTTTAAATGTATTTTTGAAGATAATTAGAATGCTTGTTAAAAAAATTATAAAATTAGTTGAGACAAAATCGAAACAGCATTTTAAAATTTTATTTAAATAATTATTTTCAAATTTTAATTTCTTATACTTTTTTTACAACTTAAAATCTTTTAATATTATTTAAACTATATAATATTAAAATAAAAATCTATAACCCGAAAACAATAATTATAAAAAGGTTGTTACTAAAAAAACATTTTTTCATTTCTTTATATTTGTCATGTTTTTTAATTATAAAGTTATAATTTTATTAATTGGACTCAAAAACATAGCTAAAAAAGGTTTAGTAAAATATAACAGAAATTAAATTTAAAAAATTTGATTTTTGGAATTTTTCTTCACAATTTTAAATCTATCAGTTATTTTCTCAATTTTAAGGTAAAAATGCAATTAATTAACCTCAAAAAACTTCTTAAAAAAAGTCTAGTAAAAATAAGCGAAAAAATAAAAAATTTTAAAATTTCGATTTTTACAAAAAGTGCCATAACTTCCGTTCAAGTTAATATTTTTTAATGGGGTATGGCTAAGATTTTAAGTTAGTCTAATACCTAAAAGACTGACAAGTTTCATTTAAATCGGTCAAGCCGTTTATGCGTGATTAGCGAACAAAATATTGTGCAGACAGACAGACAGAATTTTTTTTAATGCTATTTCTAGAATCCTTATGACTTGAAACAAAGAATTATACATGAATTTTTAAGTTCTAAGCAATGTACAGACAAAAGTCTAATTTTATTAATATAGATATAGTAATAATAGTTATTTTTTATGAACGCGCCGTAATTGATGCACTTACCCAAATATTTAAAAATATTTAATTATTTATTTCTCTATTTCTTATTTTAAAGTTTTTCTCTTAAATAATAATTTTAAGTAATTTTATTGAATGTTCTACATATAAGAAAGTGCTATTTGACGTGTAATATTTTTTGTAATAAAGGGTAATACTCAGTAATATATGTGTAATACTTTGTAATACAGTAATATTTTGGTAGTAGTATGTAATACTTGTAAAAAGTGTAATACTAAGGTAATAATGGTAATATGTGTAGTGTTGTAGTCAAGTGTACACAATTTTTAATAGTAAATTCCCCCTCGATGTTAGATAATAAAAATATGATAAAAATAAAATTTCTTGTTTTGACACTAAAAAAAAAAAAATTGTATTTTGTTACAAGTCTGTGCAATTTTAAGTAAAAATAAATATTACATTGACACGCTCTGAAGAAAGTGATAACAAAAAATTATAGGTTATGTTTTAAAAGTTTGGAGGGAAAAAAATCCCTTTCTTCAAAGCGCGTCATTTATAATATGTTTCAACAATGGGGGTTCAATAAACCAATATGCATAAAGCCTATAACTACAACGTCAACATACTCAGTGATAGATAGCTTTGAAGATTAATCTCATGAATTTCAGTATTCATCGGGCATTCACATGAGAAGGGCGACAACTTTGTACCTTATTATTACATATACTGTATATAGAAAGTGACCATTAAAATATTTAAAATGACCTTGAGCCGACATTCAATTGTCCTTTCATTTTTATTCGCCATAAAATATATCAATGCCAATCCAGTGATAGTGACACGAGAAATTGACGATTATTGGACAAAACGAGCTGATTTTATTCGTGAAGAAGAGAATTTTGCCTTTGGTGGTGATGTTCCATTGCAAAAAGATGAATTTCTCACAAATTTCAATCTTATGTCTGCCAAAAAGAACGAAATTGAAGAGGGTTTGTTCACTATTTTTTTCGTTTTTAAATTAAGAAAAAAATTATTTTTTCATATTTCACACAAATTTTTTATTTCTTTTTTTTTTTTACTTTTTAAAATAGACTGTATACACTTTGTAGATAATGTCTTTTTTTATTAAAATACGACACTTGTCTTTTTCACTGTCTTCTGATGTTCTAAATTGATTATTTAAAAAAAAAATTTTATTTAAAATATATATATATTATATGAAAAATAATAATTTTTTTTAAAATTTATTTAAAAAATTTAAATTAAAAAATAAATAAAACTCGCAAAGTAAAAAAGCAATCATAATTTTCAAAAAAAGGCAGTTATTTATAAAAAATAAATATATAAATAAATTTGTAAATTTAATAATAATTTATACTCGTGTTTGATATCAACTCAGTGTGATAATTAATCAATCGATTAAAATTATGAAACATTATTGACATAGAAAATTACAATTTCCTCGTTAAGTATATATACATATTTGATTGACATATTACAAAATACAAATGATAATTTTTTTTACAATAAAATAATTTAATTTAATTTTTAAAAAAATTTAATATTAATTAAATTTTAATTAAATAAGAGATAAAATATTAATTTATTTAAAAAAATTTCTTTTTTTATTTTCTAAATAAATAATAAAAAAAATATTGCATTTCTAAATATTGTTATAGTGAACAGAAATTTAATTTTTTTTTTTTTTTTGCAGGTTTCGCAGATCAGGGTAAATTTCTTCCTAGATCTAATTTCCTTACAGTAAATAATAAGATAGAAAAATCAAAAGTTTTTCAAATAATTAAAAAAATGCCAAAAGGTGCAGTTCTTCATGCACACGATTTAGGTCTTTTGTCACCAAATTATGTTTTAACAAATGTCACTTATCGTGATAATCTTTATGCCTGTGAAAATAATGGTACATTGAAATTAATGTTTTTTAAAAATCCAAACAAAAATTGTGACTGGAAATTACTGAGTGAATTGAGAAAAAATTCGACAAAAGCAATAGAAATTAATAAAAAAATTCAACGACAAATGTCAATGATCACAAAACATCCCAATTATCCTGACGGCGATAAGGCTTGGATTAAATTTCAAAGTATTTTTGGATTTCTTTTTCCGTTTATTGCATACAAGTATGATTTTAATTACTTTCTAAATACATAGTTTACAAAATATTTCGGAAATAATTCAAATTTTTAAACGATTTTCTTTATGAGAAATTTTAGATGAAGTGATTGAGGTTTAAAAAAAATTTTTTTTTTTTACCATTTATAGAAACTTAAAGTGGTGAGTATAATAGCCCCAAATGCGGGACTATTATATGAGGCATTTCATATGAGAATACGGGGTCATGTCTCGGATTTTTCTCAAAATTCGGTAAATTGTAGTGATAGTGGTGCTAAATAATTGTACAAATTTTGAATTTGAAATTTTTAATATTTTTCGAGATATTTACAATAACAAATTTCAGCAATATTTTTTTGCTTTACTTATAACTTTTTTCCTACTAAAAATAGAGAAAAATGTTGTAAATGTTTTTTACGCAGAAGACCTTAAACTTTTAGAAAAAAATTATTTAAAAAAAAATATCAATTTTTTAAACAATTTGTTTAAAAAATAAAATTTGTTTATAACTTTTAAACATGTTTTCCCTCATTTAGAAGCGCGAAAAAAGTCATGAATATTGTTTAAGTCATAATAAATCGATGGATAAATTTTTGAGGTGGCATTATTTTTTGTTTTCGAGATATTAATTAATTAACTAACAAAAGTTAATAAAAAATGAAATATTATATGAGTGTTAAATTAATAATTAATAATAAAATTTATTTAAATAATTAATAATATTTGAAGAAATGAAGATAAATCGTCAATTCTTTTTTTATTTGGAAGATCATCTAATTCTGTGTTAAATAAAACCAGTGTAAATAATATTTTTAACAAATCTCAATTATTAGCAGATGATTATTGAAAATTGAGGCTTCAGCACCCTACGACACAAGTTGGAGGGGGCTGCCTACCTACTCGGCATGCTATTTTTCAGTCTTTTTCTAAATAACATTTTATAATTAATTTTTGATTCTTGGTAATAATTAATATTCTTTTTTTGACACAGAATTAAATGATCTTCCAAATAAAAAAAGAATTGACGATTTATCTTCATTTCTTCAAATATTATTAATTATTTAAATAAATTTTATTACTAATTATTAATTTAACACCCGTTTATTCAAAATAGTTCATATAGAGCTCGTTGGATGCGGATTTTGATAAGCATTCTAATGGTATTTTTAAAATTACTCTAATTTTATTTGTTCGTAAAATATTTCATTTTTTATTAACTTTTGTTAGTTAATTAATTAATATCTCGAAAACAAAAAATAATGCCACCTCAAAAATTTATCCATCGATTTATTATGACTTAAACAATATTCATGACTTTTTTTCGCGCTTCTAAATGAGGGAAAACATGTTTAAAAGTTATAAACAAATTTTATTTTTTAAACAAATTGTTTAAAAATTGATATTTTTTTTTAAATAATTTTTTTCTAAAAGTTTAAGGTCTTCTGCGTAAAAAACATTTACAACATTTTTCTCTATTTTTAGTAGGAAAAAAGTTATAAGTAAAGCAAAAAAATATTGCTCAAATTTGTTATTGTAAATATCTCGAAAAATATTAAAAATTTTAAATTCAAAATTTGTACTCTTATTTAGCACTACTATCACTACAATTTACCGAATTTTGAGAAAAATCCGAGACATGACCCCGTATTCTCATATGAAATGCCTCATATTCAGTACCTAAAGTTTATTCATAAAATATCCTCAACATTTTTTTTTATACAGCTGTAGCTATATGAAATCTTTTCTGTAGATAGTCTAGATTACGATAAAAAAAAAGAAAATCTAAAAAAATTTTTTTATAATAATTGTTTAACAAAGAAAGTTAATTTTACTAAAATTGATTTTTTAAAAAAAAGATAAAAAAATGTTTAAATTAACATTTTTTAAGTTAACTAAATAACTTAATATATAATTTCTAATAAGCTTTTTAAGTTATTTTAGTAGAAAAAGTTACAAAATTAACTTGAAAAACATATAAATATTAATGAAAGTTTTTTTTTTACTTTTTTTGACGGGGGCGCATGAATTTTCCATAAAAATAATTGATTAGAATTTTTCTTTTAAAGAATTTTTTTTAGAAATAATTACTTTTTAGACGAATTTTCAATTTTCGAATTAGAATTTGACAGAATTTATTTTCATACGAGAATTTTTACTCAACAAAATTTTCAAATTTTATGTGATTTAAATTTCTAAATGACAGAAATTCCAATTCACCGAATTTTTGTTTGTACGAATTTTTAATTGATATATGAGTCAAAAGTTTTGAACGTTCAAATAAACAAAATATTTTTTTCAATCTATAAATTATTAAAAATTATAATGTCAATGTTAAATAAAACAGTAAATTAAACTAATATTAAATTAATAACTTCTTTTTAGATATTTAAAACAATATTTTGTAATAAAATTTGTATTTAAAGAAGTTACAAAAAAAATTTTGTTCATTTGAACGTTCAAAACTTTTGGCTCATATTGATATAATTTTTTTCAAGATGTCAAATTTTCATTTGTCTGAAATTACAAATGCGGCTAAACGAACAATTGACAGAAAGATTTTGGAACAATTTTTAATATTGACCAATTAGAAATTATCAAGAAAATCGTGATTGGTGAATTTTCAAAAATTGCGCCGAAATCTTTCTGTCGATTGTTTGTTCGGCTATTTGTAATTTCGAAAAAATGAAAATTCGGTGAATTGGAATTTCTGTCATTTTTGACGAATTTATGAATTTTTTTTTCTGCCTTCTTACAAAAAATGAAGTAATAACATTTAGCGCCCTCTGTAATAAAACTTTCAAACAATATTTACATCGAGCGTGAAATTTAAACATTTCTATATTTATAAATATTTTATTAATTAAAAACTGGCGATGAGTATAATAGCCCCAATTGAGATAAGCGTGTTTCGAAAAGTAAAGTTTTTTCACATTATCACTTAACTTGAAATCTTTCAAATAGAATCGAATGTGTTTAAACTATATATTATGTATATAAATTTTTTTTTAATAATTTTTAGACCCGTTTTCGAAGATTATTATTACCAAAGTCTTCAGGAAATGTATGACGATAAAGTGTTATATTTAGAATTAAGAACAGTTCTACCCGATTTATTTGACTTGGACGGCAAAGTCTATCGAAAATCAGAAGTCATGCAGATTTTAAAGGATGTCACGGACAAGTATGTATAATATTTTTTATTTTTAAAAGAAATTTTTCCAAAAAGAAAGTTTTTCTTTTTATTTTATTTTTTATTTTTAAATCAAATATTTTGGTTCAAAAAATTTGTTTAATTATTTCGAAACAAAAATTTTATTTATATATGAAAATAAATATATTTATTTAAATAAAAATATATAATTTATTGAATTAAATAATTTTCATAACTAATTGATTTAAAGCATTATTTATTTGTTTTGTTTGAAATTAAAAAAACAACAATTTCCCAAAGTTTAGTCAAAATTAATAGGGATTCATTTTCTGTACATTTTGTGCGGGGTTCTTTGATCCAAATTATGATAAATAAAATATTTAGATCCATTAAATATGTATTTGGTTTAAATGTACATATTTAATATGGATAATAGACAAGAAAATCATTTTGTTTTAATCAAATAATTTTTATTTTTTACGAATAAAAAATTGTGTGATTTTTTTTAATTGTTATTTTGTTTTTCATTTTTCAAAAATTAAAAAAAAAAATAAATAAATATAAATTTTTATTTATTTCTCATTATAATATATTCAAATATATATATATATATATTTTAAAATGATAATTGCTTTATTGACAAGTTAATTGGATTTTTCTCTTCAGATTTACGGCAAGTCATCAAGATTTCATCGGTGCAAAAATAATTTACGCTCCTATAAGACGTGTTGATTTAAATAAATTGAAAGAATACTTGGAAACTGCAAGACAATTGAAAAACGATTTTCCATCATTTCTGGCTGGTTTTGATTTGGTTGGACAAGAAGATAAAGGAGGTCGTTTAATTGATTTTGCTGATCAGTTACAAATTGTCGGAAAAGATATTCCATTCTTTTTTCATGCGGGTGAGATACAATATTATTAAATTATATAAAAATATAAATTTAATAAAATTAAAAATATTTCATAAATTTAATAAATTCCCAGAAGAATAAATTTTTTTTTTTTCACACACACAGGAGAAACCGACTGGTATGGACTAGATACAGATCAAAATCTCATTGATGCAATATTATTAAATACAAAAAGAATTGGACATGGGTAATTTGAAATTATTTTTTTTTAATTCGAAAAAAATTAATAAAATAATTGCATTATGATGTTTTTTACTTGAACCCTTAATATGATTTAATGCGTATTTATAAATTCTTTGGCATGAGGGTTCTATGAAAAAAAGAAGAACAAAAATTTTTCCTTTATTTCATACGTTTCGACAACTGATGTGTGCCTTCGTCAGTGAATATTTATTATAGTATATGTAATGATAAGTACAAATGTAACTGTAAAGTGGTGTTTAAAATTTAGATATTGTCGATATTTTAATTTAGTTGTTAAAACATATGAAATTAGTATAAAATTAAATTAACGTAGAAGTTATAAATAATAGATTTATATAAAGAATTTGTAATTAAATTTAACAAATTTTTTTTTAAACTGCAAACTTGTATAATAATAATAAGAAAGATGAGGTGAAGAAGAGAAAAAAATTTATTTCTGAAGAGTAGTATAATATATGTATAATGTGCTATAGAAATTATATCCAAAGAAGAAATCTCAAGCCAACAATTTTAACAAACGAATTTATAAATAATTAAATGATATTTATATTGTAAAATAATTAACTTATAATTTCTTTTTTCAGATATGCATTACTGAAACATCCAAAAGTAATGGAATTAGTGAAGAAGAAAAATATTGCAATTGAAGTGAATCCAATTTCTAATCAAGTTCTTGCCCTTGTGGGTGATATGAGAAATCATCCTGCAACTTTTTTCTTTGCGGAAAATTATCCTGTAGTGGTTTCATGTGACGATCCTGGTCTCTGGGGTGCAAAAGCATTAAGTTTCGATTTTTATGAAGCATTTATGGGACTTATGGCAAAATCTTCTGATTTGAGAGCATTAAAGAAACTTGCTTTTAATTCAATTGAATTCAGTATGATGACTGCTGATGAAAAATCAAAAGCTCACGATATTTTCGAGAGACAATGGCAACAATTTCTACAAGTTCCAGATAAAGAACAAGAATTGTAGTCAATTTTTATTATAATTAATTATATTATTATATATAATTTTCTATTTAAACATTATAATAGGATTTCTCTGTATAAAAAAAAAACAGAGAAAAATTTCTATAATGGTTAGAAATGATATTATTAATTTGAAAAATTGTCTATTTTTCAGAATTTTATTAACTATTTTTATATTTATAAGTTTTTTTTTATATTCAATTTTTGCAAAAAAAAAAATTTTTTTCTATATTTGCGAAAAAAATCTTTGCTTTTATAAAAAAGTTTAATCTTTTTGTTTAAAAAATTAGTTCTAATTAAAAGCAATTAATTTTTTAGTTAATCGAAATTATTTATTTAACATTTTTATCTGAATTATAAAATTAGTAGAAATATAAGAAAATTTTTAGCAGTAGTTTTTAATTTAGTACAATTTTATCGTCGACTTTTATTTTAATCAATTGATATTATTTCAACAGCTATTTTTTTTTTTTAATTTTTGTATCACATTCAATTCATTTGTTCTTTCTACATTCAATCATACCCTATATTCATGTCAATTTGTATACAAATATGAAATGATGAAATAAAAAATTAAACACCATATTTAATAAAATGCTTTCAAAATTTCTATTCAGAACGTAAATAAAATCGAGTCTTTTTAATAAATCTCGTTGATTTTAATTAATTCAAAAAAATCTAAAATTTATTAGAATAACCAACAAACATTGCTAATATTGTAAATATAATTTTTAAAAATATTTTGATTTTTAACAAAAAAGGAGGTGTATTTCGATACGAGCTGTAGTTAAGTGTCTATAATTAAGGCATTTTTAATTATACCTGATGTTTTGCTATAATGCTTCTGTTATCATAATAACTAAACATAGCAAACAAGTTTAAGTACTAGAAAATACAATGATTATCTGACCAAAAAAAAAAAAAACAGGTGAGAACTTATATATTTTTTTTTAATTTCACTAGTTAAAATAGTCAGTATGCAATTTGTGAATTTTGAAAAGGGCTCAACTCGAAAAAGCGTAAGTGTCATTTTCGCATAACAATTGCTAGTGAAAATGACTCTTACACTTTTTAGAGTTGAGCCTTTTTCGAAATTCACGATTCAATTTAACTTTTTTTTTCATTTTATAGGTACCAGTAGGTATTTTTTTTAATTTTCAATTTTTAATTTTATTTATTTTCATTTTTTGAATTTATTTTATTATTTTTTATTAAATTTATCGATTGTTAATTTTAACGAATTTGTTTGCGAAGCATTCAATAAGATTTGGAATGCAAAAAAAAAAAAATTGCATGCAACAGCAAAATTTATTCTTGCAAAGAAAATTGAAATATTCATTAATTTGTAATACTTTAAATAAATAAATTAAATAATAATATATATTAAAAATATTAATAATTACAACAAAAAAAAAATTCGAAATTATTAAAAATTATTTAAAAATATTTTTCGATTTCCAATAGATTTCAATTCAAATTTAATAATTATTTTTTTAATGAATAAAATACAATTTACAAAACACAGTTTTTATAAACGTGTTTTCATTCAAATGATTATGATAATGAATTAATTAATGAAAGCAAATAATTATAGTCCTTCTAATTCCCGTATAATTTATTGTTTATCAAGGTTGTTATCTCACTTTTTTTTTACATATCTTTGCCGTATAAGTTACATTCTCACGAAATTAAGTATAAAAAGGAAGTTGAAGCTATAATTCTAATTGCAACAGAATTCAGTCTTTCCCGGGCTTTCAAATGAGAAGATAGTAGAACTTTATAGGACAGTGCACTCTTTATATAGTAAAGATTAATCAATATATATATATATAAAATAAAAATGATAGAAAGACGAAATAACACGTTTCTCTTCATTCTGTGTTTAAATTTGATTATTGTTACTGTATCACGAGAAATTGGAGATTTTCGAAAAAAATTTACCGAAATACATCCAACGGAAATTATTGATTCAGTAAAAAAATCATTTGATTCAATTAAAGAAAATGATTTTTCATCAGTAACGGAAAAAGAAATAGGTTTGTATTTATTGTTTTAGAATTCAAATATTTTTTGTCTTAATCAAAAAAAGTAAATAAATAACAATTTTTTAAATTTAAAAATATTTAAAGCATTTCAATTTTTTTTTTTTTAATTTGTGAGATATTAATCATAAATATGAAGAAAATAAATATTTTTTAAAAAAGTTTTTCCAAGACTAATTATTTTAAGAAGAATAAGAAAATGAAAGAAAAAAAAATTTAATTATAATTAATTATTTAATTTCAAAAGGTGATAAGAATAGTTCAATTGAAGAAGAAGAAAAAGCAGCTGTAACAGATTTTGAGGACAATAATGCAACTGAAAAAGCAGACGATGAAATAGGTTTGTAAAAATAATTTATTAATTTTTTTTTTTTTTATTAAACAAATTTTTAAATTTTTAATTTAAATTTACAAAAAATATTTTATTATTTTTCTCTGCACGGAAAAAAAAGATATTTATCTGGAGCAGCGAAAGTTTTCACTAGCAAAGCAAAATTTCTAATTAAATCTTTTCCTATTTTAGTGAAATTTTTCGCTGTTCCATATGAAAATTTGTTTACATGTATTTTTTGAAGTAATGTGAATTTTTTTTTTTGGAACTAAATTTCAGTTTTGTCAAATGAGGATATCGAAGATGATGCAAAAACGGAAAAAGGTTCGTATATATTTTTTCTAAAACATTTTGTTTATTCAATTTAAATTTACTAATTCTCCTTATTTTTCCATAAGTTCATTTAGATGAAAATGAAAAGTTAGAGCCCAAGAAATCTGATGACGGTTTGTAATTATTATAATTATTAATTAATGGTTTATTAATAATTTAATTATTTATTTATTAATTAATTACTAAATTAATTATTTATTAATTAATTACTTCAATTAATGATTGTTAAGAAAAAATTATAATTTTCCATTTTTTAGAAACTAAAATTATGGACGAAATTGATGATGATTCCGACGATGATAAAAGTTTGTATATTATTACCATTTTCTAAATTATTAAAAATTGATTTTTTTTAAAATTTTGTTACAATTGGACTGCCCATTTGTGTTTTCAAATATAAATAAATAAATAATTTTTATTTTTAGAAACTAAAATTGAAGATAAAATTGATGAAGATTCAGATGATGATAAACGTTCGTAAATATTATTATAATTATTTTAAAATCCCTTTTAATTTAAAAATTTAATCAAATTAAATTTCTTTTTTCAATAATCGTCAGCCGGGGTAATTATACTCACAAAAATGCTGTTTTTTACTCAACACGTCATTAAAATTCAAAATTAAAATAAAAAAATTTTTTTTAACTTTTGCGTTGTAGATATTTTTGAGCGACAAAAAAAGTTTGTTTAAGGCCATGTCCAAGTTGTGTCACCTATTCCATTGAAACTTCAAAGGAACATCTGACTCGACTTGGACCTGGCCTTAAGGGGAGTTACAGAAACTTATAAATTCATTTATACCCATCAAAATTTGATTATTTTAAATTTATAAATTTTTTGCAAAAATTGTTCAACAAATTTAAAAATTAACATTAAAATTTTACTAAAATCTACATTTTTATAAAAAAGGTAAATTTTTTTTTTCAATTTAATATTTTTTAGGTTAAGTAAACAACTCAATATAATTTCTAACAAACTTTTTAAGTTTAATTTTAAGAGAAAAAATTTATAAAATTAACGTGAAAAACACATAAATATTAATGACATTTACATATTTTTGAGGTTATATGTTGCACCCCTTATAAACTAACAATTTATTTATTTCTATATAAACATCATCTCAACTAAATTGACAACAATTAAAATATTTTGCAAAAAACAATAAAAATTTTAGGAATAGATTTTTGCAAACTTAGAAAATTTTCACATCTCATTTTCACGCTTTTTGCAAATTTTTTTTTATTCTTTCTAACAAAAAATTATAAGTAATTAGTGCCCTATTTAAATAATCAAAAATAAAAATTTTATTCATTAAAAACTGTCGATGGGTATAATAGCCCCTATGGAATGGTAGAATTACCCCATGTTGATTATTATTATCAATTAATTAAACTATAAATTTTTTATTTTATAAAATAAATTCTATTATGACAAAAATTTGATAATATTAAACCTAATTAATTTTTAATTAATTTATAACATCAGTAGATGAAGATGAACAACCATCCGAAAAAATTGACAACTCTGAAGCAAGTTTGTATATCAATATTATGTACATATTTGGTAAAACAATTTTTAATAGAAATTAAAAAATAAAATATGATCAAATTATTGGCATATGTTTCAAAATTGGCTATAATTGGCTATAATATACTTACCAATAATTGGGTCATGGTTTATATTGTACATAATAACGAATATCACTGTTAAAAATACTAAAAATAGAATACATAATTGCAACGTAAGAAAAATAATTTTTAAACGTTATAATGATTATATCTCTAAAAATTTATGTAAATTTGAAACTTTCATGGCCAAAGAAGATTTTGAAACTAATTCAAATTATAATGCGTATAATATTAATATGTGTAATTTAGTATTTGTTTTGATGGTTTTCTCGTTAAATAATTATTATTTCATAATATTTTCATTAATATATTCATAGCTTTTAATACCAACCGCGATAATTTAATAAAAACGGAAGAAGATATGGCTTTTGGATCGGATGTTGTTTTAAACGATGACGAAAAAACAATAAACGACACACTTATGGAAGCAAAATTTAAAGAAATTGATGAGGGTATGTATTATATTTATGTAATTAAAAATTAATTTTTATATTTTTATATTCACCGTCAACCGGAACTATTATATATTAGAAATTAGAAAATCATTTTTAAAAAGTTACTGAAAAATCACTATTATTTTCATTACATGCATCGAGTATATAACTAAATTTTTAATCAAATTTTTATTCCAAGTTTCCAATAACAATTTTTCGTCTTTATGAATTATTTTCAGATTTATTTAAAAACGAATTCACTTATATATAATATAATATTATAGTTAGCTTGTTGTCTACACTATACAATTACAGATAGATGTCAAATTTTAACATTTCAAAATTAATATTTTTGAGGAAACTCTAAACTTTTTTTTCGGCCTTTTGGCAATTGACAGATATGAAGTGGTAAACTCTTGAATTAAGGACCTTTCGGTGTTCCGACAGTTTCTCCCTTTAAAAATGGCCGACAATTTGTATATTTAATTTTAAACAGAATTTTTTTTTTACAAATTAGACAATTACTACAAAAATCGAATAAGTAATCCTAAATTTTCGAACTTTCATATATGCATCCACGAAATTGAAAAATTATTATAATATATATAAAGTACGAAGTAAAATTGGAAAATTTTTTATACCCGTCAGTTGCTGCCCTCTGGCGGCAATTCAAATTTGTTAAAAGCCTTAAGAGTGTTGAACGGTCTCTGAAATTCTTTGGCATTTAATAATCACCCTATAAAAACGGCACTGAACGTGAAAATATGATAAACATTGATTTTAAAATACTTTTTTCTCAAAACGCGGACATTTTTTTCAAAATCGGAAAAAAACCAAGGATCCTTATCTTATAAATTTCTTAAATCCGAAAGATTGTGCAAATCTATACAAAAACGCAATATTGTAAAATGAAAAGTACGAAAGTAATATAATTTTAGGTTTTATTACGTCCTGCAGCCGTTAGGTGGCAGAAGCATGCAGGGAGCACAATGTCGCAGCTGTCATTATATTACTTTCGTACTTTTCATTTTACAATCGCATTTTTGTATAGATTTGCACAATCTTTTGGATTTAAGAAATTTATAAGATAAGAATCCTTGGTATTTTGTCCGATTTTGAAAAAAATGTCTGCATTTTAAGAGAAAGGTATTTTAAACTCAATGTTTATCATTTTCACGTTCAGTGCCGTTTGTATAGGGCGATTATTAAATGCCAAAGAATTTCAGAGACCATTCAACATTCTTAAATCTGTTGTCGATTATGTATAGCGTGAATAAATTTTCAATTTTTTATTCGCACATGAGAATTCAGGATAACCACTTTTTTTGATAAAAATTAATTTATCAAACAAAAATTTACTTAAAAATGATGTTCAGTTAAAATCATTTGTCTAAAGCAAAATATGATATTGACATAAACAATTTGTTTAAGGTTTCGCCGATGAGGGTAAATTCCTTCCTAGAGCTAATTTTTTAAAAGTAAAAGATGACATTGAAAGATCAAAAGTATTTAAAATAATTAATAAAATGCCAAAAGGATGTCTGTTGCATGCACACGATGTAGGCACAGTATCACAAAGATTTGTCTTGTATAATGTCACATATCGTCCAAGTCTCTATGTCTGTGATTTAAATGGTAAATTACAACTTCGATTTTTCGATAATCCTGATAGTGAATGCAATTGGAAATTGTTGAGTGAATTGCGCGAAACGCCTGAAAGTGAAAAAGAAATTAATCAACGAATTCAACAACACATATCAATGTTAACTGAAAATCCAGAAGACGACTATCCAGATGGTGATAAAGCTTGGATCAAATTTCAAAGTATTTTCGAATTCCTTGGATCTTTTATGAGATATCGGTAAACGTATTTTTACTTGTATTCTTTTAATTATTTACAATTGTTTCTTTAACTTTGTAAAAAAAAATGATTTTTGTTAAAAAGTAAATAAAATTAATAACTACATATTATTCTTTAAAATTGTAATTTTAAATTATTTTAGAAACAATATTTTTTTTAACCTTTTGCCTTTTACACTCTAATGTTTTTTTTTTAATATTACAGACCAGTTTATGAAGATTATTATTATCAATTGCTGCAGGAAAATTACGATGACAAAGTGTTATATGTTGAACTTAGAGCAAGTTTACCAAAAATTTATGAATTAAATGGCAAAATTTACAAACCAATCGAAGTTGTCAAAATCATTAAGGATGTAGTGGATAGGTAAATAAATATTATCTCTTTAAATTAAATCGTAAATTCCAAAAAAATCTCGTATAAGTTTTTGCAAATTTTATTTATTTTATTTTTTTTTATTTTATTTTATTTTTATTTTTATTTATTTTAGGTAGGTACTATTTTTTTATTATTTATTTTTTATTATTTATTTTATTACTTATTTTATTTCACATTTTTTGTATCTTTGTTGCAAAATTTTTAAAATATAATAAAATGAAAAATTAGTTGATTTATTAAATTAAAAACAAAATACTTTTTTTTTAAGTACAAATTGTAACTCTTTAAAATTGAATTATTTTGAAAATATGATTATGAAATTATTTTCAATAATTTTTAATGAAATTCTTGGAAAATTTAATTATAATTAAAAGATTTTTCAATTTAAAATTCTCTAAAATTCAATATTATTGGCTAAAAATTTTTTTCAAAAAAGTCTTCAATTCGAATTTACAATATTTTCAATTCAAAATCACTTGAAATTTGATTAATTCTAAAAATCTAGACAGTAGCTCTTCTGAAATTCAATTATTTAAAATATTTTTTTAATATTTAATAAAAAATTAGTTAACATTCAATTATTGTCTGGAATTTGTAAAAAAGAAAATCTTTAGCAATTCAATTTTATAAAAATTTCACTTTAAAATCTCTTAGAATTCAGTTATTTCTATAAATTTTAATAAATATGTTTATACATTAAATAAAATAAAATATGAAACTCTTCCAAAACTCAATTATTTAAAAAAAAAATTTTTAATTCTTTACCAAATTAATAATTTTCAATAATATTAATGAATTGTTCCAATTCAAATAATCTTTATCAAGTTCTTATAAAATTCAATTATTTAAAACATTTTTATGTAAAAATTCTTCTATTCCCCTTAAAGTATCTTATTTTTAAAAAGTGACTGAAATTTTTTTTTTTCAACTATTACAAGTTCAAACTTTGACAAAATTCTGAATTTGTATATAATTTGCATAAATTAGACTGAAATTTTTTTTAAAAAAGTAACTTTCCTTTTTTTTGTATAAATCTAAAATTTTTGAAAATTTGTCTCAGTTAAATTTTGAAATATTATCTAAATAAAGTTTCTTGATAAATTTCTGTGCAATTATTTTTATTAAGGAATTATTGAAATTTATTTTTAATATCTACTAACAATGGTTATAATAGAAATAAAAAACTAAAACGACTTTTTTTAACGCCTTAATGTCGATCCGAGGCCTGAAATTAATATATAGAAATTTCAAAAACTATATATTAATTTTAAAAAAATAAAAAATAAAAAAGGTAAAAAATTAAATAGTTTACATAATTTTATATAAAAAATCATTTGTATTTTTTATTTAAATGTAGATTTGTAGAAGAGCATCCTGATTTTGTTGGAGTTAAAATTATTTACTCTAAACGACGACTTATTAGCAATGAAAAATTGCAAAAATATTTGCAAACTTTTCAAGAAATTAAAGATGCATATCCAAATTTTGTAGCAGGTTTTGATCTCGTTGGCCAAGAAAATAAGGGACTTCCATTAAAAAATTTCACAAAACAATTGACAACATTTAGAAATGATTATCAAACATTCTTTCATGCAGGTGAGACAAATTATAACAAAACTTTTATAATTAATAAAATTTAAAAATCAATTTTCAAATGAATAAAAAATAAAGATGAATTATATTTTTTTACAGGCGAGACCGATTGGTATGGACTCAGTGCTGATGAAAATCTCATAGATGCAGTTTTGTTAAATACAAGAAGAATTGGTCATGGGTATGGTATAAAATTTTTTACAATTATGGTTTCACTACATTTTAAAAAATTTTGAAAATTTTCCGTATTGAATAATAAATTTTCTATCAAAATGTTACGAATAATTCTCCAATTTTTGTGAATTTTTCCTAAAAAATATTACGAAAATTTACCTAATTTTAAATAAAATTTTATCATAATAAAGTTCACAACGTTTATGATTAACTATTTTTTAAGAAATATTTTTTCGAAAGAAAAATTCTATGAATTTTCGTTTCAAAAATAATTTTTTCAATATTTATTGATCAAGAAATTGTAAAATACATTTTTTTAAATAGGAAAATATTTTATAATTCGCCGTCTTAAAGAAAAAAATTTTTTTTTTCTAATCATTCATCAAAAATGTTGTGGAGTTCAGTATTGTAAAATTTCCAACATTTTCGTGAAATTTCCCTACAAAATATTATTATGAATTTCCCTAGATTTAGATAAAATTTCCTTACGAATTGTTAGGAAAAATTACCAAAATTTCAAATTATTATAGATTTCGGAACATTTTTAGGAATTTTCACAAAAAATTTTTTACAGTGATAATTCAATGATAGAAAATTACAATAAAACATTTTTTTTCAATTAAATGCGAATACGGTCTTAAAATAAACGATTAATATTGTTAACGATGTGTATAAATTTTTGATTTTCAGTTATGCTTTACCAAAACATCCAAAAGTGATGGAACTTGTAAAGAAAAAGAACATTGCAATCGAAGTGAATCCAATTTCTAATCAAATATTGAATCTCGTCGCCGATCTGAGAAATCATCCAGCGAGCATTCTTTTTGCAGAAGACTATCCTGTTGTTGTGGCTTCTGATGATCCAGGACTCTGGGGTGCACAGGGATTGAGTTATGATTTTTATGAAACCTTCATGGGAATAATGTCGAGAAGCGCCGATTTAAGAGCTTTAATTCAACTTGGTTACAATTCAATTGTATACAGTGCAATGAATGATGATGAAAAGGAGAAAGCTTTGGATATTTTTGATGATCAGTGGTCGGAATTTGTCGAAAATTTCGATGAAACGGAATATTAAGGATTATATCGCTATACTTAAAATAATAATATTCATTACAATATTGTTAATAATATTCAAAACCAATGATTCGATAAAATAATATTTTTAAATTATATTTTTAATGTGCGGTGAGTTTGATAATTTTGAATTGTGCCCACTAATTGTAAATAGCTTTAATAATAATAACAATAATAATATGTAATATTTATTTATTATTATATTATTCTCAAAAGTTCAAATTTAATTTTTTCAAAAATTTGTACATAGTTTTTTTTAAATTCAAATAATTTTGAAAATATCTTCTAAAATTTAATTTTCGAACAAAATATTTAACTGCTAATATTCTAAAATTTAATATTAAAAAAAAGCATTTGACTAGAAAAAAATTTTTAGCAATTTAAATTTACAATAATTTTCAGTTTAAAAGCTCCTGAAACTATATTCCTAAAATTCTGAACTGTGAATTTTAAAAACCCAATTCAATAAAACTCACTGAAAATTTAGTAAAATAATCTTAATTTAAAATAATTTTTTGGTAAAATATAATTTGTTTTTACTTGTTACATTTAATTCGTTAGATTTAAATTTTACCTGTTTACATTAACTGAGATTTTTATACAAAATAAATATTATTTATGGTAATTAATTTAATTTAGAATATCGGTGAAATTTAAACAGTTTAACAAAAAAAAATTTCTAATGTCAGTTTATAAAATATTTTTATGTTAAAAGATTTTTTTAGATAGAATAGTTTTTAATGTATGAACTCATAGAAATTTATGAATATTTTTACACAAAAATAAATTTTCAAATTGTTTCTTCTTTATAAAAATATCAAAATTTTTTCTTCAATTATATTCAATCAAAAATCAAAATAAATAAATAGGTATATAAATAATCTATAAAATAATTCAAATTTTGTTCAAATATTATATTTATTGAATTTATCTTTAATTTTTCAAATTATTGAAATTATATTCCAATATTTAAAATAATTTTTGAGTTAGAATGATTCTCAAAAATAAAACTCATAACATTTTTTCTAAAAAGTCCTAATAAAAAATAAATTTTCTAAAATTATATAATATAAATCGAAATAAGTCCCAATTTTTTTTTTTCAGTCGAAAAAGTCGTAAACTTCGAGCTCTGTAATTAAAAAAAAAAAGAACTGAATAATTATAATTTAATAGAATTATTTATTGAAATTGATTGTATAAAGAAAATTCTTTTCAGTCTTAAACTAAATATTACATATTTAAATATAAATTTCAATTATTACTATTATTATATAAATTGTATAATCAGGTAAACTAAAAAATACTTTTTTGTTATATAATCAATATTCACAATCATTTGAGATATAACTACAAAAGCATTATACAATATATACATATTAAATTATATTTACAATAATCTGTAAATTAATTTTTCAATATAAAGGGAAGAACTGTGATTTTACACAAGTATAATAATATTGTAGTAACAAAAAATTCAGACCTAAATTCTTTAAAGTTTGATTTTTATAAGGAAAAAATCCTTGTTTAAATTTAAATTAGTAAAAAATAATAAATTTGTTACTAAAATCTTGGCTGACCTTTTCATTCAGCATTTAGTGGAAAAATCACTAATTGCAAATAAAAAAAAAAAAAAAAATGACTATAATAATTTGAATCACTGACTTTTAATAAAATTAATTATTTTTAACTAATTCAAATTTAGAGAGTAATGATTGTCCTTAAAATTTTCTAATAAAAAAAAAAAAATATTCTGTAATTTTAACTATAGTTATAAAAATTCTTATCTTCATACTCTACCAAAAAGATTATATACATAATTTTTCTTTTTATAACTTCTTCTCGATGCAAATTTTATACAAACAAGAATAAGAATTGAAGCCGATATAACGTATAATACAACACAAATACTAATGTCAAAAATATTAAAATCCCAACCCAATCTTCGATGACTACTAACAGCGCTATTAGCCATAAATTTATTGTTTATTATTTTATTATTATTACCTTCATTATTTAAATTTAATATAGAACCATAGATATTTATGTCATTTTGTTGATATTTTTTCTTTAAATAAAATAATATCTCTTGCTCTATCCAATTATTATTTTCATCTCTACATAATGGACAATCATTTTTAGCGGGATATTGAATTTTTTTATGTTGAGGATCTTCAGTTGAATCACCAGCTAATCTTTTATTAACTTCATTATGTGCTCTCCATAGCCAAAGAATACTTTCATCTTCACTTTTAACATCAAATATTTTAGTTCTATTTGACATTTCAAGAAAATGTTGTGAACATTCAGCACAACCAAAAAAATGTTTCACATAACCATGCATTGCACGTAAAACTTTTGCCGGATCATAATCAACGTCGTCAATATTATTATTGGCATAATTAACAGTCAACATATGAAACATTGTCCATAAACCACAGGGATATCCTCTATAAGTTGATGTACTACCACGACAACCAATCCACTCAAGATTACCTGAATAAACTGATGAGATTTTATTTTCCGTCTCAGTAACTAAATTACGAAAATATTTACCACTAATTTCATTCATGTCTTTTATTGTTTTATAAATAGATGATAAATATGTTCCTCCATTGTTACGCATTGGAAAATAAAATTTTAATATATTTAAATAATCCTTTAGCGCTTTCATTTTTTCACCTTCAATTATTTTCGATAGGGAAATTTCATGTGCAAAAGAATAGCGTAATGCTTTTTCTAAATCAATTTGAAATACAACATCGCCAAATTGTTGAATTGAATTTTCTGATTTATCAGCATCGGGCACTTTTTCAATTACATGAGAAATAAAAGTTGATTTTAATTCATCTTCAATTGGTTTTTGTAATTTTACATCAACTCCCAATGTTTCCATATAATTTTTAATTGTATCACGTACACCTTCTCGTGTCGAGTCTTTTATATTTATCGATTTTTGTGAACCATCACGTTGAAGAAGAATTAAACTTGGAAATTTAGTGACTTTAGCCGTTACACAGAGTAATTCATTTTCAGATGTTACACGTCTTATGTGCATTACGGAATTATTTTCAAAATCTAAAATCACACTTGTTCCCACATAGGAATCGGGAGTTTCAAATATTAATAAGCAATATTTGACATCGTTTGTAACTGCTTTCCAAATAGTCTCGAGTTCGTTTTTTCTGCAAAAAAAAAAGTAAATAAAGTAGAAATTTTTCAAATTTTATCATTAAATTTCAAGAAAATTTGAATTTTACTTTCATTTTCAACATACTTTTTGAAGTTTTACAAATTTTTATTCATTTATTATTGTCGTTAAAGATTAATTTTCTATAAAAATGTTAAAAATAAATTGTTATACAAAAAATAATTTAATCAGGATTGACACAAGAATAAAATTTTCATTTTTTCTGAAATTCCCGAGGCGCATGATTATCCCATAAAAATCATTAATTAGAATTTTCATTTTAAAGAAAATTATTTGTAATAGGTAATTATTTTTTAGACGAATTTTTCAACTAATTTAAATTTATATTTATTGAAATTTGTTCTAAATAATTTTGAAACCGATGAAAAATTATGATAAATTCAAGTTTAAGTCAATTGAATCATTTTTAGAAAAGTTTAAAACCTTTCTTGTTTAAATCAATGTTTATACATTGTAAATTTAAGTATTTTTCTATTTTACATCCACAAATTAACGAGATCATGGGAAAGATGAAAAAGATAAAAATTATCAAAATATAGATAAAAAAAGAAAAAATTTTTCCTAAAATAAATGAATGGAAAAAAAAACTATTTTTTATCTATTACAAATTTGTCATCAATGATTGAAGCATTAATATAGTTTAAAATTTGGGTTAATTAAATTGTGGAGAAATTAAAACTTAAATCAATCAAAATTTAGATAATTTGCATTTAACTCAATTAAAATTTGAATAAAATTTTAATTCGGATAATTTGAAATATATAAATCAATTAAAATTTGTACAAAGAGAAGAAATTAAAATTTAAATCAATTAAAATTAGGGTAAATTTAGATCGATTATTATTTTAATCAGTAAAATACTAATTAAATTAATTAGAACTTATTTAATTGAACTAATTAAAAAAAATAATAAATTAAACTAATTAAATTTAGATTTATTGAAATTTTTCCAAAATAATTTTGAAATCGATGAAAAATTATGATAAATTCAAGTTTGAATCAATTGAATTATTTTTAGAAAAATTTAAAATTTATGAGCCAAAAGTTTTGAACGTTCAAATGAACAAAAATTTTTTTGTAACTTCTTTAAATACGAATTTTATTAAAAAATATTGTTTTAAATATCTAAAAAGAAATTATTAATTTAATTTACTGTTTTATTTTACATTGAAATTATAATTTTTAATAATTTATAGATTGAAAAAAATATTTTGTTCATTTGAACGTTCAAAACTTTTGGCTCATTAAAATTTGTAAATTTATCTTCTCTAAATTAATATTTAAGGGATGTTAAAAAAATTATTTTTTTACACTAATAAATTATTTTTCCACTTTTCTAATTTAAATCAATGTTTTTACATAGTAAATTTAATTATTTTTATATTTCACATCCACAAATTAACGAGATAGTTAAAACCAATTATCGTGTAAAGTAACTATTTTTTATCTATTACAAATTTCTCATCAATGATTGAAGCATTAATATAGTTTAAAATTTGTATTAATTAAATTGTGGAGAAATTAAAACTTAAATCAATCAAAATGTGGATAAATTGAAATTCGGATAATTTGCATTTAACTGAATTAAAATTTGAAAAATTTTTAATTCGAATAATTTGAAATATAAATCAATTAAAATTTGTAACAAAGAGAAGAAATTAAAATTTAAATCATTTAAAATTAGTATAAATTTAGATTGATTATTATTTTAATCAGTAAAATACTTTAACTAATTAAATTTAGATTTATTGAAATTTTTCCAAAATAATTTTGAAATCGGATGAAAAATATTGATAAATTCAAGCTTGGTTCAATTAAATCATTTATAGAAAAGATGAAAATCTATCATTTTCTCTCCTCTAAATTAATATAATTTACAAAATTATTTTATATAATTACACAAAATTGAATTTATACAAAAGTTTGTATATCATTTACCCAAAAAAAAATTTGCAATTTATTTACACTGTTTAATTCTAGAAATGTTCATTTTATTTTCATTATCATTAAAATTTTAATTGGAGGAGGAAAATAATGAAAGACTGAAAAATATACTATATAGTATATATAGGATATGTTTGGCACAAGTGTTATGATGTAGCGTTTTTTTTCGAAAATACATCTCTATATAGAAATTCACGCTAATTTAAAAAAATGTTACATAAGATCCCTCCCTCATGAAGCTGAAGTACGCAACGTTTATGATAAACAATTTTTAAAGAAATAATTTTTTAAAATAAAAAAATCTATAATTTTTTGCCTAAAATCTATTTTTTTATAATTTACTGATTAATGAAAAATACAAAAAATATTATTTTATAGGCAAAAAATTGTAGAATTTTTCATTTTTAAAAATTAGTTTTTTCAAAATCGTTTATCATAAACGTTGCGTACTTCAGCTTCGTCCTCCCTCTCTGAATCATTTTTACGTAATACTTAAATGGATCCTAACAAATAAAAAAATTCAGATTATTTAAAAAGTATATTTCAATGAATTTTGATAAATTGAAATTCAGAATAAATTTTCATTTTCAAATCAATAATAGTTCAGATTAATATAAAATTATAAATTGATTTTAATTTTTATTACTAAAAATTTCAATATGAAAGTTTTTAAATATAATTTTAAATTTGAATCCATTGAATTTCAAATTGATTAAAATTAAACAAAATTGAAATTTAAATTGTTTAAAATTTTAATGAATTTTTATTTAAAGTCGATAAAATTATCAATGTTTCGACTAATTAAAAAGAAAGGAAAATTCATTAAAAATTCGAATAATTCAATTTTTGATAAATTGAACTTTAGATTAAAAAAATATAAAAACTTAAGAAAATATATAAGTGAAAGAGGAAAGAAATTAAATTAGATTACAGATGGGGAAATTTGCAAAAAAGGTAACAGTTTGTAAATTCTGAAATTATATATATGTATATATAATAAATTTTTTTTTTTTTTTAAATACCTGTAAGGAACAATATTGGGCCACGAAGAACCTCGACCTTCCTGTTGCTCTATTTCTAATTGTTTAATTAAATCATTTTGTAAACCAATTGCGTCATTTTTTTTCTTTATTTCCAATCCTAATGATCCTGGTTTTGTATTAATAGAAAAAAATTTTACCGTTGGATAATGCATAACTTCATATTCACGACAAATAGGATTGTTATCGTCATTAGCACAGTCTATAACTGCTATTCGAACAATAGTTCTCCAATCTGAAATAAATAAATTGATTTAGAAATAAGATCAACATTTCGATTAATATTTTTTTTTTCAACACATTTCTCTTGACAATTTTCTCAATCACGCTTTATTTTCAATATATTTCCTAAAATTTAATTTAAAGAATAACAGTATTTTTTTTTTTTGCTACAATCACTTTTTTGTTCGTTTATTTTTGAAAAATAACTTTTTTTTGGTATTGAAAAGTCCATATGAAAAATCCCTGTTTGAAAATTAAAATTTATCAATTTAATGTTAAAAATACTTTCTTCAATTAGTTAATATTTTAGGAATATATATATGTAAAATTAGTTGGTTTACAGAATTTGAAAGAAAATTCACTGACTTTTGCACTATTTTTTCCAGATTCATAAAATTTATCAAAGTTTTAAAAAAATTTTATTTTCCATAATTTTTATCAAATAATAAAATAAGAAATACGTATTTTCTTATTTTTTTTTTAAATAAAGATTTCATTCTATAAATTAATATACTGAATGTAATTTAAACTATTTTTTAAGATATTTAAAAAAATTTTTTTGAAGTAATATTGAAAAATAAACCAAAGTCGAGGTTGTCCACTTCACGTAAAATACCCAATATCCCAGTGGAAAAAAATACTAAATCATATATTTATTAATAACATGGTGGCAATATGATAAAAAAAATTTTTTTTTAATGCAATTTTACACGAAATGTAATTATTACATTATCATATTACATTTAGTAAAGATCGAGCCGGTGAAAAAAAATATATAGATATACATAATAAAGAAAATTAATTATTTTTTAATATAAACCTTAATTTTTAATTAAATTTCTAATTATATATAAATATATACTTACTGACAACATTGCTAGCAAATGTTTTCCAAATTGGTGCAAAACGTACACAGTGACCACACCAAGTACTATAAAATTCAACAAACCAGCTGGATTTACTATTGTAAATATATGATTTAAAATTAGTTATATTGAGAATAACTACATGATCACTTTCATTATAAAGTCCTTGATTTTCATTTTCATCTATTTTCCCAACAGCAAATGCATTTACATGTTTTCCAATAAATAAAAATAATAAAAATATTTCAAGTAAAAGTATAAAACAAAACTGTCTCTTCATTTTTCACTTTTATATATACTCTGGTATATTATATATTATATATAACCTCTAAATATATTTGAATATAAATATTTCAAAATATATTTGAACACTGGTTACACGCGATAACTTATATTGAAAAAGCATCTGACACTTGTACTCGTAATAATATTGATATGTCACATGCGTTTAAAGGGACATTGTTCATGTGTATATATAAAAACTTAATTTTTCTCACTTCTTATGCACTTATATCCGAAACGATAACAAATTCACTACACAACCGCAACCGCAGACAATTTATTTTCCAACTATCAGGTGACTCAAGTGATACGTATGACATATATGTAATATGCATCTTTTCATTATTATTCACTAAAAATAATAACTGGGAATTTTTAACAATGGGTTTAATTTAGTAATTATTATTTTGACACATTATTGATAATGCAACTATTTATAATTAGATAATAAATAAATTTAAACATTGTTTATATTTTGCAATGAAACTGAATCTATATGAACTGATTTGTTACTAGTCAAAGGGCAAATGACCCTCTTCTTGATTGTAGATCTTGTAGATATTTGACGCTTGTCTTACATGCCTACGTGTAAATAAGCGGTTTTTAAATTGTGACAGTAATAAAATTTTTATTAGTTTATTTTGAAAATTTTCTATTTGTTTAAATATAAAATTCGTATAAATTTCTATTATATAAATAAATAGTTGTATTTTTAAAATATAGACTCTATTTTTCGGCAAAATTGATCGTAAATTTAAAAACATAACCTCAAAAAATTCGTAAAATTATTTTCAAAAAAATTTAAACAATTTTTTCTTTAATTTCAGTCTTTTTTACTTTTTAGATTGAGACTTTTAATAAAGAGGGGAAAATAATTTATTTTAAGAATCATGTCTGACAAGAAGAGTGTTTTAATGATTTGTTTAGGTATTTAAAAAAATTTATATGTATACAATAATACTGATTTTATTGATAAATATTAAATTTTCAATAATATGTTTTTTTTAAACACATCGCAGCTTTTTTTTTTTTTTAAATATTATCTTTCAAGTATTTTCAACAATATATTTATCTGTAATTAAAAAATGCGTGCTTAAATCATTATTTCTTGTTGACAGGCAATATATGCCGTTCTCCGATAGCGGAAGCAGTATTCGATGATTATATTAAAAAAAATAATTTAGAGGATAAATGGGAGGTAAAGAGTGCGGCATTAATTGGTTATCATACTGGTAAAAGTCCTGATAAACGTGCAATGACAACACTCAAAGAAAAGGGAATTACAACTTATTCTCATGCAGCAAGACCTGTGAGATAAATTTTTAAAAATTTATTTCTATTTATTTTTTTTTTTTTTATTTATTTTAATTTGAAAAAAAAATTATTTTATTTTCAAATAAATTATAAAATTAAATTTGTTTTTATTGATAGATAAAAAAAGAGGATTTTGTAAATTTTGATTGGATTTTTGGTATGGATGAAGAAAATATGGAAGAATTGGATAGAATGAAACCAAAAAATTCTAAAGCAAAAATTGAACTTCTTGGAAAATATGATCCACAGGGAGAAATAATTATAAGAGATCCTTATTATGTGAGTATATTAAATAATTCTTTTTTTTTCTATAAACAATTATTATTGCTTTTGAGAAGTAAAAAAAAAATTTTTTCTTTTACTTTTAGGATAATGGTCGAGCTGGTTTTGAAAAAGCATTCGAACAATGTACAAGAAGTGTTGAGGCATTTTTTAACAAACATAAATTATGATGATTTTATTTAAATTTCTTAATAAATAATTTAAATATTTGTTTTTCATTGAATTTTTTTTTTTTAATTTTAATTACCTTTATTTTTTATTACCGTCAACCGGAGCTATTATTGTACGAAAATCACTTTTTTTTTGTTGCCTTAAAATTTTGACTACGAAAAAATATTTAAAAAAAAAGAAAAAAAGTTTTGATTTTTTATATAAAAAATACGATTTTTTATAAACAATTTAATTTTTTTTTTTAATTCGAGCACGATTTTTTTTTACTTATTTTTATTTATCTGTAAATTCTAAGAATATTTGTCAAAAAATTTTAAAGTGGGCCTGATGATCCTTTTTGTTTAAATAATTTCAAAACGGTTTTTCTTTCTAACAATATATTTCGCTAGAAATTTCTAAACTTTTCACCTCCATGAAGATGGCGTCGACGCTCAGCGTCGAAAATCATTTTTTTTTCACGAGACCAAAAATTTCAAATTATTTTTAAAAAGGTTTTGGGTCCACAATATAACACCTTGAAAATTATTTCTCAAGGCATTATTTGGACTGAAAATCTTGAAAGAAAATAATTTGATATTTTTTGTCCCGTAAAAAACCATTTTTGACGCTGAGCGTCGACGCCAACTTCATGGTGGTCAATTTTCTACAATATTTTTAATATAATTATAAATCAAATAATTTATACAAAATTAAATAATTTATACAAAATTCAATTAAATGAACATTATAAGCACCAAATATTAATGTTTATACAAATATTTTATTATTTAAAGTTCAGGAAAAAATAAATTTTTATTTTTTTTTTAAATAATAATAATTTGAGTTTCAAGTCTCAATTTTGAAGATAATTTTATAATCTTTAAAAAATATAGTGAATAAAAAAATTAGTTTTCGAATAAAGGAAGTTCTTCCCAAATTGCAAAAAGTGAGTCAAAATAAGTATTTATACGTTATATTAGCGTTCAATTGACTTGCGTATTTACAACATTTACAAAAAAAAAAAAAAATGGCGACACAACTAACAGTTTTGGCTGATTTGTTTCCATGAATAAGAAATAATTTTTTATTTTTTGTGGAGTTATGGGTGAATTTCCTTATAGAATTGATTTGAATAAAAGAATATATAAAATAAAATATATTGTTCCTAAAAATTAAAAATTTATCAGTATTTTGTGAACGTGGATTACTTCTTTTTTTTATTATCGAAACATTTTGAAGGTTAAAATTCACGAGATAGCAAATACATCGACTCATATACAGAAATTATTTTGACGTGAGAAATACGACACATATCTAGAATTACAAATAGATAAAAGGTAAGATATAATTTTTAAATAAATGTCACTAAATAAGAGACAAAGAAATATAAACTTTCTTTGTTTTATAATTGTGTTAATAAAAGCGTATTAATGACAATGATAAATTTACGACATGTTTTTGACGAAATTGTAACTAATCAAAAACAACTAAAATCTTTTATATAAATAATATAGGGGGGAATCCACTCCCTCCTCGGAATATTTCATTTGTTAAAAAGAAGTGAATGTTTTTCTTTTTGAAATTGTATTAAAAAGAAATTCCTGATTATCTATACGTGTATAGTCATCACTTCTTTCAATAAACTGTAAGTTTTTTAACAAAGAAATTGTTTCAATTTTTACGCATATTTACATGATAAGTGTCAAATTAGACATGTATGTAAAAACAATATATTTTAACAAAAATTAAAATAACACTTCTACTTTTATTATTATATCATATTTTTATAATGTTAAATATACACAGTGACAGATAATTTCATAGAATATTTTTTTTTAGAAAGCTTAAACAAATCTCAAGTCAAAATTCATTGTGTAAAATTTCATTTAAGAAACAATTTAAATACAATAAAATTTTTTAAATTAGTATATTATCACACTTCTAGCAAATAAGTACAATTTTATTGATATTTTTATTAATAAGTAAAATATTAACAAATACTTTTTTTTTTTATAATCATATTTCAGGCAGATATAACCTCTGCAAGAAATGATTTTGAAAATTGTTTTTAAATGAACATTGTCATTTTAGAATTTAAATTTGTTAATTATAATTAAGAAATGTTGTCTTTAGTTCTTATTGAAATATTTTAATTGTAATTTTTACAATACTTTATAGTTATTAGTGTAGTTTAAATGTATCATTTCAAAAACATATGGATCAATTAATATTTCAGGCAAAGTCGTTGTGGATTATTTTTTGAAAAATAATTTTTATGAAAGATTTTTTATAGCTATACAATACAATATTATTGTACTATTTTATAAAATTTTATATATTTACGTTGGAATTTGAATTTAAAAATTTTTTTTAAAAAAAATCTGTTTTCAAAAGTGAATTTTAAGGTTAGAATGCAAGTAGTTTTGTAAAACAAGCTTCAAATTTTTAATTTTGAAAACAAATTTTTTAAATTCTTAAAAAAATATACACCGCAACACCTTTGAATGGAATAGATTTATTATGAAAATGAAATGAATCCAGATTATTAACCTTTTCTTTTGATTTGTGGATTAGAATAATTGCAGAATAGGCTAGAATAATTCTTTTTTTTACAGCTGCTGCAATTTGCAATTATTTTCGACAGAATTGCAAAATCAAGAGTAAGACTCTTGTTATATCTTAAGTACATCAAAATTTTTTTTTTTTTTGTTTTGTAGTCATAATTTATTGTACTGTATTTCATTACACATATTTTAATTTTTAGTCTGTAATTCTTTACTTTTAAGGTTTATAAAATTGTTATACAAAATTAAATGCAGAAATGTATTTTTTTGCATATAATTTATGCAAATTAATTTATTTATAATTTATAAGTGTATTTTTATTTACATAGGATAATAACTTATTTTTCAAATATTTGTTTTATTAAGTAAAGGATCAGCCTTTAGATTTAATGTCTAATTTTATAGTCAAGGAAAATGTAAATTACAATTTCAGGAATGGAAGAATCAAGAAAAACCATCGATGAAAACTTGGAGTATTAAAAAAAAATTTTTTTGAAGACATTCTACAGTGAAGATATAACATTTTATGCTTTAAGATTTAGTATTTAAGAAAATGTGTCTACATAATAATTTATTTATTTCAAAACTCATTTATTAAGTTTATTATTAATCATAATTGTATTTATATGCTTTATGTATTTATGCTATTTATCGATGAATTCTTCAAAAATTCAATCCACCAATCAAAATTATAAGGTTTTTTTTTTTTTAATATTAAAATTGTAATTTTATTATTTATAAGAGAAAAATCACATCTGATTTTTCTTGAACAAAAATTATTTTTTTTTTTAATTTTCCAAACACTCTTTTATTATTTTTTTCAGGATTCAAAAAAACAAAAAAAAAAAAAGAATGAGTAGCCTTCGTGTAAGAGAACTCGAGAAAAAGGGAATTGTATTCAATATCTCAAAACCTGATTTATCATCAAAAATAATATTACCATATGAGTGTTTTGTTTGTGGATGTAAATTACGCTCAGAAGGAAATGCCATAACACATTCCAATAATCCATATCACATTCAACAATTCAATCGTTTTAATCAATTTTTTAATATTGTCCTGCCATTAAAAAATGGTAAAGTTAAACTTTTATGTAAATTTTGCAACGGTCAACCAACATGGGATGAATCAAAAGAACACATACAAAAACATAATATTGTCTCATGGCTGAAACCAGATAATTTGTCACACACATTCTTTCGACATTTTGTTTCTCAACATCGTAGTACAGTATTCAAATGTAATTTATGTAATTATCTTTATGGCACTTGGTTTCATGCAATTGATCATTTAAAAGATTCGCGACATTTAAAAAATTGGAATCTAACATCTGCATCGACGGCAAAATATACTCACTATGAAAATAGTGATGAACAATTCAATCAATTAATTTGTAATCGCATTTTCATTGGTGATTCAAAATTATATCATTGTCATGTTTGTAATTTGTCATTTAATAATTTTCAAGATACAATTTCACACATTGATAGTATTGAGCACAAAAATCTTCTTCTAAGAGATACAAATTTGATTTTTCAATTTAAATCACAAATTCCCAAACATTTGACATGGCTCACTACTTCAAATATGTTTATTGTTATGAAAGACAAAATTTATTGTAAAATATGTGACGTTTATTTCACCGAACTCTCTGAAATAACACCCCACATGGCAACACATAAAACAGTTCAACAAGAAACTAATCCAAATAAAAATCAACAAAAAGAAATACAAAAAGACTCTCAATCAAAACAAAATTCAATGAACATTAATCAAAAATCAATACCAATATCTCAATGTAAATTAAAAATTCCTCAATATCTTCATTGGGTTATAACTGGTCACAAAGTACTTGTGACACATTTAAATTTATATTGTACAATTTGCAAAAAATTATTAACCAATAACAGCGCTGTTGAATGTCATCTTCAAAAACATTTGGAATCATCATGGCAAAAAGTTCATTTACCAGCTGGTTATCCCACAGAACCTCCACCACCAGGAACAGAAATCTCAAGAACATTAGGAAAATCAAGATGGAATGACATTACAACAGATAATAAATCACCAACTAAAACAGAAACAAACATCACAAGAACATCAGGAAAAACAAGATGGAATGATATTTCTGATAATAATACAAAAATACAAACAATCGACCTAACAGATGACACTAAAGATAATAATTTATCTTTAACGAAATGCAAATTAAAAATTCCCGATAATCTCAAATGGATTATTAATGCACACAATGTGGTTCTAAATGAAAAATATATATATTGTACAATTTGCAAAAAATCCATGTACGACAATACATCAGTGGAAAATCATCTCAAAAAACATCTCAATCCAGCTTGGCAAAAAATTCACTTACCAACGGGTTCAATGGAAAAAATGCAAATAACCGATTCTTCATCATCATCATCATCATCATTATCATCGCCAAGCGTTTCAGGAACAACAAAAAGAACGGCCACCAATTCAATAGACACGGAACAAACAAAAATACAAAAAATCGATTCAATGAATTCAAAATCAACATTCAAAAATGTTGGTAATTCTATACAAATTGTACCACAATCATCGGGAAATTCAGGAAATCATCCTCCAGTTTTATTAACTGCCAATGCATCTAAAATTAAACCACGTCCTTCTATTAATACCAGACCAAATCTCGTCGATTTAATGAAACAAAGTATTCCTTCATTATTGATAAATTCTCTTCCAACACCGCCTATTCAATGGACAACGGAAAATAAATCTAATAGTAATTCCAAAATTAATCAAGACTGTCAAATAACAGTCGAGAAAATTAAGCCTAAACCACCAATGAATTCATTTCCTGTCAGTAAACCCCCAATGAAACCTCTTATTAATCCTTCCACAAATCCAATGGATAAAAATTTCATAAATCAACAATCATCACATTTTAATAATTTTTCTCCAAATCCTGAAACTTTAAATAATTATCCTATGAATCAACAAATTTCAAATAATCATCAACAAACATCGATTAATCAATTAAATTCTGATAATTTTAGAAATCCATTTATTAAATCACTTCAACAATCATCTAATCAAACATTAAAAAGAACACCGCAATTACCATCGCAAAATCATCTTTTAAATACAACAATAATGACAAAATTACATAAAGCAAATTATTTATCATTTACAAAAAATGAAATTTATATAATGTCAATGGAAAAAAAGAGAAAAATAATTCTCAGTTCGTATCTTTCATTTTTTGTTAAATATGCACAGGAATATTTTATTTATTGTGTTGTTTGTGAAAAAAGTATGCCATATAATTTACAAAATATTTATGAACATTGGTGTTCAATGCAACACAATGAATATTTAACAAAACTTGAGGATGATGATAAACAATTTAATAATTATCCAAATCAATTTAGTTGTCTTGCATTGTCAAAAGAATTTATGGTTGACAATCAAAGTTCATCATCTGAATCTGCAACGAATTTAAAATTATTTACATGTTGCGCATGCGATATTACTGTTCCCGATCAGGATGCAATGTTACAACAACATTTTCAATGTGAAAAACATCGAATGAATGTTGAACGTTTTAAAAGACATTCAGAGGAGATTTGTAAGGAAATATTTCCACTTGTTGAAAGTAGTTGGTATTGTATTGAAAAATATTCATGTTGGCCATGTGAAAAATTATTTTCAAGTGAAATATTATTTGCTGAACATTTGGAGAATAAAAAACATTTAAATATATTGCAAGCAATGAATATTGATGAGAGGAAAAATTATTATTTTGATTCTTGTGCTGTTTGTGGATTACTTTGGTTTGGCGATTGTAATGAATATACAAAACATTGTCATCAGGATAATATTCATAAGGATTTGACGAGAAATATTGAAGATAGAATTGATTTTATGCCTGAAGAAGTAAATTATTTATTTAGTTCGTTGGAGAATTTAATTTCAGAATTAATGTCGGAAGTTGATAAAGTACGTTTTGATCAGGGAAAAGAGAGTGAATTAATAAGAAGTCTTGAACTTGCTGTGAGAAGAAAATTTCCTGAAGCCAAAGCCTATCCTTTTGGTTCAAGGGTCACTGGTTTGGGACTCATGAATAGTGACATTGATATTTTTCTCGATTGTGGTAAGTAGCGATTCTCTACATGCAAATAAATTCTACATAAAAAAGAAATTATAAACAACATTGGAAAAAAAAATTTTTATTTGATTCACATAATCGATTATCAAATAAATATTTACTTGGACCGAATAATTTTTATTTGTATCAATAAATTCTGTATTTGAAACAAATATCATTTTAATTGACTCAATAATTATTTAATAGAAATAAATATTTATTTTGATAATAGTCAAGTAACTGATTGTTTGAATAAAATATTTTTCAGAAAATTTTGGAAAATTTATTTTATTTTTTCGAAAAATTTTAATATCTCAGGTATAAAGCTTGAAAAAATATTGGAAATTATTTTCTTCTTTTAATATTTTTTTAAGGGAAGGGAATAGTGTAATTATTTTAATTGAACAAAATTTACATTGTTTTTAGGTGTTTTTTTTCTGGAATTATTTGGGATCTAAAATTATTCTATGCATTAATTAAAAATTTTGAAAAAAAAAATTATTTTCGAATATCTTAGTATTTTTTTTATTTTTTGATAAAGAGAAAATTGTCAAAAATTCATACCATTTGTTTGTTTAAAATCACAAAAAGTGTTTAAAAAAATTAACAATGAAAAATAATATTTTATTATACAAGACAAAATTTGAATTGATTATTTTTCTAAATTTTCAGACTTCTGTGAAATTAATTTAATAACTATAATAAATTTTTTTTTTCCATTTTTTCGAATTTTACTTCAAGACGCTGTGCGCATTATAATTAATTTCCAATTTATTATTTTCTAATGAAAGTATAAAAGTTTAGAATATCCGATTTTTATTTAAATTTTGTAACAAATATTTGAATTTTGTAAAAAAAAAATCCTTTTCTGAATAGAAAAATACGAATTGGCAACAATTTTTGACGTACAAATAATAAATTTTTTGAAATTTTCAGGTGGTTTTTATAATGGAAATTTTGAACAACACATTGATTTAATTGATAAAATTCATCACTGTTTAAAACTTGATTCGCAAGCATGGAGCGTCGAAAGAGTAATTGAGACTAGTAGAACTCCAATAATAAAAGTTTATCACAGTCATTCTCAATTGAAATGTGATGTTTCTTTTTCAAATGGATTAAGCGTTGAAAATACAAAATTATTAAAGTAAGTTTAAATATATATATTTTTTAAATAAAATGCAATAGTAATAAAATAAAAATAAAATAATAAAATTTCTCTATTTTCCATTTTTATTAAATATAATTTACAAAATTACTTTTCATTGAAAAAAAAACCTTTTTGTTAGATGCTACCTTGATGCTTATCCTCAATGCAAGGAAATGATACTTTTCATCAAAAAATGGCTTTCATTATGTCATATGTCAGGATCACGTCACATTACAAATTATGCAATGTCATGGTTTGTGATTTTTTATCTACAAACAAAAAAACTTTTACCTAGTGTTGCTTCTTTGATGAAAGACAATCCCCGTCCAAGATCCATTTTTGGTAAGTTTTTTTAATTTGTCGAAACATTCGCTGATTTATATTTTAATTTGTTTAAAATTAAATTCATACTAATTTTAAACGATACAAATTTTAATTTATTCTAATCAATTTAGAAAATTAAATTAAATTAAATGAATTTTTAATTTATTCTAAATCAACTTCGAATTTAAACTTTAATCAATTGCAATTTTAAATTATAATTAATTCTAAATTTTTAATTTAATTTAGTTAGAATTTTCAATTTGAAGAATTTTATGAGATTTTTATAATTAGTTTTTAGACGAATTTTCATTTTTCGAATAATAAACATAATTTTTTTTAAAAACAAATTTTTACTTAAAAAAAATTTTTAGATACCGAACTTTTATTTGAAAGAATTTTTATTGTACAAAATTTCTTTTTATTCTTCTTTTTATTTAAAAGAATTCTAATTTAACCGAATTTTAGTTTACCATAATTCTCACTCAATAGAATTTTAATTTCTAATTCACTGAATTTTCATTTGTTCGAATTCTTATTTGATATAATTCTTAAAACGACAAATCTTCATTTGTCCGAAATTTCAAACGACCGAATATAATATACAATCAACAGAAATATTTCGGCGCGACTTTTAAAATTGACCAATCAGAAATTATCAAAAAAAAGATCGTGATTGGTAAATTTTAAATACAGCGCCAAAATCTTTCTGTCGATTATTTGTTAGATAAAATTTTTATTTTACAGTCACTTAATTTACCTGATTTTTTATTTAAGAGAATTTTAATTTAACAGAATTCTCTTATTCAATTGAATTTTTAAAATTACAGAAATTCGAATTGACCGAATTTCTATTTGTCCGAACAAATAATCGACAGATAGATTTTGTCACAATTTTTAAAATTGACGAATCACGTTTTTCTTGATAATTTCTAATTGGCCAATTTTAAAAATTTCACCAAAATCTTTTTGTCGATTTTTTGTTCGGACATTTGTAACTTCGGACAAATGAAAATTTAACGTCTTAAAAATTCGTACAAATTAAAATTCGGTGAATTGGAATTTCTGTCATTTAAAAATTCAAATCACATAAAATTCGATTGAATGAGAATTCTGTTAAATTTTAATTTGAAAATTGAAAATTCGTCTGAAAAATAATTATTTGTAATATAAAATACTTTAAAATGAAAATTGTAATGAATAATTTTTATGGAAAATTTATGCGCCCCAAAATAATTTTTTTTTAATTGTAAAATTGTTTTTAAAAATTTAGTAAAATTTAAATTAGTTTTGTTGGTTTAATGTTGATTAAAATTTTAGTTTAATTAGTTTTTTTTTTTTTTTATAATAAAATTTAATATTTAGTTTAAGATAATGCCAAGGTATTGAATCGCCTTTATTATTTTATTATATAAACAAATTGGATATTTTGGAATTATTTTCTTTTTTAGGATGGCCAGTTGGTTGCAGAGAATTCACAGTTTCAAAATCATCACTAGCAATAAAGTCAAGGGAACTCTTGAGAGGATTTTTCTCTTTTTACGCTACATTCGATTATAGATTTAATATAGCGTGTCCACTTTTAGGTGAAATTGTGCCGAAAAAAGAATTTTTACATTTACAATCATTACCAAATGAAATGAAACCATATGTTGAACTTGTATTCAATGAAAGTGATCCCGAATTTTTCCGTATCGATTCGCCAATGTGTATTCAAGATCCCTATGATCTTTCACATAATCTCACAAAGGGTGTGAAAAAAGTTATTGTCAATCGTTTTAGAAAATTGTGCACAAAAAGTATTCGACTTCTTTCATAATGTTTTTAAAAACACTTTATTATTATTATTATTTTTTTTAAAATTATTCTAAGGAAACAATTTTGTTTAAAATTTTCTATTTTAAAATATAATTAAATTATATATTTTTTATTATAACTTTAGTTATTATATATATATATTTCTTAAGACACTGTACGATATTATATTATGAAAAATAATAAATAGTTTGTTAAAAAAAAAATTAATGAACTTGAGAAATGAAAAAACTTTAATGATTTTATTTTGGACAAAAAAAATACAGGCAAAATACGTCATTATGCGTATGTGTCAAATAAAAAATCGGAATACAATATAATATTGTCGTTACCGTAGTAACATTAATAATTATAATTTATTTACACGTTATCATTCAATTCTAAATATTTTCTCTATAACAGTCATTCATCATCAAGCACTCGGAAATTATTGTTTTTTTTTTTTTCATACATACTCAGGAACGTGATTTCTGTAGTTGCACTAAAAAAAAAGAAGTTCACAATATTTCGTTTTAACTCCACTATTCAGTTTTGTCTTTTCAATTCAAAATTTGTTTCTAAATATATATACTATATATAGTTTTTGTAACCACCAGTGGTTTTTTTTGCGTACATTTCAGAACTTGAATTTTGAATACTATATTTTAAATTAATACTAAATTTCAAAAACTATATTCTTAAAATTTCTAGATGGCAAATTAATAGAAAAAAAAATGCACTTTTACTTCTCATTAAGATTAGCAATGATCCTACAAAATGTACAAATTATTTTTAATTCTTTTCTTCCTTCTTTTCTTTATTTTCAGCTTCGCCTTCTGTTTCAGAATTTTGACTTTGACTTTGTCCTCCTTCACGTTCCGCGGCCATCTAAATAAATTGTTTTATTTTTATTAATTTTTAAATTACTTTTAAAAAAATAAATACATTTATTTTTTTTTTAATTTACCTTTTTGTATGCCATTTCGAATAATTTGAGACTTGCTTGTTGAAGTTCATTAACTTGTTTCTTGATTTCTTCAGGATCAGTTTCGTCTTTCTTTGCTAAAGTTTCTCGCATTTTTGTAAGCATTTCCTTCAATTTTTCACACTGTGAATATAATAATAAAGAATTAAAAATAATTTTTTTCTTTATCTTGTAAATATTTACTTTTTTTAAAAAATTCGTTTAATTATTTTAAAAAAATATATATATATATTTATTATTAAAAATATAAAATAATTACCTCTTCCTGTGGCAATTGAGCCTTGAATTCTTCCATTTTAGCCTCAGTGTCGTGAACAATTCCTTCTGCTTGATTAACAGCTTCAACTCGTTCTTTCTTCATTTTGTCTTCCTTGGCATATTGTTCGGCTTTCTTGACCATATTTTCAATTTCGTCCTTACTTAAACCACCACTCGATTGAATTACAACTAAAATATATAATTAGTTAAATTTTAAATAAAACATTAAAAATGTGAAGAAGAAAAATTCTTTTTTTTTTTTTCGCTAATAACTTACTTTGTTGTTCTTTGCCAGTTCCTTTGTCTCTAGCGGAAACATGAACAATACCATTAGCATCAATGTCAAAAGTGACTTCAATTTGTGGTACTCCTCTTGGCGCTGGTGGAATTCCAATAAGGCTAAATTGTCCTAAAAGTTTATTGTCATTTGCCATTTCACGTTCACCTTGATGAACTTTGATTTCTACTTGAGTCTGTCCATCAGCTGCAGTTGAAAACACTTGACTCTTTTTGGTGGGAATTGTTGTATTACGCGTAATTAATCTTGTGAAAACTCCGCCCAACGTTTCGATACCTACAAAATTTTAATGTTAATAATAATAGGCCTTAGATTTGATGGTCACTCTGAAAATTTATATCGATATACTTAAAAATAAAAATTATTTTCACAAAATATACAAACCAAGAGAAAGGGGTGTAACATCAAGAAGTAGAACATCAGTAACGTCTCCTGCAAGAACGCCACCTTGAATTGCAGCTCCCACAGCAACAGCCTCATCTGGATTAACAGCCTTTGATGGTTGTCTACCAAAAATATCCTGAACAGTTTGTTGCACTTTTGGCACTCGAGTCATTCCACCCACCAAAAGTACATCACCAATATCAGATTTAGCAACTTCTGCGTCTGATAAAGCCTTTTGGCATGGTTGAATTGTTCTTTTAATTAAATCACCAACAAGACTTTCGAATTTGCTTCTCGACAATTTCAAATTCAAATGTTTAGGACCACTTGAATCCATTGTAAGATATGGCAAATTAATATCAGTTTGCAATGAACTTGACAATTCGATTTTTGCTTTCTCCGAAGCTTCCTTCAATCGTTGCATTGCCATTGCATCTTTGGTAACATCGATTCCTTGCTAAAAAAAAAATAATTAACAATTTTTACTTTTTTCAATTTTTTTATTATTTTAATTATTAAATTTTCATTTCAAGAAAACTTACGTCTTTCTTAAATTCGGCAACTAAATAATTAACTAATGCATTATCAAAATCTTCTCCACCCAAAAATGTATCGCCATTCGTTGATTTGACTTCGAATACTCCTTTTTGAATTTCCAAAATTGAAACATCAAAGGTACCGCCACCCAAATCATAAACAGCAATACTGAAATAATTTTTTTTTTTAATTAATCATCTTAAAAAAAAGAAAAAGAAACAAAAAATTGATAATATATTTTAAAATAAATATATTTACATTTTATCCTCGGTTTTATCCATTCCGTAGGCAAGTGCAGCAGCAGTTGGTTCATTAATAACACGCAAAACATTAAGACCTGAAATTTGTCCAGCATCCTTTGTCGCTTGTCTTTGAGAATCATTAAAATAAGCAGGCACTGTAATCACGGCATTTTTAACTGGTGTATTCAAATAAGCTTCGGCAGTTTCTTTCATTTTTGTAAGAACAAATGCCCCAATTTGACTTGGAGAATACATTTTTCCATCACCACCTTGAATCCATGCATCACCATTCGAGGCTTTTACAATTTTATAAGACACCATTTTCCTATGATTAAAAATTTAGAAAAAAAAAGAGGTTAAATAATATAAAAACAATTATTTTGCCGCATTTATTTTCTTTAACCCTTTAAGGACCAGTGTTTTTAAAACGGAATATTGAAACAATATTTTTCATTTAATCTAGTAAATTTTCAATTTCAAACTCTGGTTTTTAGACAAGAAACTTTAATTAGTTTCTCAGAAAAATTTGTTTAAAAATAAAAAATTTGGTCTTCAAAGGATTAAGAAAACAAAAAAAAAACAGTATAAAATCAAATAAAATGGAAAGAAAACTTACATATCTTTTTTAACTTCTGCATCTTCAAATTTACGTCCTATAAGACGTTTTGTGGCATAAAAAGTATTTGATGAATTCGTTACTGCTTGACGTTTTGCTGGCATTCCAACCAGTCGTTCTCCTTCTACAAATTTTAATTATTTTTTACTTTTATATTATAAATATTTATTTCCCACAGTGAATTTATAAAAATTTTTGTGACGTCGATATCAAAATTATTGAATTTTTATTTAACTGAATTTTTATTCAGTAGAATTTAGAAAATTAAACTGCATTTTTTTAAATGTAAAATTCTCTAATTCACTAAATTTTGATTTAATTGAATTTTAATTTAAACAAATTTTGAGATAATTAAATTTATAGTTAAGAAAAAATAAATTTTTTCAATTTCCCTGGCAAAAAAATGGTTATTAAATTAAATGAATTTTATTTTTAGAAAAATGTAATAATTTGAAATTAAAAAAAGCTTGTTTCACTTTTTACTAGAGCAGAAAATTAGAGAATAATTAGAGAATAATAGAGTAAATTATTTACAGAAAAACTAATTTATAATTAATTATCTAAAATCTACTAATTTGTATCTAATAAATTTTTTTAAATTCGAATCATTTGAAACTTAAATCAATTAAAATTTAGATAATTTGAAAATGAAATAAATTAAAATTTGGATAATTTTTTAAACTTAAATCAAATTTTTCTTTAAAAATAGGTGACAACCTTCGATCCCTTTTAGAGGAAATTATAGAGAAATGATAAAATCATATAAAAGAAAACCCTTTTTGATAAATATGCTTTTCAGCTGTTTTAAAAAAAATTTAATTCATTTAAAAACTATTTTAATTTATTTCAATAAATTTATTGAATGAAGAAAAAATTTGATTCAATGAACTTAATATGTATTTCAGTTAAATAAACACCTAGTTAATTGGTTATCAAAATTTTTCTTGACTATAACAATTGAAAAATTTTAAAAGTAAAAAAGGGGAGAATAATTATAATTTTAAATGATTCTTTTGAAAAAAAAGAGAACTGCAGGTCTCGGATCGACTTAAAGGCACAAAAAAAGTCGTTTTAGTCGATTTATATTACAAAAAAAGTCGAAAAAGTCGATTCTTTTTATTTTAACAAAAACATTTTACAGATTTTTAAATAATTTTTTTTTTTTTTTTAATAATAATACTTTTGGAAGGGTTAAAGTTGAAATTTTTAGAAATAATTGAATTCAAAAGATTTTGTTAATTTTCAGACAATAATTAAATTTTACAGAACTAAAAATAATTTATCAAATAATTTTAGATAAAATTTTTTAAATGTAATTAAATTTTCAAAGATTTACAATTGAGATTTTTGAAATTAATTGAACTTCAAGTGATTTTTAATTAAAAAAATTTTTTTTTTTCACTAAAAAATTTATTAGACACTGCAGACAAAAATACAATAATTTGAAAACCATTTTTAATTGAAAAATGGTTTCAGATAGTTGAATTTTCAAAGAATATTATAAAAATAGTTAAAAATAATTGAATTTCCTTAGAGTTATAATTGAAATAGTTAAATTTCAAAAATTTTTAGAAATAATTTAAATTTTAGAAGCTTTTAAATTCAAATTTTTGAAAATAATTGAATTATAATTGAAATTTTTGATAATAATTCAATTTTAGTTGATTTTTGATTGAAAATTTGAATAATAAATAATATTGAGTTGAAATTTTTGAGAATAATTGAATTTTAGTTGATTTTTAATTGAAAATTTTGAAAATAATTGAATTTTCTTTGATTTTGAATTGAAATTTTGGGAAATAATTGAATTTTAATGGAAATTTTGATTGAAAATTTTGATAATAATTAATTTTGAATTGAAATTTTGGATAATCATTGAATTTTAATTGATTTTGAATTGAAATTTTGGGTAATAGTTGAATTTTATTTGATTTTAAATCGAAAATTTGGAAAATAATTGAATTTTTAAAGATTTTGAATTTAAATTTTGGAAAATAATTGAATTTCAATTGAAATGTTGGATAATAATTTAATTTTAGTTGATTTTTGATTGAAAATTTTGATAATAATTAATTTTGAATTTATATTTTGGGTAACAATTGAATTTTAGCTGATTTTTAATGGAAATTTTTGAAAATAATTCAATTTTATTTGATTTTAAATTGATTTATGATTTTGATTTAAAAATTTTTTGTAATTTTATTTGATATTTTTTTAAAATTATAAATAATTGTTAAATTTTATAAAAATTTTACTTGAAAAATAATTTGAAATAATTGAATTTGTGATGAATTTCATTAAAATTATTAAAAATAATTAATTTAGTGAAGAATTTTAGTTAAAAATTTGTTAAATAATTGAAATAAAGAAGATCTAAAGGAGATCTGCATTTTATACTAAAAAAAATATATTTTATTTAAAAAAACTTTTTTAAAAATGTAAAAAAAAGTCGAAATAGTCGCATTTTATTAAAATAAGTCAAAAAAAGTCGGAAATAGTCGAAAAAGTCATATAATCCGAGGCCTGGAACTGTGATTCCTGATATTTCAAAACTATTTATCAGTTGAACTAAATAAAACCGATAACATTCTAGGCAATATATTTAAATATTTCCCTTTAGTGAAAAAATAATTTATACTCAAATAAATAATAAAATTACATTGAATTTTATTAAAAAAATTTATTTTTTAATTTCAATTTAAATTATTCTTTGATTTAAATAATAATTTAAATATAAATGACCATTTGGTTGAAATCTATGTAGCCCTGACTAAAGATTTGTATGCATTACGTAATACAAAGTTTAGAGCGCCTTTCCCACTTAGTTTGTATTACGTAAAACATATTTGGGCCCTATCAAGAGAGAAAAAAAGAGATAAATACAAACCTTTGGTAAAAGCAACATAAGATGGTGTTGTTCTTGATCCTTCAGCATTTTCAATAACTTTTGGATGCTTACTTTCCATACAAGCAACACAGGAAAATGTTGTTCCAAGATCTATACCTATAACTGCTCCCTTCACTCCTTCAGATCTATTTAGATCAAATTTATAAAGATTAATTTAGAAAAAAAAACTCAAAATATTCAAATAATAATTACAATTATAATAATATTATTACTTAAATAAAATTTTTCGCAAATGATTTTGGTGGCTTTTGACAAAATAGAAAAAATATTCAATTATAAATATTAATTTATATTTAATATTCTATTTTGAAAATAAATAAATAATACTTACTTATATCGATATTGATTAATTTCGCTATTCTTTTGTGGAAAAGCAACCATTGGAGCAATTCCCTGAAAAATTAATTATTTTTTAAATAAAATTAATTGAAAATTTTTTTATTCGAAATATCAAGAAATTTTAAAGACAAACATTAAATCACTTTTTCCAAATAAGCATTTTATTTTGACAAAATGTTTTACAAACTTGCAAAATTATGTCATTTGGTAAAATTAAAATAAAAATAGAATAAATAAATATATTTGAGAACCACGTGCTTGTTATATTCATAAATTTCTTATTGTTAAAATACAAAGATTTTTAAGAGGTTAGGAAAAAAACTATAAATTTAAAGGAAAAATATTTCAATTATCTAATTAAAGTAATCAAATTTTATTTATATAACAAAAAAAAAATAAAAAAGCAGCTCTTATATCTCATTAAACTTACATTTCTTAGAATGGTGCTAAATTCTTGTCGCCTTGTAATATTGGCAGTGACACCGGTACATCCTCGAGTAAGAATTCGTGCAGCGGACAACATTTTCTAATACTTTTAAAAAATTTCGTTTTAACTAAACTTTGATTAAAAAATAATTTAATATTTCCGATTTATTAATTTATTCTTTTAATAAAAAAAAAAAACCCACAGTTAACTTTTGTAGCGCAACTCCACGTGCAATGATGCAAGAAGAAAGAAAATTCGTCTGTTTCAGAGACAGTTCCAAATAAAACCGTTAGGTGCGTTAGTGTTCCAAGTTTTACAAAATAGCAGAGAAAATTCTAGAATGTTCTTGAAAATATTTTCCCAAAAAAAAAAACAAAAAAAAAATACAAACGTTGTAAATACACGTAAAAAGTAAGATTTCTTAAATATTAAAAAAAAAACAATAATTTATTATACTGAAAACAGAAAACATATGTAAAATGTAATTTCAAAATCTAAAAAAAATTCTAAATGCTTTTTTTATATATCTGTAAATTCGCGGTAAATTTTAATTGGTGGTCACAACTAATAAGGTTCACAAAATAATGAAAATGTTAAAAAATAGCATTGCGCACTTTGATAACGCATATTTTTATTATTCGATTTCATTTTCTTTCTTATTGGCGCCAACTTTAACTTCCGCTTCATTTCCAATGGCGTAGCCATGCACAAAAGGGCCTTCGTTAAAAAATACAATAATAAAAAAAATTTTCAACATTTTCACTAATTTCAATATTTATATTTAAAACAAATAAAAATTTTAATTAAAAAAAACAATAAACTAATAGTAATAATATTATCATTGATAAAAATGGGAATTTTTAAAGAAAATTAAATGCGTGGGAGGGATAATTATGACGTTAAGGGTCAGAACCAGAAATACCAACGTAATATCCGCTTTTAGTACAAGTTTTCTCTATTGTGTAAAATAACAAATTGGTTGGTATTCCTTTTTTGATTCACCCCTTCCATATTTGAGCACTATTGATTGAATATATCATTCTATAAACATTATATTGCAATAATATAATTATTTAAATTATTTATTAAGTTTTATTTTTTTTATAATCTATTTAAAAATTAAAATCTATCTAAAATAAACGATGATTATAATTAAAATTTTTTTTAACATAATGTTTGTTACTAAAGAAGTCTTGTGATTTTATTTTTGTCTTTTTCAATTCTCTACATTTTATATAGGTTATGTGAATAGTATTTTGTTTATTTCTCCCTTTCTCCTTAAATTTCAATGTGAATTTTTTGAACTTTAAGGTTATGCTAACATATACTCTATATATACATCTATTTATAGTACACATACATATACATAGGCGGCGTATAGGCGGTATAAATCGCAAAATAGGCCAACCACAGGCCAGTATAGGCCTGACTGATAAGCAGATGGTGAAAGCCGGTGCCGCCATCTTGTTCTAATGTGGTAAATGCACAATAATGCAGTCGTAGCGAGATTTTCGTTACGTCCTGTCTACTTTAATATACATTCATCAGTTCTTATTTTTAAATAACTGTTCAGTGTTTTGTGAAAATCATAGAAACTTTTGTGCGATACTGTATAGTGAAATAAATCTCAGAGACAGGTAAAATGAATTATATATGACAATTTATGAGACAAACTTTTATATATGTTTATCGTTTTTCTTTTTTTTTTTTCGCTAACAATTTTGAAAATTAAATTAGTGACTAAAATTTATTTTAAAAAATTAATTTCAATTATACGACTTTTTAAAGAAAAAGATATTTTTCATAAAAAAAAATAAGAGCGCGTGTTTTCTATGGCGTAAAGGCTCTCAATATTTATGCATTGGCGTATGTAACAAAACTTTCCTTTTAGGTTAAGTTACTATAATAAATTTTTGTTGACTTTTTTTTGAAAGATAATAAATTGTTTTTGTTTACATAATAATTTATTGTTAATAATACAAGTAAGTAGTATTGTTAAAGTAAACTTATTTTTATCTTTATGAAAATGTAAAAAACTTGTCTGACGGGTTGCCTATATATGAACGCACACACCCTTTATCAACAAAATAAATATAAATAGTTTTTTTTTTAAGTTTATTATATTGTGATAGTTGGTAGCACTTTTTTTTCTTATTTACAATGTTTTATTTGTTAATTATTTGTTTTTTCGAAATATTTTTATATTAGATATTTTTGCCAGACAACATAACCTTAAAATTTTTTTTTCTTTTGACAAATCTCAATTAGCCTATATGCTCATTTAAATCTAATAAAAAGAGAAATAGTTTTTATTATATTTTCTACTGAATTAGTTCCTGTACAAGAATATCTCATTTAATGTATATAACAAAGAAGAGATCAAAGTCTAAATTGGAAAATAATAATTGTGCCCCCTAGTTGTGGCTTCGGAAAGTAATAAAAATAAATTGTTTTTAATAAGTAAAAAAATTTTAATTAGTTATTTTTGTATATAATAAAAATTAATTGAAATTGATTGTTTTATGTATTTAAATATATAATTCATATAAATCAATCAACTACCATTTGAATCAACTTTTTGTAACTTTAAAGCCTAATCTAGACTTATATATTGCTCTTCGGTCAGCGATTTTATAAAACAATTGAATTAATGAATTAAATTGTATCTTTTTTTTAAAGTTGCCCGTGGTGGTATTTCAATAAATAATTTTAACCATGATATTTTATAATTACATAATTTTTAGTTTTATTGCTTTTATTCCCTCAAAATTTTCCTAATACTTTGCATTTATTGACGTCACTATTTTGACTCCGCTTAGCGTCGAATTAGCGTTAGTGGTAGAATTCGGCTCTCCGATAATTTCAATTTAATAAATTCAATTCTGTTAGGGTAATTACAATTTTTTAATTATATAATTATTTAAATTGATTAAATTTATTTTTATATAAAATTATAAATTAATTTTTTATTATTTTATTAATTATTTATTATACATAAAAATGTAAATTACCAATAAATATTATAAATTAATTATATTGTTAATTAATTATTTATTAATTATTTATTTATATAAAGTGTAATTAAATAAAAATTGTTTATAGAAGCCAACGTTATGCCGAAGGCTCGATTAATAACCCGATCAGTGACAATGGTTCGCCCACCAGATATGACGTTAAATTTGGAATGTGTAGAAGAGCCATTGAGCGATGCTCAATTAAGTTTTCGTTCAAAATATAAAGAAAATTTTGATTCGGTAAGTTTTGAAAATTTCTTTAAGGGCAGTTCATTGTTGTGATATGTATTTTTTTTTCATAAAAGCTGACAATATATCAAAAGTATCACAACTGTAATCTCCCCTTAAAAATATGTAAAAAAAAAAAAAAGATTAAAAAAATATTAAGTTATATATTGAAAAAAATTTTTAGGTTTCTAAAACCTTAGAAGAATTAGTAAAAGAACGCGGTGGTAAACTTATTCATCAAGCAGGTGTTGTTTCTGGATACGAATATAAATTGTAAGTATTTGTATTTTATTTAAATACTAATTACTGAAATTTTGCATTATTGATAAAATTTCAAAATTCTTGAATACATAATTTTTTTTTTTGTTTTAAATTAACAGACCGAGTAGTGCTCCTATTCCAACAACAGTTACAACTAATGCACAAGCTCAAGTACTCAGTGTTGTAAGTAAAATTGTATTATTTTTTGCAAAAAATTCACATGAATAAGTTTTGAAAGTAATTTGTTAGAATTTTCATTTCACAGAATATAATTTCAAAGAATATTTTTCCTTCCAGTAAGAATATTCGAAAGAATTATTTTCTAACTGAATTTACATTTTAAAGGAATTTTTAAAATAACGATTTTTTATTTTACAGAACTTTCATTTGTCCGAATTAAATTTTATAGAATTTTTAAAATGCAAAAATTTTTATTTTAAAAAACTGAAATAAATATCGGGCAGAAAAAAATTCGGCACTAATTTTAAAAATAACCAATCAAAATTTATCAATGAAATTATAATTTGTTGATTTATAAATTTGAGCACAAATTTTTCTACCAGATATTTATTTGGACAAATGAAAGTTGTATAAATAAAAATTCGGCTACAAAAATCTATTCTTTCTAATATTTTTTCTGTGTAATAAAAATAAATTAAAATAATAATTTTGTCAAATACAAATTGTATGAAATAAAAATTCTGTGTAAAATTCATTTAATTGACAATTCTATAATATTGAAATTCGATTAAATGGAATTACTATTAAATAATAAATCGAACAAATAAAAATTCGGCTAAAAGTAAATTCTAGGAAATGAAAATTCTAATAAATTAATTTTAGAGCTTATTAATGACTCTCAATATTCAATTACAAGAACAAATTTACAATGGTTTAAAAAAAATTTTCAAACATTAATCGATAAAGTAGATAATTTTCTAATTAAAAAAATAAAAATGTTTTTAAATAATATACTAAAAATAAAATTTTACAGAATCATGCAATACAAAATAAGGCTCAACCGATAAAATTAAGTATGATAAGCAATGCGGCAGCTGGTCAAGGAAATTTACAATTAGTGATGGATCCTCGAATGGGAGTAATATTGGGAACAGTTGCTACTCAACCAGGTAAAGTAAATTTAAATATTATTATTATTTTCTTTTGCTTTTGATGAATTTTAATGTTTAGAATTAGTAGAAAATTTTTTATTTCAATTACAGGTACAACAACAGCTACATCTATATCGACTAGTAATCCGCAACTACAATCTGAAAATGTAAGTAATTTAATTATTAAAAATTACATACATATATATTAAAATTAAATTAATGCAATAATTGTCCAGTGTTTTTTTCCAGATATCTAATATTTAATAAGAACACTGTTTTGTTTAAAGATGTTGTTTACATATTGAAATTTAATTAAAAATTTAACAAATGATTTTCTCTTTTATTTTATTTAGTACAAAACTGTTCCATTAAGAACTACCATGCGTCCAAGAACAAAAGTTATTCCAATTTCACAACCTGATATCATTGAAGAGGTAAGTTTTTATTTATAATCAAAATAGTATATTATTATAATAATGGAAATAAATTATATTAATATATTTAATTTTTTTTTTTAGCAACCAGTCCAAACTCAAACAAGAAATCGATCACGTCCAACGCCTGCGACTCATGCTGCGCCAGGTAAGTTTATAATCATCAATTTTTTTTTTTCATTAAGCGCAAGGGATCATCGAAAAGAATTTCAATCTATTGAAATTTATATTGTTTTATTTTTAAAAATTTATTTTACACAATATTGTAGAGAATTTAAAATTATGCTACATTGGGAAAAAAATAAGAGAAAACAATTTAGTAAGTTAATTTATTTTTTAATTTAGAACTCAAAATTTTGGAAAAATAAATATTTAATTAAATTTTAATTGATCCAAAATTTCAATTCAATTTCAAGTGATTTAAATTTTAATCAATTTTAATTTTTATTGGTGAAAATAAATTTGTTAATTAAAATTTTAATCAAATGCAAATTCAATGGATCAAAAGTTAAAGTTAATTAAATTATAATTAATTATAATTATATATAATTTAAGTTTTAATTTGTCCAAAATCTAATTGATTTAAATTTAAAATTATCTGAATTTCGATTTATCCAAATTTGTCAGTAAATTTATTCTTGAAAAATTGTATATTTAGGAATATTAATACACTGGCACTAAACTTCGATTTTATTTTATACAAAATTTTCAATCTATCAAGTATTTTTTAAGTCTTTAAACAATAGTACAATAATTTAATTAGGAAATACAAAATTTTATTTACATTATATATATTTTTTTAATTATTAATTTTATTTAACAAAATATTTCTTTAAAGTTACAACCAATGCACCAAGTACTCAAAATGTTAGAGTCAAAACCGTTGCTAAACAATTATCAACGCCCGTTGCACAACATCCAGCAAGACCTACTGAAGACACAAGTATTGGTGGAATTGCAGTTAACAGCAAAAATGCTGGTAAGTGTAAATTATCATTATTATTAATTACAATTTTAAAAATTAGTACATTACAATTATTTACTGTTAAACATATATGTACTAACAGTTTGGAATAATATTTTAATTCCATATTTAAATCAATTATTAATGTATTTCTCTCAATTATTGCGCATGAAATTTAATACAATTTTTTTAAGTGTCAATCCAATAGCTCTTTTTTATTTTAACTATATTTACGTAAGCAAACTGACTTTAAAAAAAAACAATAAAATATTAAATGCATATTATGTACATATTTAAAGAATCGATCTTTCATTAAAAAAAAAAAAAAAAAATGTGGATTGGCTTAAATTTAGAATTGTCATTTAAAAAGTAATAAAAAAAATTCATTTGCATATTTTTTATATTTTGCTTAACCTTGAAGAATTTTGTGAAATATCAAGTAAGTTTAAAATTTTCATAAAAAAATTTCATGCTGTTTTGTTGTTAAATATAAAAAATTCAATTTTTTATGTACATAAATATTTAGAAATTAATTTGATTTGATTCTTTTTGTACAGTTGGCGATCATATTGAAGAATCAAAGAAACATTTACCTGACGGTAGAGAAATAACGTTTAATAAAATAAATGGAGGACGTACTTTTCCATCGTTGGTCGTTGTTGCGAGACCAAATCTTTGTACGAAAACTGTGACACCACAAGTTGCACAAAAAGAAAGAGGCGAATTAGGTAATTTTATTATTTCTAATACATACTTAATGATATTAATACAAAATAAATAATGAAAATTTCATATTTTCTTAAAATCAAATAAAATGGGATTTATTTAAAAGTTAATAAAAAAAAAAATTGGTTGATTGACACCTTTAAACCAACTTCACATGAATTCATGAATTTTTTAAAATTTTTTTAGCAAGCCGTTTTCGATTTATGGAATTTTGAAAATTGGAGAATTTTCAAGACTTTTAATTTTTGAATACTCATAACTTCCTTAAAAATGCATCAATTTTAAAAGTCATTTTTTTTTAAATATGTGTTTTTAAACGTACTTTTAAAAAAAAATCGAAATTTTTTTAAAACGATATTACTATCAAATTTTTGAGTTTTAATGATAAAAAGTCATTTTCCTCATTTGAAGTACTGATTGATTTTTTTCAAAATTTTTTCAAAAAAACTACTTCTTTTTACGAAACTTTTATGCCTAGCCCGATAATGGGCAAACGATTTTTACAATATTTTCGGAATTTTTCAAAAATTTTAGAATTTTCAATTTTTTAAAAATATTTTTGGTTTTTTTTATACTATTTTTTTCATACTACTATGCGCTGATTACGAAAATCATAGTGACAATACCCAAAAATTTGATTTTTATGATGAAAGCCATAAAAAAAAGTGACAAAATTTATGGTTTTTTTCGTTTATTGGGTAAAATATGCAAAATTTAAAAAAAAATTCAAACAAAAGTTATAGGTCTTATTAAAGTACATTTTTTTATCTTATGAATTTTTTTTAAATTTGCATATTTTACCCAATAAACGAAAAAAAAACGGGACGCATTAATAAGCTCTAAAACAAATTTGTTAGAAGTTACATTTGATAGAATTTTAATCAGCAGAATATTAATTTGCCAGAAAGTCAATATTATTGAATTTTATTTGGGAAGAAAATCAATTTGATCGAATTTTAATTTGACAGAAATTCAATTTCACCGAATTTAAATTTTCCCGAAACGTTGTTTTTATAGAATATACTAATAGTGCAGAAAAACAATTGACGGAAATCTACTTTACGAGAATGTATATTTGTTCGAATATTAATTTCTCCGAAAGATAATTTGACCGAAAATTAATTTGTCAAAATTCCAATTTGATCGAATTTTAATTTGCCAGAAAGTCAATTTTATCGAATTTTAATTTGTCAGAAAATCAATTTTATCGAAATTTATATTGTGCGGAACGTTTTTTCATAGAATCTTAATTTAGCAGAAAGGTAATTTAATAGAATCCTAATATACCAGAATATTTGTTCGAACATTAATTTGCCAGAAACTCAATTTCACCGAAAATCAATTTGACCGAAATATTTTGGCGCTAATTTTAAATTTAACCTATCAGAATTTTCTTCATAATTTCCTATTGGTTAATTTTAAAATTAGCGCCGAAATATTTCAGTCAAATTAATTTTCGGTCAAATTATCTTTCTGGGAAATTAATATTCGAACAAATATATATTCTGGTAAAGTAGATTTCCGTCAAATTGTTTTTCTGCACTAATAGTATATTCTATAAAAACAACGTTTCGGGAAAATTTAAATTCGGTGAAATTGAATTTCTGGCAAATTAAAATTCGACCAAATTGAATTTCTGTCAAATTAAAATTCGATCAAATTGATTTTCTTCCCAATTAAAATTCAATAATATTAATTCAATATATTCAATTAATATTCTGCTGATTAAAATTCTATCAAATGTAACTTCTAAAAACTTTGTTTTAGAGCTTATTCATGCGTTTCTTTTTTTTTTTCATTTATTGAGTAAAATATGCAAAATTAAAAAAAATCCATAAGATATAAAAAATGTATTTCAATAAGATCTATAACTTTTGTTTCAAAGTTTTTTTTTAATTTTGCATGTTTTACCCAATAAACGAAAAAAAACATAAATTTTGTTACTTTTTTTATGGTTTTCACCGTAAAAATCAAATTTTTGGGTATTGTCACTATGATTTTCGTAATCAGCGCATCAAAATACATAAAAGTACGTAGTATAAAAAAAAAACCCGAAAATATTTTTTAAAAAATCAAAATTCAAAAATTTTTGAAAAATTCCGAAAATATTGTAAAAATCGTTTGCCCATTATCGGGCTAGGCATAAAAGTTTTGTAAAAAGAACTTTTATCATTAAAACTCAAAAATTTGATAGTAATATCGTTTTAAAAAAATTTCGATTTTTTTTTAAAGTACGTTTAAAAACACACATTTTAAAAAAAATGATTTTTAAAATTGATGCATTTTTAAGGAAGTTATGAGCATTCAAAAATTAAAAGTCATGAAAATTCTCCAATTTTCAAAATTCCATAACTCGAAAACGGCTTGCTAAAAAAAATTTGAAAAAATTCATGGAAACTAGTCTCAATTAGTACTAAAAGAAGAAAAAAATCTCAAAAAAATCGGAGATGCAATTGCAGATGGACTTACACTTTGACGTGGAATACATCATATATATATATATAATTATTATATTTAATAATTAAATAATTAATATAAAAATTATAATTTGACATTTTTCTCTAACAGATTTACAAGTTAAAAGTGTATTGATGTTATCGGCAACAAAATTCGCCGAATGGTTGATTCAACAAGGTTTAGTGAGATCGGAACAATATTGTACGCAGCATAGTACAAATTATCAAAAAGTGAAACTAAAACTTGGAATGTACAGTGATACTGGCACTTTTCCTTATTCTGGAGGATACGTTTGGGTTTCGAGTTGTTGTCCAGATCGTTTTGTCTCTGTTTTTTCCGGTTCAATATTTCAAGGTGCACCACATCAACCGACAATTCTTTTAAAATTAATCTATCATTGGGCTTGTCAAACGAACATTCAAAATGTCGTTTCTTGGGTAAAAGTGGGCAATGTTTATGTGAAAAATTTCTACACAACTCTTCGTAGTATTTGTACGGCTGCAGTTTGGGACAAATGTACAATAATGGGTGGAAAAAATTCAATGATTCAAGTTGGTGTCATTAGTCTTGGCACTACATCTCAAGATGGAAATTTACGTCAGGTTTGTGTCAATTTTTTTGCATTTTTTCAGAACCTGAAATTAAATTTTTTTTTATGAAAAATAAAAAAAAGTAATTTTTAACTATTTTACAAATTTTTAGAAATTAATTTTGAATAGAATTTTTTTTGTTAAATTTTAAAGGTAAAAGTTGAAGTCTTGGGTGTATTGAATCCAGAAACATCGGAATTAAGATTAAGAGCCTGTGAACCTGTGATTGAAGGTGAAAGATCATATAAACGTCGATTTAATAATATTCTAAATCCATTGAAGGATTGGGTTCATAAGGATTCAACTATTTTGACTGATTTCACTGTTGATAAAAGTACACTTCAAGAAATGGGTTTCACTAATGTTACACAATCGGCATTTAGCGAACAAACACCACGAAATACAACGAGCAATTATCATATTATGGAATATTTGCGAAAAATTGTACCGAGAATGTTTCAAAATACACTTAGTTTACTGAGTAGACAAATGATTCAACAATTTCTTGATGAATTGGTTTGGAGGGAAATATTTGGTGCAACCGCTGCAAAAGGTTTTGAAAATATTATTCGTCATATTGCTGAACAAACAAGATTGGACACAAGTAAGTTTGAATAAAAATTCATTTTTAAAAAAAAATTATTATATTTATAATTTTACATTATTTGTGTTGAAAATAAAATTTGTTTATTATTCATTCACAAATGAAATTTTTTTTTAGCTGAGGGTCTTTTAGATCGATTGACAAAAATCTCGGCTAATCCATTTAATGATTGGTCCTATTCTAATGCAAATCCACCGCCACTTGCTCCTATGGTGACAATTCCAAAGGAACCAAACTCTGATACACATTCAAAGCAAAATGAAAAATATACAAATCAAACTAATAAGAGAAATAGAAAGAGGGCATGGCAAACAAGAAGTCCTGAACCAGAGAGTAAACGTCGTACACCTGATTTTTCAGCGTTTGATAAGGAAAATAAAATTGGAGAAAAAGTACAACTTCAGGAATTTTATTATGCGACAATGGATGGAAACAAAGCTCACTCGCCAAAAGAGCATAAGAACGCATTTTTATTCAAGGTTTCTTGTTATTCAATTAATTATTTTTATTTTATTGAGTTTCAAAATTTTTGTTTTTTAATTTTGCTAAATTAAAATTCACAAAATAATAAAATTTAAGCTAATTTTTCTTTTGTAATAATTTCCGATGTTTTTATTCTAGTGTTTCTTGTGTAACGCAACAATGAGAAGTAACAGCGAAGTTATGGAACATATGATAAGTCATGTTCCACGTCAAGTTCCTGGTCAATCAGATTCACCAGTTTGTAGATATTGCTGCAGTGCTTTCTCTTCTCAACACCAGATTGCTATTCACGTCACCGAAACACATAGTAATTTTGGTCACTCGGATAGCGATATGGTTGTTTGCGCAATATGCGAGCATAAATTCGGTAAAAAAAAAAATTTCCTTTTTAAAATGAATGAATTTTTGAAAAAAATTTAAATCTTTAATATATTTTTTCTTTTTTTTTTATCAACAGGAAATAGTTCTTTGCTGATCAATCATTTATCATTGACGCATTATCCATCGGAAATGCCTTATCGTTGTGAAACTTGCGGATATCGTACGTCCAGTCATAAAGATGTTATTGATCATTACTACAAAGTTCATGAAAATGGCGAAGGTTTACAATGTCCTTACTGTTTGAAGGTAAATAAATTGAAAATTGTATTTTTAATATTTTAACTTAGAATTGTATTTATTTAAAATTATGCAGTCAATTCGATTTATATTGATAATTAACTTATTTATTTAATTATCAACACTTTAACGTTCGAGTAAAATATATTGGAATAAGTTAAATAATGAAACGATAACATTCGGTAAAATAGATTTTTAATAAAATTTTCTCCAATGTTTCAAAATCACACTGATTTGTTTTCTTCTTCAAGAAGTTTGATAATGAATAAAATTATAAAAACTAATTTAAAAACAACAAACAAAAATATAAAGAAGTCAAATTAATATGAGACATAACAATGAAACAATATAGATAAATTAAAATAAAGACAAATTGAAAGAATATAACAAAAATACAGTAAAAATAAAATACAAAAATAATATAAATAAATACAAAAAAAAAAAAAATTTACCAAATAATGTGATGAAATAAAAATTAGAAATAAAATTTTTCTCACAATCGACCTTAAAAAATTGTCATAAAATAAAATGAACATTTATTAATTAGAAGGTTTCGTATGAATAAAAACGATAACATTCGAACCATTGTTGTTTAATAAAAGTTCACTCCAACGTTTCGAAATCTACATGATTTCCTCTTCAGGAAGTCTATCAAAATTACAATAAATTGTCAAATAAACAAATACAAAAAAAAATGTTTTTCCAACGTTAGGATTTATTTCGTTTGTTTTTATTTTTACTAAAATTTGACACTACAATTGACTCTATGATTTGACATTGTTTTAATTTTGGTAAGATTATTTTAAATTTCAATTTATTATTGTAGTTTATTTTAATTTTATCATTTATTGTATTATTTTCATTATTTGGTATTTGTTTTTATTGTTATAGTTCTATTAGTTTTTATTTATTTTTATTTTATTTTATTGTATTTGTTTTTTATTTTTATTGTATTATTTATTATTTTAATTGTTCTATTATTTATTATTTTATTGTAATTTCTTATTTTTATTATTTTTTTTTATTTATTTTTTTCGGACAATGGTCCGAATGTTATCGTTTTTATTCATACGAAACCTTCTAATTAATATAACTCTCGGACGTTAAACATTTTAATAATGAACATTTATTTATTTAGGATTATAAATGGTTAATAAAAATTTTACAAAGTTTAAAGTAATATTTAGACAAAGTCATAATAAAATCATAATTCAGCCAATTATTCATAAACAGTTACGCGCAAAGTAGCAAAAAATCTATTTAAGTTAACGCAAAAAGAAAAAAAAATTACAACAATTTTTCTAAAAAAATTTAAACTCAAATAAATGATAAATAAAGCAATTTATAATTCTGTAACTTTTTTCTGAATGCAAATTAAAAATTCGTGTGTTTTACAAAATTTTTGTTTTTACCAAACTTTTTATCTTTTTTACAGGTGATACAATTTGTATCTGAGGGAGTTGTAAACACGCCAAGCATTCATGGATATCTTTTACATATGCAAAGGCATATTGTGAGACGAGAAGAGGGTAGAGGCAACAAATGTACAAGGTGTTGTCTTTGGTTTAATCAAAGAAGTTCCTTGAAAAATCATCAAATCGAACTACACGATTATGTATCAGGTCCAAGTAAGTATTTTAAAACAATATATTTATTTCTTTATTGTAAATTAATAATTTGATTTTATGTGAAAATCGTAAATAAAATAATTAAAAATTTGTTCACTATTTTCTAAATTTCCATATAGAATTAAAATTTTTGGCAAAGCAGCGCAAAAATAAAATGAAAAAATTTCAAATGAATCTAAAAATATATTTTTTTTTGCAGAGGTCATACCTTATAAAGGCAGTTCTAATGGAACAATGATTACACGTCAAAGACCTCAGGTTAAACGATTTGAAAAGATTAATTTCAATTCAGAAGCTTCTAAAGATGTGAAAAAATGGAATACCGGTCCAGTTAGAGTTAATCTTCCCAGCAATAGTTTCCCATGTCAGGAATGTGAGGAAGATATTGATGAAATAGATCATTATCCGTAGGTTTATTTTTTTTAAATTGAATTTCTCTTTTCTCAATATTATTCAAAAGTTTAATAAATAATAATTAAATTATTCAAATACAGAGGAGAACAAAGATGTCAACAATGTCGATATGTCACATGTTGTTGGCGAGCGTTTAAGGAACATCAACAACAAATTCATAATGAGAGACCGAAAACAACTCTCGTTGTTCCATCTCCAATGATCAGTATACCACTTGAAAAGAAAATGAAATGTCCATGTAATTTTGCAACAAATGATGGAAACTTGCTTGGTAAGTTATTTTAATTATACTGTATTGTAAATTTATTTTCATTCTTTTAATTCAGATTAATGACACGTGTGACGTCATACAAGTTGATTCATTCAAATATCTACATATATATATTCTTTGTTTGATTTTTAAACTTTAATTCATTTTTAAACAACTTGCAACTAAAATAAAGTCAGTGAAATTCACGTTTATGAATAAAGATTGAAAAAGAAATATTTATCACGCAGAAAATAATCAAATTTTTTGCCTAGAAATTTTTCTTTTAAACATTTTTAATTGAGAAGTATAAAAATTTGTTTCTGTCAAATAATTATAATAATTTTTAATGAAGATTTTAGGACAAATTTTTTACCATAGTTGATTGATTTAAATTATTTAAAAAAAAAAACCACATAAATAATTTTCAATAATTACATGACAATTTGCAAAAATAAAATATATTTTTTCTTCTAAATTGTTGATGATAAGCAATTTAATTATGCCTTTAAAAAAACATGAATTTAACTTGATTATTTTCTTAAATCTAAAAATTTATTTTTTACAATATTTTTCAAAATAATCGATAATTTTTTATTTGAAACAGATTTCTCAATTAGAATTTTTTTTTTAAAAAAAAGAAAAGTTTTATTAAATAAATTTTACTACATAACATTTTTCCAAACTAGGTATTTAGCAAAAAAAAATTTACATTTTTTAAAATCAGTCCCAAAATTTGTTTACATATTTTTTTTAATTTTACAATTTTTTAAATTAATTTTCCTAGCAAATTCATTAACTAAATCATTCAATTATTTAGATTTGTTATTTTTAAAATTCCATTATATTGAAATATCAAATCGCCAGGAAAAAGATATTTAAAAAAAAAAAACTAAAAAAGTTTTCAACACTTTCTAAGTTAAAAACAATTTTTAAAAAATCTATTTCTATTTTTCGGTGTTAATCGCGCCATATAAAAAATAATTGAATTTAAAAATAATTAAATTGACAATTAATTAAATTTCATAGTAATTATTTATAATAATAATTTGATTTTTACTATAATTTAATTTTTAAATAATTGAAATTTATAAATTAATGAATAAATAATGTAAATGAATTAAAAAATATTTTTTCTTAATTTGTTGAAACACATACCTATAAATGTGGAACAAATTTTAGTTTCTTAGTGTTTATATTATTTAATCATTAAAAAAAAAAACATTTTTCAATAATTTTTAAAAACAAGAAGCATTTTAAAATTAAGATAATAAAATTTAAAAAAATGTTTTATTTTCAGCTGCTCACTTAGTGAAATGCAAAAGAATATCCGCATTTCCCGTTGAGAATACAAGTCCCTCAGGTATGTTAGACAGCTTGGGTCTTGTTCCAAAAAGTGCATCAGAGGTACGCTAAAAAGTACTAAATAGATAAATACTCCACAAAAATCTCCATGCGAATTAAGTACAAATCAAAGTGAAGAAAAAAATGAATTCGCAGTTAAATTTGGTCGTGAAAAAAAAATATTAGTCTCAATTTACTAACAAAAAAAGAAAAAAAGTACATTGCTGCTTATTCATATTCTTTAATAAATGTTTTATTTTTTATTAATATGGAGAATAGAATTATAATGTTCACAAGTACGTAAAAAAAAAAAACAATCTCTAAAAATACTACATAATAACTAGTCGAGAAAATTGGTTTAAATTTTGTACTTTTTGAATTCGTATTATTAATATTTGCAATATTATGTTTTCTTTTTCTTTCTAAATTGTTGTTTTTTCCTTTTTCTTTTCTTTCTTTTTCTTTTTTGTACTCGTTTCTATAAATAATTAAATTGAGGTGATTGTTTTAACATAGTGTTTGTATATATATATATAGCACATATATATATATATATTATATATGCAAAAGACGATTCATTGTAGAATGATAAAAGAATGATAAGAATGAGGTTCTCATTGTAATGCTTTCAGTTTTGAGGAAAAAAAAACAAAAGTTAAGTAGAATTGTATTTGACAAGGATAATTTTTAGAAAAAAAAAAAAAAATTATATATAGATCTTACCCGTGAATGAATGAAGTTTTTTTTTTTTTTGTTTGAAAGATTTAAAAAGAGAATGCAACAATTAAAAATAAGTTTTATGTTAACATTACAATGTAATGGTATTCACTATAAGCTTACGACTTTTTCGATTACTTCTATTAATGTGTAAATAAATTTTGTCACTATTGTGAATCTAAAAACATAGAAATGTATTATTTTTCTTCCTAATGAGAAAATTCGAAAAATATCTAAAAAAAAAAATTTTTTTTATTTCTCTTAATTATATTACTAGAAATGTTAGTGAAACGCAGTGGTCGATAGTTATTTAACAAAAAAATTAAAATTCAAAAATTTATAATAATAAGACAATAAGTAGCAACATCGAAAAATATTTAAATGTACTTTTGATTTTTATCAATTGGTTTAATTTAATTTTTGTATATATTGCATTTTAAAAATATTACATTCAAATTCTAATAGTTCTGGAAATTTATGAATATTTTAACTACTTTCCTTCTATAAAAAATGATATTTAAATTAAATTAATTTAAATTCAACTCATTTTTCTTTGCAATTTTTAAATCTTTAACTAAAATTTTCCAACATTTTCATTTTCTTTATTTAATATTCACAATAAAAAATGACAACGTTGAATACTTTTATTTTCTTCATTATTACGAAAATTAATCTAAAATTTTTCGAAAAAAAATATTTATTCATCTGTTTCTATGGGATTAAAATTTTCTAATTTCAAAAAAATTATTTATTCAGTTTTTCACTTTTTCCTATGCCATTAAAATTTTTCAAAAAAACTATTTACTCCAAGTGTTTCTACCACCATTTAAATAATTATTTTTTGTCATTGATTACTATTAAAATTTTGCTATTTTGGAGAACTGCTTTGTTTTTAAAATAAAAATTTGAAATAATATTTAAAGTTACATTTTATAAATATTATTTTCAAAAAAAAGAATTCTTTTTATGTTTCTGCAGATGAACAGATTATAATTTTATTGTGAATGTGAAGTAATTATATAACAAATATTTTTCCATCTACATTTATTTATAATTTTCATTCGTAAGCAATTTTTGATTAAAAAAAAAACAAATCGTTTGATTTAATTAAGAAATTTTACTGTTATTATACAAAGTTATTAAAGTTACAAAAAACAAAACATTAAAAAAAATTTTTTTTTTATTTGCATGAATTTTTATTTGTTTGAAATTACAAATGGCCGAAAAAACAATAGACAGGAAGATTTCGGCGCAATTTTTAAAATTGACCAATCACGATTTTCTTGATAATTTTTAATTGGTCAATTTTAAAAATTGCACAAAAATCTTTCGATTGTTTGTTCAGCCAGGGACAAATTAAAATTTGGCGTCTTAAATATTCGAACTGATTCGAACAAAAAAAAAAATTCCATGAATTGAAATTTCTGTCAATTTAAAAATTTCAATCACAAAAAATATGAGAATTCTGTTAAAATAAAATTCGATTAAATTCAAATTCTCTTAAATATAAAGTCTAGTAAGAAAAATTATTGTAAAATAAAAATTCGGTAGCTAAAAATTTTGTTAATTAAAAATTTTTATATACAGAAATTATAGCTTTCATGTTTATTAAAAAATGAACTTTTGAAAAATGTGAAAAATAAAAATAATTTTGATTGAAATAAAAAAAAAATCAGATTTAAATCGTAAAAATCGTATTTGTTTTTAAATAATGATTTTTCCGAAATTCGGTAAATGGATAACTTACACACTATTTTCCATAGAAAAAAAAATGAAATAACAAAATTTATAATTTTATGGAACCTTTATTTAGCAATTACAATTTTGTGTATGAATAATGTAGCACACGGATTTTAAATTGTGTGTATTTATATATGTTGTGTATTACATATTATAATACTAAAATGGTGGGTCAGATTGCTTGAGGTTTTTGTTTGTTTTTTTTTTATTTATTTTTTTTTTCTTATACATTTACAAGTATCTATTATTTTTGCTCTTAAATTTTTCTTTTTTTTCAAGACGAATTTGCCTCTTGTTTTTAGACACTAAATAAGATAAAATTCTTCTTTGCACACCTACTTACATATCTGACCAGCTACAATATATTTATTTTGTTTTTTTTTTATATAATATATATATCCCCATTTTTTTTTTTTGTATTTTTTTAAAAGTTTTTCATTTTTTTTGTTTTTTTTTTTTTTTTTTAATTTTTTAATATATTATGGTGCCTGTTAATCAAGTCAACACTAAAGAGCGCATTTATTAGCAAGAACTCTCATTTGTTAATCCGATTGGGTATTACCAATAATAACTAATTTTAAATTTGAAAAAAAAAGAATTCGCTAATGAAATGATTAAAACCTCTATATTATAATATTTCGTAGCACTATTTTAACGTAAAAAGTTTGAAAATGTGTTTTAAAATATTTTTTTTAATCATTTCACGTTAATAAAAGTATTTTTGCAAAAGATTTCCTATATATTAAACAAATACTAAAATTAATACTAAGAAACTATCGTTCGAATTGAATTGTAAAAAAAAAAAAAAAAAATTGCATCATGGAATGAAAAATAATTGCAAAATCAGTAAAATTATTTAGCAAAATATTTGACTGTTTTTTCTTTTCTTTTGTTTGAAAAAAATATCGAACGTTTAGAATCTTTAAGACCTAAGAATAAAGTACTTAATAACTAGATTATTAACTATTTAACGTATATATATATATATAATAAGATTAAAGTAAGATATACAATAATAATAATAATATGGTGAAAACCCAACCTGCCACAATTAACACAGAGATTTTTCGTTAATAAATTTCCTGAATAATTCAACAATCAATTGCCTTGCCTAGAATGTTATGAGGCGGCAATAAAAATCATCAAATATCTCAGAAACACGTGGGAAAGCTTTGTGTGAGCATTTTATAAGATGTTACAAGAGTAATTTCTTAACATTGTGTTCAAGAGAATGAATGCCTAATAATTATCCGCCAAAAGCCCGATAGTACATGTTCTACATATCTGTGACTAAGTACTTTGCCTTTTTGCCTTCTACTACTGCTGCTTGTCTTTTCTCTGAAATTTAACGCCAAAATTTTTCTTTTCTTTTCACTTTTTTTTTTCTGTAATTTATGATTTTTCTGAATGCGATTCTTTTTTTTTCATCTGGTGGTGAATAGAAAATTAAATGATGTGCGTTAAAAAATCATATGTAAAGTAAAATGGAAAAAACCTTCTGGCTGTTGTCTCGTGTTAAAAACTGTTTTTTTTTTAATGGTACCTGAAAGGATAAATTAAAATAAAAATGACGATAAATAATAATAATAATAATAATAATAATAATCATAAATGTCAATAAATAAATAAATATTTACGAGTAAAATAATAATTGTCGACCTTGGTAAAAACATTTTAGTTGAGAAATTAAGAAAGAATTGGACGAACAGTAAAAACAAAAGTTCATAAAAAATTATTATACAGTGATCAAAATGTATCGAAAAAAAAATTTCTTTCTTCTAAATCGACTTTTTCTATGTTTAAAAATCCAAAAAAAAAATCAAATTAGAAAATAAAAATTTTTGGTACATTTTGATCACTCTGTATTATGATCATTATAATTTAATTTTTTAATTTAAAAACAAAACAATTTTTAATTAATGTTTCCATTAAAAGTGTCTGCTATTTTATTTTCTTTACAGTTTAGAAGTTGCATTTGGAAAAAATTTTTAAAAATTTATGTTTTGTTACTAAAATCGGTTTACTATTCACGAATTTGTAAATTTTATTTAAAATGCAATTTTTTATTCATTCGAAATATTTACATCGACTTGATGATAAAGAAAAAGGAAAATAATTTTTTTTTAAATAAATAAACATATAATTATTCTGATAATTTGTCCGATTCTTCCTTAAAAATGATTAGCTTTAGGAATTTATTTTTTTTTATTTGCAACAAGTTATCAAGTTTCGAAAATTTGAAATTTTTTTTTTTTTAAATCCCAGTTCACAGTCTTTGAATAGATATTTTAGGCAACAAAAAAAACAGTTTCAAAAAAAAAAAAAAATTAATTAATTAAAATTATTTTTAACTGCTAAATTAAATAATTAAAATTGTTCTCAAATATTTTTATAAAAAATAATATTGAAATTATTTCAAAATTGCAATATTTCAAAAGTCGATAAATCCATTTTTCAAAAAAGTGGAGATAAACGCATATTTAACATATTAAAGTTTTTACTAATCGATCTGTCACTGTTGAATTTAAGAAAGAAAAATTTATTAACAAATACTCATGTATTTCTCGAAATAACAAAATATGGATTTATCAATTTTTAAAAATTATTCCTCATAAATTTTAAAAAAATTATAATAATATTAAATCAAAAAATTGAAAATATCTCCAATATTTTCATTTTTTTACGAATTTACAAAAAATTTTGTTAGTTAAATTCAAAAATATTACTTAATAAAAAATATTTTTAAGAATTTTTGAATTAGAATAATTCTCAATATTTGAACTAATAGAATTTTTTTTTTAAAAAGTCACCCAAAAATAAATACCGTCAACAGGGATAATTATGGAACATCACAGGTAACATATGGAATGCGCAATTCTTTTTTATGTAAAATATTTTTAGAATAAATTTGTTTCTATATTTGGTTCTTCTTTTAAATAATAGTTTAATATTTATTAATAATAATAATACTCAAATGTTTTTATTTTTATTGTCACTGGCAACGAGAAAAAAAATTGTCATTATTCCATAATTTCCTCGTGATTGTCGGTAAATAAAATTTAATAATTTAATATAATAATATACATATAAAAAATAAATAAAATTAATTATAATTAAATCCTAAGTTTCGAAAAGGGATCAACTATGAAAACCGTAAAAGTCCGTTTTTCACACGTCGATGAAATTCACGTTTATGATCAACGATGTAGAAGAAAAAATATTTTTTTATCCAAATTATTATAATTATTTGTCTTAAAATTTTTTTTTTGCAAAGTTTCTCAATCAACAGGAGATTTAGAGAGTTTTTTTTAAAACTTTGTAAACAAAAATTTAATTATTATTTTTCGAGTGAAAAATAAAATTTTATTTTCAATCGTTGATCATAAACGTTGTGAACTTGACGAATTTTTTTAAAAAAAATTTTCTAAAATAATTGTATACTTCAAACTTTGATTTCCTGAGGCTAATTTTGAAATAAATTAAAATTAATTATAAAAAATGAAAATAAAAAAAATAAATAAATAAAACAGCTGAATGCTCTGACCAAGGTCTGAAAAAAATAATGAAGATGGTACCTATTGCGTTAAATTTGAGAGATGGGCGCCGTCGTGAGATAACTACTCAACGGCATAGAGCATGTAGAGGTTGCCAGCATCACTGCCTGGTGGTACCAAGGCGTGATTCGGTGGTAGCACCGAGAAGCCCAAGAACATGAAGGTACGCACCAGCATGGCTAAACGATAACAACAAAATGATTTAGAAGATAATGGCTGTTCGTCACATTCTGTTTCATCATATTCGAAGAATGAAAAACGACAAGTACCTCGATCTGAACGATCTTTACGTAGACAAACCACGATGTTGGTGCAGTGTAGTGTTTCTTCCGCATATTCCAAAAGAGAGACAAATCCCTCTTTTGAGCCTTCCGGTAGAAGACAGCTTGGCACACGAATGTAAAGACATTTTCGCCAGATCAAAGTTTCCCATTCCACGGAAGTACTTTCTGTCAGCTGAAGAGCGAAGGTCAGGCGCAGTGACTCGTTTGTTTTTAATGCTTTCAATAATTCATCCTCCTAAAAAATTTTTACAAATGGAAAATTAAAAAAAAAAATTCAATTACACATTTCATCACCGTTGATTGAGACTGTGGAAAATGACAACCATCATCGATATTATAAATGACAATATGTAATTTAAAAAAATAGGAAAGAGTCGATATCAATGAGACATTTCATTTTTCTAAAAAATTCTTTAAAAAAAACTAACAGAATTGCCACAACAAGAATAAATTTTTAAATTTCCCTGAAATAAATTTTTTTTTTTAAATTAAATTTAATGAATTTTAATAGAAATCTAATAATTGAAACTTGAATCAATCAAAATTTTGATAAATTCAAATTCGAAACTTTAATCAATTAAAATTTAGATAAATTAAGATTCGAATAATTTTAAACTTAAATCTTAAATCAATAAAAGTTTGAATAAATTGAAACATAAATCAATTAAAATTTGGACAAATTGAAATTTGGATAATTTTAAACTTAAATCAATAAAAATTTTGAATAATTCAAAAATTAAATCAATTATAATTCGGATAATTTGAAACATAAATCAATTAAAATTTGGAAAAATTGAATTTCGGATAATTCGAAACTTAAATCAATTAAAAGTTACTTAAATTAAAATTCGGATAATTTTAAACTTACATCAATAAAAATTATAATTTGAAACAATTGAAAATCGGATAATTCGAAACTTAAATCAATAAAAATTCGAATAATTTTAAACATAAATCAATGAAAATTTGAAAAAATTGAAATTTTGATAATTAAAAAATCAAATCAATTAAAATTTGAACAAATTGAAATTCGGATAATTCGAAACTTTGATAAATAAAAATTTACATTAAAATTAAATAATAATAATTGAAATAATAATAAGGATTGGAATAATAGGATAATTTGAAACTAAACTCAATTAACATTTGAAAAAAATTCAAATTTTGATAATTTTAAACTGAAATCAATTAAAATTTAGATAATTTACAAGTAGGATAATTTTCAACTTAAATCAATTAATCTTTAGATAAATTAAGATTTCGTTAATTTTAAGTTGCGATCGATTCAAATTGTATTTAATTAAAATTTTTTTAAAATAAAATTGTTTTGACAAATAAAACTAAAAATTGATTGAAATTGAAATTAAAATTAAAATTGAATTGAAATTTGAATCGAATAAAATTTAATTAAATTGAAATTTTTATGAATTAAAATTTGAACAAATTCAAATTTGGATAAATTGAATTTTAGATTGATTAAATTGATGGTTGATTGGAATTAAAATTAAATATTTTTTTTGTTAATGTTTGTTGAAATTCAATGAGGCGGATAACAATTAACAAAATGAGACAATAGTTTAAGTTTATTAAACGTGAAAATTGGCACCTCTTCTTATGATAATTGGCGTCTGCTTCTAGTAAATTTCTCTACGAAATTCTGAATAAAATAAGTTAGAAAATTTCATTGGAAAAGTTTAAAAAATATTAAATTAATATTGTATTTAAAATTAGTTAATAAAATTCATTATTATTAGTACTGTCGAATTGGGGTGAAAATATATTTTAAAAAAATAAATTACATAACAGGTATTTAATTAATAAATTTAAAAAATAAAATATGAATAAAAATGTGAAACCTAACACATGTATACCTATTATGAAACATTGGTTTATTGCGTATGTACAAATGTTTCCAATTCGACGTCAAAATTATGAAACAGTTATTTGAATCAATAAATTATTTGAATTTTCTTGATTTATCTCTTAAATAATAATTAGAATATTAATTATACATAATTAAGGTGCAAAGAATAAATTCTTGTTCGAAAGGCAACATTATTTAATCAATTTTTAATAATGACAAAAATAATGCAAAATTATTTAATTACTAAGACTGAAAAAAAATGTTTCATTGATAATTTTTCTCCCTTATAAATTAAATTACATTTTCCTTCAATTATAGTTCAAAATACAGTGAAGCGTCGATAAAATTGAAATAGGTACTGTAATTTAACAACTGAAAAAAGGTGAAATGGATTAGAATTTTCAAAATTATTTCAATAAAAAAAAAAAAAGTACCGTTAATTAAGATAAGTTGGGGACACGCATTTTGTTTAATAAATTAATTTAATAATTTAATTTTCTTTTAAATAATTTAATAAATATAATTCAATGTTTGCTTTTAAATTAATAGCTTAATATTTTGTCCATAAAGCAATTAAAAATCCTATTTATATCTCCAAATTAAATTAAATATTAAAAAAAAGTTATAGTTTCCCGGTAAGAAGAAGGTTTGAATAAAAAATAATTAAAATTACCACATATTATCAATTGGAAATTCTTTTTAATCCAGAAAAATTCCGTTTTATTTTCAATATTCACAAAAATTGCACAGAATACTGGAAAAATTAATTTTTTTCTTTTTATTCCAAATTCCAAATTAATTTATTGTTTTATAAATTTCTTTTTCTAATAGCAAATAGCAATAATAAAAATTTCATTTATTTTTAATTTACATTTAAAAAATTAATTTTATCAATTTATTTCCAATTTACTCCACATTCACAAATTTGCATAGCAAAATAAAATCTGCGAGATTGATTTTTTTCGAATCGAATTAAAAGGAATCGAAATTTACTTATTTTCATTTTTTTCAAAAATAAAAATTTGTGCGAAACTTAACAAAACCACAGGGGAAATGTGGTACAAAAATTAAATTTGATTAACTCCGATAAAAAAAAAAAATTTCTACCTAATAAAATTTGGAGATTATAAAAAAAATTCATGGGACAAAAATTCAACTTGGATAGCTCCGGTAAAAAAAAATATTTTTTCACAATAAAATTTGGAGATTATGAAAAAATTAATGGGGCAAAAATTAAGCATATTTTTTTTGACAAAAAAACATGTTTTTTCCCAATAAAATTTGGAGGTTATAAAAAAATTAATAAATTAAAAATTAATCTTTGAGGAAATCTTTAAAAAAAATATTATTTACCGTCTTTAAAAATTTGTATTTTTAATAATAAAAAAAAAAAAAAAAAAAAAAAAAATTGGAAAACTATTGTAATTTTTGTCCCAAACTTACGCCACTTTTGCGATGGTTAAGTATGAGCCAAAAGTTTTGAACGTTCGTATGAACGAAATTTTTTTTGCAACTTCTTTAAGTACGAATTACAAAATATTGTTTAAAACATCTAAAAAGATGTTATTAATTTAATAATTATTTAATTTACTGTTTTATTTTACATGGTCATCATAATTTTTAATAATTTATAGATTGAAAAAAATATTTCGTTCATATTATGAACGTTCAAAACTTTCGGCTCATTGGTAAGTTAAAAAAAAGTGAATTTAAGAGACTGCTATGAAAATGACGAAGCTGAAGTACGCAACGTTTATATAAACGATTTTTAAAGAAATAATTTTTTACAATGAAAAATTCTATAATTTTTTGCCTAAAAAATATTTCTTGTAGTTGTCATTAATCAACAAATTATACAAAAAAAATTTTTTTAGGCAAAAAAATATAGAATTTTTCATTTTAAAAAATTATTTCTTTAAAAATCGTTTATATAAACGTTGCGTACTTCAGCTTCGTATGAAAATATTTAAAAATTAAATTTTTCCTGTGTATAATTAAAAAAAATGAGTTTAGTGCTGACAAGATATTTTTTGGTGTATGGTATATTAATGCCTTTATTGTTGTTTCTTACTTGCACAATGTGGGAGCTCACAGAGAGCTGACTCTGCTTGATCCCCACGCCGCGGCTCTCTGTGTTGACTGTTGATACAGACAATGCGGCATGGGGCACATCAGGACCACCACAGAGGCCCCACACCCAGCGTTATACAGTAATGAGGCTGCTGTCTAGAGCCTTCTTCGAGACTATGTTCAACACATTTGCTAGACATTTCGCTAAAAAAAAAAAGAAAAATCATTTTTTAAAAAATTTAATTCATTTTTTATTATTTATTAATTAAATCAAAATTAATGACGAGCATGAATAAGCTTTAAAATTAATTCGCTGGAAATTTTCATTTGATTTCATTTCATTTTTTCATTATTTAGAATTTATACGACTTATACTTTTAGTCGAGTTTTTATTTAAGAAGTAACATAACCTCAAATTAAAAACTGATTTTATGCGTTTTTAAAGCAAATCAAAATATAATACAAATTAATTTCAATTAATTTTGGAAGATATAGTTATACACTTTTCGGAAAAAATGATGTTGAGTCAAAATCCTGCGTAAAATAATAATTTTTTTTCACTTTTTTCTTTCAGCTAAGGGGCCATTCATTAATTACGTAAGGGTCCTTAGGGGGAGGGGGGGTTTATAAAATCTCTACATGGTCTTACGTGGGGGGTAGAAGCTAATCTTACGTAAGCTTTTGCCAAGTATTTTCCATTTGTATTGATGTAATTAATTTTTTAATTACATTAATATTGTTAAAAACTTACGTAAGAAGGGGGAGGGGGAGTCCGAAAAATCTTATGTATCCTTACATGGGAGTAGGGGGGGTCAAAATTAGCCAAAATCGTCCTTACGTAATTAATGAATGGCCCCTAAATGTTAAAAATATTTTCAAAAATTATAAACAAATCAAATTATTAAATAATTTTTTAACAATTTTTAACAACATTGATAAAATTTAGATTGTAAAATAAATTTAAAGAACTAAATTTAGAGCTATTATTTATGAAATCAAAATTTTGGAAATTTTTATTTGTTTTTTATTTCAATTTTCTTTTAATCAGCTGTTATGGCTGCACGCAACATATTTCGCATTCGTACTACCAACATAATATGAGAATAAAATATGGTAAACATAACCTCACTTTTTCGAATTATGTTGGTATTATAAACACGAAATTGAAATGTCAATCGCAAGCCATAACAGCTGATAAAAACAATTTCTAAAATTTTAAGGAAAATTAAAGTAAAACAAATTTTCTTTTTTGATATGAAAGTTGAAAAAATAAGAATAATTAAAAATTTTAAAACAGTGTTTTTTTGGACTTATATATCAGTAAATATTACATTACCAATTTTGACACAACATTATTAACGAATTTTCATTTTATACACTATTTTTATTTCATGCAATTTAAATTTGATAGAATTATTATTTTCTCGAATATTTATTACACAAAAATAGTCGGTTTAAAAGAATTTTTATTTTATAGAAAGAATATGCATAAGAAAAATTATTTCCACTTGTTTCAAATTTACATTTTGACAGAATTTTTAAAACGCCTATAATTTTTATTTTACGGAACTTTCATTTTTCAATATCTGGCAGAAAAATTTGTGTGCAAATTTAAAAATTAACCAATCATAATTTCGTTAGTTTTATGATTGGTCAAATTTGATAAATTAAAAATTTTGTATAGTAAAAATTCATTTAATAATTCTTTAATAGAGAAATTCAATTAAATGTAATTTCCGTTAATTAATAATTCGAAAAAATGAAAATTCTACTGAAAGTAAATTCTAGACAATGAAATTCTGTAAAAATAATTAAAATATATTCTAAGAATTCTCAAAACCTTATAGAAAAAATAAAAATTTATAATTTCACAAAAGCCGAATCAACTTCTACAATTTATTATTTCGAAATTCCGAGTTCAAATGAGAAAAAAAATGACTTTTAATGGCTTCACCTATCTATATATATATATACATATGTTTTCTTTAGTTATGTAGTTTCTTTTCTAGTTCATAATCAATAGTTTTACGCCAGCACTTTCTTTTAATACATAAGATAATACAATTTATTTTATATAAGGTTAAAAGAATCCTCAGAAATGATAAAAAAAATGATATATATTAAAAATAATCATTTGTAAATTATAATACGGTAATTCCAGTCTTTAATATACATAGATATACATATATAACATTCAGAATTCCGTGCCAAGAGTTTAAACAGAGTTCAAGTGTAAATCCATTTTTTGAGGTCAAGGTTTCAAAAAAAAAAAAAAAAAAAAAAAGGTTTTAAGAAAAATGAACGAGTGAAAGTTATATTAAATATCGAAAAACAGTATTAAAAGTGTATTTCATTATATTTTACAATATATTTAAAGGTTGCAATAAAAAAAATTATAAATAATATAAATATAAATAATATTTAGAATAATAATTTATAAATATAAAAATTAAAAAAATTATTTACAAAAAGAAAAAAAAGAAACTTTATTTTATATAATAAAAAGTGTAAAGAAAAGTATTAATAGTTAAAAAAAAAATTAGAAAAAATTGTACTTGTTTAACTAAAAAATAGAAATTAATTAACAATTCTTTAAATATTTACTAAATATTATTTATATTGTATTTTGCTTGAAATAATTTGTAATTAGCACTCTAAAAAAATAAAATCGTAAAATTTCGATTATTTCTTATCATTTTATAGTATTATTTAGATATTATTACGTCGGTGAAGTTCACAACGTTTATCATCAACGATTTAGAAGAAAAAAATTATCTTTTTGTGCAAATTACTATATATTTTTATCTAAAAAAAATTTTTAGACTTTAATTATTTTCCAAATGAAAAATATATTTTTTCAATGATCATAAACATTAATTCACCAATGTTATATTATTTTGAAATTATTATACTTTTTTTTTAATCAAAAAGCTAAGTACCTTGGCCTAGGAGTCATTGTTATTTATTGTTTTATTGTTTAATGATAAAATAAAGAAAAGTTGTGATAAATTCTTTGAAAATTCACTTTCGATTATTATCTTTGCCCTCAAGGGCAAAAAATAAAAAAAACCATAAAAATTCCAAGAGACTCAATATTGTAAAAATTACATTCACAATAATATTATTGTTTTTTTTTACTGAAAAAATTTTCCATGGAAAATTACTAGAAACAATACAGAAATTAAATATTTCTTTATCCGTGTGAATATTTTAATAAAACTGCCAAACTATTGTGGGCAACGGTTAATTTATAAACTCTGTAAATGCGCATAGAATGATTTTGCTAGACACTTTTAAAGACGTCATTGCAAACTTTGGGCATTTTGCCAAATTTAAAAATCTGTTTTGGTTTGGAGAAAATTTTCTGCACTTAGTCATTTATAAATTGTTCAACAATTATTATTATAATAGAAAATATAATATATATATACAAATTGCAAAATATTTGGCTCTATTTTAATAATTGTTATATGATTTTAAACTTTCACTGTATTACAAAATAAATTTATTTTTAATTCAAAATTTTTAATGGATCTACATTTTTAAATTTACATGTAAAAAAAAAACTAAAAAAAAAATTTCCTCTTTTTTCGTTCAACTTTTCTAAAATTGTTTTTTAATTTTAAACAAAAATTGATCGATTTTTGAAAATAAAATTAATTTTAATATGAAACAATGAAACTTATAATTTACCTTTGAATATACAGAGTTTATAAATTAAAACTCACATTATCAGTGATTTGATAAGATCAAATTACTATAGCATTATATGTACATAAGTATTTATCAAGAAGATAAGAAAATAGATAATTATTTCGATGTTCTGATTTCATTTTATAAAAGTGAAAACTATTTACAATTTAATTGTGTGTTTTTAAAGAGATATATATATAAAATTAACAAAAAAAAAAAAAATAAAGAAAAATATTCCATAACTAAATATTAAGATTAAACAAGTTTTTAAAAACAATGCGAATAAAAGATGACGTTTTATGTACATATATGTACATATAAAACTAATATCACTCACGATAGTGAAGTACACTAGAATGACTCATATGTGAAAAGAAATTTTTGTAGATATATAAGTTTTAGATTACAAAGCAACAAAAAACAGATGATGTAATAAAAAAAAAATTGAAATTTTTTAATTACTATTTAGGAAAATCTAAATAATTTCGGTCATTTAAGCTTAATATTATTGTTTACATTCGGTAGAATTTATTATTATTATTATTATTATTATGGAGATTATAAAGAATTGATACGTTAGCGGTCAAAGTAATAATCACTGAGACTTCAGATGTCAGAAATATTTTACGAGTTAAGCTTCTATATATATATATATATATATAGCTATTTGTAATTTAAAACTTCTATCATTGCATTGATATGATTCAATACTATTTTTTTAACCAATCATTTGCATTGTTAATATTTTATTTTGATTATAAATGAATTTTAATATCGCATTAAACGTAAATTTCCCCAATACTAATAGTTTGAATTAAATAAAGATTTGTAATAAAATATAAAACATATTTTTATCTCAAATTATGTAAATCATTTATTTATTTATTAAAAAAAAATGGTAAAATTCAAAAGAAATTACAAAACAACGATAAAAATTATTTGTTTATATTTTAAAAGTAAAAACATGTCTTATATATGTCAAAACCATGTGACTAACATTGTAGGGAAAAACGCAATCTTGGCCTTTTAATTTTTTAACATTATTGAAATCTTGAACTATTCGATTTATATTTGTTATCTTATCTAATAAATTATTTTTTTTTTTTAAATTGATTTTATAAATTAAATTTACACGAGTATTAGAAAATGTAAATATAAGTCGTAGTAATTGTGGAAGTTTCCAGAAGGAGATTTTGACTGTACATAAATTATAATTGCTTTAGTAAAATATGTCAAAATATATATTAGAGACATTTTAAATATTGTAATTCAGATAGTTTTTTTTTTCTTTTTCTATGGAAATTTACCAATCGGTACAGTTTACAAGATGGCGGTTGTAAAATAAATTCAAGTTAAAAATGGCGTATGTTTCGTGACATCTATATATATATATATACTTACCAATTACTTGAAATTAAACTCGGCATTATTTCAAACTTTTTACTACTTTCACAATTACTTAACAACAGACTTGAATTAAAACTCATACTTCTTCTTTCGTAAAATCTTGACGACTTTTCTGTACACTTTGATAAAAGAAATATCCGCTTTCGCGAGCAGTTATGTATTACTTGGTAATACCTTTCGTATACTGGAATAAACCAACAAGATCAAAAGCAAGTTCTAAACTGACACAGAATGAGAACACGCTTGAAATATATGTATATAGGTATATATAAGTATAGGTATATATGTGTGTCATCAAAGAATTGATTTTTATTCACGAGATGGCAGTAGCTTCCGGCCACGTTATAAAGTGGGAAATTTAAAAAGTAGATAAATTTTTAAGACACTTAAGTTAATCAAAAAGACACTTGACAGGAGTTATTTTTTTTGTATTTAATAGTAAAATTTTATTTTGCATTAGATGGTAAATTTTTTTTTTTTTTTTTTTAAATTAAAATATTTATGACTGTAATGGAATTACCTACTAATGGAAAAATTCAAATAATAATTCTGTAAACAAATTTGAAAAATTGTTCTTTTTTTTATAAAATAATTTTTTTTATATAGTGTAAATTTAAAAGTTGAACCACGTGTTTGTGTGAGTGAATGACGTATGTCTACATATGTTATTTGCACATGTCCAATATTGATTTGGTCAGTGAATGTTGGGCATGCGTTTCAGGCATTTTTACTTCAATTTCACTAAACTCACTTGAACTTCATTGTGACAGGTGACACTGACCGGGCATTTTCTATTTTGTTTTCAATCAAAAGCGTGACAGTAAAATATTTTAACAATATGAATATTTAAAGTTCAATTTTTTTGTTGGACAACTTTATTCAGCACATTTAAATGAAAATTAATATTATTCATAAAAAATAAATAGTAAAAAAAAAAAAATTAATTAATTTTCGTTATCGTGCCTAACCAACATGTGCCTCCAATGGGTAAGTTTAAATCGAATACCAAACAAATTAAAAACAATGAATTTGTATTATTATTTTTTTTTTTTTTTGTACAAAAAGAAATAATTTATTAATTTTTAATTAAAAAGTATTATAGAGTATTATTTATGAAATTATGTGCTTTTTTTTAAATAAATAATTTTTGAATGAAATTATTTTTCTATAAAAAAATAGTATAGTAGTTTTTGCATAGATATTTGAAATTATTTTTTTTTTTAAAAAGTGAAGAATAAAGAAATAATATTTAAGAAAATAAAATTAGAGAAAAAAAATAATATTGCAGTTTTTAATTCGAATTTTCAATGAAAATAGAATTTTTTTTTTGTAAACTTGTTTATGTAATTCTAAATAAAGGAAAAACGTAAACATTAAATTAAAGCAAGTAGTAATTTTTTAAAATAGTGTAATAATATTTTAAAAACTGGTTCTTAGGAAAAGTTTTGATAACGTTTTTTTTCAATTTTATTTATTTGTCACAAATTATTCGCAAATATTTTATATAAAAAATTTTGTAACAATTTTTTTTAACATAAAAATCGAAACGAAATGGTCATTTAGAAAAAATAAATTTTTTTCTCTATAACCATAAAATTTTGTTAAGAATTGAATATTACATAAATTTAAAAAATGTAACTTATTTAATTTTTTGTTATATATTTTTAAAATATTGCTAAAGGGCTTGTCCTGTTTATTATAAAATAAAATATTTTTTAACATTCAATAAAATAATTTTTAATATAATAATAAAATAATATTATTATATAAATGTAATAACAAAAAAAAATATTATAATATTCTATTTTTATGTTTATTTATTATTTTATTTAAAATATATTTATATTTTCTTTATGAATTTTTATGATGACGTCAATGAGCATTTAAAGAGACAATTTTACTAATCTAAGTCTTTTATAAAAAAAAAAAAAAAAAAAAATTGCGTGCTTGACATTACTGTCAGAAGACATACACGTATGAAAAAATAATTTAATGAATTGTTTATAACCCCATTATAACCTTTTATGACCTAAATTATTTCATGAATTCTATTTTTATCATAATTAATTTTTTTTCAAATTTTAATAACGGAAAATTATTGTTTTACTTTATAGTGTATAATTTTGTCAATTTTTTTTTTACACTATAAAAGTATTTTTATTATAAAGAAAAGAATAAAGAAAAAAAATTTTTTTCTTTTTTTTTTAATTTAAAAAAAAATTATCGGGGTATTACACAATTTTTCAAAAATTAATTCTATCAATCTTTGTAAAAAAATAAATCAATTTATTTTTTTAAATTATTATATTTTATTATTATTTATTGTATTTTTTTTGAATTAAAAAAATTTTTTTGAAATTTTTTCAAAAGTCAACAAATTTTTGAAGTTTAATAATAATAATTATATTTATTATTATAAAATAATTAAATAAATTGGTATAGGTTATACATAAATTATTTAATATTTTTAGAATATTTTTAGAATAATATCAAAATAAAAATATAAAAATACATTAAATATTTACAATAAAAAATGTATTGAAAAAATTATACTTATATCTATTTATCAGCAATCAACTCATTTTGGGTTTAAGTCATATATAATTAAATACCTATTATTAATTTATTTATTTCCATTTGGCAATGCTATTTTCGAATAGTCATCCACTTACTTCCCCATTTTATTCAACAGGATTTTATAAAGGCACTTTTCCCCTAAACTCGATAACACAGTTTATAAAAAAGAATAAATTTAATTTGAATAAATAAAAATAAATAAATAAATAAAAATTTTAATTCATCGTAAAATGCTAAAATGAAAAAAAAACTCCATAATTGAAAACAAGTTGTAAATTCAGATGTTCATTACATAAACATTTTGCTTCCTCTTTACGATCAGCAAAAACATTTGCTTCCTCGTGGAGAAAGCATTAACATTGAAATAAACATAAAAAAATAATATAATAATAATATAAACATTTGAGTACCTATAGATTTGAGTTAAATTTAAAGAATTAATATGGAAGTTAAAAAATCAAAAATTCACAATTTAAGGCCAGCTCCAAGTCGAGTCAGCTGTTCCTTTGAAGTTTCAATGGAACAGCTGACACGACTTGGACCTGGCCTTAACTGAAATTTCTGAAAATTAATGAAAAATAATATATAATTTATAATTATTTACAATTATATCGGTTTGTTTCAATGCAAGGAACACAATTATTTTATATTTTAACTTGAATTTAAAAAATCACAAAATTTTATTGTCAAAATGTGAATTTTTGATTTTTTAACTTTCATTAATTCTTTAAATTTAAATTAAAACTATACTTTATATATACTGATCGATTTGTCTTGACGTAAGGAATACGATTTTATTATATATAACCTTAAATTTTTCTATTTAAAAATTTTTTCGATTAAAAAAAATTTTGGAAAAAAGACGATAAAATTTTTTTTTTTTTTGGTATTTTTGGTCAGATTTGAGATATTAATATGATAAATGAGCCTACCAAATTTTATCTAATTAAAACCTGTTCAAGTTATCTTCTAAACAAAAAAGGGATCCACACACACACACATACGTACATCCGGACAATTGATCAGGATCTCATATAACATGTTTCTATATAGAAAAAAATTTGTTTCCGCCACTTTGAAAATTTTTATAAACAAAAGGACTAGAAAGCTTCCTCCACGAGAAAGCAAAATAACATTTTTTTACAAATAATAAAAATTTTCCATACATGTAGGTACAAATCAAGCATTTAATAACAAAATATAGATTTTTGTATAGGCACATCAAATTATAAACAAGTATATTCACTCCACTATCAATATATGTATAATAGGTAAAAATAACAACGTTATAAATCGAAAAAAATTTAATTCGAATACAGAAACTATTTATTTTAATTATTAATTAATTATACCACATGGAAAATAATTATTTATACAGTTAATATTGAAGTTGTATAAAACATTGTTGAAATATGTTTAGATAATTTAGTTAAATATAGCAAGTAATATATATATATATTAACTTTAGTAAAGTCAAAGTATATATAAAGCCCGTAAGTTTAATTCATAGTTGTATTATTAATATGTCATCAATTTGTCTTTATAGTATATAAAGCTTTTCTATCAAGACCTTCAGATTAATGTAACACGTATATTTTTAACATTATAATAGAAAAAATTTTTAAATTATTTGCAAAAAAAAAATAAATTAAAAAAAACTTTAAACATTTACAAATTATAGAAAAAACGGATTTTCATTATTTTTATATGTTATCGTGTTAAAAAGACAAAAGTATATAATAGGTTTTAATTTAAATTTTAAATTATAATTTATATAAATTATTTAATTTTCCATTTTTATTAGGGTTTTTTTTTAACATGGCCTTAAATGATAATCGAAAAATATGTTTCGATTCTCAAAAAAAAAATCCTCAACAAATTTGTCTTTCTAGGAATGATTGATCAAATTTAAATCTAGAAAAAAAATTTTAATTCTTATAGGTAAACACTGAAATAAAATATTATTGATTATTATAAGAAATTATTTTTATACAAACTTATTATAGAAGAATATTATTAATAAAAATAATTATTGTAAAAGAAAGTTTGGTTATATGAAAAAAGTTAGGTTATGAATGAAATATGTCAAATTATTTTTTTATTAATTTTTTGTTACCTAATTTATTTTTCTATATTTCTAAGTATATTTTATGTTATTTTAGTTATTTTTCACTAAACCTATAGTAAAAAAAAGAAAAAAAAATTACTAAATAAAATAGTAATATTTTACTAAAAATTAGTGAAAATTTTCTTAAATTTAAAATAAATTTTTGTTTTAAAATTATAATTTACCTACATTAAATTTGAGAGATAATTGCATTATTAATATAATAATGTTTCTTTTAAAAAAAATAATTTTTTTTTTTTAGTTCGAATGACATTTTTTTTACATTAATTTTTTGTCTATAATTTTATAAAAAGAAAATTCCTTTTAAAATATAAGGAAACAGTTTATGAACGTATTTATTGAAAATAAAATTTTTCATAAATTTTAAACATAAATGTGTCGTAAAAAGAAAAAAACTTTTTATACAAATTGAGGTATTTAAAAAATATATATATAGGTATATATTCAGCATGTCATAACAAAACTTTAAAACCACGTTGTAAAGAATTAAATCGATATACTATATACTTACACATATGAAGGTACGAAAAAAGCGCTAAGCTAACTAAAGTTGCTGCGTCAGTATGTGTATTATTTATTTGATTATATTTATAAAATTACGCTAATATCATTTGATTCACGATGATAATTACAAATCAGAATTGTTTTTAAAAATATTTGTAATTTTCATTTAATTTCAAATTTTTTAAAATTTTAATTCACAAAAAAATTTGTTTCTTCAATAAAGGGTGTTTTGAATTAATAAAAAATTATTTTTAAATAATTATTAATATCAAAAAAGCGTAATTTTTAGTTTTAATTTATAATTATTCAAAAAATTAAGTAATTTATAATTGTTTTCTTTATTGAGACAAATTTTAATTAAATGAAAATAGAAGAATAAATTTTTTTTGATTCTCGGAAAAAAATTTCTATTGCAAAAAAAAAAAAATACTTTTTATTTACCTATGCCGAAATTGTTTTTTTAGGATAAATTAAATAATTTAATTTTACATGCATTATGAAATGAAAATTATATATTTTTTAAAACAATTGACTTAAATATTATGAATTACGGTAAAAAAAAAATTTGTTCTAAATAGTTAAAATTTTTAAAAATAGAAATAAATCTTTTTTTTTATTCCTTTCAAAAATCGAAACATGTTTTGAAAATTGTATTTTATCTGATTTATCGTTTATCGTTTAAGGCCATGTAAAAAAATACCTAAAAGCAGAAAACAAGTGTTAAAAAATAATATTATCACAGAAGAATTTTTTTTTTTACGGAAATTCGATAAATTTTATGGAATTTTAAACATATTTTAAAACATTAAGTAAATAATTAACTAAATATTCTTTTTTTTTTTGAGACAAAACCGTTCTTAATTTGATATATTCTGCAATTTGATGCAGAATGAGGAAATTTTAATTAATTGAATTTGATCCATTTTCACAGATATAGTATGAGAAATAGATATGGGTGCAATAGTAGGAGATGTGCATGATTTACAAACTCTTACGATTCACACCAGTGATGTAAACAGCATCGATTTTGCCAGTGGTTATATTTTAGTCACTGCATCAGGGTAAATTTATAAACTTTAATATAATTAATTATTTATCATGTTACAATAATTAAAGAACTTTTTATTACTTTATTAACTTTTTATTTTGCAATAAAAAATAAATTAACAAAAATGTTTATTTTTTAAATTTAATTTATAGAATTTAATTATAAATTTAATGAAATTAATTAATGAAAACTTAATTTATTATTATTTTATACAATTATTGATTTATTAAATTAACAAATGCAATGTTCAAAATAATTTAGTAAATCAATTTACTTAGAAAGAAATTAATTTTTATATATATTTTTTAAATATTATTTATCATTTTTTGTATAGTATATAATTATTATTTTACATGAAACTTGCCAGTATTATATTTATTGGTACAAAGTTTTAGAAAATCAACTTTTTTAGTAAAACTAATTATTTATTTACATAAAACAATATTGTTGAAAATTGTTGACACACACACAAGAAGTTATTTATAATATGAAAAATTAGTTTAACTTTTAATATACAGAACGAAATTAAATGTTTTAAAGTTTTAGAATATTCATAATATTACTGATGATGAAAAAATCATTAACTTTATAAAATTGGTTTTGATTTTAGAAATTCTTATTTTTTTATTGAACTGTCCATGAGATTGTTATGATTAAGTTCTCTGAAGTGTAAATCACTTTAGCTTCTCAAGAAATAGTCAGCAATACCAACATAATTCGTAAACAATATATGGTAAACATAACCTCATTTTTCTGATACATATTGGTATCATTGACTTTTTACTGAGAAGAAGGGGAAGTGAAACTTCTGCTCAGTCATAACAATGTGATTTATTAAAAGTTTTCAATAATTTATTTTCGTTCTCTACATTAACTTAATTTTATTTAAATATAACTTTGTTAATTACCAAAATATGAAAATTATGCAAATAAATTTATTTCAAGTGTTTCATTTTTCTAATGCAAGAAACATTTGTTTTTTTTAATCAATTTTTGATTCTTGTTTTTACTGAAAAAATTATTTTTTATTGGAACTTTATACCGATAAATTTTAAGCGGTACAAATTCTACATAAATAATTCCTACACGAGTAAATCGTATCCTGATGATTCTACAAAAAAAAATCACTTTATTGATTGAAATATTCTACAAAATTTTTAGATACTAAATTTTTATTTCACATAATATTTATTATTCTATGTAGAATTTCTCTTTACCCAACTCTTTTTATTTAAAAGAATTCTAATTAAAGCGAATTTTAATATTTTTAGCAGAATTCTCATTCAATAGAATTTCGTGTGATTTGAATTTTTTTTAATGGGAGATTTTCCAATTCAAGGAATCTTCATTTCTCCGAAAAAAAAACGGTAGAGAAAAATATTTCGTTGCAATGTTTAAAATCAATCATAATAGAAATTATAAATTATGACATTATAAAAATTCGTATCACATAAAATTCTGTTGAATAAAAATTCTGCTAAATTAAAATTTCGACTAAAGTAAAATTCTTTCAAATAAAAAATTGAATAAAGAGAATTTCTGTGTAAATTAAAAATTCTGTCAAACAAAAATTCGGTATACCTATAAAAATTTTGTTTTTAAGTAAAAATTCGTTTAATAAGAAATTCTTTTCAAAATGCTATAATACGAAAAATGAAAATTTGTCTAAAAAATAATTATATTTAATAAAATTCTTTAAAAAAAATTGTCAACTAATTTTATTTTCAAACAATATTAAAGTGTATAGGATTTTTTTTTAAGAATCTTTAAAATACAATTTACTCGTGTATAGATATTATTTATGTATAGGATTTTTACAGCCCCATAAATGTAGGGGAGAGTGACAAACAGTGGGACAGTTTAAACAGTAGGACCTCATATTACCCTTATTACTAAGTATTACACGTTATTACAGAGTATTACAGAGTTTTTTTTGCGTTATTACAGCACTGTAATAACGCATTATTACACAGTATTACACGTTATTACACAAGTATTACAGGAAGAGTGTACACTTAACTACCTGAGTAAATTCCCCCTCGGGGACAGGCAAAAATTTAAGTTTATGAAACGTGGATTTTGGCAACAATGATTATAAGTTGTGTCAGCTATACGCATGCGCATTTATATTTACACAGCGACTAAAAATGTGATTTTTTTATGCTAAAAAACAATAAAAAATTCAAAATTTATAATTAATAATTATTACAATTATTGGTCGACAACATTTAAAAAGTAACACTTGATAAGAGAACGACTATTCAAATTTTGCTCCAAATTGTTTTTAGGTTATGACCAAATTATAACGTATGATCAGCAGTACTGTAAACGTGAAAAAAAATAATAGCAATTTTTTATATGAAACTTGACATCGTATTATAAAAATGTAAAATATTATTAAATTATGAGTGTTTTGCAACATTTTTTAACATTATATTTAATGCAAAAAATATATATTTACAAAGTATGAAGCAGAATATTATTATTGAAATAATTATTCGGTTCTTAATAATAGGTGTCCCACTGTTAAACACAAACCTTCAAAACAAGAAAAATGTATCAAGATTGAAAAACTTCAAATTTTTTTATTTAATCACAATATAATCTTAATAGAATATATGCATTGTGTAGAAAAGAGTTCAAACTTTATGGTAATATCAAAAAGTCTTCAAAAATATATAAAATTGACATATTAATATGTCTTTGAAAAAAAACTGTCCCGCACTGTTTGTCACACTCCCGTACATTAATTTATAAATTGGTGAAAGTGATCCAAAAAGTGACAAAATTTTCATGACACGAAGTGACACAGTTAAATATAATATTTTTTGAAAATTATCCTAAAATTTCAGTGACAAAAAAGTGAGAATATGGGATTGGAAAAGTGGATCAGGTTATGTGGAGACCCCATTTTCACCCCTTTTGGGTCACAAATATGGGGTGACTTGTGTCAAAATCAGTCCTCAATCAACAATGTTAGCCTCATCAAGTATCGATGGCACAACTCAATTATGGAACTTGAGAGTATGTTTCTTATTAAATGTCATTATTATTATTATTATTATTTAGATAAATATTAAAATTTTATATTTTTAATAAATTTATTAAAATTATATTTATCAGACTGGAGCAAGAATTCATACAATGGTTCAAGTAGGCGGAGAAGCTGTAAGAGTTTGTAGATTTTCACCAGATTCATCGATTCTAATCACTGCAGGTGACAATGGTCAACTTTGTGTTTGGGATCTTGTTCGTCGAGTTTTAATACGGTACAATTTTTAATTATAAAAGTTAATAAATTTTCTTTTTTTTTTTAATAATTAAATTGATTTTTCTTTTAATTTTTGTTGCATTCAAATTTTTCGAGAAGTTAATTAAAAAAACACAACAACATTTTTATAATGCATTTTTCCGAAGATTATGACTATTTAAAAAAAAATATTTAAAAATCGTAAATTTTGGAAAATCGCTTTTTCCAATAAATAAAAACTGAAAATTCATATTAATCTTTCAAAATATGAAATTTTAAAAAATCATTTCTTCAAAAAAAAAAAAAAAAAATTTCTTTTTGAACATCGATACGTATTTTTTTTTGGTACTTATTCGGATTTTTTTGTTCTTTTGAACTTAGACAAAATTTTAAGTTTTTTTTCAATTTTTTCAATAACCATTTCTAAATAATAAAAAAAAAATTAATATTTACATATTTGAAAAAGATTAAAAATTTTATATTATACTAGCAAAATTAAACGCGCACAAGCGCGCCAAATTGAGTATTTAATTGTTTGTTATAAAGAAATTAAAGATTAATATTATCAATAATAATTTAATTTATTAGAATATTATTACATATTAAATGATAATAATGAAGATTATATGTTTACAGGCCTCGGATTATACGACTTTTTCCGACTTTTTTCAAAAATACGACTTTTATTGACTTATTTTAATAAAATACGACATTTTTTTTTTACATTTGAAAAAAAATGTAAATAAAATACATTTTTTTAGTATAAAATGTAGATCTTCTTCAGATCTTCTTCAATTCAATTATTTAACAAATTTTGAACTAAAATGATTCTTCACTAAATTAATTATTTTTAATAATTTTAATGAAATACATCACAAATTCAATTATATCAAAATTATTTTTCAATTAAAATTTTTATGAAATTTAACAATTGTTTATAATTTAAAAAAAAATTTCACAATAAAATTGAATTTTTTTTTCAAACTTTCAATTCAAAATAAAGTAAAATTTAATTATTACAAGAAATTTTAATTCAAAATCAATTAAAATTCAATAATTATCAAAAATTTTCAATTTAAAATTTAATTATTTACCAAGTTTTCAATTTAAAATGAAATAAAATTCAATTATTTTCTACAATTTCTATTCAAAATTAATTATCCAAATTTTCAATTAAAAATGAACTTAAATTAAATTATTATCCAATTTCAATTAAAATTCAATTATTTCCCAAAATTTTAAATTCAAAATGAACTGAAATACAATTATTTTCCAAATGTAAAATCAAATAAAATTTAATTATTCTCAAAAATTTGAATTCAAAATTAATTGAATTTTCAATAATTTGAATTTAAAAGCATCTAAAATTTAATTATTTCTAAAATTTTCCATCGAAATTTTTTTTTTTGAAATTTAATAATTTCAATTATAACTCTAAGGAAATTCAATTATTTTTAACTATTTTAATAATATTCTTTGAAATTTCAACTATCTGAAACCATTTTTCAATTAAAAATGATTTTCAAATTATTGCTTTGTCCGCATTTTCTAATAAATTTTTAGTGAAATCATCTAAAATTTTAATTACAAAATACTTAAAGTTTCAATTAATTTCAAAAATCTCAATTTTAAACCTTTGAAAATTCAATTAAATTTAAAAAATGTTTTGCAAAAATTGTTTGATAAATTATTTTTAGTTCTGTAAAATTTAATAATTGTTTTAAAATTAACAATATCTTTTGAAATTTAATTATTTCTAAAAATTTCAACTTTAACCCTTCCAAAAGGATTATTATTAAAAAAAAATTTTTTATTTAAAAATCTGTAAAATTTTTTTTTTTTAATAAAAAACAAATCCACTTTTTTTTGGAATATAAATCGACTGAAACGACTTTTTGTCTCTTTAAGTTGATTCGAGGCCTGTATTTTTATAATAAATATTTAATAGGTATTCGTTGGCCCCTGGTACCTTAAAAATTAATTTTTAAAAATAAATTTTTTTCAAATTACTATCTTGTACGAAATTTCCTGGTGCATCTTTTTTCTCATCATAAATTTTTTGTTTTTGTATCAACAATTTTTGAATCAATATACAACTTTAAAAAAAATTTCGTTGGTAAACGTTGTGTACTTCAGCTTCGTGAATTGAATTTTCGAATTTGGAATTTTAAAGAAACTTATTCCGAAATTTGGAAACACAATTATACAACTTTGGCAAAAATGAGAAAAAGAATTGTCAAAATTTGACACGTCATAAGATTACTATTCAAAAAAACACTTGAAATCAGAAAAGGCCAACTTCAAGTTAGGACAGAAGGACAGACCAAGCATTTTATTATTATATAATTTTTTCAATTTTTATGATTGTCGATAATTACTCCATAAAAAATTATCGATAATTTTTCCACCTGTAATTTTAATTATAACATAATTCTAATAAATTATTTATTTATTAATTTACAGTAATTATATTAAATTAAAATTTATAATTTCGAAAAGAATTTAATCTTAATTCATTTATAATTTGTGTGAATAAAAATCAAACATATATATACAAGCGTTAATAATACTATTTGATTGCAGATGCTTTCAAAAGCACGAGGGTGCCATTCAAGGGGCAAGTTTTAGTCCAGATTCATTTTGGTTAATCACTTCTTGTACATTTGGAGTTTTAAATCTTTTTTCCACAAATGAAATAATTGACTCTTGTCCAACAAGTAAAAGGGATATAAATCTTTTTGCTACTGTTGACGATGCTCATGATTTAGGTGTAGTTTGTTGTGAATTCTCCAATCGAGAAGAAATAACAGGCAAGTTTTTCCTTGTCTTTTTTTTTTAAATTGAATTAAATTTTATTCTCTAAATTAAAATGAAAATTGTTGACAAAAATAAAATTTTAAATCCCTAGAAAACTGGCGGCTCATCGAGACCTTTATCATCTCTATTATGATGAAAAAGGATCTCGATGGCCGCAGAAAGGCGTAATTAACAGGACATTTTATTTATTTATATATTTATTTGTTCATTTTATTATTTATTTTGTCTTCTATTGTCTTTTTACAAGTTTAATGTTTATTTTTGTGCTTTTATATATTTCAGTCTTTTTACAGTTTTTATTTATATTTTATGTGTTCTTTTGTCTTTTTACAATTTTTTCTGGTTACTTTATTTATTTTATATTTTATTTATTGACTTTTTTTAATTGTTTTTCTTTTGTGGTGTGCTGTTAATTCCGCTTTGACATTGAAAATTTTTTATTATTTTAAAATTCTAACGCAGGACTAGACGAAGTCGCTTTGCGACAGAATAGGACTTTATGGTACTTTTTACAACCCTCAACTTCTTATATTAATCATAAAAATGTTAAAAAAAATTTATTGTTGCATTTATTTTTTATAAAAAAAATGGAGAAGTCTTCACGACAGTACCGAGGGTGGATAAAGGGCTCCCAAGAAGGGTTGACGGGTTTTAGTGGGTCGGGGCTGGTACACGGAAAAAATTAATTCAGTATATTTTACAAAACTGTGACGGAGTAGCGGATACAGCTCTTTACGAAACTGAGTTTTGTAAAATGTGATGGATATTTTCGGATAAACTACAGAACTTTCGTTGTTTATGCTGAATATTTCTGGAGTTTATCCTGAATATTTCGTGACATTTTACAACACTCAGTTTCGTAAAGAGCTGTATCCGCTACTCCGTGATAGTTCTGTAAAATCTACTGAATTCATTTTTTCCGTGTAGTAGTTCGCCAGCTTATTTTGTTTATAGTGTTCTCCTTTTTTTTTACCAACCCCATATAACCTTGCCATGCGGAAGCCAAGGTATCTGTATACAGATTTCTCAAAAGTCCCTAAGCAAAAAAAAAAAAAAAATAATAATAATAATAATAATAATAATAATTGTAAAAAATAAATTATAGGTAATGATCCACCCTCAAAACTTTACCAATTGGTAACATGTGGAAATGATCACAATGTAAAATTATGGAACGTAAGAGTCGCACAATCAAAATGTGACACTGCAAATTCAGTGGCATCAATAACTCTTTATAAAATATTGGAAAAACATAGTAGTGCCTTAACTTGTGTACGATTAAGCTTTAATGGAATGTACACTGCCAGTTGTGGCCTTGACAAAACAACAGTCATTTGGGAAACAGTAAGAAATTTTTAATTAATATTGAAAAAAAAGATAACTAATACACATAGATTATTATTAATACCGTGGATGTACCAGTTACTGTCCATGTCCCAGTTTCCGTCCATTTTACAAATATCTCGTATAGTAATTTAAATTATTTTTTAACAATAATTTATTCCTTTTGGCACACAATCGACTTATTAGTTTAAGTAAACAAATAAAAGAAAATAATTTTTTTATAAATGTTATTTTGAAAATTAAACTGGACGGAAACTAGGTCTTAGGTGGACGGTAACTGGGACATCCACGGTATATAAAAATTAAATTATTTTTAAAAAACACTTATAAAAATAAAATGCTTTTAGGATACCGGTAAAATAGTTTCAGTGCTTAAAGGACATAATAGATATGTTGCTTGTTGCGCTTTTTCAAAAGATGGTACTCTGCTAGCTACCGGTAATTTGAAATTTGTTTTTTTATTTTACGTTTTCCTTATTATTATTTTTTTTTTTTTTTAAATTAGCAATTATTTTTCTTTTTAATACTAAGCCAATTATTTAATTTCTTTATTTAATTATTCATCTAATACAATCACTTAATAATAAAGGGTCACTTTTTTCAAAAAATAATATTTTCTATAATTAAAGTTTTCTGAAGAGTTCCCCCTTCGGGTATGGAACCCTAAAAATCTAAAAATGTATGTTTGGGAATTTGAATGTTTTCTAATTTTTCTACATGTTCCAAATCGATTTGATATTATTTTTATAAACATTTATAAATTATTTAAAATTGTTTAATTAGTTTGATTCAGGTCTGATAAAAATTATGATTTTTTTTTTAAAATGTCCGATTTTTTCGAATTAAATCTGATTTTTTTGATTTACATCAAATTTCGTTTTACTTAAGTCACATTTTTCAAAGGTTCAGTTCTAAATTATTTATTTTTTATTAAATATTTAATTCATAAATTTAATGATAAAAGTATCAAAAAAATATTTTGTCAGAGTCAGGAAAAACTCGGGGATTTTTATTAAAAACACTGGAAAAATATCAAATAGCTGATTTTTTTTAAATGCAGACTTTTGGGAAAAAAATAGAGAAATTTAATCAAATTTTCCATGAATTAAACAAAAAAATATTTTGTCAGGTTCAAGGAAAAAGACAAAATTTTGTCTAGAAATTAGGGAAAAAATAAATTAAATTTTTATAACAAATGACTTTGAATAAAATGTCAATTAAATATTCGCCAATAGTTTTCAAAGATAAATTTTGAATTATAGAATACAAAACATTAAATTATAAAAATATATTTAATTAAAATTCATTTAAAAAAAAAGGTTCAAAACATTTCAATGTAAGACAAATTTTTTATTTAAATCATAATTTCAATCATTAAAACCCTGGTTTGATTTTGACAAAATAATTTTAAAATATTAAATTAAAAATACCAGTTGATCATAGGCTTCAATTCAACGAAGTTGTCAAAAAATGATTTTATTATAATTTTATATAATTTCAAAAAAAAAAACTACATTAAAAAATAAAAATTTATAAATTCAACTTTCAGAAAAAAAAAAATGTAAAATATTTTTTAGAAAAAGTGTACCTGAATCAATCATCTATAATATAAAACTAAATTATTGCGAAAAGTTAATAAAATATATTTGTAAGATCAGAAATAAAAGAACTTCTCCGCAATTATAATTTATCCATTATAGTACACACAAAAAAAAATTTTAATTAAAAGAAATTAGTTTCTTTGTCTTGTTTTATTGAAAATAAACTTTTCTTCCAAATAAAAAGAAAGATTTTTTAATACAAAGAAAGTTGTGTATCAAGATTGATAATGTGATTGATTCAAAGAAAAATTTTATTTCAATAAAATAAATTCTAATATTAATATAAAGTCAAAGAACAATATTTCTTTGATTTAAAAATGAAAATTTCTTTTGTAACTTCTTCTTCTTCTTTCTTTTTCTTTTGTAATTTTTTTTAAACAAACAAATTAGCTTCGAATCGAAAGAAATATATTTTCGTCTTTTAATTGAAGAAACAAGGCAAAGAAAATAATTTCTTTAAAACAAAGAAATTTTATTTTTAAATATAGTTTGCGATATTTTCGCATATATTGATTTTTAGAAACTAAATATAAAAATTTAAAAGAAATTTGTAAATTAAAAATTCATTTTAGGTTCTAATGATAAATCTGTTATTATTTGGGACTTAACTGGAAGTTTAACAGTCGATTCTGAAATTGGACGTGGTGCGCGTATTATTCAAAATACAGAAAACGATGAATCGGTGAGTAATTTGGCATTTTTAATCGTAGATGAATAAGAATTTAATGACGATATTTTTTAAATTTTTTTCAAGGAAACTGAAGTTGTAAAACATGCGGAAACAAGTTCAAACGAAGTACGACTTATTCATTGTATAGATGATCATACTGGTTCAGTAAATGGAGTCTCAGTTTTTAAGAATAATTTAATCGCTTCAGGATCAGGGTCAGTAAGAATTAATTAATTAAATAGATTTTTTTTTTCTTTAAATGTAAATCAATTAATTTTTCTATTTTTTGGAGAATGCTCATGAAAAAAAAATTTTTTTTTGAATTTTTTTTTGCTTTTTTGATTTTTAAAAATTTTATAAAAAAAGTAAATGAGAAAATAATTAATTTTGAACTATTTTGCAAAATTTTAATCTCTCTTAATTAATTTTCAAATTAATAATACTGAAATCACTTTTTTTTTACAATAAATCAAATTTTATACTAAATAATTGAAAAACCAAAAAATTAAAGGGATCGAAATGTGAGAATTTGGGATATAGTCCGTGAGAATGAGGATGATGAACAGGAAACAACACTTCTTGAAAAAAGTTTTAGCCCTTTAAAGGGTCATAAATACACAATTCTTCATGTTGAATTCAGTCCCTGTGGAACAATGTTAGCATCATCTTCATTAGATGGTACAACTATAATCTGGGACACTGAGGTGACGGTATAGAATAATTATTTTTTTGATTTAATTATTTCATTTACAGCGCATATAAAAACGAGAATATTATTTCTTTATACACAAAATCTTCTAATACTTTCAATAAATGATAAGTAAGAAGTAGATTTGAGTGATATTATCACAAAAGTTTTTTTTGATTATGCACCAATTATCAAATAAATTTTCCATCTTTTATCTATTTTTTTTTTTTTTTTTTTGAGGGGGGTCCATGCTATTTCAATATTTCATTCAAATACTTAAATATATGAGATATCAAATTTCAAAATAAATTTATTAATTTAAAATTTTAATCAAATGCAAATTAAATCGATTGAAACTTAAAATTAACGAAACAATCTGTCCATTAATCGATTTAAGTTTCAAATTATCCGAATTTTAATTTATCCAAATTTCAACTGATTTAAGTTTTAAATTGTCCAAATTTTAATTCATTCAAATTTCAATTTAATAAATTTTTATTCGATTCAAATTTTAATCGATCTAAATTTCAATTCAATGTAAATTTTAATTTTAATTTCAAGTAATTCAAATTTTTAATTAATTCTAACTTTTATTGGTCAAAACATATTTATTAATTTAAATTTTACTCAAATTCAATAGATTAAAACTTGAAATTGAAGAAATTTCAATCCATCTAAAGATTACTTTAATTTTTAATTTATGCAACTTTTAATTTGTTCTAATTTTATTTGATTTTTCTTTAAAATTATCAAAATTTTAATTTCGAATAAATTTTCAAATTATTTGAATTTCTATTTGTTTAAATTTTAATTGATTTAATTTTCAAATTATCCAAATTTCATTTTGTCCAAATTTTATTTAATTTTTCTTTAAAATTATCAAAATTTTAATTTCGAATAAATTTTCAAATTATTTGAATTTCAATTTGTTTAAATTTTAATTGATTTAATTTTCCAATTTTTCAAATTTCATTTTGTCCAAATTTTATTTGATTTTAATTTAAAATTATCAAAATTTTAATTTCGAATAAATTTTCAAATTATTTGAATTTCAATTTGTTTAAATTTTAATTGATTTAATTTTCAAATTATTCAAATTTCATTTTGTCTAAATTTTATTTGATTTTAATTTAAAATTATCAAAATTTTAATTAAGAATAAATTTTAAAACTATTCAAATTTCAATTTGTCAAAACTTTAATTAATTTATGTTTTAAATTATCCTAATTTCAATTAGTCCAAAATTTAGTTGATTTATGTTTCAAATTATCCGAATTTTAATTTATTTAAATTTATTAAATTTTAATTGATTTAAGTTTCAAATTATCCACAATTTTAATTTATAAAAATTTTAAATTATTAATGCTTGAATCATTGATTAAAAATTCCAATTAATAAAAATTTGAATAGATACAAATTTGTTATTTTAGATGTTAATTGGTTTTAATTATCAGTTTTTTATAACCTCTTTATAATGTCAGAAAGATTGAAAATTTGATTCTTGTGGTTCTATTTTTAAAAATTTCTAAAAAAATTGGAAAAAAATGTTTTTCCACGACACGGAATCAGGCTTAAGGGGAGTCATAACCTTTATTTTGACCCACTTAAATTTAAATTATAATTAAACGAGGTTATATTTTTTTTCTTGCATCATTTGGGTCCTAAAAACATATAAGGTGGTCAAAAAAAGAAAATTTTAATTTTTGACCATTTTAGAATTTTTATTTTTTGAAAAAATTAAAATTTTTGAAAATCCATGCGAGAGATTCTAAAGAATCATTAAAAAAATTTGGAAAAAATTTGACGATGAAAAATACTTAAAATTGTGAAAGAAAATACATTTTAATAGAAGAGTGTAATGATGTTTTAACTCATATTTTTCTTTCTTTTTTTTGAAAAAATTAAAATTTTTGAACATTAATGCGATAGATTCTTAAGAATCATTAAAAAATCGTGAAAAAAAATTGGCGATGAAAAATAATCAAAATTGAGAAAGAAGATATTAATTATATTAAGATATTAAGATATTAATATTTAAAATATTAATTTTTTTAAAAAATTAATTTCTAAAATGGTCAAAAACTAAAATTTTATTTTTTTGACCATCATATATGTTTTTAGAACCCAAATTATGCAAGAAAAAAAAATATCTTCCTACGATCATTAAAATGTAAAGAACTCAAAATGAAGGACTCCCTTTAAAATTGTTGTAACTACCTAGAAATAATTTGTTTAAAAATTTTCGAAAAAAAATCGACGAATATAAACGTAATTTTAAAAATAAGATTTTAATCTTTAAATTATAAAAAATCTTAAAACTTTTTCTTCTTCTTATCTTATAAACTTAAAAACTCACAATTTCAAGATTTAAAAAAAAAACTATTAAATTTATTGCATTTTTTTAAGAAAGTTATGGGCGCAGTAAAAAAAAAAATTATTAAAAATTGAAAATTTTGAAAAAAATTTATAAACGGCTTCATAAAAAAAAATTTTATAAAATCATGGAATCCTTTTTCGTCGTGTAGAAAAAAATAAAAAAAAAATTTAGACAAAATAAAAAGTGTCAAAGTCATGGGCCCTCTCATTATCAATTTACTCTTAAAATGTGATTGATTTTACTCACCTCTGTAATATTTGCTTCACATTTTGTTTGAAAATATTTTTTACATTAGTTCACTTGTAACGTTATGTAGCAATTTTTTTTTAAATTTAATTATTATTATTATAAAACAATAATATATTTTTGTATATATTTAATTGAAATATTTGAATAGAATGGAGAACAAGCGAGGGGATCTTTCATTAGTTCTGGATCTGGAATTCGTGTTTGTCGTTGGTCACCGGATGGTACGAAAATTGCAACTGCAGGAGATGATGAAAAAACAACTCTATGGGATATTACTACAATGGAAGAATTGAAGTAAGTTAAATTCTTAGAATTTTTTTAAAATTAAATCTAGATTTATATGGGTGATTCTCTCAAAAAGAACAAATTATTTGTGCACAATTTTGGACGAGGTTTTTGTTAAAAAATAATAACATTAATTTCAATTAATAAACATTCTCCCAGCCATACGATAAAATTCAACAAATTTTTATGGGATCACTAAAGAAAATTTCAAAAAAATGGCAAACAACTGAATTATTGAATGAAAACTAGTGTTAAAACTCCATTCCGTAACTCCATTCCGTAACATCAGTTTTTATTCAATATTTCAGTTATTTTACCTTTTTTTAAAATTTTCTTTAGTGGTCCGATTGAAAATTGTTAAATCCTAACGCATGGCTGACAGAATTTTAAATAATTTCAATTAATTTCCATATTTTTTAACAAAATATCTTAAAAGCGTAATTTGTCCTTTTTGAGAGAATCACCCATATATAGAAAAAAACGATCAGAAAGCAAAAAAAAAATTAATTTAATTACTTAATTTTTTAATTAAATAATTGACGAAAATTTTTTTTTCTTTAACATGATTCAAAAATTTAAAAAAAAAAATAATTTCTAACTCGAATTTTTAACACATTTCACAAGTCAAAATGCAAATGAAGTTTGGTAAATAAAGTAAAATTTGTTAAACTTTTATTTTTTTATATTTTTAATTTTAATTGAAATGAAATTACAAATTACAAAATATTTGTATTTTGTCTTGTTTAATTTTATCAAAATTCGAAAATTAAATTAAATTAAAGTTTATTTATTTACAAATAAACGGGTGATACACCTTTTAAAAAGTATATATAAAAATATAAAGAATATAAAAAATAAAAAAGAAAATAAAAATTCCAGATATTTTGAAAATAAAGTTTTTTTTTTAATTTTAATAATAGCTCATTCAAAATCCATTTTAGAAATATACCAAGTACAGGAAAAATAAACCCACTTTTATTTTGACGTCAGTCAATTATATATAAAAATGTCTTTATTAAATAAAGAGACATAATATATTGTCATTCGATTAAATTTAGTAATTTTCATTTGAATTTATAAATTGATATTTAATGACTAATCAAATAATTGCTTTGAACAATCTTAAAAGTCATTATAAGGTGAATTTATCTTTATTAGTTTCTAATTCGACATTATGTGAATGTCATAGTTAATGTTCCTTTTATAAAAATACATTAACGACATTCACAAAAAATATAATTAATAAATATTTTATTACTACTTTCATTCTTAATGTGTACAGTTCTTGAATATCAATCCGTCTATAAAATTTAGTTTAAAGAAATATTTGACACATTTCATTAATTAATATACGAGATGATTCTTCACTTTTTGTTAACTGTGTTATACTTGTTGTTACTTATGATAAATATTACACTTTTTGTAATACTTTTACTTAAACGTATACCAATTGCAATTGTAATTATTTGATATTAAACGGTAATGGCAAAATTAGCAATATTGTCAAAAATTTATATATTTTGGATTTTTTTTTAAATTGTACTAGCTGCTTTTTAATTTAGGTATCGTTTTTATTTATTCAATAATTATATTTTTTGATTTAAATATGTGACGCGTCGCCAAGAAAGGGACCTAAGCGTCCAGGAGTTTCAGGTTATGTTTGCCATATTTGAAAAGAAAAAGTACAAAGTGGATCAATTTTCAATATTAACCATTAATGCTTATCTCTTCATTATATCGAAAATATTTATTAAAAACTGCTTTTACTGTTACACAGTTAAAAAAAAAGATTTAATCAATATGAAACTGACACAAACTTAACCTACAATTCTTGGACGCTTAGATCCCTTTCTTGGCGACGCGTCACATATCGTTTTTATTTATTTCTTTAACCCTTTGCGGCACACATTTTTCATTCCATTCAAAAATACAGATAATCACACAAATTCAAAATGGCGGATCCAATATGGCGGACGACTTTTTGAAAACTTAATGCAATTCGCTTGAAACTAGTTACTCGGGGGTTTTAGGGGTCGCTGATTGCGAATCTGAAGTCAGTTTTTGAAAATTCAAAATGTCGGATCCAATATGGCGGACGACTTTTTCAAAACTTAATGCAATTCGCTTGAAAATTGTTACTCGGGGGTTTTTGGAGTCTTTGATTACGAATCTGAAGTCAGTTTTTAAAAATTCAAAATGGCGGATCCAATATGGTGGACGACTTTTTGAAAACTTAATGCAATTCGCTTGAAACAAGTTACTCGGGGTTTTTTGGGGTCGCTGATTGCGAATCTGAAGTCAGTTTTCAAAAATTCAAAATGTCGGATCCAATATGGCGTACGATTTTAAAAATCTAATGCAATTCGCTTGAAACTTATTACTCGGGGTTTTTCAAGATGATTTGGTAGCCTTGAAAAAGGCTGATTGTTATAGTTGCTGATTACAAATATCAAGTTTGTTTTTTAAAATTGGAAATGGCGGATCGTAAGTAAAATTCCATTTTTAGTTGTGATAAGCGGCGAAACAATTTCTTGCTGGCAACAGGCAGAGTGAAACATTGCAAGTTTAACAAATCCAAGACGTTCGCTTTTGGTCAGCTTTTGTACTGCAATGAGCACATATTGGATCCACATTTTGAATTTTGAAAAACTAACATTGGATTCGTAATCAGCGACCCGAAAACCCCCGAGTAACAAGTTTTAAGCAAATTTCGTGTATTTTTAAAATTTTCGGTCGCCATATTGGATCCGCCATTTTGAATTTTCAAAAACTGACTTCAGATTCGTAAACAAAGACCCCAAAAACCCCCGAGTAACAAGTTTCAAACGAATTGCATTAGATTTTCAAAAAGTCGTCTGCCATTTTGGATCCGCCATTTTGAATTTTTAAAAACTGATTTCAGATTCGTAATCAGCGACTCCAAAAACCCCCTAGTAACAATTTTCAAGCGAATTGCATTAAGTTTTCAAAAAGTCGGTCGCCATAATGGATCCGCTATTTTGAATTTTCAAAAACTGACTTCAGATTCGTAATCAGCGACACCAAAAACCTCCGAGTAACGAGTTTCAAGCGAATCCAAGCATGTTTTAAAAAATTGTCCGCCATATTGGATCCGCCATTTTGAATTTTTAAAAACAGACTTCAGATTCGTAATCAGCGACCCCAAAAACCTCCGAGTACAAAATATCGGTTCCCATTTTACCCAAATTTTCGGTAATGAATTTTTTTTCCAAAATAATGTGTTTTTTGACAATTATTTATTTATAATTGTTTATAATTTTGCGTAAATATTGTTACTTTTATTTTCGTTTCATTCAATAATATGTTCTCATTCACTTTAAAAAAAAATTAATGAATATTGCTTAAAAAACTTAAAATACAGTAAGAAAAGTTGTAAATAAAATAGGTGGTAATCTGGCTTAACACTGTACCGCAAAGGATTAAACTTTTATTATTAATAAAATTAATTTATTAAAATTAATAAATTAAAATATTAATTAATATTTATTTTATTTATTAATTTAATAATTATAATTTTTATTTATTTGATAAATAGCGTTCTTATATTTATTTATGTAAATTATTATACATTAATTTAATCGCAATTTTGAGATATTTAAGACACCAAATAAAAAATAATTGCAAAGCTAGGAAAAAATAAAAAAAATGTTTAATTATTAACTTTTATAATTTATAGAATTTTTGGAGGGCACGCTGAAGCTGTGACGGCGTTAGCTTTTACATCGGATTCAAAATATTTAGTAACAGCGTGTAATGAAGGAACTTGGGCATTTTATGATATCGAATGTGATGATGTTTCGTCTGCATTGTTAATGTTTTGTAAAGAAGCACATGATTTAGGTGTTCAAGGATGTGATTTTAGTCCTACTACTGGAATTTTCACTGCTTCAGGTATTTAATAATTATTCTTTTAGAATAATTTAATATTTCTTCAATTTTATACTATTATTTTTTATTCTATATTTAAAAAAAAGTCTTTTCAAAAACAAAATGTTTAACCCCATTTTTTCAAAATTAACGCTTATTTTTTATTCCATTTCTCATTTTAAAAAAATTTTTTTATTAATTTTCATTGATAAACTAAGATTTTTATCACAGGAATTCAATAAGAATAAATTTTTCAAATTTCCCTGACATTAAATAAAATCAAACCTAATAAATTTGTTTGGATCAATAAAAATTAGAATAATTATTAATTGAAAGTTGAATCAGTTGAAATTAAAATTAAAATTTAGATTGAATTAAAATTTAGATCAATTAAAATTTGAATCAAATAAAATTTTATTAAATTCAAATTTGGATAAATTAAATTTCGGATTAATTGAATTAATGATTGATTAGAATTAGAATGATTTTAAATTTTGATTGTTTAAAATTTTAATTAATAAAACGCTTCAATTAATTTAATTTTACATTTTTTAAAATTTGTTCTAAATCATTTTTAACTTAATGAAAAATTTTGATAATTTTTTTTTTTTAAACAAATAAATTTTTTTTATGATTCCTAAGATTAAGGATGTTAGGCCACTGTAGAGCACGAAAATTAAACTCAATTTTATGATTTTTTTTACAGAAATAGAAATATTTTTTTGGAATGCAAAATTCTATAAATTTTTCATCTCAAAAATATTTCTTGTAATATTTTGTGGACTTCATCAGCATCGTAGAGAATGTCTCATACGTTAATTAATATTTATTTTTATTTATTTTAGGAACATTTACAACAAACACAACTGGATTCAATAAATCATATCTCTTAGCAACATGTGGAAATGATTCTTTCGTTAAATTATGGAGAATTGATATTGTTAATGATCATGGTGACGAACCAAGGGGCTCTAATGATCATGGATGTTCTTATAGAATGAGAAAACAATTAGCAGGTCACGGAGGTAATGTTATGGATGTGAGATTTTCTTTAATACAAGGTGAAATTTTGGGAAGTGTCGCGACTGACAAAACTGCTCGACTTTGGAGTGTTGTAAGTATTTAAAAAAAAAATGTTTTTAAAATAATTTTCAATTTAAAAATAATTTAATTACAAATAAATAAATAAATAAAATACACACATTTTTCTAGTATACAGGAGTATGTTTACACGTACTCGAAAATCATCGCGGTCTTATCACGTCTTGTGCATTTTCTGAAGATTCAACTCTTTTTGTTACAGGTAAAATTTAAAACAAAATTATATAACTAATTTTTTATTGTAAAAATATTTTACAATAAAATTTTTTTATTAAAAAAATAAATTTAAAAAAAAGTACTAAAAATATGCATTGCAAAATATTTGATATATAAAAATAAATAAAAAAAATTTTTATTGTTTTTTAAATTAAAATAAACATTTTTTTTTTCGGCAACTAAAATTTTTTAAAAAATTTCAGGCGGTTTGGATAGAAGACTATTAGTGTGGAAATTGCCAGAACAATTAGTATCTCAGTCTATGTTAATAAATAGACTGAGAAATAGTACAAAGAGGGTAATTAAAAAGTACAAGCACATTATTAATTACTATAGACTGAATAAAAGTCCACGTTCCAATTAAAGTAGATGCATGATTGTTAGAATACAGAATAAATACACGCAAAGTTAAGTTTTTTTTTAATAAATAAAAACTTCTTTTTATTATTATTATTATTATTATTGATATTGTTATTATTATTATTATTCTTGTTGTTGTTAGTAAGATAAAAATTTCAAATTATTAGACACAAAAATATGTAGCATATATATATATATGTAGTAAATAAAAACTTTGAATATTTCAAGATTTATATGTGGAACTCCTATAAATTTATTTTTACTTTTTAATTTTTATATCTAGAAACTTTTTTGGCACAATTTTCTTTTTTTAAGCTTCTAAATTCTTTTGCTTTTAGAATTTTTAATTTATCTTTTATTTTAGTTGTTTATATTTTTTATAATACTCTTAAGGTTACTGAATGGTCTGCCAATGAAATATCAAAATGGTTAATGGAAATAGGATTACCAAATATTGTTAAACATATACAAACAACATCAATTACTGGTAGACATTTATTGCATATACCAGAAGAAGAAATCATACACAAACTTGGTATAAATGAAGATGAAGAGGTAATTTAACTTTTTTTTTTTTAAATTTTGTCATCTATTGCAACTATTTTGTTAAGTTTTTGTTGTTTCAAATTTTAATCAATTTCACTATTAATTGATCAAAATCTTCACTTTCACTTTAAATATAATTTATTTTAATTTTAAAAAATTTAGATTTCACTTTTTTCTAATTTTTTTTTCAATCAGCAATTAAATGGATTTAAATCTCAATCTATTCAAATTTTTATTGATTGTTTATTGTTTATTTTTGTTTATTTATACTCTCTCCCTGCACAAGCCGCAGGGTTCGAGGAAAACATCCTTTCATACAAAAAATCTTACAACTAACTTACAATAACTTAATATTAACCTAGTACATTATCTACTTAAATCTAAATCTTATCCGCCAAGTGCCTGGGTTTCCGTTTCCAGTTTCATTGTGCCCAATTTGGCTTCGTCAATTATAAAACTTAACATTAAATTAAACATACTTTTTTATTACCAAAAACAAATTTATACTTCCCCTACCGACCCCACCCCTTCTCTTCTTTTTTCTAACTCCTTCATCCATCCCTCTCCCTCTCCATTACCACTCAACACCCAACATACTCGCTCATTCACACTTCTCTCTTCATTCCCCTCATCTCTTCCACATCTATCCAGCACATGCTCCCAATCCTCATTTTCGAACCCACACACTCTACATAATCTCTCATCCTCTCTCATCCAATACTTACATTCATTCATTCCTTCACCCATTCTAAATCTCAATATCCTATTCCTTTTCCTCTCATTCCTTATTTTCACTAGGTATTTCGGTAACCCTTCCTCCTTGACCACCTTGTACCACCTGTTATATTTGGAGTCTCTTATCTTTTTCCATCTCTTTTCTTTGTCTTTTCTACTCCACTTCTCCACTATTATATTTATATTTTCCTCTCTCTCCCCTATCTCGCCCATCGCTTTCCATCTTTCTTTTTCCCAATTGGTCATATTCTTTCCCTCCTCCCTTTTTATTAGTTCCCAACATCTTCTCGCTAGCCCACTACCCTTTCCCTCCGCAAACTTTCTCTCTAACCCAACTGTTCTTTTTCTCTGCCTCACTATCATTTTCTCCCTCTCAATTTCCTCTCTCAACATATATCCGGGACAGCTACGATTCACACCCATTGTCCATCTTAAATATCTTTCATGCATACTTTCCATACTGCTCACTTCTTTCCATCCCCAAATTTCCACTCCATAACTTAACACTGACCACACCAACATGTCAAACATCCATACTCTTCTTCTCCAGTCATTCTTAAATCTTCTCATACCAATACTCCACACTTTTCCCATTAACTTTCCTGCCTTTTCTACTCTTCTTTCCACATTCACGCTTTGCTTCCCATTGAACTGCAGCCAGTATCCAAGATAACAAAATTCATTCACTTCCTCTATATTACTTCCATTCAACTTCCACACTTCATTTTCACACTTTCTTCTTTTTCTAAACCTCATCACTTTCGTTTTTCCTACATTTACACACAAATCTTTCTCTCTAACATACTTCTCAAATTCATTCAACATCAATCTCATTCCTCTTTCATCATCTGCCATTAATACCATATCATCTGCGTAGGCTAGCGAGAAGACCCTACTTTTCCCCAATATTACCCCACCTTTTCCCCTTTTTTCCAACTTTTCCTCCACATCTGCTATCAACATGTTGAATAAAATTGGGCTTAATGGGCATCCTTGCCTAAGCCCTCTTCCCAACCAAAATTGCTCTCCCAGCTCCTCTCCAATTTTCACTCTTTCCCTCGTGTCCATATACATTTCTTTAATTCTTTCCACCAATACTTCCTCTATTCCCTTTTCCTTTAACACCCTCCATAAAATTCCCCTGTTTACTGATGGAAACGCCGCCTTAAAATCTACAAAAACCGCTATCATCTTACCCTTATCCTTTCTTAAACTTCTATTCACTAAAAAATTCAACGTATAGATGTTATCTATCGTTCCCATCCCCCTCCTAAATCCTGTCTGATTATCTGGTATACAGCCTAACTCATCCACTCTCTTTTCTAACTTCTTCCTTAATATCTCCGCATATACCTTGTATCCCACCGGCATTAATGTAACCCCTCTATAATCGTCTACCCTTTTCCCTTCCCCTTTCTTTTTAATTGGAACTATTAGCCCCGTTTTCCAATCTTCCGGCCACCCCTTTCCCTCCCACACCTCATTTACCACTTTCCACATTTCCTTTTTAACCCACTCTCCCCCGTATTTTAAATTTTCCCCTTCCATACCATCCCCCCCTGCCGCCTTTCCTCTTTTCAGCCTTCCAATTGCTTCCTCTACCTCCTCTATACTTATTCCTGCCTCCTCTTTACTTCCCACCTCTCTTCTGCCTTCCCCTCTAATTCTTTTTTCCACTCCTCCACTTAAACTTTTAAAATGCTTTGTCCACTCTTCTAACTTTATTTCCCTAGTTATTCCCTCCCTCTTTTTTCTTTCCCTATTTATCACTTCCCACACCTTACCCTCTGCCACCGCTCTTTCCACCTCTTCCATGTATCTTCTTCTTTCCTCATCCCTTTTTTCCCTCAATAACTTCTCATGCCTCTTGTGCCTCTTATTATACAACCTTTTCTCTATCCAACCCTTTCTCCATGCTCTTATATACTCCCTCAAATCCTTTCTGCTCCATTCACACTCCTCATCCCACCAACCCTTTTTCTTTCCCTCCTCTCCTCCTTCTGTCTCTATTTCCCCCTTTATTTTTATAACTTTCTCCTTTAGTCTCCTAAGCCTTTCATTCACTTCCATAGCCTCCTCTTGTTCTTCCTCATCTTCTTCCTGCATCTTTCTTTCGTACTCTTTTAATTCTTTCTCACCCCAATCTCCCATTTTTATCTTCCTAGTAACCTTTCCTCTTTTCCCCTTTCCTTCCCCTCTCTCTATCCCTTCCAACATCACTATCATTGGAAAGTGCTCCGATCCTACCTCAATTCCTACTTCCATTCTGTTGATGATTGCTCTCACATTTTCATCCGCCAGCACATAATCAATCACCGTCTGTCCTCTTCCTACATACGTAAACTCTCCTTCTTCGTCACCCTCCACATTCCCATTCAAAATTGTCCATCCCCTTTCCGCCAATATCTTCAACATCTTCCTCCCCTCTTTATCCACCTCATTGTGTTTTGACTTTCTCATGTACTTTTGTTCTTCTTCATCCCATTTACTGCCACCCCTTTCCCCTGTCCACGCATTTAAGTCCCCCCCAATCAATACTTTCTCATCCCTTCCAAACTCCATCCAATTTTCTAACACCCCCCATCCCTCTTCCTCCCCCCTTCTCCTATATATGCCCACTATTGATACATACTCATTCCCTTTTTTTATCCTTCTCACCATACAGCCCTCCATCTCTTTTACTCCCTCCTTAAGGTCTTGCTCCTCTATGCCTTTCTTTACTCCTGACAACATTCCTCCAGCACTTCTTCCCTTTTTGTGATCTCTTTTCGCTCCTTGCATTCTCCATGTGAAATTCTTAGGTAATCTCTTTTTTATTCTATCCCAGTCTTTCTCCTCCACCCACGTCTCACTTAGAAATACTACATCCCACCCTCCTAAAATTTTCCAAAACCCTTCGTCTTTGTTTCCAAGCCCCGAAACATTCCAAAAAACCACTTTTATTCTATCTACTAATCCCTTTTCCCTTTGTCTCCTCTCATCTCTCCTTCTTCTTGTCCTTCTCCAAACCCCATCCTTCTTTCCTCCTCTATTACTTCTCCCTCCTCTTCCTTTACCACCCACCTCCTCCCATTAATCCATAAACATTCCCTTCCCCATTTTACCCAGTTCCCTTTTTCTCTCTCTTCCCATGCTTTCCTTCCCAGTAACCAACTTATCCTCCTCTCCCTATACGTCCTATCCTCATCTATTTTAATTGGCCTTCCTTTCAACTTACTCTTTGCCTTCATAACCCTCCACTTCTCCTCCTCACTTCCCAATTCCACCACCCAAACTTTCGGTTTCTCTCTGCTCTCTCCTCCCACCCCCCACATTCCTTTTACGCTTACCTCCACTCCTATATCCTTCATTATTTTCTCCACCTCTTCTTTTGCCCCACTTCTCTCAATTTCTACCCCCTTTATGACAATCCTTTCTCTCCTTCTTTCTTTTTCCACCCCCTCCATTTTCCTTTCAATTTCCTCTAGTCTCCTTTCTATTATCCCTTCCCCTCCCACTGCCCCTTCCTCCTCATCATCTTTCTCCTTACTCTCCTCTCTTTTTTCAATTTTTTCCATCCTTTTCTCCAAATCACTTAATTTCTCCAATTTTTCCTCAAATTTCCTCATTTCCTCCATCTTTACCTTTTCCCTCTCTTTAAATCCTTTTTCCATATCTTCCAACTTCTCCCACACATTTTCTTTTTCAAATTTTTATTGATTAAAACTTTAATCTAAAATTAAATAAATTCTTTTTTTCACTGGTAGAAGGAAAAATATTTTTTAAATTGAATTTTTTATTTTATTTCAGACAATGGGTAATCTAAAGAAACAATTGTTTTGGCTAAAGCGGGAAAATTCCAATAATGTAGAACCAATTGATGAGGCTGAAGTACCACACGAATTTTTCTGTCCAATCACACATGAAATAATGAAGGAACCAGTTCAATGTTCAGGTATTTGAAAAAAAAAAATTATTTATTTTTATAAAAAATTTTTCAATAAAAATTTTTTAATTTTAATTTTAAAATTAATTAATTTTTAAAAATAAAATTTTTTATAGTACCGTCAACGGGGGTAATTGTACCCACAATTTTACTCAGCACGTTATTAACATTTAAAATTAAAAAAATTATTATTATTACATTACTTTTTAATCTAATTTTTAAAAAATATTTATAAAAATAAATAAATAAAAACGTGAATTTAGATGTGCTTTGAAAAAACCATGAATTATAAACATTGATATTTTTTTTTAAACTTGGATTTTTCAAAATTGTTTATTTTTCAATTTAATGATCAGAGAAAGTTTCTTTTTTTTCTTGCATCATTTGGGTATTTTTCTATTTTTTTTTAAATAACAATTTTTGAAAATCCATACGAGAAATTTTTAAAAATCATTAAAAAAAACGTGTAAAAAATTTTCGATCAAAAATAATTAAAATTGTAAAAGTAGTTCAATATTTAAGAGAGGAAAGATTAATTAAATTTCAATTTATTTTTTTCTTTCTTTTATTAAAAAATAAAAATTTCTGAAAAATCATTAAATAAACTTTTTAAAAAAATTTTAAGACTTAAATGATGCAAGAAAAAAAATATAACTTCCTACGATAATTAAAATTTAAAAAGATCAAAATAAAAATGGTGCCTCTTTTTCAATGAAATAATGAAAATTCATTTTAAGTAACAATTACATAGGAAAATTTTAATTCATACAAACAATTAAATTAAATTTCCTTCGATTCAAATTTTAATTTATAAATTTTTAGTGATCCAGTTTTCAATTAATTCTAATTTTTATTTGTGAATACAAATTTATTAATTAAAATTTTAATCAAATGCAAATTCAATCGATCGAAACATAATATTAATGAAATTTCAATCTATCTAAAGATTAATTTTAAGATTTCAAATTTTCCAAATTTTAATTTTTCCAAATGTTAATTAATGTAGGGTTTTAAATAATCAAAATTTCAATGTGTAATTCAAATTTTAATTGATTTTAAGTTTCAAATTATCCTGTAAAATGAAACTTCATTTAAGTAACAATTTTTGTTATTTAGAAATTCGGTGTTAAATTTAATTTCTGTTAAATAATAATTTCAAAAAATTAAAATTCTGACAATATCCCCTTGGATTGTTTAATTACCCCAAAATTGGAAAATTAAAAATATGAATTTTATAAAAATCTCAATAAAATGATAAATATTATTTTACAGATGGATACACATATGAGAGAGCAGCAATAAATGAATGGTTCTTATGTGGAAAGTTTACAAGCCCAATGACTAATGAACCATTACATGACAAAAGTATTTCTCCAAATGTAGAATTAAGAAATGCAATTTATACTTTTCTACATGGAGAAGGACCACAATCATAAAAGAGTATAATAGAGATGATATTTTTATTTTTAATTTTTATAAAAAAAAAATTATTTTCCTTTATCAGCTTAATTCAAAATGATTACAATTATTTATATATTATAGATCATGTTTCTTCAATTTTTTTCTTTCTGCTTTTCATTTGCTATAATAAGATATTTATAGTTATAAATAACTGTGTATGAAAACAAAAAAAAAAAAAAAAAAAAAAATGTTTTAAGAGGACCAAGTAGACTGTTTGTTACATATATTTAATATTTACATAAATGAAAGTGGCCTTAAAATTCTTAACAATATATATATATATTAAAAAATAGCTTCAAGCAATTTAGAATTTTAAATAAAAATAATAAAGTCAAATTTTCCATTTAGGATGACATAATTCGTACGTGTGATAAATAATTAAACTTTAGTGAAAGTACAATTTTTTCTTTTTTAGAAAAACTCATTAATTCAAGTAATATAGCAATGCAGTTAAATAAATTTATATACTGTAAATACAATAAGCAAAACAATTTTGATGAAAGTTAAAACATCAATATTATTAAAAAAAAATGATAAAAAAAAAGAAAGTAGCTATTAACTAAATTTCTTTGAATTATTTTTTATAAATTCACGAAAATATTTTTTATTAAAAACTATTATTAAAATATTTTCCCATTTTCTTGATTAAAAAGCAAAAATTAAAAATGCAAATGAAATAAGATTTATCGTTTTTCTCTTTTGATAATATAATAATTTTTTTTTTGCACATTTTCTTCCAAAAAAAAAAAAAAAATTAGTGCCTTTTTTCAGTGTAAATTCTTAACAATTTTTTGTGTGATTGTCATATTATATTAATTTATTAATAATTATATATTCTATTATAAATATTTTGAAAAATAATATTAGAAGTGTATTTCATTCAGACTGTGACTTTGTAATATAAACTGTAAAATAAATGTGAAATTATTCAAAAAAAATATATATATAAATTACCCTAAATTAATATTTCTAGGTGCTTAGGTATAGGTTTTAATTTTTTTTTTCTTGTATTTTAGTTTTGCAGTATTTTGTTTTCTTTTTCTAATCAACACAGTACTTAATTTGACTCTAATGCCGAAATATTAGAATTTTCTGAAAATTTGAAAATTTTAATAAACTAACATTATGAAAATAGTCATTAAATATTTGAAATGAACAAAATTTAAATAACGATTTAGATGACAAAAAAAATTTATAAATTTATTAATTATATTTAAATCTGAAAATTTTACATACTTTTGATTAATGCATATACATCAGCATATTTGTATTGGTACGTAAAACTGACTCATTTCCGGTATAGAGACTACCTTAGTCATAAAGCGACGTGAACGACGAAAGGCAATAAACGCGTATACGGAACATAGGTTAGAAACATCGAACGTCAAAAAAGGAGAAAAATGGTTTGTATTTTGTGTCTTTTTCATCGAAATTTATTTTTATCATTCGTAACATGTGTTTTAAAGTGAAATTATTGTTAATGTTTGCAGGCTTCTTATTCCGAGGATCAGCTGGCTGGTAAGTGAATGCTCAGGACCTCGGTATTAAAAGAGGGGCACTTTTTTCCTTTTTTTTTTTTTTTTTTTGACGTTTAATACAGGTCAAGAGTATCTGTTTGCCTTTTTAGACACACCTTGATACATCATTCGCATCAGGGGCTACCTTTTATGGTTGTCTATTTGAAAGTGAACGTCGGTATGCAGTTCACGGTCCTTTTGAAGATCATTCTTGATATTTCTTTTTTTTCCCCAACTTTGCTGATTTTTAGTTGCAATTTGACACTCAACACACAATCATCCTAAGCGCGCGGATTATTTGACAATTATTAAAAAAAAAAAAAGCAAAACAACAAATCAAGAGGTTTATTGTATATTTTCCTTTGTTTTGGTTTTCTTTATCAGTGGATTTTTTTTAATGATACTGTGCTTAGATTTTAATATATTTTAGATTTAATTCTATTGTTATTCGTTGAAGTGTTCAAATTTTGTTTACAATAAAAGTATATTTAAAAAATAATCGGTAAAAATGTACGGGTTTAGTTATCAGGAATTGGCAAATCGAATGATGTCATCAATGGATGGTAAAGTGTGATTCATATTTAAGAATTTTGGTGTCAATATTTTTTTTATACTTAAATATTTTAAACTTTTTTTTTAAAAAATATTGTGTAAAAATTCTGGGTAGCCACAAGTCGGGATTTTTTTTTTATCAGGGAAATTTAGGAAATTGAACAAATTTACCGAAAATTTTGTCACCTATTTTTCATATTTTGATAATTTAAAACCTTTTTCACCTTTTTCTTATGATGCCATTTAATTTGTGGATATATTTAAAAAATAATTAAATTTTCAATATAAAAACAATTAATTTAAGTTTAGAAATGTTAAAAAAAATAATTTATTAGTTTTAAAAGAATTTTTTTTTTAACATTCCTAAATATTAATTTAGAGAAGGAAAAATTATTTTTCTAAAAATAATTCAATTGACCCAAACTTGAATTTATCAAAATTTTACATTGTATTGAAAATTATTTATAGGCAAAATTTCAATAAATTTAAATTTAAGCAATTATTAATTAAAATATTGCAATCAATGTAAATTAAAATTGATTCTAATTTTAATCAATCGTCGATATTCAAATCAATCCAAATTTAAATCTGTTTAAATTTTAATTTTTCCAAATTTTGCAATTTAATTAAATTTTATTCAATTCAATCTAAATTTTAATGTAAATTTCTGATTTTAATTTACCTAAAAATACTTCAATCATTGATGAAAAATTATAATTAATGAAAATTTATATAGATACAAATTAGTTGTTTTGCACGTTAATTGGTTTTAAATATAAGTTTTTTAGCACTTTTTGTTTTCAGGGAAATTGAAATTTTTTTTCTTTTGATGATTGGAATCACGAAAAAAGTATATTTTTTTTTAAATTATCAATGAAAAATAGTAAAAATTGTGGAACCTAAAAACCATGTTTTATTTTGAAAAATTGAAAAAAACAATTCTTGACAATTTTAAAATTAATTTTTACTTTTGAGAAATTTTATTTTTAAAAAAATTTAATTTTTTTTTTCAAAAAAAATTTGTTAATGTTGGGAAATTGTAAAATTTATTCTTGTGGCAACTCGGAAATTATTATTTTTCTCTAAAATTGTTTTTTGTTTGTTTTGAAATCAGTAGAAAATTCAAGAAATAAATTTTTAAAAATAAAAATTGTATTAAAAAAAAATCGATAAAGACCAAATTCTGACTAATATACGCAATGATGTAATTTAAAATATCATCTATATTGTTGATTAAAAATACGATTATTTAATTTTTAAAATAAAATAAAATATTATTTAATTTTAAAATTAATTTTTAATAAATTTTTTGTTTCTTTTATCAGAATTTCAGGAAGCTTTTCAATTATTCGACAGTCGTGGCGATGGAAAAATTCATGTTGCACAAATTGGCGATGCCCTGAGAGCATTGGGACAAAATCCAACAGAATCGGATGTTAAAAAATTCACGCATCAGCACAAACCTGATGAAAGAATAAGTTTCGAAGTATTCCTGCCGATTTATCAGGCAATTAGCAAAGCACGCACATCTGATACTGCTGACGATTTCATTGAGGGATTGCGTCACTTTGACAAAGACGGAAATGGCTTTATTTCTTCAGCCGAACTCAGACATCTTCTCACGACACTTGGTAAAATTTTATTTCTTTTTTTTTTTTATTACTTTATGGAAAATTGATTTTCCAATAAAATTATAGTTAAATAAACATTTTCTTGTTTTAGATTATTTTTTTGGTAAATTAAATATTATTTTTTTGAATTATTAGTAAAATTTGTTTTTAAATTGAAATTATTTTTCAGGTGAGAAATTAAGTGACGAAGAAGTTGAGACTTTATTGTCAGGACATGAAGATTCACAGGGTAATATCAATTATGAGGATTTTGTTCGTCAAGTAATGTGCGGTTAAAAAAAGTCTAGTTAAGTTTTTTTTTTAAATCCATTATTATCGAGATACTTACGTATATATTATATATTAATATTATTATTATTATTATAAAAAAAAGGATTTAGAAAATTCCTTTGTCAATATTTTCTTTACGAAACGATGAGAAACAAAATATTAAATTTTAAGGGGGGAATTGTAGTTTTTGAGATTATTATTCATTTGCGTAGAAAAAGCAAATAATTTTTTTTTTACCGAGAAAAAAAATGAATTTTCACTTAGTTGACAAACAGTGTAGCGTGTTGTGCCTTGATCCCAAAAAAAAAAATTTTACCTACATTCTAAGGAAGTTGATAACCCATATCGGTGAGCAATGCATATTCATTAACAATACACTATATTAATATATTTCTCTACGATAGAATTGAAATATTATTTTACCAACATTCCGAATAACAAAAAAAAAGAAAATGTAATTGTAAATTTGCTGAACGTTCCAATTATTTGTCCATGTATTTGCATTTAGAGAATATATAGATACTGATGAATCGAAATTTTTATTGTTATTCATTATCATTATGATTTAAATAGCAAGCTTCGCATTTATCTACTAAAAGCTACTATTAATTAAAAAATTTAAAAATAAAACATTGAAATTTTATATCGCTGAAGTTCACAACGTTTATGATCGACGATTGAAAAAAAAATCATTTTCATCCGGAAAATAATAAATTTTTTTGCCTTCAAATCAGTTTTTTTTTTAAATTGTTGATCGAGAAATGTGATAATAATTTGCATAGAAAAATATTTTTTCTTCTAAATCGTTGATCATAAACGTTGTGAACTTTACCGATGTTAAATTTTATGTATAATAGCCCCTAAATGAGTAGAATAGCCCCAGCTAACGATATTGATTTTAATTTTTAAATTAAAAGAAAAGCTTTAATTTTACAAAATGTCTAATAATCGGAGAAGTTAGGGAATTTATCTATACTTATAGTTTTTTGTAATTTCTAGTCAATTAATTGAAAAATACTTTTTTGGTAATTCAAAACATTTATATACAATCGTAAGAAAATTATCGATCATTTACTTTAAAATTTCATTTTTTTTAGAAGATTTAAATTTATCGATTTTTGTTTCAATTTCTTCTTTTAATAAGAATTTATATTTCCTTAAATTTTCTTTTACTTTTTTAAAACAATTTTTCACACAAATTCTCATAATTATATATATATATATATATATATATATATATATATATATATATTGAATTCATAAAATTAAAATATTTATTTACTTTTATAAACTGCGATAAAAAAAATATCAATTTTTCCACAAATTGCACTTTTATTTTGAAAATTTCTAAAATTCTTGATTTTCCCTGAAAAATTTTCTTTTTTTTTTGAGAATTTCTCATTTTTTGGAATTCTTCAAATTTATTTATTACTTATATTATTTATATGATAATAATTATATTAATAATAAAAATAAGGACAGCGACAGCTAAAAAACGTAAAAAAAAAAAACTGACCTAAACAGCATTTCCACGAGAACAATTGAATTTTTTTTTGTCTTTGCCTCACGGTTATTAAAATAACTGTATCTTTCAAAAAAATCTATTCGATACGTTTTCTTATCTTATCATTCTCATGAGAAAAAATTTTTTGTTTTATAATAAGTTTAAAAAAAAAAATTTACAATTTTCTCCATAAATTCTTTTCTTGTTTTTTGAAAATTTCTAAAATTCTTAATTTTTCTTTAAATTTTCTCTTCAAAATTATATTTCCTTTTTTTATTTTCTATTAATTTTCTAAAATTCTCGTATTTTAAATCTTTTTTCAATTTTTCATAAAACTCTTCGGTGTTTAAATTTTAGCCTCAAATTATTTCTTTTATTTTTTTTTTTTTGAAATTCTTAAAATTTATTTATCAGTTAATTATTTAATTCTTAAAATTTTTGTGAATGCAAAAATATATTTTTTTGACTATTTTTTCCCACTTTTTTTTAAAGCTACTTTTTGCTAATGTTTATTTACTAACTAAGAAGTGTGAAGTCTGCGTAAATAAATAGAACAAAATTTGTACTTTATCACAGAAAATTGTAGATTTTACAATTTCCATCATTTATTACAAAAAACGTAAATTATTCTTATATTTTTCATTACAGTGAAATATATAAATAAAATTTTGTTTTAGAATTTAATTTATTAATTTAAATTTTTTTTTCATTTTCAGCTAAAACAAATTTTCGTACACACACTTTTTATTTTAAATGTCAAATTAATTTAATTTAATTTAATTTAATTAAACAAATTTAAATTTATATTTCAAAGTTTCTGTTAAGATTACAGAAAAGATAAAATACAATTTATTTGTTTGTGATAGTTCTGTTTCATTTCCTATGAACAAGAATCCGAAGGCGCTTAGAAAAAAATTGCTTTTCAATTTCTTTTCTTTTTTTCACTTCGTTTTACTGCTATTCTCTTGCCAGGAATCAGGAGTATCCCATGTGATACCATCATGTGGCAATGTCGAATTAATATAAGGAAGAAGCCAAGCAATGTACCATCGATTTCCAAAAACTTCGAAAAAATTTTGTTTCCATCCAAGATTATAGGTAAATCTCTTTTTATCCTTTTCATTAGCCACACATCCGATAAAAACAAGTTGAAAATGATAAGCACACAACACTCCCGTAAATAACATTCCAATTACTGTGACAATATAGAGTAATAAATAAAATTGTTCCGTCGAACCATCGAAACCAAAGACAAAAATAGCCAATGGAAAGACAATTTTTAAAATTGACATTGGAAATTCAAAATTTATTCTTCGCCAAATGAAAAAATTATTATAATAAAAACTAAAAGCAGTGCCAACGAATAGATAAAATATAAACATAAGAAAATAACGATGATTTTTATGTCCAATACAGCAAGCAGTGAAAATACAATGATGATCACGTTTTAAAATACAAGTATTGCAAACATTACAATGCCATGATCGAGGTGGTGCCAATGCTTCGCATATTGAACATAACCTCCAACCGGTTTTTGTTTTTGCATCACTTGAATTGAGTAAAATTTGTCTTGTACTTGTATCGCATAATAATGTATAAGTAAAATTTCCCACTATATTTAACATGACAAAATTACCAAATATAAAATGAATAATATACAAGAAACTTCCATATTCATAAATGTCCGGTAACACTAACCAAAGTTCGAACCAATAAATAAGAGGTGTTATTATCAATATAAAAGTCACTGATAAAATGTCACTTACAGTTCGTGGTAAAATATTTTTTCGCACAATCATTATTATATTGTTTCTTTCTTTCGCACTTATTTTTTTTTCTTTTTAATAAACAAAAAAATAAAACTTAACACTCTTTTTGACACTTTTGTTTACTTCATTTGTTTGTTATGGAAACAATAGTTGTAGATTTCGTTGTCAGATGGCCAAAATTTGGCGGGAAATTTTAAATTAATTTTAAAACATCATTTTTTTTCGTATTTATTTATTGGTTGCGTAAACACTGTTGCAAATTTTGTAGATGTAAAGAAAAAAAACTTTATATACTGAATAGAAAATTAGAAAAAAAAGAAATTAATTATTTGCAATATAATTTTTTCTTCTTTTCCGGTGGTTCCTCTACTTGATCGATATTATCTTTCACTTTACTGAACCATAAATTTTTTCTATTACCATAAGATCTTTTGTATTTGTTGACAGTTATTTCCATTTCGGAATTTAATTTTTCTTCTAATTTAGAATTTTCAAATGCAGGTTTTGTTTTATGTGGATTATTAATTTTTCTTTTTAATTCTTCGGAATTTTTTGGAGAAATTAAATTCTCAATTTTCTCATTTACAATTGTCGAATATTTTCCAGTAGATTTATGAATTGAATTTTCATTAGTGTCCATATTATTGATAATCACTTTAACTGAATTTAGTAACTTTTTATTATTTTCCAATTTTAATCGTGTAATTATTTTTCTATCATTTTGTTTTTCTGAAACTTTGTCGTTTTTCTCCATTTCTTTGAGTTCATTTAAATTGAATGATGACAAATGTGGCAGATCTATGTATGGAAAAAAACATTTTTCATAGCGAAACAACAAATTTTACAACTCTGTTTTAAACAAAATACATAATAAAAATATTGACGTCGAAAATAGAGAAAATAATTTAAATTTAATTTTTTATTTTAAAAAATATTTAAACTATCATTCAACATATTCCAATTCTTCTTTAATATAATTAAATTCAAGGGGAAATTATTTTAATTGACTTTTAATAAATTAATTGTATATTTATTAATTAACATTTTATTGTTTAAAAATTGTTGAATTAATATTTTTTTTTTTTGAAATCGAAATTAGACTAAAATTTGTAAAAACAAATAATGTTGAAACTGATTTTCTCTTGAAAATTGGTAAAAAGGTAAATTATTTATTTATTAAATCTAAATCAATTAAAATATTAATAAAAAATTTGTATAATTTTGAAACTTAAATCAATTAAAATTTGGAAAAATTGAATTTCGAATAATTTGAAATATTAAATCAATTAAAATTTGGAAAAATTGAATTTCGAATGATTTAAAATATTAAATCAATTAAAATTGGAACAAATTGAAATTCAGATAATTTGAAATAATAATGAATTAAAATTTAGGTAAATTAAAATTCGGATATTTTGAAATTTAAATCGATTAATCTTTAGATAGATTGAAATTTCGTTATAAATTTTAAGTTTCGATCGTTTGAATTTACATTTGATAAAAATTTTAATTAATAAATCTGTTTTGACCAATAAAAAATTAAAATTGATTAAAAATTTGTATTACCTACTTGTAATTTAAATTACAATTTGAAACGAATAAATTTGAATTTAAAAATTTTAACTGATTCAAATTTTGATAAATGGAAATTTAAATTGTTGGTTAATTAACAAATTAGACTGAATTTAAATTTAGATCGATTACAATTTTAATAAAACAAATATTACATTCGAAAATTAATTGAATTATGAAAAAGGTATAAACAAGTTATCAAAATAGGTGAAACAGAGGACAAATTTAAAATTTTTTTCAATTTCTCAATTTTCCCTGACCTCCATGCAAAAAAAAAATTCTCCCTGACTTCTATGAATTTTAAAAAATTTTAATTTTTTTCCAAAAAAAAAATAAGAATTGTGAAAAACAATTTTCTTACCAGATAATAAACTGGGCGTAGTGCTTCGTGCCTGTTTTGTAAAAGGTGATTTCAATTTTCGTGGATTTAAATTTTCCACTTGACGATATTCATTTTGTTCCGGAGTGCGTGTTGATGGAATTTCTCTTGATCTTCTTCTAGTCTCTTGACATCTAATAGAACAATTTCGTCGAGTTCGATTAATTTTTTCCTGCTGATCAATAACATCAATTTTTCTTGATTCCAAATTTCTCAAATTATACGAATGTCTTCGAGTTTTAGCATTTTCCTCTCTATTCTTATAACCTGGTATCGATTTTCTATTATCAACTCTTAAAGACGTTGAGAAATTTTTTATTTTTCCCAAACGATCGGAATTCATTTTTAATCCACTTTTTTGTTCATTTGACAATTTAGAGTTTTGTATTTCAAACGTTAAATTTTCAGCTGTATTTTTAAATGTGGCTTCTTTATTGTTGCTTGAAACATATTTTTCCAAATTATTTATTGATTGAGAGGAATTATTTTGATAACTTGTTGACGGTTGAGTTAAATCAAATGTGTTTAGAGTTTGTGATTTTTCTTTTCCAAAATCTCCCTGACGATCGAGTGGATCCTCTTCTATTTTACACCAGTCCTGATTATTTGGAAGAGTTTCTAGCCAACGTTCAACATTTTTTATATTTTCCTCTTCATTAAATGAATCCGCGTTACTTGATGATGGAACATTATTAATCTTTGGTGATAAATATTTTCTTTCCTGAAAACATTTTGCAAAATTTCAACAATTATTAAATTAATTATTTTAAAAAATTATTATAAAAAAATATTTAAAAAAAAAAATAGAATTTATTAAATCAATAAATTATGATGTTAGATAAAATAATTTACTAAATTTTTTGTCGATCGTTGATGAATGAATGGACGTTGAAATTTATTTTTCCCATTAAAATCAATGGATTTCATTTTTTCAGCTTTAGTTGGTCCAGCACGATTATTAAAATTTCTTTGATCCAGTTTATTATTCATTATTGTAATTTTTCTCGACGTTTGACTGAAGTTCGTTTGCGCCATTTTGATAGATAACAAAACAAAAAGGTTTCTTTAATTTTTTTCCATAACAGTATATTGAGTTTTTAATAAAAAAAAAAAAAAAAAAAAAAAAAAATGCAACGAGTGTCAAATCTGTGTTTCTGCTTGTTAAATGATGGATTTTTCTATGAAAATTGAAATGGTTTAAAAAAATTATTGTAAAAGGAAAGTGAATAAAGTTGTCAGAAAATTTTGAAAAGTTTGTTAAACGATTGTCATTTCTATTTGATTTTGTTTTCTTTGTTACTAATTTCACGTTAATAATTTATTTTAAATAAAAAAAAAATTCTCAAAATAAAAATTATAAATCATTTAAGTTATTGAAAAAAAATATGATATATTAAAAATCTAAATTTAAAAATACTTATTAACTGTGTAATAGAATTTTTTATTGACTGCAAATTTCAAAAATAAATTTTTATATAATAGAATTAAAGAAGTATTAACAATAATAATTTTATTATAGAGAAAAATATTTCTTAATTTAAATAATTTGAAATATATAGATATATATTTTTAAATATTTTCATTTCTTAGCTTGAACATTATTATTTTGGAAGCGATAGAATTTATTCTTTAATTCCTTGACCAACGGCGTAAATATCATTAACGTCAGTTACAATTTTTTTTGTTTTTGTATATTGTCTTTTCTGAATTTTCCCTTTTTCGGACGATGTGTTATTCAATTTTTTTGAAAGTAAAGGAGACACAAGTGATGGTAATTGAGGCACTTCTGGTTGTAAAATATTTCTTTTATATTTTTTCATTGCTTTTTTCACCGCCGAACGAATTATCTGTAAATAGGTAATTTTATTTTACAAAATTCAGAAATAACTGTATTTTCCAAAAAATATAAGTGATAAAAACATGTTTAAATAAAATTTACAAAATAACTAATTTTTATCTATTAAAATTTGTCATAATTGAAGTTTTAATAAAATTAATAAAGTTTAAATTATTTGAATGATGATTAAAAAAAATGAATTTTTCTTTTGATCCTATAGGTATAATTTTAATTAATTTTATTTTAAATTAGAAACGTTTGAAATCTTTAAGATTTTATCAATGAATTTTAAGATTGTTTGAAATTTCGATTAATAGAAAACCTTAAATGATTAAAGTTTTCTAATAAAAAAAATATTGTTCAATTGAATTAAATTAAAAAAAAAATTGATGAAAATTAGAAAAATAGGTGACAAAATTTAAAAAAAAAAAAAAAAAGTAAAAATATGTGAAAATTTAAGATTCTGTGATTCCTGAAGGATTAAAAAAATTTAATTAGTAAGTTAATAGTAAAATATTTTTTACCTTTTCGTCATTATTATGCTTGTTTTTGGGTGATAATTTTAAATATTTTGATGGCGAGGCAGATTTAGCAGCTTGTTTTTGAAGTTGAACATTTTTCGAAATTATCGAAGGCTTCAGTGGAGGAACTTCTGATTTTGCTCGTTGATTTTCTAAAACATTATACAATAATTTTTCCGTATTTCTTCGTGTCGGTGTTTTAGATGGAGTTCGACTTTTTGACGAATTTGTCTGAAATTACAAATTCAAAATATATATTATTTAATTAAATTTTTCCAAAGCAATGAAAATTAATAATAATTTTTACCTGGGAAATGGGGGTTTTGATTTTAACATGATTGTCAGCTGTAGTTGTGGTAACGTCAAGATTTTTTATATTTTTTTCCATAAGCATCGTTTCAGAATTAGTTGTTGATTTTGGAGGAAATTCCAATATTGGCAGTGTATCTTTTTCAACTTCTTCTTTATAATAAGATGAAAATTCCTTATCCAATTGAATTTCTAATTCCTCAATTAGATCAATAATAATTGGACCAATGTGACTATGAACATTTGATTTTTTTTGCGATAAATTTACCTGGAATTAAAATTTTCTGCTTAGATGAAAAATTATACCAATTTTTTTCTAATATTAGATAAAATCAATTTTTTAAAAGTATTAAATAATTAAATTCTACCATCGGTGATTTGGACATTATATGAGATTTTGAATCCTGAGGTGAAGAACCAGGTTTTCTATCGAAAGTTGTGATTTTTGTTCCTTGTAATGATAAAGCAGCGCCTAAATACGGTTGACAACTTGGCATTCTCTGCTTGTAAGACAATTCAAATTGTCCTGTTTCTGCATTTTTATCTTCTCGAAAATCGATCACAACTGTTTGAAAAAAATTTGTTTATTTTCATATATATACATAAAAATTTATAAATACATTTGTAAATAAATTTATAATTAATTTTATGATAATAATGGATAAAAAGAAATATAGAATATTTATAAATTTAATAGAATAGCAAATAGTAAATAGTAAATAGAAAAATGTTCTGTTTAATAATCGCGTTTATTTATTTTTTTTTAAATACCTTTTATGACGTCTTCCATCACTTGTCGACATAATCTGGTAGTGACAGCACTTGAATTACTCATATCGGGATGACTGTTAATTTCAATCAACCAAACGGAAAAATCATCCATTACCATAAAATCAGCACCATAAAGTTCAAAACTATTTCTTCTTCGATCCATAGCCTCTTGGCTCGCCAAAAGTGAACCCACTAAACCCTGTTTCATTCCAGGATATATTAATTCGTCCCATGCTTCACTGTGACCTTTGGTTCTGTAAAATATAATTGAATTTTCAATAAACTTCGAATTTCGACCAAAAATTATTAACAATTATTATTGACTCAAAGTGATTGATAATTTTTATCCAATATTTTTTTTTTTATTTAGAAAAAAAAAATTAAAATAAAAGTAGAAAATTAATATAAAGTCTTAAAATTTTTTTTATAAACGTTAAATAAATTATTTTTTTTCGAAAATTATTTTCAATTCTCACTTTAAAAATTCCTTAAATGTAGCTACGTCCCACATATTGTCATTTGGCAGTGCAGAATTTCTATCAGTGCAATTCGTATATTTACATTGCACAGCATGATTGCAAAGATGTATGGATTCATGGAAATCAGATAATGTAAATTTTTGAGAACAAAATCGCAGATAGCTTTCTCTGAAAGAAAATAAAAATCGTATTTTTTTCTTATTGTATACACACGCATAAAGGGAAAAAAAAGAACATTAGGAATAAAATATAGAAAAATTACTCGCAATACTGTGAATAAATTGTCAAGTTATAAATTTCAATGATATAAATATGTTTTTATATATATATACATTTAAACTATAATCTGATACGACTAAAGTAATTTTCATATGTGGGTTAACAACAGTCATTGATTTACTCATTGGCCACAACCTGTTATTTCCGTAAGCAGAAACCGATTCTAAATATAGTGCGCAAAACTTCAAACTAATTGTTATAGTCTAATTAACCCAAAATGCAAATTTTTATAATATTCTAATAAAAAATGTTTTTATTATTTTTTTTTGCAGTCCATTATTTAAATCGAAGTTTTAGTTTTTTAAATCTAGTAGAAAAAACCGGAGCGCATGAATTTTCGATAAAAATCATTAATTAAAATTTTCATTTTAAAGATTTTTAATAAATATAATTTTTTGTTAAATTTTTTGTTTGATAAATTTTCCTTTTTTTAATTAGCATTTAAACGAATTTCTTTTTAAAACGTTTTACATAATCGATTTTTTAGATAAGAAAATTTTTTTTACAAAAATTTCTCTTTATACCAAATTTTTTATTTAAAAAATTCTAATTTAACCGAATTTAGCAGAATTTTCAGAATTTTAACGTCAAATTTTCATTTGTCCGAAAAAACAATCGGCGCGATTTTTAAAATTAACCAATCACAATTTTATTGATGATTTTTAATTAGTCAATTTTAAAAATCGCGCCGAAATCATTCCGTTGGTTATTTTTTGCAATTTCAAAAAAATAGAAATTCGGCGTTTTAAGAATATTTTATCAAATTATAATTTGTGCAGTTAAACATTCGAACAAATATTCAGGCATTTAAAAATTTAAATCACTTTAAAATTCGTTTGGAATGAGAATTCTGCTAAAGTAATATTCGGTTAAATGAGATTTTCAAAAATAAAAAGTTGAATAAAGGGAAATTTTGTAAAATTAAATATCCGGTCAAAAAAAAAAAAATTCGATAATTTTTCTAAAATTGGTTGAAAAAGAAATTCTGTCAAATGCTAATTCGGAGAATGAAAATTCGTCAAAAAAAAAAAAAAAAAAAATATTTAATAAAATTCTTTAAAACGAAAATTCTAAACATTGACTTTTATTGGAAATTCATGCGCCACAAATAATTTTTTTTTTTTCAAATTTATATACTCACTTGTACAGCCATAGAGTTAAGGGTTGAGCACACGTTATCATGAACCATTGCCGAATATCAAATTTTGTATCGTGGATTAAAAGTGGTCTTTCTGTTAATGCAGAAAAAAAAATTATAAATATTTTTGAGACGTATGAATTCTAATTTCAAATATAATTTCTATTTAACTGAACTTTTATAAAGCAAATTTTATATAATACATTTGAATTTTTAAATAATACAATTTCCTTTTAACACAATTTATAACTAGCGAAATTTAAAAAAATAATTTTTATTAAAGTTCAGTCAAATGAAAGTCTATTAAATCAAAATTTAATTAAATAAAAATTCTTCGTTATGAAAATTCAACTCATTATAAAATCTCTATAAAATTTTGAAAAATAAAAATTCGATAATTTTTAATTTAACACGAAAAAAATTCCCACAAGTCTAATGTGGAGAATATTCATACGTCCCATATTTTTAATTATAAATTTGAATTTTTTATAATCTCACCTATATATTTCTGAACAACAAAACGAATATCGGTTTTATTTGCTGGATTAACTTTTACCAAGACATCCTCTAATTTATTCATCAATACAATTCCTCGTCCACGACTTTTATAGCCTGGTTTTAAAATCCAAATATTTAATATTCCATCCATATCCAATTGTGGCCAATATTTTTTAGCCTTTTTTAAAACATGACGAGAGGCAAGAAAATATTTCTGTATAAATTTATAAATAGTAGATAAATAAAGTAAAAGGAAAATAATAATTTGTATAGGTATACTTACAAATAATGGGGAATAAAAATTTAACAAAATTGATTTTGTTATTTATTAAAAAAAAATATATACATATATAGGTATCGATAGATATTAATTTTTTTTGATGAAATGAAAAAAGTAAAAGAATATAAAAAAATGAAACTTTCATATGAGCTTACTTGAAAAGGGACATTGTTGCAAACAAAGAGAGCTTGATTTTGAATAATTTTGTAATACCAACAGATAAATTGATCCCATTGATGTGACCATACTCTCTCGGTCTCTTGATCAATATCCTCATGTGATTGTGCTCCAATATAATCGCTACATCTTCTGATAGCAAAATCTAGTGCTTTTAAAGGTATCGTACCTGTTGGTGACCTCGCGGAATTTTCACCCTCGGTGTTGATTTTATCAACCAACCATTTCAGCAGTCCAAAGCACGCTGTCAATCTAATATTTATTTAATTTTTCTTGTTATTATAAAACAGTAATAATAATTGACAGAAAATAAATAATAATTATTTCGAATAATATATTCAACATAATTTAAATAAATAACAAATTTAAATATTACATTTCCAATATTAATCAAAAATATTTATTCCAATATTTTCTATTAAAAATTTAATTAAAATGATTATTTTTTAATTAATTGTGTTACATTAAAATTGGAGTTCAATTCTCAATTCTCTTTTGAACAAATTGTATGTGAAAATTTTATTTCAAAAATAAATTTAAAAAATAGTGAATTAAACATAAGCTTCATATTTGTATTATTCTTTCAAATTAAATATAAAAATTTTTGTTAAAAGTTTATTTTTCTCTAAATTTAACAAATTTTGGAAAAAAAAATTTAATTTAATTTAAATTAAAAGAATTATTGAATTTGACTGCTATAAAATTTTAATAAAAAAGGTATTTTAATAATGCAAGTGAAAAAAATTAAATTTTTAACATTTTGAACCATTAAAAGTTGGATTTGAATAAGAATTATCATTTTCTGACAATGGGAAACGATTTAGATATAATAGGGTGAAATTTTTTTAATTTTTCTCCAATTGCAAATTTTAATGAATCAAAATGTTCAAATAAAAATATAAAATTGTTTACATTTTTACTGAACAACTTTTATTTCAAAATTTTTTTTTTTTTATAAAAAATACGAGAATAGTTTGTTTGGACTAACTTTTGTTTTTTCAAGTAATTGAATTTGCAAAATTTAATATTTTTTTTAAACATTTGAATTTATTACATAATTGTATTTTATAACAATTTATAACAAAACAGAAGATTAACAATCTTTGTAATAAATTTATTTCTTTGATAATTATTAATTATTGTTTAAAAAATTTTTTTCAAGTTTGATTTATGAAAATTAAAAATTTCGGCAAAGTTTTTTAATTAAAATGGTTAAAAAAAAAAATCAGTCACTTTTTAAAACTGTTGTCTAAGGTCAATGCTTGGAAAATTATTAAGATAGAGAAAGTTTTTAATTGGATGAAATCTCATTATTTGAATTCAAAGAAATTTCAAAAAAAAAAGTCTAAGTCAAAACTAAATTTTCCAAACTTAATTTTTTTTTCTTCTCTTCTAATAAACGGTAATTTAAATTTTTTTAAGAAAAAAAACAGTTTGAAAGCAACTAAAAAGAATTATTTTTTTTTATCTAAATTTATTTATAAAATTTGAAAATTTTTTTTTTTTTTTACTTTTTTCATGAATGAAATTTTTTATTTATTAAAGAAGATTTGCTTACCGAAAATCTTCGATAAAAGCGTGCATTTGATCGCCTTGGCACAAGTTATAACATCGTGGAAAAAGAGTATTTGCCACACCTGCTTCATAATACCAATGCATTTGTCTAACGTTCGAACACAGGCCCACCTGAGCAATTGATTTTTCACAAGTTTACCTTCTTTTATGGTCCAATTACCAACACGATTTCTTTGACGTGCACACACGAAAATTCCCCCAACGTCAAAAATGTTATTCTACTTCGCACCCCTAATTTTAAACTCCCATTGTAAGACATTAACAACCCTTCGCGAGCAATAAACCACGAAATTTGAATTTAATTAATTTACACATCTTTTATTAGCATTTCCCGCAATGTATACGTAACTATGTTTAAAAAAAAATTATTTTTAAATTCTTTTAATAAAAAAGAATTTTATTTAAAAAAATAGTTTTATATTTTTAAAAATTTTAATTTTTTTTTTTTGAAATATTTTCTAATAGAAAAATAAAAGTTAATTTTATTTAGTATAATTTTTATTAATTTTGTAAGTTAAAAATTTTCTTTAGTAAATTATATTTTATAATTACAATGGTGAAAATTTACAACGTTTATGATCAATGATTGAAAAAAAAATATATATTTTTCATGTAGACAATAAAATTTTTTGCCTAAAAATTATTTTCTTTTAAAAATTATTACAAAAAATTTATGTAGAAAAATATTTTTTCTTCTACATTGTTGTGAACGTTGTGAACTTCACTACGATGTTTATATAAAATTAATCGAAATTATTTTCGTTTTACCTTGGATGTGAAACCAGCTCTGGAATATCGGTTAAAAATTGTCGTTTTATTATCTTGTGATGGCCAACCTGGCCATTCGGAACCTGCATTCCATAAAAAATCAACGGGATGATTACTGAGCATTTTTGAAATTAATTGTCTTTCACTTTGTTGATCGGTGAGATTGCCAATTCCAAATAAAAGTGCAACTGGACTCGAGTCAACATTTAAAAATTGTTCCGCTGCAAAAAAACAAAATTATTTCACTAAATTTAAAACGACTTTTCAATTCTTGAATTAGCATTTGACAGCATTTTTTAAAAAACGAATTTTTACTTTAAAAAATTTTTAGGTACTGAATTTTTATTTGACAGAATTTTTATATTATACAAAATTTATCTTTTTCTAATTTCTTATTTAAAAGAATTCCAATTTTAAATTTAACAGAATTCTAATTCAATCGGAATTTTATATGATTCTTTGTAAATTCCTAAAATCCCAATTTATCGAATCTTAATTTTAAATTTTCCATTTGCACGAATTGTTATTTAATAGAATTTTAAAAATTCCGAATTTTCATTTGTCCAAAAATGTAAGTGACCGAATAAATAATCGTCAGAAAGAATTTGGCGAAATTTTTAAAATTAACTAATCAGAAATTCTGCAATTTACAAATTTGAATTATATAAAATTCAATTGAACGAAGAAATTAGCTAAATTTAAATTCGGTTAAATTAGAATTTTTTTTAAATGAAAAATTGGGTAAAGAGAAATACCGTAAAATAAAAATTTGGCAAATAAAAATTCTTTTAAATGAAAATTCGTTGATAAAGAAATTCTGTCGAAGATTTATTTCTTCTGTATTATTAAAGCAGAAATTCCGTTTAAGCAAATTTCTATATTACAGAATTGTCACAAGAATTTTCATTTTACAAACTTTTTATTTCATCGAATTTGACAGAATATTGTAATGTGATTGGAATCAAGTTTCTCTTATAATTAATAAGTTTTTAGTAAATTTTTAAAAATTAGTTCCAAAATAAACTTTATTTTATGAAAAAAAACAACAAATTTTATACCATAATTGACCCAATTATATTGTCATACGGCCTGTAGTTAATAAAACAAATTTTTCAATTAAGATTTTAAAAACTTTTTTGTTTCTCGTCACAAGTATTATATGAAATGCCGATTTTAATCAGACATGCAAATAATTGTCTCTTTTAATTTTTAAAACTTGTATTTCTTTTTATATTGCTTAAAGACAACTTGAAATCTAATTTATCAAATTAAAATTTTCCCTAGCGTGCTTATAATTCTTTGATATATATAATTTAAGAACTTTTGTACAAAAGTCGTAAACCTTTTTTTTAAGATGCTCTAGTTTCTTTTCTTAACCTAATTTCGAAGATTACATAATAATTTTCAATTTGAATCAAGTTAAATGTCATTGAGTTTAATAAATAATAAATTTCATGGAATAAATTCATGAATAAAAACTATTTTTATCGTAAAAAATAATTTTTTTGATATTTTTTTTTTAACTTTGATCGTACGATCAAATAAAAATAATTAATAAAATTTTAATGTTTCGGTACAAGTTGAGTACATTCTTTAAAAAAAATTATAAAAACTATGAAAATTAAAATAATTACTTTTAAATAATAATTATTTATTATTTTTGCCCTGGAATTTTAAAAATGAAAAATAATTATATAAATTATTAGTGTAATTATAAATAGAAGAAAGATATTTTTATTTTACCACTATTAGGTTTTCGATAGAATTTTTCACACCAGCCTCTTTTTAATAAACATTCTCGTACAACTTTTGATCTTCCATAAACCATGAATGTATGATGAGCAGCTATTGCGTCCTTCACTATTTGTTTAATTCGTAAAAATCTTTCTTCAAGTGTTGGAGGAATAAATATATTCACTTCATCATCATCATCATTATCTTTTGACTCTAATAATTCTAAAAAATAAATAAATTTTAAATTCCGTTTAATTTTCTAAATAAAGAAATAAAATTAAAAATATTTTCAAATGAAAGCAAAATATGTGTATTAAAAATTACATTTATAAATATTTTTTCAATTACATTAAAAATTAAATAGAAAATAATTTTTTTATTTTTAAATATTAACTTTTTATTTTTAAATTAATGACTAATTAATGAAAACAGACCATCAATAACTTTTTTATCCGGTTCTAGATTATTATTATTTGGTTCTATGGATAAAATTTTTTCTTTATTGCTATTCTCATTATTGAGAATTTTTTCCTCTTCATTGTTGTCGAATTTTTTTTCCTCGTTTGACACCAAATTTGATAAATTCTCATTATTTCCGTTCATTAATGTGTAGTTTTTTTTTTTTTATTATAAATATATATTAAATATTACGTTGAATTTCGTATATTTTCAAATTTATGGGAAAAGTTTCATCGCCCTTTTTTCTTGATTGATCTTCAACTGCGATCTAGAAAAAAAGTTTTAAACAATTTCATGTTATAGAGGAATTTATATCTTGTGAAATTAAATCTCAAAATGTTTCAACAATTCTAGGTCACATACATAATTACACTTTTTTTTTTGTCATTGACAAAATAAAGAAAACAAAAGTTTGTAACTTGAACAGAAAATTAGAATTTTTTTTAATTATAAAATGAGATAAATTTTAATTATTTAGAAAATACGATTAGGTATAGAGGAATTAACAAATACATGAATTAATAAAAAAGAATGTCATAGATATTAAATATTTAGTTTTTTAAAATTTATTTTTTTATAATGATAATTTGAAAAAAAAACAAATTTCGGACTAAAAAATAATCTGACAAAAATTTTACATGTAAAATTTTTTTTTTACATTATTATAAATGATTTTAATTTGGTAAATTTGGTAAATTTAAAAAAAAAAATGAAAAAACCCTTTTCTGATGAAATTGGTTTAAATTTCATAATTTTTGATTTTTAAAATATATTTTTCTAAAAATACTATGTTTTATAAAGCGAAGAAAAATAACTAGTGGGAAAGAAAAAATGGTAAAACTTTGTAAAAAGTACACAATGGAGAAATAAAATCTATCTATATAAAGCGAAGAAAAATTATTATTAATCTTTTATTTAAAAAAACTTTTTTCTGATGAAATTCGTTGAAAAATATTTTTCTAAAATATGTTTTTCCAAAAATACAATGTTTTATAGTAATGTAAATAAAAATTATTTAACGTTAAAAATAATATAAATATCCATTTTAATTGAAAAAAAAATTTCCTTTACAATTTATTATTAATTTGCCAATTATTTTTTTCTGAATTTGCCATTTTCAGTTAAAAAAAGTAATTTTATTAGATTCAAAAAAATAATTCAAAAAAAAAAATCCAAAAAAAAAGAGTTGAACTGTAAATTTTAGAAATGAAACTTCATTAGAATGTAAAAATTTAAAAATTAAACTTAATAGAAAAAATAAAAATTGAAAAAAAAGAAAATATTTTTTAGAAAAAGTGTACTTTAATCAAGTTTAGAAAGCAATTAACAAAAATAAAAGAAACATGAAATATATAAATTGAAAATTCTTCTCGTAGTGAACTCTAATGGAACCTGTTGAGCTGATGATGTTTTAGGGATTTCTACAATTTCTAGCTACAAATAAAAAATAAATTTTAATTATTTACAAATAATAATAAAATAATTTGGAATAAATAAAAAATTTTCTACTAAAATAAAAAAATGATAAAAAACAATATTTTAAAAATATTCTAAAGAAACAAATTTTATATATATATATTTTTTGGTATAATTTCTATACCTTCAACATTTTTCTAGTTATTGACGAAAGTAAATTTAAGTTGAACACCAAATAAACACATTAATATTAAAACAAAAAAAAAATTAATTAAAACAGTTTTTCATTATTTTCAATTTTCGAATTAAAAAATTTTTTTTTATTAAAAATTAAATTCTTTAACAATATTAAAATTAACATTTTTTTTTTTAAATCAATTAATTTTAAAGTTTTAAATTTAATTTAAGAGAAAAAAGAACCGCAAAAGAGATAGATGTCTGAACATATTTGCGTGTTGTAAAGAACTGAGGACAGATGATAGTGGCGGTTTATCCTAGTGAACGAACTAACTGGGTTGAGTATGGGTATATGTAGAGAAAAAAAATGGGGGGGGGTAGAATGGAAAGGGTTTAAAAGCTTATACAACAGAATAGGCGTACCAGGCACCCTGATAGTCCCATTCGCCTTACCCTCACCCACATCTTTAAATGCCCACGAATCTAGGCAAACTGTACAAAGGCCAAAGCCAGGGAAGGGTTAATCAACCCTCTCTTCTCTCTAATCTGACCCACTTTTTCTTCATAGAAGAGAGTAAAATCGAGGTGCACTCATAGACATCAATTAATGTCTTACCTTAATTTGTTAAACCCCTAGAATTACTCAAATAAAACATTTTAGATTTTAATGCAATTACATTTACACTTTCTCTTTTAAATGGTTGTTTATATTAGTGCACAATTCAAGAAAAATATTACCAAATTATTTTAATTTTTGCTTTAATTTATTTTAATTTATTATTATTTAGTTATATTAGATTAGATTAGATTTATTTCTCAATGTACATCTTTTTGGATTTATACATATTTGCTTTCCCCACACTATATACATTAAAACTAAGCTAACAAATTATTATAATATATATAAAAAAAAACTATTTAGTTATATTATTAATTTTTAATTTAATTTTTAATATTAATTAAAAGGCAAAATATTAATAGACTAGATCAAATTTCAAATTTTTGTAGTTGCGAAAATAAATTTTTTTAAATTATAAATAAAAAAAAAAAGTTATGCAGGTAGTCCAACGATATTTATTGAGAATTGATTTCATAATAAAATATGTTTTTCTGTTTGAAAAATAAATATGTATGTATTTTTTTTAAATTTTCATTTTTTTTTGTAATTTTTATGAAAATATTTTAAGATTTTAACAAAAAAAAAAAAAAAAATAGTATTTTCCAATTTTACGTGATCTGTTTGGAAAATTTTGAACCACGTATTAGTACCTTAAAAATTCGAAGGAAAATATTTTTTTTCCAAAAATTCAATTATTATCGTTTTCCAACATTTAATGGTTTTTATGATATTTTATAAAAAAAGGAGGGAAAAAAATTGAAAAAATATGCCTAGGACTAAATTGTAAAAATAAAAAAATTCCAAATTAAAAAAAAATTATTCAGGCAGACCAACGATTTATTGAGAAATAACTTCACAATAAAAGATATTTTTCTACTTGAAAAATAAAGATTTTAGTAAAAAAAAATAGTTTTTTTTCCAATTTTTTCTTAAAAATCTCGAAACTTAAATTTTCAAACTATTTAGTTGGTTCTAGGAATATTTTTTTTTTGAGTTTTTTTTAAATACTTTTTTTTTGGAAAATATCATAAAAACTGAAAAAATCATAAATGCTGAAAAAAGATAATAATAATTAAATTCAAAAAAAAAAATCTCTGAAAAGATGTAATTAATTAATTTTACTATACTGTTTTACAAAAATTGAATTTAATTAATTTTTTTTTAAATTTAATAGAGAAAAAAGTACCTTGAGTAATAGAGGAATTCTTTAGATAAAAATTTTGAATAATAGAATAAAATAAGAATTTTAACTTTTATTTATTTTTAAAAAAAAAAAAAAGTTTGTGTAAATTATACGAAAATTTATTATTAAAAACTTAAAAATTTTGAGGTTGAAATTAATCAAAAATGTCTTATAACATATGAGTGCATATTGAAGTTAGTTTTTGTAAAAATAAAAATATTCTTTGTTTTTTGAAAAAAGAAATAAAATTTTCTCTCCAAAAAAATTATTTTTAAAAATAAATATTTCTTTTGAAGAGAATTATTTAATTAAGAATTAAAAAAATATATTTAAAAAAAAAAGTTGTCAAACTTATTGCATTATACTGTCAATTTAAATACTATACCAAATTCTATCAATTTGAGATGTTTTAAAAGTCAATTTTACAAAAAGTATTTGAAACAAAATTGTTCATTAAGAATGAAAACTTTATGTTTCTTTCTATTTGCAAATATTAATTGTAATTAAATATCTCCATACCTTAATTGGTGACATTTTTATAAAAGCAAAATCCATAATCCATTCATCGATCAAATAATCAATTATTGTAAAAACAGCACGTGTTTTTGAGGTTAAAAATTCCAATTGAACTGTTTTTGTCTCTCGGCCGTCTCATAATTAATCTTAGTTTTATAAAAAAAATAGTTGTTAAAATAAAGTGAAAAATCAAAATATTCCATGTATCAATAATCCTGCAATGATTGAGATAATTTTGTTTCATTTTTATGATGATGCAAAGAACAATGTTTACATACTGCATACTTGTATGACAGGTTGCTTAACAATGTATATGAAACTCAGTATTCTGAATATATAAATATATAATCATAATTGGTTGTTATTATTACTATTATTATTTATAAAAATACTTTTAGTACACAGTAAATTATTTTTTTAGTAACTTGTAACAATTTATTTTCAAAGAAACACAAAAGAAAATTAATTATTCTTTTTTAGATTCAAAATGAGTTAAATAAACTGAACTACGTAAGTCAAAATAGCATTCTGCGCAAGCGTGATCTGCACGCGTTCTAGCCGCTCGTCTGCTTGAGCCAGCTGTTCAATGCTCCTTTCCTCATTCCAATATTCCAAATTCCAACCTATACTTGTAATAATATTTCTATAAGATAAAATCAAATAAAATGGGGCATGTTATACGTCAAGCGGCCTTATTTTTACTCTCAGAACAATGTATAAAACGATATTTCGACGAATATGACTTTTTACATGGTAAGTAGAAATAATTCTTTTTAATATATTTTTTTAAAAATTACATTCATTATTTTAAAGTAAATTTCATTCTGTAAAGTGTCACGTATATTATACATTAGCCACATCATCCACATTTAATGTATCTTATTATTTTTTTCATTTAAATATTTAAAAAAAAAATAGTTTTTTAATTTATATTCAACATTTTCTTTCAAATAGAAATTTTTTTTTAAATCAATAAATAAATAGATCGTTTGAAATCAATTTTTATATATAAATTGATTCAACAATTAAAATAAATAATTATTTATAAATTACTAGAATTGTACTATATTAATATATATTTATATATATAACATAATATAATATATATTTCTTTTTCCAGTTGAATGTTTTAAACAAACTCTTAGCAAAGGTTTGGGGATACTAATTATTCTGGGATCTTTACTTGGTAAGTAATAAATTCAACAATAAATTAATAAAAATTACATTATTGTTATTTATTAGCTACGATTATTTACAATTTTTAAACAGAACTAAAAATTTTAAAAATACATTTAAAATTTTTTAATCAGATAAGTTATAAGGATTGTTGATAATTAAATTTTAGAAATAATATCATTATATTTCGTAATATAATATAAAAATAAAAAAATTTTTTTTTATCATGTCTATTAATGTGCATATTTTATAGCAAGTTTAAAATTATAAAAATTATAATTGTATTAAATAAATAAATAATTACCCTAATTTAAATACAACTTTACAAATTTTGTAAAATTTCAAAGCAAGATAATTTTTATTGAAATAATTTTACATCAGTTTTTAATTATTATGTTGTTAATTAAATTTTTACGAGGCCTTTTTTTTACGGAAAACAGGTGTTTTAAATTTTTTTAAAGAAATTTATTGTTTAAGGACAACATGTTTCGAGAGCATTATACTGTTCTCTTCAGATTCAATGGCTTTTTTTTTATAAAAAAATTAGATATTAATAATTAACAATTGACGAATGACAAACAACAACATTTTCCTGTAATTTTCCTTTAAAAAAAGGCCTTGTAAAAATTTAATCAACAAGATAATTTTTATTCACGTTTATATATTATAAAAATATCTACTAAAGCTAATATAATATAATTTTTATATTCAAAAATAATAAAATTACGTAATAAATAATTTACTTGAAATATTTAATTATTTTTATTATTAATATTATTTAATAACATTTTTATTATTATAAAATTAAGTGAATAAGCTTAAATTTAAAAAATAATATATTTTTATTACATTCAAATACATTTTTAACATTTTTTTTGAATAAGAAATTTCACTGAGTGTAAAAATTATTTTCTATGCAATTTTAATTTAGAATTATCTTGCGATAAATATATATGCAAGGTGCAAGGTTTTTCTTTACTAATATATTTATAAATGCGCAGTAAAATTTACTAGGTATATTAAAATTATTTAATTCTGATATAAATTAAAATAAATAATAAAATTTCCTTAACCGAGCGAGCGTTAGCGAGCGAGGAATACATCGCTAGTATATATAAAATCAATAAAGAAAATAAAAGTAATTTTGCATGATTTACAATTTTTTTTATTACAATAATAAAATTTATTTATTTAAGGTTTAAAATTTTTTTAACGTTTATGATAAATGATTTTTAAAGAAATATTTTTTTTGAATGAAAAATTTTATGAATTTTCATCTAAAATATATTTCTTTCAATATTCATTGATAAATTAAATTAATAGAAAACAATTTTTTTAGCTAAAATATTTTATAATTTTTTGTTTCAAAAAATATATTTCTCTAAACAAAATAATTTTCTTTATCGGAAAAATTTTTACAACCTTTCTCGATCAACAGATTTTTAAAAGAAAAAGTAAGCAAAAATTTTGTATTATTTTACTCCTGAAAAATATTTTTTTAACTTTTAATCGTTGATCATAAACGTTGTCAAATTCACCGTTGTATATGTTTATAAAATAAGCTAATTTTTATTTATTTATATTTATTTTCAGTAAAAGTGCCACAGATTGTTAAAATTCTTAATAACAAAAGTGCCGAGGGAATCAATCCCTTCAGTGTAATTCTAGATTTATTCGCAATTACTGCCGTTGTATCATACAGTTTTGCAAATAAATTTCCATTTAGGTAAGAATAATTTCTATTAACAAAAATATCTAATGAAAAAATTAATGCAAAAATAATATTCATATAATATTATTAATATATTACCTTCAAGAGAATACTTAATCTGAAAATACAAATTTTTATTTAATATTCCGTGCAAAAATAATTTCTGATAATAAATCATTTTTACGAGACTTTTATGGCGATATATAATGTGAAATATTAAATTTAACATCTACTTAATTTTTTTTCCTATTGATAATACATAAAAACAAACAATTTTCATTTAACAATTAAGATAAAATAAAGAAAGAACAACAAATAAATACAATTTATCAAATTTCATGTTAGAAATTGAAACAGAAAATACAGCTTTATCTTTGCTTGATAAAAATTAAAAAAAAATTTTAAATAAATTAATTCAAGTTTCTATAATTTTTTACCAAAGTTACAAAAACTACAGAATGGTAGTAAAACAAAAAGTTTTCAAATTTTTTTTTGTGGAAATTTTTCAATAAATTCGAAATTTGAACATTAATATTTTAAAATTTAATATTTCCGCGAGAACGGAGTAAAATACCTTCGTCAAATTTAAAAATAGCAGATAAAAATTTTTTTAAATTGAAAATTTTAATTGATTAATTGTTCAAAATTATATAAAAAGGATATAAAAAAATTGCCGATAAAAAATAATAGAAATTGTGGAAGAAGTTGAATTTTAAATGTATTAATAGTAAAATTTAAACCAATAAAAATTTAAGTTATTTAGAGTTTAAATTTTTTTCGACATATTTTTTGAATCTAAAACCATATTTTATGACAAAAAATTTAAAACAAATTTTTTTTTGATTATTTTACAATTAAAATTTTTTTTTTTAATATTTATTTTTTGAAAAAATTGAAATTTTTTAAAATCCATACAATTGATTGTTTAGAATCATGAAAAAAGTGTTAAAAAAAATTTGTCAGTGAAAAATAATTAAAATTATAAGAAAAGTTCAAATTTTAAGTTTTTAAGAATTTCAAGTTCTAAATTATTAACTGAGTAACAGTTTTTTTTTTAATTTATCATACCATATTATATTTTTAATACTCAATATTGTGAGAAAATAAATTGACAACTCTAAATAGCGTAAATTTCGATCTACCCTTAAACTTTGTATAGATATATTATTTTGGATTTATGTTTTAATATACCTAAGCACTAGATAAATATAAATGAAAATTCTCAATTAAAAAAATTAATTTCAGTGCCTGGGGTGATGGAGTATTTTTAGGATTACAAACATTAACAATTGTAATGCTTGTAATGCATTATAATGGCCAGACTGCAAAAGCATCGGCATTTCTTGCAGCTTATACAGCATTACTTGCTGCAGTTTTTAGTAATTCAATTCCTTTGAAAGTTCTTTGGGTTGGACAAACAATAGTTATACCAATTCTTCTCACCAGCAGAGTAAGTTTATTTATTTATTTATTTATCATGTATTGAAAAAAAGTTTACTGTCACTAAATAAAAAATTTCCATTTCTTTATTAGTTTAAAAATAAAGAATTTATGAGGCGCATAAAAAAAGCAGCACTAAAAATTAATTTATTAAAATTTTCATTTGACAGAATTTCTAACTCTTCGAATTTTTAAATCCAGGCCTCGCCTCGGATCGACTTTAAGGCACAAGAAAAGTCGTTTTAGTCGATTTATATTAGAAAAAAAGTCGTTTTTTTTCAATTTTAACAAAATTTAATTGGTTAATAAATATTTTACTTTAAATAACTAATGTTATTAGATATTAAATTCATTTTATTAATTCTGTAATAAAAATAATTCTATAAAAACCTTATTAAAAATTATTAGAAATAATTGAATTTCAAAAGATTTTGTTAATTTTCAGAGAATAATTAAATTTTAGAGAACTAAAAATAATTTATGTTTTGGAAAAAAAAATGATTTCACATAGTTGAATTTTTGAAAAATTGAATTTCAATTTTAATTGATTTTAAATTGAAATTTTTTAAAATAATTGAATTTCAATCAAATTTTTGAAAAATAATTGACTTTTAGTTGATTTTGAATTGAAATTATTTATTTATTTATTTAAAGTTATACACGGGCATGAGAAGCCCTATACATGAAAATGCAAAAATATAAATGTATATACATAATTGGACCAAAGGCGTCCAAAATCAAAAACAAAAGAAAAACTTTTAAGCAATGAACGACCTGGTATTATTAGAACGATTTTTAAAAAGAGTTGTGCGCAAGGATGTAATAAATCCTCTCAAACTAACGCCAAAGAGATCAAGATTCTCGCTATACAGATTGGCTTCGCGACATTATGAAGTTGATTTTAAATTGAAAATTTTTAAAATAATTAAATTTCAATTTAAATTTTGGAAAATAATTGTATTTTAGCTAAATTTTAGTTGATTTTGAATTTAAATTTGGAAAATAATTGAATTTTAGTTGATATTGAATTTAAATTTGGAAAATAATTGAATTTTAGTTGATTTTAAATTGAAATTTTTGAAAAAAATTGAATTTTAATTAATTCAGAATTTTAAATTTTGAAAATGATTTAATTTTAATTAATTCAGAATTTTAAAATTTTAAAATAATTAATTTTAAATTGAAAATTTTGAAAATAATTGAATTTTAATTGAAATTTTTTAAATATAATTGAATTTTAGTTTATTTTAAATTGAAATTTTTGAAAACAATTGAATTTCAAAAGATTGTATTAAATTTCAGACAATAATTACAATAAGTGAAATTTCTAGTGACTTCTGTTGATGAAGAATTTATTAGAAATCACATAAAAAAAATTGAATTCCAAAAGTTTTTAATTGAAAATTGCTTTCAGATAATTGAATTTTCGAAGAATATTATAAAAATCATTACAAATAATTGAAATTTTTGCAAATAATTAAATTTCAAGTGATTTTGAATTAAAAATTTTTGGTTATTTTATTTGCTAATTTTTCATTAAATTATAAACAATTATTAAATTTCATATAAATTTTAATTGAAAAATAGTTTAAGAAAATTGAATTTGTGATGAATTTCATTAAAATTATTAAAAATAATTAATTTAGTGAAGAATTTTAGTTAAAAATTTGTTAAATAATTGAAATAAAGAAGATCTGAAAAAGATCTGCATTGTATACTAAAAAAAACGTATTTTGTTAAAAAATTTTTTTTTTTAAGAGTAAAAAAAGTCGAAAAAGTCACATTTTATTAAAATAAGTCGAAAAATGTCGTATTTTTGAAAAAAAAAGTCGATAAAGTCCTATAATCCGAGGCCTGAACTCTTTAAATTATTGTTTATTATAAATTCCATTTAACCGAATTTCTATATTACAGAATTATATTATTTACTCTAATTTTCATTAAAAAAAAATAGTCATTTATAAAAAATTTTATTTCACAAGAAAGAATATTAGAAATAATTCGAAATTTACATTTTATAGAATTCTTAAAACGATAAATTTTTATTTTAAAGAATTTTCATTTTTCCGAATAAATATCTGGCAGAAAAATTTGGGCGTAAATTTTCAAATTGAACAGTTTTAATTTCGTTGATAACTTTTTGATTTTAAAATTTGTGTCCAAATTTTACTGCCAAATATTTATTCAGACAAATGATAAAGTTTTGTAAATAAATAAAAATTTTGTTTTTTAAAAATTCTGTCAAATGTAAATTCGAACAAATGAAAATTTGACTAGAAAAAAAATATTTCGAATATTTTGTTTTTTGTAAAATAAAAATTCTTTTAAACGACTATTATTTTATTTTTAATGAAAATTTGAGCAAATAATAATTTTGATAAATTTAAATTCAATGAAATCAAAATTCTATAGAATAAAAATTTGTTTGTGTAACAATTCAGTAATATAAAAATTCGGTTAAATGGAATATTTGGTAAATAATAATTAGAAAAAATACAAATTCAGTAAAAAGTAAATTCAATATAGGTAATGAAATTTTATCAAATGAAAATTCTAATAAATTAATTTTAGAGCTTATTAATGCGTCTCAAAACTTGTATTAAATTAGAATATTTAGTTAAATAGAAATTTTTCGATATGAAACATAGGCTCATAAAATCTATTTTATAAAATTCTGTTAAATAAAAATTCAATAATTTTTAATTCAACACCACAAAAAATATTATATTTTACGTTTCAGTTTATGCAAGCTCGTACAAATTATTTAAATGGAAATACAGGCCAACTTTCAGCAGTGACTGGTTTCATGCTCTTTTTTGGTTCTCTTGCAAGAATTTTCACATCGATACAAGAAACTGGTGATTATAGCATGATAATTATGTATATTTGTTCAACATCTGCAAATGCCGTTATTGTTTTACAATTATTATTTTATTGGAATGTCACACCAAAGAAATCACTCGAATCGAGAAAGAAGAAAGAATAAAGAATAAGATTTTATATAGAAAAATATTCCATTTTTCAAGTATTTTTTATTATTTATAATGTTTTTTTTTTATATTGATCTTTTCTGTTAAAATATGATTTTGTAGTTATATAGTCTCAAAAGTAAAATATTATTAACATGGTAAGTTTTCTATATTTATAAAAAAAAAATTTTTTTTTGTTTATAAACTTTGGGGCGTACATAAAAGACTTGATACATTTTTTAAGAATTACATACATTTGTAAATAGTGTATGAGAGCAGAAGGAAAATAAAGTATAATTATATATACAAAATATGTATATATACGTATTTTAAATATTTCTTAAGTGTATATTATAGAATTTTTTATATGAATTTTCGATTGATATTAAATTTATAGTAATTATATTAATAAATACTTAAAGAAATAATTCATGTTTTGTATAATAAACATTGAGTTTCAATTAAATAAAAATTAATTTTATTTATTATCTTCAAAAACGTAAATTCCCTCTTAGAAAATAAGGAAGCTGAAGTACGCAACGTTTATATAAACGATTTTTAAAGAAATAATTTTTTAAAATGAAAAATTCTATAATTTTTTGACTAAAAAATATTTTTTTATAATTTATTGATTAATGAAAACTATAAGAAATATTGTTTAGGCAAAAAATTTTAGAATTTTTCATTTTAAAAAATTATTTCTTTAAAAATCGTTTATGTATAAACGTTGCGTACTTCAGCTTCGTGGAAAATATTTTTAAAAGGAACTATAGAGAGATTCTTTTTCAATCGCCCCAGCCCAAAAAGTCAATGTTCTGGGATTGGCTTCATACTTTGGTAAATTGTTGTCCTATATGATAGTAATAAATCCCTAAAATATAAACTCATTAAAAAAATATTTGTAGAAAGTAGAGGGGGTTGAAGTTTTGACGTTAAGGGTAACATTGTCATTTTCAAATCCGTATAACTATGACAAAAGTTAATGTATTTTAATTTATCTATAATGAATTTTATTGCATTTTTCACGTACTTTTCAAAAATGTATACGAAATTTAAAAAAAAAAATTTTTAACCCCTTTTTTTTCAAAATCAACCCTTATTTTTCGATTTTCACCCCTTCGGGTATTTTTTTTTTTTTTTTTTTTATTTTCATTGGAAAACTGAGGTTTTTTCCGATGAGCTATGTAAATATGAAAATGGGACAACAATAATTTTGTGAGTAACAGAATATTAAAGTAGGCGGTGCCGATAAGGGGTGTACCTGGAGATCATCTTTGAGGATTTAGATTGGCACCGCCTAATTTAATATTATGTTTCTCACAAAATTATTGTTGTCCCATTTTCAAATTTACATAGCTCATGGGAAAAAACCTCAGCTTTCCAATGAAAATAAAAAAAATAAAAAAAAAAATTCCCGAAGGGGTGAAAATCGAAAAATAAGGGTTGATTTTGAAAAAAAAGGGGTCAAAAATTTTTTTTTTTAAATTTTGTATACATTTTTGAAAAGTACGTAAAAAATGCAATAAAATTCATTATAGATAAATTAAAATCCATTAATTTTTGTCATAGTTATACAGATTTGAAAATGACAATGTTACCCTTAACGGCACCCTTATCGGCACCGCCTACTTTAATATTCTGTTACTCACAAAATTATTGTTGTCCCATTTTCATATTTACATAGCTCATCGGAAAAAACCTCAGCTTTCCAATGAAAATAAAAAAAAAAAAAAAAAAAATACCCGAAGGGGTGAAAATCGAAAAATAAGGGTTGATTTTGAAAAAAAAGGGGTTAAAAATTTTTTTTTTTAAATTTCGTATACATTTTTGAAAAGTACGTGAAAAATGCAATAAAATTCATTATAGATAAATTAAAATCCATTAACTTTTGTCATAGTTATACGGATTTGAAAATGACAATGTTACCCTTAACGTCAAAACTTCAACCCCCTCTATTTTCTACAAATATTTTTTTAATGAGTTTATATTTTAGGGATTTATTACTATCATATAGGACAACAATTTACCAAAGTATGAAGCCAATCCCAGAACATTGACTTTTTGGGCTGGGGCGATTGAAAAAGAATCTCTCTATAATGTATTTTTTTTTAAAAAATTGAAACTTTTTTGAAATAAATAAAAAATGGATTTTTTTTTAATTATATAAAAATATTTTTTTTTCTTTTCATTAAACTGTAAGCCCGTACATAGTGAATAAATAAATAAATTATGATCGTTTTCATGGTGAATTAGATTTTTTTTTTTTTTTTTTGCATTTTTCTCGAAAACTAATAAGTTTTGACAAAACGTGCATATAAAAAAAGAGTATTTCAATGAGATCTACAATTATTTTTTGTTCTGAAATATTTTTAAAAAAATTTTGAATATTTTACCAGATTTTGATAATTTTAATGAATTCCGAAAAATTCGATTCTTTACAAGACTCAAAAATTTGTATTAGAAGAAAGAAATTTTTTTATGAAAATTTTTCAAAAAAATCGAAGGATACAAACCTTTTTAAAAATAATAAGATTTTTTTAATTTGCAACAAATTATCAATATTATTTTATTAATCTATGTAAATTACAAAAAATCTAGTTTATTCACAATTATTTTATTTTTTAAGCTTGCGAGAACGAAAAATTATAAAACCGTAAAATTACACAATGGAGAAAAAAAATCTTGCAGCAAATATTTAAAAAATTCATTTAAAAACACAATTTTAACAAAAAAAAATTAGAATTGATGTGTTTTTCTCAAAAAATTATAATTAAAAAATTAATATATTTTTATATTAAATAAATAAAAAAAAAAACATTAAATTTTTTTCTGTATCAGAAAAAAATAAAATTTTTTGCAAAATTATAAAAATTTTAATTATGAAAAATTTAAACAAAAGAAAAAAATTAGTCCTTAATTTTTAAATTATTTAATTCAAAAAAGTAAACTTAATTAAAAATTATTCTAATTTATATAGATATTTAGAGTAAAATTATTATAATATAGGGGGTTCACATAAAAAATTATAATCCAGAAAAAATTTAACGCAATTTATTATTATTTTCATAAACCTAAATCCCGCATCTACTTTGCGGAAAATGTTTACAAAATAAAAATTTTTTTGGGGAAAAAATTAAAAAAATTTACCTAATATAAAGATTAAATTTAACTTTTTGTAATAATTTTTATGGAACTATAAATATTTATATTTTTTTGTTATATCTATATAAACTTTGTTTTTTTTTTTACATAACAACGTTATAGCAACGTTAAAGTCGCCACTTACTTCCGTGCGCAATTCCTAATGCGCCGATAGTTTAGTTGATGAAACCGGAAATGTGCTGTCTGCGCCCACTCATTGAATTTGTAGTTTAGTCGTTTCATGTTGCTCAACGCAGTCTGACGACTTTGAGTTCACGTAATGTAGTGAAAAAAAAAAAAACGCAAATTATTTGTTCACCTAAAAGGTGATCTCAGTTCAGTCATTTTAATCTCTACGTTTTTTAAATCAACGGAACGTAATTATAGAAATTAAGGTAAGTTTTTTCCAGCAATCTGTGAAATGGAATTCATCTTTTGATTAATCAGTGGATGACGCGAGCTCAGCGAAAAGCGGAATGGTCGCACACAAATGGTGGCCATTTGGGATATTGATATGGCGTCTTTTTTTGCCTTCTATCAATGTGTTTATTCTTCAATGCTACGACCATTTTGTTATCGCAGAAAAATCAATATCGCGCATTATACTTTTCTGGTGATTTTATTCGCCCACACTATTGTAATCACAAATATTCATGGTATGTTTGACAACTTGGGTGTATATATATATATATATATATATATATATATATATATATATATATTTATATATATAATAATTTTTTCTTTTGACGGATTTTTTTATCCAGGTAAAAATAATAAAAAATAGGATGCGTTTTTCGGGTCAATATTTTTTACAGTTTGTTACAAGACGCGACACGAGGACTCGTAATTAACGCAAAGAAATCAATTTATCTTAGAAAACTAATGATTCAACAAAAATGATCTTATTTATAATAAAATGGACTTTGGGATTCGTCCTGGAAACGATGCATGAACACTGAAAAAAAATATTAGCAAATTTTTTTGGAAACTTTTAAGTTTCTATTGATATAGTGAGTTTGAGAAGCAATTAAATAGGAGTGACAATTTTGTTCGATAGAATTTAAAAAAAAAAAAAAAAATGCGTTCCAGTGGGTTTGCACTTAACTTTTTTTTTTTTATTCACTTTATGAACCATCAAATCTCACAGTATTACAGGTTAGGTTGTTCAGCGGAAATGGAGTCAATGGATGCTCGTCTTGTAGCGCAAGCCTTAAACTACCATGGTCAACAGTTGCAGAAAGTTTGGGAAAGCGAGCGCAACGATAATGAGCTTGTATTGCTTAACCTCAAAGAACCGAGTTTTGAAATTTATCAACAGAGACAAAAAACTCTCAGGTACTTGCAGTTAAATTCATTTCCAAATTTTTTCACAACATATTCAATGAGCTTGCACAAATTTAATTCAACGTTTCTATTTTACTCTCGTATGATCATTCAATTGTAATTTATTTTTTTTTTTTTTAAGTTGACAATGGTTTTGAGAGTAAAAATGTAATGAAAATGAAAAAAATTTGTGTTTTACATCGAACATTGTTTGACAAAATTATGGGTTGAATGAGCTTCCAGGATTTCCTATTCTAATTTTATGTATATTTTTCTAAGTGGTTTTTTCACGCTGATTACGAATCCCAAGTCGATAAAGTCTATTATGTATAAACAATACGGAAACGCGAAATTTTCACAGGGTCAATATTATTTAATAACAATGATGATAGGGAGAAAGAAAAAAAAAATTGTCACTGAGCTGCGTTATCTATAACAAATTGAATTAAACAAAAAAATTTTTTTTTTCAGTTATTTTTTACTACAAATTAATACCCAACACTGATTGTTATTTTCCACTTGTAAAATTTGAACATTTGTTCATTTTACTTGAATATTGATAATTTTTGATGAGTCAACATTGAAAAATTGTCTTAAAAAAAAAGTAATTTTTCATTTATACATTTAAGTAAACGAAAGATAAGGTAACTTATCAACCTCTAAACTTGTGTATAAAGAAGAAAAACAATTTTTTTTTTGTTACTAAACTAGATTATTCAAATCGGAATTTTTTTTTTATATTTCTTTTTTAAATTTACTTATTGAAACAAATGAATTAATTTCAAGTGGCTTATAACTTTTGTCATGTTTATGAATTGTTTAACCTTATTTTTGTTATATTTAAATTAGGTCATTATTAGGAAATCATTTTTCATCTTGGAAGTGAATTCAACTTTAAATTTTATCGTACCAATGCTTTAAATTGCATGATTAAGAAAAAAAAGCTTTTATTTAATTTAAAAGTCTCAGAATATTTAAATTGTTCTTTATTAAAAAACTTCGAAAAAAAAAACTAGATCAAGTAAATATTTTTCATGATTAAGAGTTACGTGATATTTTTTTTTTTTTTTTTTTTAAAGAGAGAAAAAGAAAATGGATTTATTCAGTTATTATGCATATATAGAAGAATAAAATTATTGATATAACTGTCACGACAAGAATTAATAGCTCTTCATAATTATTTATTCATACTCTGTTTTCAAACTGAGTAAACATTTTTATATATTTTTATCTTTTTTTTTTTTATGATATTTCAAAGTCATAAGATTCTCATGCTTTTTACTATTTCGAAATTTAAAAAAAAAATGGTTTATTTTATGTATTTAAATTATGTAAAAATGTAAATATTGATAAATTTTTTTCAAATAATTTTGTGCAGCTTTAGCGACAGAGGAAAGAGGCTTAAACTTCAACAGTTTATTGCTAAAAAGGCGGACGCTCTATATGATAAGTCAAATTTAGAAACAACTGCTGAGCCAATCAAGCAACAACTTGGTGATGAAGGTAATTTTTTTTTAACATAAACTAAAAGGATTTTTTGGCGAAAAAAAAAATAATGATTTTTTTGTGTTAAATAATTTTATGAGATTTGATAATAATTTGATGAAAAAAAATTTATGAAGAAAAGAAATAATTTTTACAAATTTTTAATATAGCGTTTTCTAAATCTTGTAAAATCAATTATAAAATAATAATACGGGCGTATTTATTGTTGATAATTGATAATGAAAAAAATTTTAAATATATTTTTACAATTTTTTTTTTTTCCTTTTGCTTTCAGAGTTTTATGCGACTATGCCAGGACTTGACTCGTTTGTCACAATGGAAAAATCACAACGCATTCGCAACTTTCTAGAGGTAATATTCTAATTTATTATAAAAAAAGTCTGGATTTTTGATTTAATTTCAAAATTTCAATTTATTCAAATTTTTAAACAATTTTAATTATCGTTTATTCGCATTTTATGAGCAACCTTGATTCTTAAATCTTGAATTTTTAAAAATTCATTTTTTTTGGGAGGGGGGAAATTAAATAAAACTTATTTTTAATTATATTGAATTTTTATCTAATTTCAAGCTGCAAATTTTTTTAAACAAATTAGAATTTAATCAAGAAATATGAAAACAAATTTTAGAATTTTTATTTTCAAGAGCGAATTTACTAAAAATAAAAGTTTTTGTAAATAATAATAATAATAATAATAGGCAAGTACATACATTTCTTTTTAAATATCAATATTTTTTAAAATAATCGATAATTTTTTATTTGCAATAAATTTTCAATCCTAAAATTTTATTTTGTTTTTTAGCTTCATGCGTACGATAAAGATATTTGTTTAAAAAAACAATATTTAAGTATTTTTTAGATTTTCAATTTTCTTTCTCTTTCTTTTTTAATTCGTAGACTATAATTTTAAAAAATGACGGAATTTTTTTTTTACTATTTGAAAACTCAAAACTTTAATAAAATTCTTAATTATTTAAAATATTTAATTTATTTAAAATTCTTAATAATTTTCATAAAAAAAAAAAAAAAAGATAAAAAAGGAACTTAATTTTATATTAATTCTTGTTTTTTTTTAAAGGAATTTATAAGATTTATTTAGTTAATATCTAATAACAATAATAAAACATTTATTAACTAATTAAAATTATTAAAAATGAAAAATCGACTTTTTTGTGCCTTAAAGTCGATTCGAGGTCTAAATATAGAATTAAGTTAACTACAATCGAAATTTTCAAGTAAATAATATACATTTTTAACAATATTAATTTTTTTTGCAGAGTTTGGTTGTGGGTGATGTTATTTATGCCCAGGTAATGGGAAAAAGTGCTGCTGGACTTCTTCTAAAGATTCTTTGCAACTGTAGTGATTGTCCAAGAGTAGTTCCTGATCTTGGTGTTAAGGTGAGTGTACAGTTTACATATAATGAGTATTAATAATTAGAATTGGATTTAATATTTAGAAATTAGATCCAAATAAAATTAGTAAATATAATACCATAATTTATATCTTAAATTAATAATATTATCTATATGAAAAAATACAGGATAATCACAAGTCAGGGAAAATTATTTTTTGTCAGGAAAATGAATGGGAAAAAAACATTTTTATTAGGAGAAATTTGGGAAATTAAACAAATTTACAGAAAAAGTAAATTTATTTACTTCCTGTGTGCGTTAAAAGTTTTGACAATTTTTTCCTCTAGAAGGGATCATAGGTTATCACTTATTCACCTGTTTAAAATTTTGTCATCAATTTTAATCATTTTTAACCTTTTTTTTCCTTTCTCATGATTCGATTAATTTGCGAATGTAATATTTCAAAAATAATCAAATTTACAATGTAAAAACATTTATTGAAGCTCTAATGTTGAAAAATAATTTATTAATTTTGAAAAGACTTTTTTTTAATATTTCTGAACTTATATTAATTTCGAGAAGATAAAATTACAGTTTTTCATCTTTTTTAAAAAATGATTCAAATTCATCTCAAATGGAATTTATCAAAATTTTTCATCGATTTAAAAATTATTTAGAACACATTTTAACAAATTTAAATTTTAATTGAATCATTTTTATTGATTAAAATCGTAATTGATCTAAATTGAAATCTGTTCAAATCTTAATTTATCAAAATTTCTGTTTAATTTAATTTTATTCGATTCAAATTTTAATCGATCTAAATTTCAATTTTAATTTCAAATAATTCAACTTTTAATCAATTGTAATTTTTATTGGTCAAAAATAAAAATTTATTAATTAAAATTTTAATCAAATGCCAATTCTATCGCTTGAAACTTAAAATTAATGAAATTTCAATTTGTCTAAAGATTAATTGATTAAAAAATTCAAATTAACAAAATTTTAATTTCTCCAAATTTTGATTGATTTAAGTTTCAAATTATCTGACTTTTAATTTGTTCAAATTTTATCTGATTTACATTTCAATTTGTTCAGAATTTAAATTGATTTTAATTTTAAGTTTTCCGAATTTCAATTTGTTCAAAAATATTAAATGATTTAAGTTTCAAATTTTAATTGACGTAAATTTTTATTGATTTCAAGTTCAACATTTTTTTAATTTCAATTTTTTCAAATTTTAATTGATTTAAGTTGAAAATTATACGATTTTTAATTTGTCCAAATTTTAATTAATTTAAGTTTAAAATTATTCGATTTTCAATTTCTCTAAATTTTAATTAATTTAAGTTTTAAATTGTTTACAATTTAATTGATTCAAATTTTAAATTATCTAAATTTTAATTTGTTTGAATTTTGATTGATTTTATTTTTAAATTATTCAAATTTTAATTAATTTAAGTTCAAATCTATCGAAAACTTAATGGATTCAAATTTAAAATTAAATATCAAAATATTATACCTATTCTATTAAAATTCATTAAATTGAAAAATATTTTTTTTTTTTTTGTTTTAATATTTCGGAAAAAATTGAAAAAGTTATTCACGTGACAATTGTGTAATATCTCATTGTTCGTTTTTGGTAATTTTGATAAAATTATTCTTTTCTCTAATTTACAGGCCTTGATTTTAAATACGGCCACAGTACCGGCTGTGGACAAGAAAGGTGTGACACGGGGGTACATGGCCAATGATCTGGTGTGCGTCTGTGTGAGTGAAGTAAACGTTGAAGCCGAACGTGTAGTTGCTGTCATGAACGTTAACCCTCGTGAGGGTCAAGCACCACACCCACCTATGGGTCTTATTCATACCGACGACCTTCCCGATGCTTACAAGTAAGTTTTTCCATCTAAAATCCATACTATTTTTTCTTTTCTTTACTTTAAAAAAAAAAAAATGAAAAACAACACCATTAGTATCAAAGAAAAACTCCTATTAACCTTTCAGCTCGTATTTTCACGTACTTAAAAAAAAAATCACGATTGCTTATAATGATGTTTTACACTTTCAAATTTAGCCGTTCTCACAAAAAAAAAAAAAAAAAGAAACAGGCACTTTAAAGTCAATTATATTTTATGTCGTACACAAAAACACTAGATGTATATAATTAATGTTATGCCGATGGAAGAAAGTGGAATGTTTCATAGTTTGGGGTTTTGTTTTTTAGGTATAAATGAAAGATAAAATTTCAAAATACAATCAAGTGAATTTAGCTTATTATTTATTATTAATGGTTATAGAAATTGATAAAATCATAAGGTAACGGGTCCCTTTAAAGGAACAGAAATTTCAAAAAATAAAAATTAAATATTCAAAAAATAATTTTTAAAAACGATGCTAAAGTACGCAATGTTTATAATCAACGATTAGAAATTATTTTTATTTAACACGGAAAATTGTTTATCTACAAAAATATATTTTTTTTTTATAATTTTTGAAACTTCTTTAAATACGAATTTTATTACAAAATATTGTTTTAAATATCTAAAAAGAATTTTATTAATTTTATAATATTGTTTAATTTACTGTTTTATATTACATTGCCATTATAATTTTTAATAATTTATAGATTGAAAAAAAAATATTTCGTTCATTTCAACGTTCAGAACTATTTTATGAATTTGGATCTTCTATATAAATACGAAAATCGAGGGGGAAAAAAATTCAATTTTAATATTACGTAAATGTTATTTATAATTTTGAGATTATTTTTCCATTAAAGTTATTGAATTTAAAAATATTTCTTCATACATTTAATTACAGTTTCAAGTTATGTACAAGAATTTTTTAATGTCCCTATTTATGAAACAAATAGATAAAAATAATTGTGAATTTTTAATGTGAAATGCATTTATATTAAAAGAATTTTTTATTTAATAATAACAAAAACTATATTGTTGATTAATATTTTTATTATCTGCCTGTAGTTCTGAACTGAACGAAATAATCTTTTTTTTGGTCTATAAATTTTTTTAAAATTACTACAAAAAAATTACATTAAACATTTAATAAATTATTAATTTATTTTTTAATACAGAATGGAATATTTTATAATAAAATTTAAAGTTTAGCATTAAGACTCATTATTATAGTCATTTAATAAAATTGTAGTAATAAAAATAAAAAGTTAGAATTGTAAATTATTTATTTAGTTTGTGTTTAATAGTAATTCTGAACTTTTAAAACATTTTCTTTTTATGAACAATTATTTTTTAAAAAAAAATCTTTTATATGATTATTAAAAAATTTCTAATTTCTAATTATTGTCAATAGGTCCTGTTACCTTATAAAAGCCATTGTACTATGATTTCTTTTACTTGTAAGAGTATTTTGAAGTTTTATCATTAGATATTTTAAACTGGGTATTATTTGCATATAGGGTTTTTCCTTTTTTTGCTGGGGTTTCTAAAATCAATATCTATTGTAAAAAAAAGGGTTACTGACATGAGGAAGATGGTATACGGTGTTATGTTCCTGATCGATACTAACAATGTATAAAAAAAAAAAAAAATAAAAATAACTCGGATTTTGATGCCTCTGACACATTTTTATGAATTTAGGTGCCAGACATTCTGTATAATGTTAATATTGATAGTCGGTATGACGATGAGTTTATATATTGAATTACAAATGATTCAAATCGTTACCATTGGTTGGTGTGGCTGCGTTAAAAAAAAACTCACTTTATATCCACGTTTGTGATATGATAATGAAAGTACAGGCAATGGCACCATCATTTGAGATCAATGTCTTTTGAGATTGATTTTTCCAAAATTGAGATGAATTTTGGCCTTTTAATTACATTGACGAGATGGGGTAGGTATTGCAATAAATTGAGTTGTTTGGTCTCTTTTTTGCTTTAATTATTAAAAATAAATTTTATTTTAAATTAATTGAACTATTTTAAATTTGCTTTCATTCAAAATTCTTCAAGCATGAAATTTTATGAAAAACTTTTTTTTTAGAGACCACACAATGAGAATTTTTAACTCCTCGACATATGAAATCAAATCTTAAAGGAGTTGCATCTTTTATAATAATTAATTAATCATTTAAACTTACAGCTTTTATTGTCAAATAAAAATGATGTGTTTCACTTGACACCACAAAATGCAATATAAAAAAACAAAAATCTTCTACTGCGTCTAAAATTTTTTTGGTCGACTTGGAAGAATAAATGTTTACTCGAAGCGTGGCTCAAATACAATCCTAGGGCTATGCAAAATTTATTTTATCGCACCAAAAAACTTTAACAAAAAAAAAAAAAAAACAAAATAAAAACAAAAACTAAATCACCATGTGACGATAGGCTGTGTGTGCTTTTGTATTGAGAAAAAAAATCTAGCTAAAAAAAAAATAAAAAATAAATATACACGCGTCTTAGCGGTTTTTGCGAAAGGTGAGAGATGAGTTTACCTAAATATTGAGGTTGTGTATATATATATATAACTAAATTTTCTACGCTATAATGAAATGATCGGGTAATAAAAATGAAACTACAAATCTTCTGCGCCACGCTCGTTATCCATTTAAATACCGTGAGTTGCTTGCTAATAGTAAAAACACAGATTCAAAAAGAAACTCCAAATTTATCTGAATTTTTTTGATATTCGAATTTTATGGAGACCGAAGAGGAAAGTGCATCTATTATAAACAACAATGATATAAATATGGAGAAATATTGAGCAACGTGAGTGTGATATTTTATACAATTTATACAAAAAAAAGGACTCGAAATTATTATCCAGTTAAAAGAAGAATATAAAAGTAACAACAAGGACAATATATGGACTATAAATGAATTATTCGGTCATATATGATTATTGAATCACGTGTTATAACTCTTGGCTAAGCAGCTCCGGTTCGTTTTTATGAAGAAAAAAAAAACAAACAAAAAAAAGTTTTTTTCTCTATTTTAATTTCTTTTTTTTTTCGTTTTGTGATCTAGGAAAGCAATGGACAACAAAGGGCAGAGTTTTGAATCTATCATGGATAATAGCTCTGGATTCAACAATCCCAACAACATTAAATATCTTTGCGACTTGATGTCATTGGGTCAAGAAAATTATTCAAACATGGTTGGTCTTAGGTGAGTTGTCAATTTTTAAATTTTTAAATAAAATTTATTTACAATTTTCAATAATTTTTTTTACTAAACAATTTATTTTTGTGTTTTCTTTTTAGAGAGAAATTTACGCCAAATGAATATGGAGGCGAATTGAGACAAGCGCAAGCTAGTAAATGGGCATTCCGCAGTGTGGCGGAAGGAATTGATCATTTCAAAGCAGGAAGACACTCTGAAGCTTTCCAATGTCTTAATAAAGCGTTGGTGGTTGATCCACGAAACGTTGAAGGATTGGTAGCTCGCGGTGCATTGTAAGTTAACAATTTTTCTTTTTTTTTTCTTGAATTGAGTCGTATGATTGCTTTTAAATTCAAAATTTATATATGGAAATTAGATTATGCGAATTTAATTTTGATAGAATTTCTTATATTCTTCATTTTTTTTAGTGAATTTTCTTTTGATTGTTTTTCCAAGGTGTTCAGTAATCTTGAAAACATTGAATTTTTCTTGATTTTTTCATCATGAAAATTTTGAATTTTAAAACAGAATTTTGAATTATTACAATATTCTAAAATATTATTTATTTTTTCAAAAAAATATATCCGAAATTTTTGATGAATTATAAATCATACAATTTTTATTAAGTGAATTTTATGAGTAATTTTCGTATCGAAGAATTTCTATTTAACTGAATTTTTAACTTTTAAATATATAACATAAATTTCATTAAAAAAAAAAACTTATAACAGTTTACCATCTTTTTTATTTTCCAATATAGAAAAACGTGAATTTTTTTTTTTTTGCAAAACTGAGAAAATTAAATTTAAAATTTAACACTATTTTAATTTAATTTCCATCGTTTTTTTTTTTAAAGAAAATAATTTCCAAAATTATTTGTTGTAGATATGCAAATAGTGGAAGTTTCAAGAAAGCAATAGACGATTTTGAAACAGCTCTAAAATTAAATCAAACACATGCAAATGCACGTAAATACATGGCCGAAACATTAGTTGCATTGGGTCGTAGTTTTGAGGATGATAAAAAATTTGATGACGCTCAAAAAGCATATGAAAATTGTTTATCAATTGCTCCATATCATGAGGAGGCAAGAAATTCAATTGAATATATTAAAAAAAGAACACTCGGTTCTGGCGCAATAAATCCTTTAGAATCATTTAAATCATTTGAAGCTGAAAATGAAATTGCCGATGGTAAGAAAGATAAGAAAAAACGTAAAAAAGAAAGAAAATCCCGTTCGAAAAAAAGACAAAGATGGAGTTCAAGTTCAAGTTCATCGACAAGTGGATCTTCAAGTTCATCAAGTTCTGATTCAAGTAGTTCATCATCATCGGCTAGTTCACGTTCAGCATCAAGATCGCCATCGCGTAAAAAGAAACATAAGAAAGATCGTGGCTCATTATCACCATTGAGTAAACGAATGGCACAATATAATAATCCACCAGCTGCAAGTAGTTCATTACATGAATTAATACCATCAATTGGAACAACTGGATCGCGTAGTGGTGGCGATGGTTATGAAATGAAAGTACGCAAATTTTTAGATCAAACAAAAGATGATTCTGATTATGAAGAAAAGGTGAGTTATTAAAAATGTTTTTAGAAAAATTTATTTTTTTCAATTGTATTTTGAGGGGAGGTATCAGTGAAATTTTTAATTATGGGGTACAAGAGTTTTAAAACAAAAGTTCCAAATTTAAAAGATACAACATTTATTTTTCCAAAGTAGAAAATTTCCAAAGCTGAAAATGTCCAAAAGTAAAATGTCTCAAATTATAAAATTTTTAAAATAAAAATTTCTAAAGTAAAAAAAAAATATTAAACTGTTAGAGAAGTTAAGAGTTTTTATTTTTTATATTTTATAATTACCTTTAAAAATTGTGTAAATATTAATAATTATCACTTTATTCATGTTTGTTTACATTGTGGTAAAAATTAAATTTTCTTTTTTTATTAGAAAATAAATATTTTTCAAATTATTTTTTTATTCTTGTTCCAAACTTCCTTAGAGAATTCTGTTTTTTTTTTGCATTTTTTTTCAAAATTTAGTTTAAAAACATTCCGACAGTGGAAAGTCAAAACAAAAAAAAATTGAAAAGAAAGATAAGGATAAGGTAGATAAAAATATGATAAGCAGATATTGTTATAAATAAGTAAACTGCACTTACATTTCATATCTTTTATTAAATTTCACCTAATTCGAAGATATTTCTAGATTTTTACGATTTTTAAAAATCACTTTTTCAATTCATCAAAATTGGGAAAGAAAAAAAAACAATTTAATTCATTTCTAGATAAATTATCCAATTATTATTTCCAGAAAACATCGATTTAAAACAATTGATTATAAAAATTTATTTATAAAAGAACTTTAAAATTTTACCCAGCTGACGGTAGGTTAAAAGTTTTTTTTTTTTTTTTTCTAACATTAAAATTTCTATTTTAGGTGAGGAAATTCCTTGAAGAAACTGAAAGATGGAATAAAGAAAAGGGAAGAGAGAAGAAACATTCAGAGAGTGAAAAGTCAAAGAAAAAGAAAAAGAAGGAAAAGAAAACAAAAGATAAAGATAAGGAGGAGAAAAAGAATCGTAAAAAGAAGAAGAAGGAGGAACGTAAGAAACGTAAAAGCAGTAAAGACAAAATGGAAAGAGATTTGGAAGTATTGAAAAAGTCTTCCTTGCCAGATCTTGAACAATTGGAATCGAAGCTCAGTGCTTATTATGCTAAAGTTGAAAAAGAAACGGCTGTTTTAAAAAGGTTAGTGGAAGTAAATAAATGAAAAAAAATCTTTTCTTTTTCAGGTTTTAATTTTACACACTGCAAAAAAAAATTGTCAGTCATTTATTGTTTGTTCGTGTGTGTGTGTTTTTTTTTCTAAATGTTAAAATAATTAAAGACTGAGTTAGTATATTTTTCATATTTATTAGGTACGTTGCTCACTTTAATGACATGCCTTCCCCTCTTAGCAACGCAGAAAAGCTTGCTGAAAGCTCACGAAGAGAAGAAGAATTTCGCCGAGAGCGCGAAAGAGAAGAATCAGTCAAAGCCTATCATGAACGAGAGTCCCGTGTGCCATTAACATCACAACAGAGAAAAGGTAATTTTTTTTCTTCTTCACTTTTAATAAAATTATTAGAATTTGTAAAAAAAAAAAAAACACAAAATATATTTTTTCAGAAATTCAACGAAAACCACTTAACGATATTTTTGAACAAGAATCACAATTAATTCATCCGGAGTCAAAAATGCCTTCCTTGGATACAGCAGCATTAAATGCAAAATGGAAAGCTGCTCAAGCTGCTAGGTGAACATTTTTTTCTCTCTATTATGCTGTATTATTATTTATATGACACTAGTTTTTAATAAATTATTAAAATTCTCCAATCATTAATAAAAAAAAAAACAAACAAAATTGAATAATAAATTTATTCTTTTTAAATTAGGCAAAAAGAAGTGCATATGCAAAAATGGCAAGATGCATCAGAAAAGAAAATGCGAGTTGATAGCGATGAGGATGGCGATAATGAAATGGAGGAGAAATTACAACGACAAGCATTGGAGAAATTAAATATACGTAAACAACAACGAGAGCTCGCTGAAAAAAGAGCATCACAATTACCATCGCCATCACCACCAATGCCAAAAGAGCCACCACCTAAAACACCTGTTAAATATCCTTCACAACAACAATTACAAAATAAATTCCAATCATTGGGTGGTACACCTCAAAATAATGCAAATAAATCATCAAATAATCTTGGCGGTAAATTTCAACCAATTGGTCAAAGTAGTAATAGTGGCCAACCGCCAGAGCCTCCAACAAAACTCCCTGGCAATAAATCGAAAGGACCATTAACAGATTCAGAAAGTGATTCCGAACGTAGGGGTTCACCAAGAAAACGTGATTCAAGCGGACGAACATTGCCAAGAAGAATGAGTCGCGATCGACCGGCAAAACGTTCACGAAGTCGTTCACGAAGTGGTTCATCGAGTGGCTCGTCACGATCACGTTCTGGTCGACGTTCACGTTCACGTTCATATTCAAATAGATCGAGAAGATCGGGAAGTTATGAGAGGAAATACAGTCGCTCACCATCCGGTACTTATAGTCGTTCTCGTTCAAGATCACGTTCACGTTCATATTCAAGAAGTCGTAGTCGCAGCCGTTCCGGTGAACGTCGCTATTATCGTAATCGACAATTCCGACCTTATAACAATAATCGTGGCACATATTATAAGCCACGCTTTCAAAATTACAACAATCAAAATCATCGCGGTGGTCAAAATTTCCAAAATCGCAATCGTTTTTACAATAATCAACAAAATAATCGCTACAACAATAATCGACGTGGTTTTCAACATCGTTATAATAATTACAATAATCAAAATAATCGCGGTGGCCGCGGTGGACAAAATAATAATCGTGGTGGTAGATATTTTCACAATAATCGACAAGGCTATCGTGATTTCCGCGATAGACGTGACTTCCGTGATCGTCGTGCATATTCAAGGGACAAATATAGTGACAGAAGCTTTTCGCCCGATCCAATGAGAAAAGTTGATGAAGCCAAGGAAAAGATTAATAAAATTTTGGAAAGTGGTGATGATACGGCAAATCGTCAATCAACTGGATCGTCACAACAACAACAACAACAACCACAGCAACAACAACAACAACCACCGCCACCACCACCCAACAAGAGGCAGGAAGGACCTCTCAGCGAAGGTGAAGAACGTGATGACGATGACTACGAGAGGTGGGGCGAGGGCGAGGGGGCCGACACTACAAATAAGGTTGGTTAGATCTCTCTAACTGTTGAGTAAAAAATAAAAAAAAATAAAAAATAAAAACAACCACTGATGATGATAAATAGTGACAAGATAGTGAGGATTACGATGAGCCATTCGCGCACAAGATAACAAAATTACGAAAGGAAACAACTAACTCGATATTTGTTGTCAGAGCGAGGAGGCTGTACCTGGTGAGGAAAATCTGGAAGGCAAGGATACTTTTATTGAACGCATGAAGCAGAGAAGCAAGAACGTTTTAATTCAAAGAGCCATCGCAGCTAAAATTTGGTAGTAATATTCTATCATTCCTTATGAAAAGTTATTTCCTTCAAACATTTGGAGAACATGCCAATTTTTGGTACGTGTTTTTTTGCCACAATTTTCTTTGAAGACCTTCAGTGTAATTATTATTTTTTTTGCACTTTGGCCATCACACACACACACCTTTTCTTTTTATACAATATTTAAGTTAATTTTCTCGAATTTTCACCAAAAAAAAAAAAACAAAAATTTTGTTAAATTTTTTTGTATATGCATAATTGTATAGTTTTTTTTTTTTTAGATATAATCGAAAACGACGTCACCCTTCTATATAATTAAAAGAAAAGAAGGGACTTTTCTATATTGTCTTTATTTTGTTTATTTTTTAAATAGTTGTTTTTTTTCAATTTTTTTAATTTGTAAGTTCAGATGCGCTGTTATCTTTGCGCGTGGCTTATCGAATTTATCCTCATAGAAAAAACAAAAAACAAAAAAATTCTATGACTAAATTCTATTTCTGGGGAAAAAATTTTATCTTCTCTACAAAAAAATAAATTACTTTTTTTTGAGATAAAAAATGATGTGTACAATATTTTTTAAAAAATAGACGTGTACCAATTATTATTATTATATATTTTCGATTGAAAAATGAAAAAAAAAAAAAAAGTGAAATTGTCGAATGGAAAAAAAGAAAGAAGGAAATCTTATAAGTTGACGTTAATGATTTAAGATTTCTTATTTTGATTCTTCTTTTTTTTTTACAAATGTACCGTCGAAAATCCAACACAATCAACTTGTATTTGTTGTATGTAAACAACTTCTGTATAATTTAATATACTGAAAATATAGGCACAAAAATACTGAATTAATTGGAGTTAAATTTTTTTACTGTCATTTTAGAATAATTGCAAATGTGATGTCACAGAATGTTTGGAGAAAAAAACAAAAAATGTGTGATTAAACCAATTTTTATGTCTAGAAAACAGTTTCATTGAAGCAATTGATTTCACATGTAAATATTCTTCACAGATTTTCTTTCAAAATAATGGATAGATTGAGCTAAAATTTTGTGGAAAACTCAAAAATAGTATAAGGATTCGTTGTTATGTACCAAAAGTTTATTAATATATCGTTAAAAAATTTATTTTTAAAAAATTGCATTTTTGAGTAAAATTTAATATGTTGGCAATATGATTTTGATCATTTTTACAAATATGGAATTTGTTAAAAATAATTTTTTTTTATAAAATATAAGTACAATATGGCACATATCAACGAATCCTTAAACCATTTTTGAGCTATCCACAAAATTTAAGCTCAACCCCCATCAAATATTTTGAGAGAAAACCTGCGGATATTATTTACATTTATGTGAAATTAAAACAATCACATAAACTTAAACATTAATAATTTATTAAAATAATTTTTAAGTTAAGGGGAGGCACCACCTTTAATTTTAACCGACTTAAATTTAAATTATTAAACTGGGTTTATTTTTTTTTCTTGCATCATTTGGGTCCTAAAAACGTAATATATAAGGTGATCCAAAAAGAAAATTTTAATTTTTGACCATTTTAGAATTTTAATGAATTTAGATTTGATTTGAATTTTAAATTTTGAAAAATACTTAAAATTGTAAAATTAAATAAAAGAGTAAAATGATGTTTTAACTCGTATTTTTTTTCTTTTTTTAAAAAAAATTAAAATTTTTGAAAATCCATGCGAGAAATTCTTAAGTATCATTAAAAAAGCGTGGAAAAAATTTCTAAAATGGTCAAAAATTAAAATATTATTTTTTTCACCATTCTATATGTTTTTATGACCCAAATGATGCAAGAAAAAAAATATATAACCTCGTTTAAAGAGGAATGATACACCCATTCTGGCAAAAAGTAAAAAGTTTGTGACATTTTGGGAAATTTGTATTTTTTTTATTTAAGAGTGTCGAACGGTCTCTGAAATTCTTTGGTATTTAATAATCACCCTATAAAAACGGCACTGAACGTGAAAATGATAAACATTGATTTTAAAATACTTTTTTCTCAAAACGCGGACATTTTTTTCAAAATCGGAAAAAAAAACCAAGGATCCTTATCTTATAAATTTCTTAAATCCGAAAGATTGTGCAAATCTATACAAAAACGCAATTGTAAAATGAAAAGTACGAAAGTAATATAATTTTAGGTTTTATTACGTCCTGCAGCTGTTAGGTGGCAGAAGCATGCAGGGAGCACAATGTCGCAGCTGTCATTATATTACTTTCGTACTTTTCATTTTACAATCGCATTTTTGTATAGATTTGCACAATCTTTTGGATTTAAGAAATTTATAAGATAAGAATCCTTGGTATTTTGTCCGTTTTTGAAAAAAAATGTCTGCATTTTAAGAGAAAGGTATTTTAAACTCAATGTTTATCATTTTCACGTTCAGTGCCGTTTGTATAGGGCGATTATTAAATGCCAAAGAATTTCAGAGACCATTCAACATTCTTAAGGAGGTTCGGGGGATCATTTGAGGGGCAGGCAGGGAAGAGGGAGTACCAATGCTTCAGCATACGAATTTTAATTTCATACCAACATAATATCGTTAATGAAAATATGCATTTACTTTTATTCTATTGTATGAAACACACCTAATTTAATTTATTTAATTATATTTTAATATATTCTTGCATATAAATGTGTATAATTGTGAATTTATCGTTAAAATAATTTAAAAGAAATATAACATTTGACTGCAGTTGACTTGGCAACGCTGCATTTATTGTGTAGTGTTGGCTAACATGAGTAAAACTTTCGTTGTCTATTTTCATCTCAGTCCGTCGTAGGTTATCTCATTTCCTTTCTCGCTTACTCTGTCAGTGTATTTGCTGACAACTTCACATAGTATGCGCGTGTGTTGTCAAATGTCAATTGACAAACCTAACCCCAAATAAAATGCAAACATGGAAAGTGTTCTAAGGTATAAAGGCAGATTTATTAATAAAAAACAATTAGATAGGCGTGTTAAACAATTTTCTTTTTCAATTTAACACATTTTGTTTTTTATTACATTACATTTCGTATTTCAAATTATAAAATTACTTTAAACCATAGAATTGTTATTGCAAAAAATATATCTATTTATTAAATATAATTAATTTTTTTTCAATTAAATTAATAATTAATAATTATGATTATCATAATCATAGCATTAAATTTTTTTAAATTAATTATCAAGATAAAAATTAATTGAAATAGCTAACATTGATCATTTTAATATCCATTAAGATTTGTTATTTATTTTTTTGTAATCGATTGTTAATAACTAAATTTATAAATTTTTGTAAAAAAATAAACCATTTTTTAACATTTTTTAAAATTTAATATATTAAGTTAAAATTGTTTTTTTTTTCATAAAAACGTTTAAAATAAAAGTTTGTATTTTATTGTATTTTTGAATTCTCGCGGGTAAAGTCAACGCGTTGATCACATTACAGTGTTGCCGTCGTTTCAATGCCCCTGTCCGAAATACTGCTTGAATGCATGATTTCTAATTGATTTTTATTAATTATCTTTAAAACTATGCGGTGAAAATACAATATTATTAAATGTTTACAATCAGAAATGTTTCCGCTATTCAATTCAAAGTTTTTTTAAACAGCGTAACCTTTTTTTATGCACTTTTATTGATATTTTGTCTCACCTTAGAACACTATCCCATAAGAGCCTATGTATAAAATGTGAACTTTGACTTCAATTTTCTCAAAAAGTATACGGTAAATCATTTTCATACTTGGTGGAAAATTGAATGGCATCCCAGACATTAGGAAAAAAAATATTTCAAAATTTTTTAACCTTTTTCAAAATACCCCCGAACCTCCTTAAGGTTCATATCGCTCTTTTAACTTTAAAAATGACAAAAGTCTACACCGATTATTACTAAAAAATGTATATTTTAAGAATAAAAGCTAGTAAATTTAAGAAATTAACATTTTTTGTAAAAACAAAGAACAATTCTTGTTACTGACTGTACGAATCTGCAACCTAAGAAAACGAAATTTATGAAAAAGTTTCATGAAATAGAGTTATTAATTTATGAAAGATTTCACTTCAAATCTTGAAGAAATTTATTTAATAAGTGAGAATTTGGCATAAAATGCTGGAATTCCAATAAATTAATCTTTTTAAACTTTAAAATAAGAATTCTTAACAAGCTCATAATAGCGGCAACGTCGCAATGCAAAGTTTTTAATTATTCAACGTTGGCAGCAATATCATGCTCTGTCTCTCTTACGGCCGTCGTCTGCTGTTAAAAATAACGCATTGTTTTTGTTGTGTATGCACATGTCAAGTTTCGAAATTTTATAAAAATGTATCGGTGGAACGGGAGAATTGTTTCAAAAAAAGTGTATGAGAGAAGATTAAAAATGCAGGAAAGTGGAAAAAATTTATTGAAAACTATAAATTCTGCAGATAAAATGGAAGGAATCGAACAACAACAAAGTGAGGTTATACAGCAATTTTACGCGCGCTTAAAACCCTTTCTCCTCACGTCACGTGGGATCTGCTGTTCTCCTTACAGAGTTGCCACGTTTTCACTATTCATATGTTGAAAATGTTGATTTTTTACACGATATACATTAATTTCTTTACAAAAAAGTCTGAAAGCGCGTAAAAATTTTATTGATTATTAAAGCTTAAATATTCACCTTCGTTATATATTTTTTTCAAACAAAACTGCTCGTTTTAAATATTATTAGTTTTTTCATTCCAAACATGTGAAAATGTAGTTTTCCCATAAGAGAGCATGTTAAATTAAAAAATGAATAACTTTTTAACTGTTTTGTGAAAAATTCTGAAATTTAGTCAGTGCTTTCTTTATATAAAACTGAATCATTTTCCAAAAGTGCAAACAATTCTGCTCGTTTTAACCAAGTGTATCATTCCTCCTTAAAAATTTAAATTTTCAAAATTGGAGGTGCTGCCTCCCCTTAAGGGCAGGTCAAACTCGATGCGATTTTTCCCTTGAGGCTCTATATAAAAATTGCTTCGACTTTGACCTGCCCTTAATGTTACCTATGGGCAAAAAAAGACTTTTTTTTGAAAAATCGGTTGAATATAATATATATATATATATATCTACAAAGTTTTACATATTGTTTATTATCATTTGAAGGATAACTGGTTTTTTTTAATGAAAAAAAAATATTAATAATTTTCAAATTTATAAACAATTATTCCTCGAGTCCTTAAAAAAAAGTGTTTTTCTGCAGATGATATAAACAAAGTCAAAATCATGATTTTCGTTAAGAAATCAAGAGTTGTTTTTTTTCCAAAACGAATTTAAAAAAAAAATTCTTTATTCACCCCTGAGTAAAATTTTACTTAAAAAAAAATTCGAAACTTAAGAAAAATATTTCTTAGTTGAACTTTAATAAAAATTAAAAAAATAAATAAAATAAAAAATTAAGATACAATCTAATGGTAAAAAATGATAAAAATTAAATTTTTATTACTCTCTACTTCTAAAATAAACAAAATTGACTAAAAAAATAAAAAATAACCTTTTTGTTTGACTTTAAATTTAAAAATTTCTGTAATTTTTTTGTAATAAATTTATATTTACATATTATTATTATATACTTATTTTGTGTATTTTACTTTCTATAAAAAAAAGGAATTATTTTTTTTATATATTTATATATTTTATTAACAAAAACCACAAAAACATAATAAAGGAAAATTAGGAATTTGAGGTTAGGTTATAAAGTAGTTTGTGGAAAATGTAAAGAGGTTTGTGAACAGAACAAACTATATATAAAAAAAATTAAAAATATTTAAAAAATTTTGATATTCCTAAAATATTTGTAAACAAAATTTCCCTTTGGACAATTTTTTTTGGTAAAATGGATTAAAAAAAAAAAGTTTTTTTTACCAAACATAAATTAAAATGAAAAATAAATTTGATTTTTTTGTATAAAAGATACGATTTTTAAGTCGAATTCATATTTTTAGAATAATTGAAAAATAGAGGGAAAAAAAATGCAACAAGGGAGAGAAATGAGTATAATTATTTCCTCCCATTTGATTGAACAAAATTTTATTGTTTTTACCTAAAAAACCGGAAAAGGTCAGAGAATTTCAAAATAGAAAATACTATGGCAACTCTCAATGAAGATGTCGAAGCGTAAAATTTTTAACAAATTGACATGTCCCTAATAGAAAAATTTTATTTATAAATTACAATTTAAATAATTCACTGCTAGTGAAGAAAATTATTATATTTTATTATTTATTTATAAATTTATAATTTTTTTCATTTCAATTATTTTGCAAAATTCAATGAAATATTATTTAGAGATAGATCAGTTTTTTTTAAATTTAGCTATCAAGGTTTTTTAATTTGGGACAAAGAGATTTCTCATTCACTTTAATTTTACATATATAGAGAGTAAGAGACTATTATACAACTTATTTAAATTTAGGGAATTTAAGCGGTATAAAATGTTTTTGTGCGCAATGTATAATGCGCAATTTCCTTAGGCCTTAAACCGGAAATATTTCAACAATGTGCTGCAAAGATCGTATTTGCTGCCGATATGATACAAGAAGTAAATTTTGCTTTTCGTTCAGCCTTACATTCCTTTATTAATAAAAATTGAAAAGGTATATATAAATATATAAATGAAAAATAAATTTTTTCTACAATTTAGATTAATATTAATTCAATGACAAATATTTTTGGAAAAAGTGAACATCATTTTAAAAACAAGGTAAGTGTTTTAAACAAGTTACTATAGTACAAACATTCGTATAGGTGAATATTATAGTTATTATTTATAGTTTCACATACACCTAACTTTCTTTATTTGTCTGATATGAAATATTCACTTAAGTAAATAATGAATTTATAATTTATATAGATATTTATTCGTTTTCAAAAAAAAAAAAAAAATTGTCATATTTTAATAGTAAAAATTAGAATTGATTCCCCTTTGAAATGATCTGTGAGGAAAATTTTGAATCTTTTTGATAGTGATTTGAGTGTAAAAAAAAAATAAATTGTTTAGTAAAGATTTGAATTGATCAATTTTTATGTTAAGATTGAAATTGAATTTATAATTTATTACTTATTTTAACGACTGTACGTATTTCACAGTATTGTAGGTTAGGTTGTCACGTTAATCAACCGAAATGGATTCATTGGATGCCGTTCTAATTGAACAAGCTTTAAATTATCATGGTGAACAATTACAAAAGGTTTGGGAGGATAGACGAGGAAAGGATGAATTATCAATGCTTTTTGATGAAAAATTAAGTTTTGAAGTTTACGAGCAGAGGGAAAAAACACTTTGGTATAATCATTTTTTTTCCCCCTTCATTTTCAAGTTTACTGCGTAATTCAATTTATTTTTTTGACTTCAAATAATTGTAATTATAATCAATTTATTTTTTTCCTCATCATTTCAGTGAAAATGATAATGAAAAAAGGCAAAGGCTTCAAAAGTTTATTGCAAAAAAAGCTGACGTTTTATACAGTAAATCAAATTCGGAAAATTCAACAGTGCCAATCAGTCAGCAAATTGATCATGAAGGTAAAATTTGATTTTTATTATTATACATTGAAAATTCGAAGAAAATTTTACATTTTTATCATTCATTGATTGATTAATGAAATATAATGAGTGGTTGTGATATTTTTAGCAGCGTATGGAACAATGCCAGGACTTGATTCGTTCATTAAAATAGATAAGTCTCAGCGTGTTCGTAATTTTTTAGAGGTAATTTTTTTTGAAAATATCTATATAGTTTTTAAAATTTTATTTTTATTATTTCAATATTATTTTTTCATGGTAGTCACAAGTTAGAGATAATTTCTGAAAATTTGTGAAATTAAACAAAAAAAAAACAGTCAATTATTATACTTCTTGTATTCGTAAAAAATTTTAACAATTTTTTCTTCTAGAATGATCATAGGTTACAAATTTTTCACTTTTCGATTTTGATAATTTGTTACTTTTTTCATCTTTCTCAATTGATTCGGCAAAGAAAAAAAAATTCGATTTCTTAAAAACTCTACCTCTTAAATTTAATAAAAAAAAAAAAAATTTCCAGGCAAATATCAGAAAAATTAAAAATATTATTCTTTCTTGTGGTAACCGTGAATTATTTTTCTTTTTTTAAGGAATATTTTTGAATTTATTTAATGAATAAATTTTTATTTTAGTCATTGGTTAATGGAGACGTCATTTATACTCAAGTATTGGGAAAAAGTAGTATGGGTTTTCTTTTAAAAGTTCTTTGCAATTGCAGTGATTGTCCAAGAGTTGTTCCTGAACTTACAATCAAGGTACGAAAGTCACTAGGTCATTTGTATTGTTTTTTTCTTGATGAAAAATCAAAACTAAAAATTTGATAATTTTTTGTTCTTTTCTTTTTTTTACAAAAACGTTTGTAGGCTTTAATGTTGAATTCATCTACGCTGCCAGCGGTTGATAAAAATGGTGTCACTCGAGAATATATGGTCGATGATCTAGTCTGCGTTTGTGTAAGTGAAGTAAATATTGAAGCGGAACGAATAATTGCCTCTATGAATATCACACCTCGTAAGGGTTTAATTTCTCATCCTCCATTGGGTCTTATCGATGCCAATGATCTTCCCGATATTTATAGGCAAGTTGCAATCTAATTATAAATTTATGAAATAGAATGTTGGAATAAAGAATAATTATAAAATATTTTATTTCGCTCAAAGTAGGAAAAAATGGATTGAATTTCTAAAAAAAAAAAGATTTTCTAATTTGATAGTTTATTTGAAACAGAAGAAGAATAATTTTAAAGACCTAATTTTTTTTAGTTTTATTTGAATAATTATTTGATTGATAAAATAATAATAATAATAATAAATTTAATCAGAATTTTAAATAACATTTTGTTTTATTTTAGGCGAATCGCAGAAAGCAATGATGAAATTTTTGAATCCATTTTGGAAAATAGTCCTGGATTCTGCAATCCAAATAACACGAAATATCTTTCTGATTTGTTATTATTAGGGCAAGATAATCATTCTCATATGATTGGTCTTAGGTAAGTTATAACATTGTTATCTATACTTTAATATAAAATTACAATCGAATTCAGTCGATCAATTTTAATTAACTAAATTTCATTGTACACCTTTTATAAAGGTCTTTACAATTTCCAACGTACTACATATAAAACCGTAAACACTAATAATGGATTATTATTATTATTATTAAATATTCATTGGTAACCATTACTATTGAAATTAAATAGTAAATAATTTAATTTAATTCTATAAATAATAAAAAATTATTTTTAGACAAAATTTCAAGCTAGAATTCAGTGAAACAGATTAAAAAAATCTTCACAGTTCTTTGTTTTCTTAGAAATTTTTCAAATTTGATTTATGGAAGTTTTTCTAATTTAGATTTTCGGCAAAATATTTTTAGATGAAATCCAAACATTTTCAATTTTAAATAGATTTACAAAAAATTTTCTAAGATCAATTCATGGAATATTGTTAAGTAAAATATTTAAAGAAATATTATTTTTTTTTTTTTGAGTTAGAATAATTCTCGAGATTTGAACTCATATTTTTTATAAAAATAATTTTTCAAAAATATTAATTTACCAATCAATTAATTGAAATTATTCTAGAAATAATAAATAAAAATTTTCAAGTTATTTTCAAATATTCGTATAAATAATTAAAAATAACAAATTTTAAATCAAATAATTAAAAATAACTTCAATTCAATTAAATAATTGAAATTATTTTCAAATTTTAAGTCGAGAAATAGAAATTGTCTTTAAATTATTTAATCAAATAATTGAAATTATCTCCAAATAAAGAATCCAATTTTTTGAAATTATCTTCATATTTACTAGGTATATGAAAATATCAAATTTTAAAATAAAATAATTTAAAATAACTTTAATTATTCAAATCAAATAATTGAAATTATATAGAAAATTTTTAATATATTAAATATCTTTACAAAAAGTTTTCTTACTTCAATTTATAGAATTTTATTGAGTAAAATATTTAAAAGAATTTTATTAAATTAGAATAATTGAGAGTCGAAATCAAAGAACCGGTTATAATTCCTTTTAAATTTGAAATAATTGGCTGCTAAATAAAAAAAAAAAAAGTTTTGAATTTTAGTTTTCTGTAAATATTTCTTTTTTTTTTAAAATATAAGAGCATAGCTGCCAAAAAAATAGGATTCAAAAGTTTAATTTTTTTAAAAAATGAAATGTAGTAATGAATTTTAAAGAATTATTTATAACAAAATTTTATTTTTGAGTAAAAATAAGTGAAACCAGATACTAAACATTTCTGTCTCCGGTTTTAAAACTATTTGTTTTTTGATAGATATACGCTCTTAATATTTTCCTAAAATTTCATTTATTTTGAAAATAATCGAACAATTTTAGAATTTGTATTTAAAAAAAAAGTAGAGTAAAAAAAATTGTCAGTGAAAAATTATTAAGATTGTAAGAGAAGTTTAAATTTTAAGTTTTTAAAAATTTCACTGGTCTCTTCTTTTAATTTGCAGAGAAGGTTTTTCACTAGACGAATATGGTGTAAAACTAAGACAAATACAATCAAGTAAATGGGCATTTCGCTATGTAACCGATGGAATTGATCATTTTCAAGAAGGAAAAAATTCAGAAGCTTTCAAGTGCCTCAATAAAGCCTTACTTATTGATCCTTTAAACGAAGAAGGATTGGTAGCTCGTGGTTGTTTGTAAGTAAACCAAGACTTAAAATTTTCTTTTATTTTCATTAAATTTTTTTTATGTTTCCAATAGTTTACAAATATCTGTTGTTTTTAATTTGAAAAAAATGTATTTATTTCTAACAGACATACAACTAATGGAAATTTGAATAAAGCAGTTGAGGATTTTGAAATGGCAATAAAATTAAATCAATCACACGTAAGTGCCCGTAAATATTTGGTTGAAACACTTGTCGCATTGGGACGTAATTATGAGGATGAAAAAGAATTCGATAAAGCACTAGAAGTTTTCAATAAATGTCTAACAATTGATCCGTGCCATGAAATAGCAAAAAATGAAATTGAATATTTAAAATTGGGTGGCATGAATGAAGAAAATGAGAATTCAGTTCATTTATTAAACAATATGGAAAATCATGTTGAATCTTCAATTATTAAATTAGATAAAAAGAAGCAAAAACGAAGGAAATTAATGAGAAAAAAAAGAAAAAGATGCAGTTCAACATCGAGTTCATCGTCAAGTGATTCATCGCAATCAGAATCAAGTACATCATCATCTTCCAGTGAATCTCGTTCTTCCTCAAGTTCATCTTCACATAGAAAATCACTTGATTCAAAAACGCGTGCTTCCCTATCGCCATTGAGTAAACGAATGTCCATGTATAATATTTTACCAGAAATAAATAATGATTTATTGGATTTAGAATGTCCAAGGGATAATATAGGTTCAGATGATGATACTAAAGATTATGAATTAAAAGTTCGTAAATTTTTAGACAAGTCAAAAGATGATTCTGATTATGAAGACAAAGTATGTTTTAATCATTTTTTAAATATATTTATTTCGCTTGTTCAACTGGATTTTTGACAATGTTTTGCCTTTTTTTTTTTTTTTTAGGTGAGAATATTTTTTAAGACAGCGGCAAGATGGAAAATGGAAAGAGAAGAGGAGAAGAAGCAAAATAATGAGAAAATTAAAAGAAAAGGAAGAAAGAGTAAAAAAGACAGAGCCAAAGACGAAAGAAGGGAGAAACTTTTTAGGAAAGAAGAACGTAAAAAATATAAATCTCGTAAAAGAAGATTGGAAAATAATGGAATGTCTCCTTTACAAGATTTGCAGAAAGTAAATATAAGTCATGATTTTGCAAATCAAGAGGAAGAATCTCAATTATTTTATCACGATTCTAGAATTTCTCCCCAAAGTACCTCAACATCGAGTGAAAAATTCAAAAATGCCAAACTAGCAAGGTAAGCATTCTCTCTTTTTTTTTTTTTGATGATTTAATCATTTTCTTTTTTAGGCAATATTAATTTTAAAATACCTTTAATTTAATATTTTTTTATAATTTTGAATATTAATCTTCAAAAGTTCTTGAATTTTTTTTCGAACCTTGAAATTCTTTGATTTTTATAACAAAGCATCTAATTTAATCAAAATAATATTAATTTTATTAAAATAATTTAAAAACCAATTTCCTCTTTTTTTTCAGACACAAAAATGAAATTAACAAAGTTTGGGATGATTTTTCAATTGACTCAAACATTGGTGGTGGTAAGCACAAAAATAATCAATATGAAAGTGAATTAAATAATTCTTCAAATGCACAAAAACAAATGCGTAATCATCAATCACAATCTCCATTAAGGGAAAAAATTGTGCCTAAACAAAAAATTTACGATAATAAAAGTAATTCAAAATCAATTGATTCACCGCAAAATAATTTCACGGAAAACAATCAATCACCAGAAATAATTCTTCAAAGAAGAATAAGTGAAGAGAGATATTTTAAACGTCTCAGAAGTCAATCGTGCAATTCATCAAGTTCAAGTTCATCACGATTTCGTTTAGCAAGACGTTCAAGATCAAGATCATTTTCATTGAGATCAAGAAAATCGGCAAGTTTTGAAAGAAAATATAGTCGTTCAATATCACGTTCATATAGTCGTTCACCGCCTAAATATCGTTCGAAATCATTTTCACGAAGTCGTAGTCAAAGTGAAGAGAGAAAATATCGTTATAAACAACAACCAACATCTTATCCATCGTCATCAAGAGGTTTTAATAATCGTGGTGGTCGTTATAATTCACGATATCAAGGGCACAATTCAAATTATCGTGGCAGTTTTCAAAATGGTAATCGTTTTCACAATGGTCAGGATAATCGTTTTAATAATAATAATAATAATAATAACAACAATAGAAGAGGAATGCAATATAATAAATATAATCCAAATTATCGTGGTCGTGGTCAAAATCGTGGACGATTTTTTCACAATAATCGACAACAAAATTATAGAAAACATTTTCCACAAGATGGACGACAATCATTTTCACAAGAAAAAGAATTTTATCCACAGGAAAGAAATTCATATTCTCAGGATTCGTTTGCACAAAAAAAGCATTTTTATTCACAAGATATGCCGCCAAATTCGAGAAAATTTAATCAAACATTCAATAGTGGAGAAGAAAATCAAGAAGGAGGATTTTAGTTTTAAAAAGAAAAAGGAGGTAGTTTTTTTTTTTTTGTTCTTTATTGAGTTTTCTATTAAGAACAAAAAGAGATGTGTATTTTTTACAAGATAGCTTGTATTTTTCTGAATGATATATATATGTATATGCATATATATATATAATTTTTTTTTTTTTTTTTTTGTTATCAGGACTGTATTTAATTGTTTTTTTTCGAATTAGATTTTAAGTTTGTGAATTTTTTTTTTGTCGTTAATTTTTTTAGGTATACATATATTTTTCTAATAATTAAGATATTTATAGTTAATATTTGTCGAATTGGAGAATAATAACACATTGTTTCTTTAACTCTTTTTTTGGGTTGAGGGGGAAGTTTGTGTTAAAAATTATCTTTTAATTCATAAAAGGAAAAAAAAAAAAAAAAATTTTGCGTTGAAAAAAAGAGGTATTTGTATAATTCGGAATCTTTCAAATAAAAGAGTCTAAATAAAGTGTTTATATCAAGTTGTCGTTTTTTTTTTTTTTTTTTTTTTTTTTTCTTGAAAAAACAAGTTCTTTAATAACGTCTAATAAGGTTCATGTAAAAAGTGGTAAATTGTTGTAAATTGTTCCTTAAGACTTATATATAACGGTGTTTTAGCACTTCAATTTTTAATGAATGTCTTTAATAAACTATCATTTTTGATTGCCCTCTCAGAATATTATAGGAACTTTTTAAAAGCAACCATTTATGCATATATACTCAATGAAAACGCGGGAAGTCTCGACCGTTTCCTGTATCACTCCGGCCTATAATTTAAAGGGTGATATCTCTTGATTGTATGATTATAATGATGCTTTATTATAGTTCATTGAATTCGTTTGATTCTCTTTATAATGCACCATAGTAAAAAAAAACCCGTATTTTCTTAACAGGCAAATTTTATACGTCTTAAGAAAATTTAGATAATATAATTAGTAATTTTTTTCTTTACATTTTTTTTTTACGAGACGAAAGTTTTGAACGTTTCAAATGAAGGAAATATTTTTTTCAATCTATAAAATATTAAAATTTATGATGACCATGTAAAATAAAATAATAAATTAAACAATTATTAAATTAATATTTTTTTTTTTTTTAGATATTTAAAATAATATTTTGTAATAAAATTCCTACTTAAAGAAGTTGCAAAAAAAATTTCGATCATTTGAACATTCAAAACTTTTGGCTCATTTTTTTTTTAAATAATAAATTATTAAATATTTGAATTTTTATCACAGTTGCCACAAGAATAAATTTTTATGATATTAAAAATTTATTCCCGAAAAATGTTATTAAATTTAATAAACTTTTAATAGAATTTTAATAATTTGAATTTTTACTAAAACAGGGATCACAGTGCGTAATCAATTCTGGTACACATTATGGTTTATGATTTAATAGTTTTTAATTTGTGTATAATATTCATTTCGAAATGTTAAAATTTGACGCTCATGTGTAAATGTAGTGTGATATTTTGGGAACAAAGTAAAATTATAATTTTATTAGTGAATTCGTTTTTAAAAATTGGAAAAAAAATTTTGTTTGGAAATTTAGAAGATCTGTGAGAATCTACATCAAACAAATTCACGAAGAGTCAACAATATTTAAGGTACATGTTCAAAATTTATTTACGACTATAAATATATTCCTGTGCTTTGATTTTATACATAAATGTCTTATTTTTGTGTCAGAAAATTGAAAATTCGTAATTTTACAAGAGGTACAACCATAACCTCAAAAAGTAGCAACAATTTTGAACTGTTTATTTTTACATATGGCTTTAAAGTTATATAGTCTAAATATTCTTTGATTTAAAGTATCATAAAAAGTAATTATGTGCCTTATTAAGTTATTCAAGTAATCTAACATGTGTTAATTTAAAATTGATTAAAAATAAATATATAACGATAAAAAAAATTCAGTAATTATTTATATGTGAAGTTTTCCCATAATGAGTTTTCAGTAACTTTTCGAAAATTATTTTCAGAATATATATAGTTAAAATTTTCCTTTATTTTACAAACAAAAACAAATTTTATACCATAATAGCCTCACGGTTGGGACTATTACGTACACACTTTGAGTTTATATATAACTCAATTTTTTTCTAATAAAACTTAAAGAAAATCTTAAATAAATTAATAAAATTCTAATAATATCTGACATTTAAATCGATTAAAATTTGGATAATTTGAAAAATTATTACTATAGATTTGTTTTGTTCAATAAACATTAAAAATGATTAAAAGTTGGATTACTTGAAATTAAAATTATATTGAATTGAAATTTGGATCAATTAAAATTTAATAACTTTTTCAAATTTTGATAAATTGAATTTTGGATTGATTGTTAACCAGAATTAGAGTGAAAATAAATTTTAGATCGATTATTATTTTAATTAATAAATATTTCAATTTTACTTCGATTTTTTTTTGTAATTTGGCTTAAATAATTTTTAAATCGATTAAAAAAAATTATTCCTCTTTAACTTACGATTTCTTCTAGAGGCAAAAATATTGTTAAAACAGTTTTATTATAAAATTCGTAAATTTCAAAAATTATATTCCAACTGGAAATTAAAAAAAAAAAAAAAAAGTTGATGGAAAAAATGAAAAAGAAACAAAAATTTTTTAAAGGCACCGTAATATCACATTTATTTATATAACTATTATTTCAGCGCACAGTTTTATTATTTTATAGAGAGAGAGAGCTATAAAGCGTATGTCAATATTAATGCTTTTTGTTTTGCATTAAAACTATTATACAATATCGAAGAATTATATAAATAATTACAAATATTTGTAAAAGTCAATCGGAAAATACTTTTTACAATTTGAGCGCAAAAAAATCGTTTTTTCCACTGCTATTGTATATATATACCTTTATATATATATATCAGTCATCGATTTGCGATTTCCAGTATTAATTTATTGAAAATATTATATAATGACACGATTCCTATTATACATTCATTTTTAACTTCTTCCTTTCTTTCTCGGAGTCTTGATTCTTAATATTATACATATTCTATTTACAAAGTCTTGAAATTTTTTTTTTTTTGCACTTTAAATCGTAAACTTTTTTTTTAATCACTAAAATTATTGAAATAGAAATCTCATTGAGGTAAATAAGTCAATTTTGACTTGAAATTAAAAAAATACCATTCTTTTGGTTTTTTTTTTAGAAATTCACATTTACTTACAATGTACATATATAGATTTGAACATCCAAAGAGTATTTTTAAATAGAGATCGTCAAGAGAATTTTTTTTTTTTTTTCTTTTTATTCCCCTGGTTTCGAATTTCGAAATCTTCGCGTTTTTGCAAATCGTAAGTAATCTGGATGTCGATAAATAAAATCGGCGAGTTGTTCCGTACCCGCGTAAGTGTCAGCTTTAGTGCCTTTACACATTAATAATTGTATACCGGAAAGTTCAGAATCACATTCAACTCCATGATAGATGTGAATTAAATTACGATCTGGAGCACGAAATACATCCAAATTTGATTTCACAGCTTTCTCGAAAAAATCGACGTCTTCCTTTCCCCAACCTTGTATTGATAAATCAAAGCCACCAACTTTTCTGTAAAATAAAAATAGAATATTATTAAACTTACAGGAATATAGGCATTTAATTAAACGGGAAAAAAATTGGAAATTTTTTTTTGAAAAAAAAAAAGAAAAAATTTTACTACAATTTTTTTATTTTTTTGTAAATTCTATTTTTTTTCCTCAAATATTCGTTTTTTTATATCCTAATCTTTATTTATTTTTATAAACGGGCAAAATTCACGAATTTTTTCTCAAATTATTGTATTTTTTTTAAATTTCTAAAATTATTGATTTTTCTTTCAATTTTTTCTTTTCTATGACTTTTTATTTCTAAAAATATTCAAAAATTTACGTTCTTTAAAATAATATTTCCTTTCAAATTCTCTTTTTTCAATACCTAAAATTAATTTATTCATTTTTATAAATTAGTCCAAAATTTTCAATTTTTATCGTAATTTCTATTTTTATTTTGATAATGTAAATAATATTCTCCATTTTTTACATTTTCTTTTCTTGAATATTGTGTTATTATTTAATAAAATTTTTTATTCTTCTTTCATATTCTAAAATTCTCGTGTTTTTTTAAAATTCTTTTTCACTTTCCCACCAATTTTAAATTTTCTCACGTGAAAATTTAATTTATTATTTTACCTGTTTTATTAATTTTTTTCTTTTTTATATATATATTTTTTTTAAATCTAATCTGATATAAAATAAAATTTGAATTTATTTTCGTTTTAATAAATTTTTATCAATTTTGAGTTCAAATAAAATTCAATGAATTCTAATTTCAATCTATCTAAATTTAAATCAATAATAATGCAAATTAAAATAAATTTTTATTTTCATTGGTCTAAATATTTGAAGGGTAGAATGACAAAAGGGGTCAAGCGCCAATTTATCGAAAATGAGGTTTTTGCATAAAAAAATCAAGAAAATTCATTTACACATTTCTGTAGAAGGATTTCCTTTTTTATTGCGTATTTAAATCAGTTTTTAATAAAAATTAAATTAATAAAATAGCCTCAAATTTACTTTACTGCAACCTGATTGAAAAACAAAAGAAAGTGGTGAGTCAATAATATTATCAAAATAAAAAAAAATATTATTTTTTTAGGTTTTATTTTAATATTTTATTTTAATTTTATTTTAATAATATTTTAATTAATAAAATTAATAATAATAATGTATTTTCAATTTTAAACAATTTTAAAATCATTTTGTTATTAATTTTTAAATATTTTTATGGTTATACTAAGTGAACAATTGAATTTAAAGATGAAAGTATTGCTCAATTCCAAAGCAAGCAATTAATTCGTAATTTTCTTGAAAACAAACAATTTTTTAAAGGAATTTTTTTTTCTATTCATTTCGTCGATTCCATAGAAAGAAACTAATTTTCCAGTTTTTCTTTAAACTATATATTTTTTTTATAATTAATGCTTAAAGAAAATGTGCGCAGTTGATATAACCTCAAGGAACCACAGTTTTTTTTTAATTTTATCGTTAATATGTAGGTTTATTTCAACAATTTGTTGTTTATTTACTAAAACATACTAATATATCGAAACGGTTTTCTCAGTTTTTTTTTAAATGACCTGCAAAATTTTTAAAAATGTTTTTTTTACTTCCTGTAAAAACAGTGAATTGGCGCTTGACCCCTTTTGTCATTCTACCCTTCATTTGTTTAGATGAGAATCATCTCAATTGTTTATAAATTTCATTTATTAAAATTTTTAAAATATTAATTTTTATTTATTCGAATTTCAAGAAACATTTCATTTAATTAAACCAAAATTTAATTATTTGTCTAAATTTTAATCGATTTACATTTTAATTAACATAAATTTAAATCATCATTTCTATATTTTAATTATATTATGGAAATTTTAATCGATGCTGAAACAAATTCATTTAAATTTCAGTTATTTATATAGCAATGATTTTTAATTAAATTTTTTTTAATTATTTACAATTAATTTTTTTGAACTTATTTATAGAATCTAAAATTATTCGGTATTAATGAAATTTTTCTATTTTTTATTTTTAACGATTCTTTAGAATTTTTATTTTTTTTTTTGAGAAAAAAAAATGTTAATTTAAAAAAAATTTCCAATTAATTTATAGGAATGTATTGAAAAAATTGTCGACAAAAAATAATAAAAATTGTATAAGAAATTGAACATTTGAAAAATCTCCAGTTAAATATAAAAAACAATTTTCCATATTGTCGGAGAATTAATTTTTTTTATTTTTAAAATATTTTGAGTTTCTTTAAAAGTCCAATTCTTCAATTCGTTCTTTAAAATAAAAAAATAATAATTCTCTTATACAATAATTGGCGAAAAAAATTGAATTTTAGAAATTATTATTATATTCAAGAAAATAAATGAATTTCTTTTTAAATCGAAATTTTACCAAAAAATTACGAAAACGAATGTGAAAAATTTATCTTATAATTTTTTTTTTTAATGTTTCAAAATATAGCATAATTTTAAATTCTCAATAATTCTAAAATCTATTTTTTTTTAAATAATAAATTATGAATATCAAAAAATAAAGTTTACCTGTAATCAGCCTTGTACAATGCGACAATACCAAATCCAAATTGCCTCCAATATCCACTTCTATCATTGATCAAAAATTCCATCTTTTCCTTTTTATCTCCATAAATAATATTCGGATCATATTGACTAAATATAACCGGAAAATAAATCCTGAGATTAATAACAGTATTTAATCTAATTCTAATTAAAGCAGATCGCGTAAAAATAATATCAACATCGACAAAAAACATCAAATCATCATTTTTCAATGTACTAACGCCAATTTCAAGTGCTTTTGCCCTAGAAAAATTTCCCGAGTTTTCTATCACATTAATTTCAGCATTTTGATAATGATATTTCAATTGACTAATAAGACTTATTGTTTTATTGAAAGAATTTTCTTTCTTATGGGGAAATAGAATAACAAATAATTTCGTTCTTTCGCCTCTTTTAATACAAACTTCTTCATAATTACGTATAAATCGTTCAAAAATATCATATCTTCCCGATAGTGGAAGAATAAAATTTATAATTTTACTGTGAACTGGATCTAAATTGCTTTTTGAACTAAAACTCAATCCTAGAAAAATATCTGGGAAAATATTTTTTAAGGACTTTGAACTACTTTTTACTTTTGAATCAACTTCCGTTCCATCAATGACTTCTCGGATTTCTAAACCTGGAAAAAAGAGAAATAAACATTTTAATTATCTATTCAAAACTAGCAATTTTTTTTTTTTTTTTTTTTGAACAAAATTATAACTAGAACAAAAGTCGATAAAAACCTTTTCATTTTTGAGTTTACAAAGATTTTTTTTTTGCTAAACAAAATTCGAAGAAAATTGTCTCTTCTTCTAAGTAGAAAACGGTAATTAATACGATACTGAAGTTCACAACGTTTATATGATAAATGATTATAGAAAATAAATTTGCTTTTAAATGGAAAATTATAAAATATTTTAGCTAAAAAAAATGTTTTCTATAATTGCAAGAAGTATATCTTTGAGACGAAAATTCCTAGAATTTTTTATTTTAAGAACACATGAATTTCCCATAAAAATCAATTAATTATAATTTTCATTTTAAAGTATTTTATTAAAAACAATTATTTTTTTTAGACGAATTTTCAATTTTCGAATTCAAATTTGACAAATTTTCTTTTTATACAAAAATTTTACATAACATAAAATATTTAGTTATCAAATTTTTCTTTGGAAGAATTTTTATTTTACAGTCATTTTTCTTTAAGTGACTTTTTATTTAAAAGAATTCTCATTCAATCGAATTTTATTTGTGATTTGAATTTTTAAATGACAGAAATTCCAATTCACCGAATAATATTATTTATACGAATTTTTAAATTGTTAAAATTTTTAAAACGTCGAATTTTCATTTATCCGAAATTATAAATGACCGAACAAATATAATCAACAGAAAAATCTCGGCGCAATTTTTAAAATCGACTAATCACGATTTTCTTGATAATTTCTAATTGGTTAATTTTAAAAAATTTCGCCGAAATCTTTCTGACGATTGTTTCTTCGGTTATTTATAATTTTGGATAAATGAAAATTCGGCGTCTTAAAAATTCTATCAATTAAAAATTCGAACAAATAAAAATTAGGACAAATTAAAATTCGACGAATTGAAATTTCTGTCATTTAAAAATTCGAATCACATAAAATTTGATTGAATAAGATAAAGCAAAAAAAAAATTAGATAGCTAAAAATTGTATTAAGTAAAAATTCGTATAATAAAAAATTCTGTCAAATGCTAATTCGTTCAAAAAAAAAAAAAATTATTTCTAATAAAATTCTTTAAAATGAAAATTTTAATTAATATATAATTTTTATGAAATAATATTGCACCCCCGTTGTTGAATTTCAGCATTTTGTAAATTAATGAAAAAAAATTGATTAAAAATTATACCGGTAAAATGTTGATGAAGATACACGTGTCTTCTAACTGGAAGAGTTACTTTTCTACCACGATATTTTCGATAAACAAGAAGAAGATCGAGAATAGTGTCAGCGCCAAAAAAATCAACTCTTTGATAGCCATAGAGAGCCGTTCGTTCTTCAACAATTCGTCCACGTTGTCGAGAACAAGAATTTATCGATGCCATCACTTCCCTGGTAATATCTTCTAATCCTTCCTTCACATCACTATGTATTCTTCTACGTGGATTTGAATCATCCAAACTGTATTCTGACCGCGAGATAAAATTCCATGGGATTACTTCTTCACTTGAACGAGGTTTAAATGACCGCAGACTAGGCGGTACTCCTATAAAAATTTATTAATTTTTTTTTTTTTAGTCACTTTAAACATATTTATTTAACAATTTTTTTTTCTTAAATTTCGTATTTTTATTGCTTGTTTTATTTCAATGTTTTTTTTTTCTATATATTTATTTGTATACCGTCAATTGGGGCTATTCTACTCAGCGCCAGTTTTTAATTAATAAAATATTAATTAATTTTCGAAAATTTTTTTTGTAGAAGGTAAATAACTGTATAGTGTATCTTTTGTATAAATTTTTGACATCCTTTTGTGTAAAAAAAAAAAAAAAAAAAAACCAGAAATAAATTATAAGATTTCACTGGTCGCATCAACACCAATTTTGACTCAATTTAAATTTAAATTATTAAACGGGGTTATATTTTCTTTCTTGCATCATTTGGGTCCTAAATATATACAGGATGGTGAAAAAAATAAAATTTTAATTTTTGACCATTTTATAAATTAAATTCTTTAAAAAAATAAGATTTTAAATATCTATCTTTTTTCACAGTTTTGACTATTTTTCATCGACAATTTTTTTTCCACGCTTTTTTTTTAATGATTCTTAAGAATCTCTCAAATGGATTTTCAAAAATATTAAATTTTTCCAAAAATAAAAATTCTAAAATGGTCAAAAATTAAATTTTTTTTTCACGATCCTGTATGTTTTTAGGACCCAAATGATGCAAGAAAGAAAATATAATCTCGTTTAATGATTTAAATTTAAGTGAGTCAAAATTGAGAGTGGTGCCTCCCCTTAAACAATAATTGTTATATAAAATTTTTTTTTTAGATTTCCTATTTTTTTTTTATCGCAATCAAGACTACCTGCAGAAAAGATTTTATCTAGCTAAAGCTGTATAAAAAAATGTTTAGGATATTTTATAAATAAATAAACTTTGTTGAGTATAATAACCCCGCGATTGGGGCTATTATACTCAACACTTTAAGTTTCTATAACTCTAGTAAAAAATTTTGTTTGTCGTTCTAACTTACAGGATATCTTCAAACAAATGTCCACAACATAAGAAAAGAGTTCAAATTTTTTTTTTTAATTAAATTCTGAATTTTAGTCAAGCATTGAGTAAAAAAGTAGCGTTTTTTGAGTATAATAGCCCCCGTTGACGGTGCATATTTTTTTCAACTTAGAAATAAATTTTAATTTCCAGTTAAAAATAATTTTTTATTTCGAATTAGAAATAAATTTTTATTTCAAGTTGGAAAAATAAAAAGGAAAATAAAAATATATAAGAATTCGAAAATTTTATATGAATAGAAACTTGACACTTTTTTTTTTTTTTTTTTGCAAAAAATCGCGATGTAAGAATTTCTTTTTCCTCAGCTCTCTAAAATATAAATGTGTATAATTGAAATAAATGTGCCTGACTCATCAATACGAATATAATTCTTGTTGGGTTTAATACCCTCCAGGAAATCTGCATATATTCATAATTACCGCGATGTGTTGTGTGATTTTTATTTTTACATGAAACCGGTTTATGTAACAGGTGTTGATGTATAATGTTTGAATAATGAGTAGAGTACCGAAATTAATTATTATCGATTTGTCATGTAGTTGATTACAGTGCAGTTTTATGTACCTGAGGTATTTCATATGAGAATACGGTGTCATGTCTCGGATTTTTCTCAAAATTCGGTAAATTGTAGTGATAGTGGTGCTAAATAAGTGTACAAATTTTGAATTTGAAATTTTTCATATTTTTCGAGATATTTACAATAACAAATTTGAGCAATATTTTTTTGCTTCACTTATAACTTTTTTCCTATTAAAAATAGAGAAAAATGTTGTACATGTTTTTTACGCGAAAGATCTTAAACTTTTAGAAAAAAATTATTTAAAAAAAAAATATGAATTTTTAAACAATTTGTTTAAAAAATAAAATTTGTTTATAACTTTTAAACATGTTCTCCCTCATTTAGAAGCTCGAAAAAAATCATGAATATTGTTTAAGTCATAATAAATTGAGACGACTTTCAACCGCAAAAGGTCGATATTTTAGTACTTAATAAATTTAATTAGTTAATAAATATTTTATTATTATTATTATTATTATTAAATATTCATTACAAATTATAATTAGGTATATAAAATAACTTAATTAATTAAATAACTTTTTTAATCAGAATAATTCTTAGACAAAATTTTCAGCTTGAATTCAGTACAACAGATATTTAAAAAAAAATTTTGCAGATTTTATTTTTTTTCAATTTTATGTCTTGATTTATGGAAAATTATTCTAATTCAAATTTTTGTAAAATTTTTTAGCAGTCTAAAAATTTTGAATTTTAAACAAAACAAAATCTTTTTTTAAAGTTAATTCGACATGAAACATTGAGTCAAATAATAAAAAATATTTTTTTTTAGTTTTTATTTCTATTTTAATTATATTATACTAAAAAAACAAAAAAATAATTGTTGTTGATTTAAAAAAATCCGAATATTTTAATTCGCAAAAATATTAATAATATAGTATAATTCATAAATAAAATTTCAAAGACTTTTATATAAATATTTTTTTTATAGAATTAACCAAAATTTGGTTGTTTCAAATAAATATATTTTTCCAAGTGTAATTGTATTCACGGGATACAATTTTTTTGCTACTTTATTCCAGTTTTAAATTTTAAAAAATTTTTAATTGCTACTCGAATTTAAAACAGTGTGGATTTTTGTCCACTCTCTAAATCTGAATTAGTAAAAATGTTTACTAATTTGAATTAGTGAATCACTTTTTGCTTCTGAATTAGTAAAATTTTACTAATTATTAGTAACTTTTACTAACAATTAGTAAAATTTTACTAATTGAGAAGCAAAAAGTGAGTCACTAATTCAAATTATTAAACATTTTTACTAATTCAGATTTAGAGAGTACTATAAAAATCGAAAAAAAATAATAGGAAAATCAAAATTTAAACAATAAATTCTTTGTAAAAATATTAAAATAAAATAAATAATTGCAACGAAATTATATGAATTAAAAACAATAAATAAAAATAATAGAATTTGTCAATAAGATAATTTGAATCAAGAATAGTGAAATAATACTGTCATCATACATTTGATTCAATTCATGTCCGAGACAAATAATCGTATATTAAGTGGATCCTATTAATAATGACATATAGTATGTGTAGTAAAATGTATTCGTTCCTGAAATCATTAGTCTAATTGAATTGCAAATGACTCTCTTATTTAGTCAAAAGCCGTTTTGCACATACTGCACAAGGCTGTGTAAATTATTCAAGAATTAAACGGTAAATGCAATTGCCCGCAATGATAAAGTGAATTCGATTGTCATTGAAAATAAATTCACGCATACGTATATTTAAGATTGCTCATTGTTATGAATTAAGAACATTAACACTTACCAAGAACATTGGTGTTTTCTAAATAATACTCCGAATCGAATTTATTGGAAAATAAATTTACACCATTGGCTAAGGTGTAATTTTTTAAATTATCTACATTCACTCCTAAGCTAGAAACCATTGAATAAATATCTCTATGCAGAAGAATCCTCTTTTGCTGAAGATCTTGAATCTTTAATCCCTAAAATGAAAAAGTGCAAATATTTAAATGCTATTAAAGAAATTTTAATATTACACAAGCGAGTTATGCAAATTCAATGTTTAGCGATTAAAAAAAAAAAAAAAAAAGGAAATTCTTGATGACAAGTATTGCTTTCACGTAGGTTTTTGTCTCTTCCTACTCAATATACTACTTTCAAATAAAATCAAAGACTAAAGTATTTTAATTAAATTTATCCAAATTAACGATTAATTTTTTAATTATAAAAAATGCATAATTAATTTTTAATTAATATAAATTATTTAACAGTCGAATATAATAATCGAGAGATTCCGTTAGAAAATTTATCAGCATTCATTTATTTACGTTTGGAAAATTCTAATTTTTGTGTTTTTCGTTTACATTTTTTTTTTTAATTTTAAAGATTTAGTTATTTTTTCTTTTAAATTAACGAAAAGAATACTTTAAATTCAATTCAATAAGTCTACACAATATATGTTCAAAATTTTATATTTTTACATTAGAAATAACTACAAAAAATAGAATTAAAAAAAAAAATGATTACATTTTTTTTTTTTTTTGTGATTCGTTGTTTCCTAAAATTAAATTAATTACAACTAATTGATTAATACTAACTTGCATCAATAAATTAGTTGCATTAATTTAAATTTTTGGAAATATAATTAAAGTGTATTTTTTGTTCAAAAAATAAAATTGTAATAATTTCTCTTTAAATTTTTTAATTTTTAAAATAGAAATTTATATTTTTCTGTCTTTAAATAAAAAGATAAACCATTCTCTCAATTTCGTTGTTAATGAATAATAAATAAATTTAATTTCTAAATAAATAACAGAATTTTTTAATTGAAAATCAGGAAATTTATATTATTTTTTCAAATTCAAAATATGATACATATATATTTTTTTTTAATTTTGTCGATTTATATATAAATTATTTTCTAAATTAAATTTTTTTAAAATTCAACTTTAAGAAAAAAGATTCCCTGATTTATTCCTAAACTTTTATTTAAAATATGTAACATAAATTAACGGATTAAAATAGCTGGATAAATTTTAAAATATTTATGAATCTTCAATTTTAGAAAATGAAGAAAAGAAAATAGAAAATTTAAGAAAATACCACGTTGAAAAAAAATTTGAAAAGAAAATTCCGAATTTTAAAAATTTTCAAAATAAAAAGAGAATTTTAGGAAAAATTGAGAATATTGGGCCAATTTATAGAAAAAAAAAATTTAGTATTATCAAAGAAACGAGAATTTGAGGCAAAAAATCGCTTTAAGAAATGAAAATTTTGTAAATGAATAGAAAATCGAAAATTTATGGAAATAGAAAGTCATTTTGTAAAAGAGAAAAAATTGGAAAAAAATTGATTATTTAAGGAAAAAAAATTATTATTTTTTTTTATTGTTTAATTTAATTGAAATTTGATTACTGAATTGACAAAATAATTGAATTAAGAATAAATTTTTTAAAAACATTTAACACAAAATAACTAATTTTACAAGAATATTGAACTTCTTCAAACATTTAAAATTTTTTAAAAATTGAATTAAAACAATTGAAATTGCTAAATAATTGAATATTTAATTATTTTTATTTTTTAGACCATTGAATTGTACTGTGAATAAATTAACAGTGTAAATGAATTTAAAAATGTTCTTTTAAATATTTGTTGACAATAGAAAAAACGTGAAAATTTTTTTTAAAAAATATTTTATTTTTAATTTAAAGACAAAAATAATAGTTAAATTTTAAATCTTCTATTCTGTTGATAATTCTTTAGTTTATTTTCGAAGAAAAACGTTTTTTTATTATAATTTGTTTAAATATAATAAAGTTGGGAAAAATTTGACAATAATTTTGTGAAATTATTTTTTCATATAGGGTCAGTTGGGGTAAATGGGGACAAGAAGTTTTGGAGCTTAATTTACAGTTTTAAAATTAAGTTCACCGTCCATATTTTAACCTCAGATCAACCTGCAAGAGGTTCTGAGTAAGCTTTTATCTTAACAATTGGCAGCAAGATAATTCAAGTTATCGCTCAATGCATAAAAACTTGAAAATCAGAGTCAAACAGTTTCAGTATTTTGTCTCGCATTTCAAAGAAAACAGACTTAAAAATCATACCAAATTTTTTTCATATTCCTTATGACTCCTATAACGGAAATTCACTTGAATTTTTGATTTTTGTTAATTTGGTTAATAATGACAAGCTGTCCCCATTTACCCTGAGTTTTCAAATTTTTGGGGTAAATGAGGACAGCTTGTCATTATTAACCAAATTGACAAAAATCAAAAATTCAAGTGAATTTCTGTTATGGGAGTCATAAGGAATATGAAAATAATTTGGTATGATTTTTAAGTCGGTTTTCTTTGAAATGCGAGACAAATAACTGAAATAAAAAAAATTAATTGGTTCAACTATTATATATCTACCACAAATTTTTTTCAAGTTTTTTCATCCCTTAATACAGTAATATACTTAAGGAAACTTTTTTCTTAAAACTTTCTTAGAAACTATGCTGTCCTCATTTACCCCAAATTTTATGAAATTTTCTAAATTTTGGGGTAAATGGGAACAGTCAGTTTCATGCATTTAAAGCTTATCTAAATTTTTTCCTACTGCATAAAATTAATTCTGGGAACGTAAAGAACAACTTAAAAAAATATAAACCCCGCAAATATTACCTTTTAAAGGAAGAAACTTACATAATTTGTGAAAAATAGCGATTTTGTCCCCATTTACCCCAACTGACCCTAATTAAAAATATTATGTTTTTAATTTAAAAGCTAAATATTATATTCAATTAATTAATTTATTTTATTAATTATGTTTAAAATAAAATTGTATTTTAATTTGTTCAGAATATAATTGAGAGAATGTTCCAATTTCAATTAATTTAAAAATAATAATTTTTTATTAAATTGTATAGATATTCAAAAATATAGAAATAAAAATTAATATTAATTTAATAATTCAAATATATGTGGTAATTAGTTAATAATATTTAGTTAATTAATAATCAAATACTTCCATATGCATGAGAGATTTTGATTTAAAAATTTTAGCAAATGTATAATAAATGTGTGCAAAATATATTTCAACAAAGCTCTCGTCGATTACATATATATATATTGTTGATGCTTATATGTTTGCGGTTCAATAAAATAATAAAATTATGAAAAATAAAAAATAATACCGACCCTCATATAATTATGTACTCTGTACATATGCGGCGGGCTTTTAACCGGATGTAGGGTGATAGCACGATGAACTTCCTTTCTTTTAAGTTTACCGGTAAAAGCCTGATCCCCGCTACTGTTGTGATAAAGAATCGACTGCATCTAAATCAGATATAAATATATATATATTAAAAAATTATAATCATTATAACATCAAAAACGTCAACACGTGCATTATATAATTTACTATATAATCTACAATTTGTAAACGTTATTTTTATAGCAGAGAGAACAACACAAGAAACTTAAATGGCAAACTTCCGTATTCAAGAGACTGTGACTAAACTGATAATCATCAGAAAATTTTTTGAAATGACCAATTTTTCTTTTTTTTTACTCAAGAGTGTCTTTGAAGGAAGAATAGGAGAAACAAAAGTAAAACATTTTCCATAATCATTAAAAATAGACAAAAAAAAAAAATTTGCACTTTAAAAGTGTTACATTTTAAACCGTTAAAAATTAAAAAATATATATATATTATACAATTTTCCGACACTTGGAAAGGAAAATTTGAAATTATTTTCTACGAGAAATTTTAAACGATTCAAAATGTTGAAAATAAAAAACAAGAACCCACATTTTTATTGTAACACTTTCTAATTATTTTTTTTTTTTTTAATTTTAAAAAACAAAAATATGAAGTTGAACTTATGCAATTAAAATTAAGGGATACTTTTTTTATTACTCATTCTTATCGTGTATAGGCAAGTTAGAATTTTTAGATGTTTTAACTCAGGACCTCAATTTTTTTGCTTAAACCCTTCATTTTGGGGTAAAAATACAGTACCTAAATTTGCTACTTCAAACATCTAACGGAACCTAAAATTTTTTTAAGAAATATGTGCAAGAAATCAATTTTTTCCAAATTGACGCCTTCCATGACATTTTAGCATAAAAATAGTTATTATAAAAAAGAAAGTTTATAAAATTCGGAATAATTTGATAAAAAATTTAACCCTGTAGCTCAAAAATTGACCGAGATATAGCTTCCGAAAAAAATCCATTTTTTTCGAGATTTTAGCCAAAATCAGGTATTGTTCAGTTTTTTCAATATAGCTTCGAAACAAGTGATTTTTTGAAAAAATGATGATCCTGAAGTCCGCAACGTTTTTATAAACGAAAACGAAAAAATAATTAGACAATATCTATTACTTTTGGTTAAAATTAAAGTTATTCGGGGGTAACTGGTTTTTATAAAAGTATTAATTTCTTGAAAGTTTGTGCAAATCATAATTAGAGATAAATTGACATGAAAAAATAATTCTATTTTAATTTTTCGTTTTTGAAAACGTTGCGGACTTTAGCCTCATAAAAAATGACCAACAGGAAAATTAAAGCTGACAAAGTTCTTGACAATTTGCAAAAAGAACAATGTAATATCTCTAATAGTTTCTGAGATACAGTCTCTCAAAGTTGACTCTTTTGAGGTTTTACATAATCTCATTTCATTACCATTATTGTATGTTAAATTTCAAAAGGGTCAACTTTGAGAGATTGTATCTCGGAAGCTATTACACGGAAAGAAATCTTGTTATAATATTTAATAAATCCGAATAGAAATTTTGATATTTTTGTTTTTCAATTGCGAAACATTCTGGGTTGATAATAAAAGTTGGTCTAGTTTTTTTGCAAATTGTCAGAAATTTTGTCAGCTTTAATTTTACTGTTGGTCATTTTTTCAAAAAATCATTTGTTTCAAAACTACTCATGTTGAAAAAACTGAACAATACCTGATTTTGGCTAAAATCTCGAAAAAAATGGTTTTTTTTCGGAAGCTATATCTCGGTCAATTTTTGAGCTACAGGTTTCATTTTTTATCAAATTACTCAGAATTTTATACACTTTCTTTTTTATAATAACTATTTTTATGCCAAAATGTCATGGAAGGCGTCAATTTGGAAAAAACTGATTTTTTGCACCTATTTCTTTAAAAAAATTTAGGTTCCGGTAGGAGTTCGAAGTACCAAATTTAGGTACTTTTTTACCCCAAATTGAAGGGTTTAAGAGTATGTGGGCATAGGACGTTTTTTTGTGGTTTGAAACTTTCTCTGAAATAAAAAATGATTTCGGGTTAAAATTTTGGAGAAATGATTTTGTTTGGTACAAGGAATCTCGCTGTTCTAATCATTTACCATAACTTAATGCAAAAATAAAAAATAAAACACTCAAGCAACGTCTGTGTATGCGCCGCCATGTTTCTTTTCATTTTCGTTTAAAAATGCCACTTTTTAAATTTCATTTTTTAATAATTTAACGCAAAATTATGTATTCAGGGTGGCCGTTTTTTTCACCAAAAAAAATTCCCGGTCATTTCCCGGTCATTTCCCGGTCATGAATTATTTTTCCCGGTTATAAAGGAAAATTCCCAAAAAAATTATTCTATAAATTTATTGAATATTGACTCTTTATTAAACATAAAACATACAGGGTGTTCCAAAAGTATGGAAACTTGCAAATATCTCGAAAAGTACGAATTTTTGTAAAAAATGTTCAAGACAAAAGTTGTTCCAAACAAAAAGATGTACATCTTTGAAACCAAAAAATTGGGCCCGGAGCCCAATGTTGGGCCCAACAATGAAAAAAGTGGTTTTCTTAAATGAGACCACTAACTTTCAGTATCAAATTCGTAATCCCCATGAAATTCTGCGTTCAGACATGTGGTATAAGTGCCCAAAATATTGGGCTCAATCCAAGATATTGGGTCCAAAATTTATCAACAGATAAATAAATTTTAAAAAATCGCATCTTGGAGGGATTTTGACATTACAGGATTAGAAATTGAGCATAGAGCCCAATGTAAGATTCTGCAGCCCAATGTGAGGGCCCAATATTTTTGGAATTTGTACCACAAGTCTAAGCCCAGAATTTCATAACGATTACGAAATGGAAGGAAACTAATTTTTTTACTGTAGGCCTCACATTGGGCCGCGGAATCTTGCATTGGGCTTTGTGTACAATTTGAAAATTAGCTTCCAATTTCTAATCCTGTGATCTCAAAATCCCTCCAAGATGCGATTTTTTAAAATTTATTTATCTGTTGATAACTTTTGGACCCAATATCTTGGATTGGGCCCAATATTTTGGGCACTTATACCACATGTCTGAACGCAGAATTTCATGGGGATTACGAATTTGATACTGAAAGTTAGTGGTCTCATTTAAGAAAACCACTTTTTTCATTGTAGGGCCCAACATTGGGCTCTGGGCCCAATTTTTTGGTTTCAAAGATGTACATCTTTTTGTTTGGAATAACTTTTGTCTTGAACATTTTTTACAAAAATTCGTACTTTTCGAGATATTTGCAAGTTTCCATACTTTTGGAACACCCTGTATAAATACGTAATATACATTAAAAAAAACGTTTTATCACGTTTATCACATTTTGTTTCTTACTTAATGTTTATAATAAACACATACTATATATTTTTTTAATAAAATAAACTTTTTCGTAGATATTTGTATCTCTTTTCAATTAAACTAGAAGTTAACTTTTAAAAACTACATTTTTAATATCACATTCAATATTTTAACATCTTAATACTTTGAGTTTTAAGATAAACATATATATATATTTTAAATTAAAGATACGTTCAGATACGTATTCAGTTAAAAATCAAGTTTGGTTATTTAATTGTTTAAGTTCTAAATCAATGTCTTCTGCACACTTGCGAGCATTTTCTAAGATCAAAGCTTTTTTTTCTTTCAACAATTTTTGAATTAAATAAAATACTTTTTAATAAAAAATTTCAAAATTCCCGGTCAAGGTAAAAATTCCCTGTCATTTCCCGGTTTTTCCAGGTCAAAACAAATTCCCTGTCATTTCCCGGTTTTCCCGGTTTCCCGGTCCACTGGCCACCCTGTGTATTTTTCGGAGAACAGCGAGAGTCCTTGAACCCTAATCTATCATTCCTCAAAATTGTAGAAAAAAATCTTTTCTCATTTTAGAGTGAAATGTATACTACCAAAACACATTTTCCCATATTTATAGTCACGTGGGAGGTTCCCACATACCCTTAAGCAAAAAAAAATTGAGGTCCTGAGTTAGAACATGATATGCCTTTTGAAAATAGTGCATATTAAAATTAAACGTTATTTAATTTGATATTATTTATTTTCGTCAATGAATTAAAAACTGGTTTTAGTGTTAAGGTATGTGAAAGTAGAATAATAATGATTTTTGTTATATTGTTAAGGTGCAGTCACCCATTATAAGATAGCAGAAGCTAACGATCAATTTAAAGTGATAAGACGAAGAATATAAGACGACATGGTCACTGGGTTAGCAGGGTGCAATTCGCTTGATTATAATAACCAACATCCTCATAGGTTCATTCTACCTTCTAATGTTAATTAACATTAATGTCATTTAATATAAACCAATTCAATATATAATGTATGCTATATATTATAATTTTCAACTCTAAACTTTCAATCACAAAAAAATAGAAAATTATTTTATTTATTATTACTGATTTCATAAATTATTAATTTTTTAATTTATATTTTACTTAATAAATTATTAATAAATTTATATGTTTTATTTTAATAAATTCTCAATTCATAGCTTTTTCGTTTAAAAATCAGAGAATAGTAAAAATAGTTTGTTTTGAAATTTTTTTTTTACTAAAGTCTTTTTATTAGATTTCCGAGAAATATATATGTGATTTCCTGGTTGATTTTTTCATGAGCTATATAAGAGGAATAATATTTTTGCCTGTTTCAACAAAGTAGACAGACGAGTTTTAAATTTAGAATGAACGAATGACTTGAACAACTTTGAATAAATATGAATATTATTATATTCAAATTTTCGCGAATTTCAAATTAAATGAAATAAAATTTATATTCTGATGAAAATATAAATTAAGAATGACTAATGTACTTAAGTGATTAAAATAAATAATATTAAAATACGTACATGTTTATATTTAAGTGATTTTTCTAAATTCATGAGACTATATTAATTTAAATGGCGAAGAGAAAAAGAAAGTGAGAATGAAGGAACGATGGTGAGACTGAAATAGATTTAACGATAATAATAAATGAATGGACAGTAAAAAAAAAAAAGTTAACGATCCCAGCGAATTACTTTTTGGAACTATGTAATGAAAAAGAATTAAAAAAAGAATTGTAACTTAATCTTGATAAATCTGACAATGAGACTAAAAGTATATACAATAATACAATAATTCTATCAATATCAAAATGTAAATTCGAAATTTCGAACAAATGAAAATTAGACTAGAAAAGAATTCTTTTTAATATTTTTCTGTAAAATAACATTTTTTTTAAATCTACTAGGGTAAATGCACTAATTACGGCGCGATTCGAGTCAAAACACATTTGAAATAAAAAATTCGACATTTCTATTGTATAAAGTCAATTTAAGACTTATTAAACTAAAAGGTTAATGTTATTTAGATATTAAGAAAAAATTTTAACTTTATAAAAATTGATTATTTAAACAAATATGAGAAATTAAAACTAATACCGTAATTTTCTATTGCGGCGCATTTGTATGAATTTCGGTGACCAAAATTACGTGTATTTTGAAGATACTTTGCCCGCCGAAATTAATAATTGTTTAAATATGCATCTTTATTAGTAATTGTATCAAAAAAGATTAAAATAATTTGTTTAAATCATTTTGGAATAGTTATATTAAACATAATAGTAATAATAGTTATTTTTTATGAACGCGCCGTAATTGATGCACTTACTCTATTCTACACTGAAAAAAGGGTTTGGTTGGTATATAAGCAACCAAAATTTTTTTGTTGAATCAACAAAATTTTAATTGTCTCAATCAAAATTTGTTTGACACAACCAAAATTAGAAAAAAAGGATTTTTGTTGTCCTAACTAAAGTTTGATTGGGATAACCAAAATTTTGTTGATTCAACAAAAAAAATTTGGTTGCTTAAATATATACCAACCAAAGGTTTGGTTGTCAATACCAAACCCTTTTTTAAGTGTATCTATAATGAAAATTAGTGCAAATAATAATTCTTTTAAATTCAAAATCGATGAAATAAAAATTCTGAAAAATGAAAATTCGTTTGAGTAACAATTCTGTAATATATCTACGCACACTAAAAAAAATTAGTTGATTTAAATAATTGGTTACTTGACTATTATGAAATAAATATTTATTTGTACGCAATAATTTTTTACATATATGAATTAAATAACCTGTTTTTGACCTAATAATTTCTGCATTCGAAAAAATATCATTTAATTGACTCAAATAACAATAATTTATAATTGAATCAGATTTATGCAGAAACAACACACGTCCATTTTTTTTTATGAAGCCCCACAATCTGGTAAAATATTACAGAGATTAATAAACCTCTAACCCTTTAAAATTTAAATAAAATACTTAAATTTTTGTTTGAAATATTTTTCAAATTTTAATATTTTAAATTAATAAAAAATAACGAAAAAAAATAAATAAAATAACGACCATTTTGAAAATTATTTTATTTTACTATACTTTCTCTTTTGTTAAACTTAAAAATATTTGCCTGATGAGGGCTTTATCAAACCGAAACATGTTGCAAAAAATTTATTTAAGACAATAAAAAACAACTTTAATCGTTAAAGGCCTTGAATGTTTTTTCATCAAAAAAAAGAATGTTAAAATTTTTAATTGTAAATTGAATTTCTGATAGAAAAAAATATTTCTTATTAATAAAATGATAATAAAAATTAACGATTGTAGGACAAAAGTTCCAAAACAAAATAAAATATTTTTAAGATATTTCACTAAAAATTGCTAAATATTTAATAAAATTATGTGATAATACACTTAGTACCCTTAGTTTGTTCCATTTTTTGTATTTTTCATTTCGTTGTGCGTGCGCAGAAACAGCATATAAGTCCAAAAGTTTGTTTATTTTTTTATACCTTATATTAACTAAGAAACAAAATTTTAATTTTTATAAATTAGTAGAATTTAATGCAAAAAAGCAGAATTGATAAAAATTATTCTATGTCAATAAAAAACAGTTTTTATTGATTCCTGAAAAATTTTGATATATGAATTGTGCTGTTATTGCACAAACTATACTTTAATTAATTATTCGATACAAATATATATTTGATAATAGTCAAGTAACCGATTACACAGGCCAACAAAATTTGATTCAATATACTTTCCATTTTCCAAGAATCAGACAACACTTTTTTGAAGGTTTTCGACGTGCTGAATCCGAATCAGGACTCAGAATTGACCATGCACGTCAGGTTTTCGAGTTATTGTTACCCTTAAAGTGCAAAAAATCCGTTTGTTTAACTACATTTGAGTACATGCAACATCATGAGATAATTTTTTTTCAAAAAGGTCAATATTGCATCTGAAAGGTGTTGCCGTGCCATTTTAAATTTTGAAAATCTGTCATCGAATTCGTGTTCAGTCGTTATACCGAAAATCTGCAGAACTGTTTGAAATTTAAATGTTAGTAGTTATATTCTTCTGTACACGGAAAAACTTTGTTCAAGAATCATTCCTAAATTTGTTCAGGAACTGAGGATATGAGAAAAATTCTGCAAAATTTACAGAAAAATACAAAAATCATTCAAGAAAATACTTGTACCATAAGCTGCTAAGGTAGCTGAGAGATGTAAAGCGGAGTTTTTGGACTCTCGAGGACGTGGGATCGAGTCCTCCCAGAGTAAATTTTTTTTCTCGCAAACGTAAAAATTTATTCTAAAACAAGTTCAAGACTTTCTGTAGTGAGTTTAGGAAGTTGTCTTGAATTTCTCTACAATTCTTATAGAAATACTGCTTAGAATTTTTAAAGAAAATATAAATAAGATTTCTTAAATTATTCTCATATCCTCAGTTCCTGAACAAATTTAGGAATGATTCTTGCACAAAGTTTTTCCGTGTATTATCGGTTCCTATTCAGTTTTGGAATATCGAAGAATTCGCCATACTCAGAAAATTGAATTAACGATTACTCAGAGACAAATGAAATTTTTTTTAAATTTTCAAAATGGGGTTTAAAGATAAAGAATAGCATTTTTAGATGCAATATTGACCTTTTGTAAAAAAAATTATCTCTTGATGTTGCATGTACTCAAATGTAGTTAAAAAAAACGTATTTTTTGCACTTTAAGCATAACTCGAAAACCTGACGTGTATGGTCAATTTTGAGTCCGGATTCAGATTCAGCACGTCGAAAACCTTCGGAAAAGTGTTGTCTGATTCTTGGAAAGTAAATCTTATCGGTCTGTGTTATTTGAATCAAATAAATTTTTCTTCTGTGTAGAAATTCAGTTCAATGAAATTTCTATTAAATAATAATTCGAAGAAATAAAAATTCGGCTACAAAGTAAATGAAATTCTAACAAATTAATTTTAGAGCTTATTCAAGCGTCTCATTATTATTATTAATTATTTATTCTTTATGAAATAACTGCGGATAATAATATTATTATAACGTAACATTGTTATAGTAATAATTTAATCTGCGTCTAATTTCTTAAAAAAATAAAAGAAAGTTTGATTTATTGCCTATTTTAGAATTCCCCTATTTTTTCTCATTATATCGTTCACTTTCTATTTATACTCATATGCCTTTTTGCGCGCACCAGAATAATGAATGAATTATTAAATAATAACTGAATGATGAGGAAATGAAAATGTAAATTCTTTTTTTTTATTATTATTATTATAGATTAATTACGCGAAGAAGAGAAGATACTTACCTCATAACTCCAGGTGCAAGGAATCCCAGCATATTTTTTCACACACCTTCCAAGTTCAACGTCCTCATGTGTTGTGTATAAATTCTTAAGACAATATTTAATATGTGGCACAATTCTTTTTAAAGTCTCTCTTGATATAATAACACCAGGTCCTCCCATACAAAAATTTTCATCATATTCCAATGATAATAAACCAAATTCTTCTGAATTACCCCTACCCGCTTGTCCAATGTACATTGCTCTTTTTGAATTAACTGATCTTAATAATTTTTCCAATCTATCTGTTCTCACATAAACATCATCGTCAGCACGCAAAAACCATTCATATTTATCACCAAAATTATTCCACATATATTGAAGCATTAGAAATGATTTTTTTTGTGGTGGATAACTATCGTCAACAGTTGGTAATGAAACTAATGGTAAATCAGGACAATTTTCAGGTATTGTTGAAAATTCTGAGGCAAAAAATGCTATTTTCCCAGGTACTTCTTTACCCCATGTTTCATAAACGGCTTTTGCACGATTTGATAAATATTTTTGTGCCGTCATTACACCGACAAAAACAAGATTTAATGATGTATTATTTAATAGTCGTTCCTCATTTGTTAATCCAGATGATGTGATATCATTTTTTTGATCTATAATATTTGTTGGAAATGTGAAATTAAAACGATTAATAATTGATGTCGGTGGGGTTATTCGATGATTAAGAATTATAAATCCCAATAGAAGACCTACAGTTAGGCCCAAAATGGCACTTGCTAATCCACGTCGTTTGCGCATTACTGGCTTAGCTATTATTATCCTGCTGTTATTGTCACCTTTTCCATGGATGTTCATGTGGGCCTTTTAAAAATTCTGATTTTTTCCATGAAATCAGCTTCCACTTTTTCTGATTCTCGGATTCCATTATTATGTCCTTAATTTCGTCAATTTTAACAATTTTTAAAAAATCTCACACATGTTATTTATTTTCATTTTTTTTTTTAAATTAAATCCTCAACTCATTTCTATTTCTCTTTTTAATTCTGTTTCATTCACTAATAATTAATATTGTAAACACAAAAATTCTCCTCTGAATTCTGGTTGGGAAAATTTTTAATTTCTCTATTTAATTTTTGCCCTATTCTCGTTTTTGTAACCTTTTTAAAAATTTTTTCCTTGTCTCCTTTTTTTTTAATCGAAAACATCACTCATCTATGACTTATCATTTTGAAATTTTTTTTATATCTGTGGGTGGAAGTTTGTCTTGTATAATAAAATGAAGATAAGAAAACATATTGGGAAAGAGTTTTTTTTTTTTTTTTTTAAAGAATTAGGATTTTATCAGCGTGTGCGTAGTTGTTCTATAATCTTGACTCTTGAATGAGATGTACAAAAAAAGAAAAAGATTCTGGATCATTTTCTCTTTGACTGTGACATTGAGGCAACTGGTTTCCCTTCCCTGTGTAACAAGATACTTCGAAGAAATTCTGTATAACTATATATCCACATACGGCTTAGTTTTATGGCTTTTGGCTACCAGATGCTCTCCGTTCTGCTTTAATATACACGCACTCTTTTTAGTTAATACACAGAAGAAGATTGTTTTTCTTTCTAAAATGAAAGCAGAACCGACACAGCTTCCGTTAGAATTTTCCCTTTTCTGGTTGATCCGACCTACAACGAAGAAAATTCATTTTTAATAACTTCATCCATTTTTTGTTTCATTAAACAATTTGTGATCCATATTTTACATGATTTTTTTTGATAAGATAAGGATTGTCGAAAAAAATTTTTCGAAATTATAACATTTTTTAAATTACTTTTCACTCTTATTATTTGCCTACTTTAATAAAATTATTTTATAACACAAAAATTAAGAATTATTAAAAATTTTATATTCAATAATTTCAAAAAATTAGGTATAAATAAATGAAATTTGAAGAAAAAATATTTTAAAAATTCTAAAATTGTCAAAAATTATTTATGAAGAAACTCAGTAAATCAAATTTAAAAAAAAACCTAAAATATAAATAATACTGTTTTCTTTTTACGACATAGGACCAATGGAATTTTAATCCATCGAAATTTATGTTGTTTTGGAGATGACAATTTATTTTCCAATACCTATTATTGAAAATTTAACATTCATCTATATTATAAAAAAAATAAGAAAGCAAAATTTGTAAATTTAATAAATTTTTTTTTAATTCGAAAATAAAATTTGTATTCTCTCATAATTTTTATTATTTTTTTAACGCTATTTTCATAATTCATCAGAATTATATAAATTTTTATAAATTGCAATTTAAAATAAATAAATAGAAATAAATAAATAAAATTTAGAAAATTTCTAAAATTGTCAAAAATATTTTTCTTTGAATTTCTCATAATAAAAAATTAATATATAATCTTTATAGAAATTATTATTGTCAGATATACAAAAAATTATCATTTACTTTCCTAAATCCTTCAGCTGCATATATATTAATTGAGGCAATCGTTTCAAAAGTCTCTGTGAGTAATTTTTTTTCTAATTAGAAAAAAAAAATTATTTCATTCAAATACTCGATTACTTGACTATTATCAAATAAATATTTACTTGAATCAAATAATTTTTATTTGAATTATATAAATTTTATTTGAACCAATAATTTCTTTATTTAAAACAAATACCAATTTAATTGTCTCAAATAATAATAATTTGTCAGGTACAAATAAATATTTATTTGATGTATCTAATCGAGTATTTGAATCAAATAAATTTTTTTCAGTGTAGTAGACGATTTGATAAATGAATAAATTTTTAGAATTCTTCAAATAAATTTGGAAAATTTAAAAATGGAAGAAATTGAAAAAAAAGAAAAGTTTGAGGAAAAAGAAATCGAAAATGGTAAAAAAAAACAGGAGAATTTTGGAAAAATGAAAGAAAATAAAAAATTAAAATAAAAAGTTTAAGGAAATTGAAAGAAAAAAAAGGGAATTTTATCGGAATTTTAAAAAAAGAATTGTAAGGAAAGGGGCCATTCAAGTATTACGTAAGCATATTTTCAAGGGGTTTAGACCCCCTCTCCCCCAAATAAAGATATTGTAATGGAAAAAATAAGAATTTTTTATGGTGCGTAAGCAACTGAGGATCCCCCCTCTCCCCCTTACACGCTTACGTAATACTTGAATGACCCCAAAAACTCTGAAATAGAAAAAAAGGACAAGAATTTAAAAAATTAACAAAAAATAGAAAATTTTTTGAAAAGAAAAATTGAAAATTCTATACATTTTTAGAAATTCACAAAATAAATAGAGAATTCTTTGGAAAAAGTTAGTAAAAGTAACTAAAGAAGTAAATTTTAGAAATTGCAAAAAAGAAGAAAATTCATAGAAGAAAAGTGTTAAAAATCGAAAATTTTAAAAAAGAAAATGAAAATCCAAAATTAAAAAAAAATAGAAAGTCGTAAAATTGTAAATCAAAAGAAAAATCAATGATTTAAGGAATTTAAAAAAGGGAATTAAAAAATCTAGAATTTTGTCTCGTTTGTAAAAAAAAAATTTTCTTTTCTTTATAAAAGATGAAAAAAAAATTACAGAATAAAAAGAAATTATATATAATTAAAAATATAAGGTTTTTAATTAATGATAAATTCTTGAATTCTTTATTAAATTTTTATTATTTCTAATTTATTTACTGCTAATTAATTTATCAAGTAATTAATAAATTAATTAATTAATTAAATTAATTACACTGAGAAAGAAAGAAATCAAAAATTTTTTTCAATTTATTTTATTCGCCATATGTATATATATGTTATACTATTAAAAAAGATAAATATATTATTTCAAATCCTTTTGAGAAAGTTGTGTTCAATTAAACCAATGAAACCTATAACAATTGGAATAATTTTATCGATTACAAGTTCAAGATGAGAAGAAAAAAAAAAGCTAAGCCGTTATGAAAACGGTTAGATCATTCCGTTTACGTTTGTCTTTAAGAAATAAGGTCAAATGCATGCTCAGCAGTCCAAACTCTTTGCACGTCAAGTGTTTATTTTTTTCTTTTATGTTATAATTCTTAATTCCTCGGTATTTTGTATTATTTTTAAATTCAATAAAATTTTTCACAGTTTCTCTAAATAAATTTTAAAAATAAATTTTTATTTTTATTATGTATTATTATTTTTTTTTTATTAATTATTTTATAATTATATGTATATATATATGATTTGGCATTTCTCTATTTAGAGAATATAAAGATTTAAATGCCGTTATAAACCAATCGATACTATTCAAGGTATATTAACTCTGTGGTATTTTTACTTTCTGGGAAAGAATTGAATAGCGACAGTTCACAGTTCATTGATCATTTCGTGATTAATGTTTTAAACGCCTTTGTTCTGTAATTTTTTTTATGTTTAGAGCATCAATATAAAAATTACATTTTATTGTAAAAAATTATCTATTTGAAAAATAGTAAATCATTATTTAATCTTCTTTTAATAATATATATATTGTCATGTCAAATTATTTATAATTTGCGTATAAAATAGAAAAAATCAATAATTTTATATTTTTCATTCATGATTTTTTTTCTTTTTTATTATTTTATTTATTTAACTAGTAAAATTAAACGCGCGCAAGCGCGCCAAATTGAGTATTTCATTGTTTGTTATAAAGAAATTAAAGATTAATATTATCAATAATAATTTAATTTATTAGGATATTATTACATATTAAATGATAATAATTAAAATTATATGTTTACAGGCCTCGGATTATACGACTTTTTCCGACTTTTTTCAAAAATACGACTTTTATCAACTTATTTTAATAAAATGCGACATTTTTTTTTACATTTGAAAAAAAATGTAAATAAAATACATTTTTTTAGTATAAAATGTAGATCTTCTTCAGATCTTCTTCAATTCAATTATTTAACAAATTTTGAACTAAAATGATTCTTCACTAAATTAATTATTTTTAATAATTTTAATGAAATACATCACAAATTCAATTATATCAAAATTATTTTTCAATTAAAATTTTTATAAAATTTAACAATTGTTTATAATTTAAAAAAAAAATATCACAATAAAATTGAATTATTTTTTAAAAATTTCAATTCAAAATAAACTAAAATTCAATTTTTACCCGAAATTTTAATTCAAAATCAATTAAAAATCAAATAATTATCCAAAATTTTCAATTTAAAATTTAATTATTTACCAAGTTTTCAATTTAAAATGAAATAAAATTCAATTATTTCCCAAAATTTTCAATTCAAAATGAACTGAAATTCAATTATTTTTCAAATTTAAAATCAAATAAAATTTAATTATTCTCAAAAATTTGAATTCAAAATTAATTGAATTTTCAATAATTTGAATTTAAAAGCATCTAAAATTTAATTATTTCTAAAATTTTCTATCGAAATTTTTTTTGTTTGAAATTTAATAATTTCAATTATAACTCTAAGGAAATTTAGTTATTTTTATCTATTTTAATAATATTCTTTGAAATTTCAACTATCTGAAACCATTTTTCAATTAAAAATGATTTTCAAATTATTGTATTTTATCCGCATTTTCTAATAAATTTTTAGTGAAATCATCTAAAATTTTAATTACAAAACACTTAAAGTTTCAATTAATTTCAAAAATCTCAATTTTAAATCTTTGAAAATTCAATTAAATTTAAAAAATGTTTTCCAAAAATTGTTTGATAAATTATTTTTAGTTCTGTAAAATTTAATAATTGTTTGAAAATTAACAATATCTTTTGAAATTTAATTATTTCTAAAAATTTCAACTTTAACCCTTCGAAATTATTATTAAAAAAAAAATTTTTTTATTTAACAATCTGTAAAATATTTTTGTTAAAATAAAAAAAAATCTACTTTTTTTTAATATAAATCGACTAAAACGACTTTTTGTGTCTTTAAGTTGATTCGAGGCCTGTGTTTTTATAATTAATATTTAATAGGTATTCGTTGGCCCCTGGTACCTTAAAAATTAATTTTTAAAAATTAATTTTTTTCAAATTACTATCTTGTACGAAATTTCCTGGCGCATCTTTTTTCTCATCATAAATTTTTTGTATTTGTATACAATTTTTGAATCAATATACAACTTTAAAAAAAATTTCGTTGGTAAACGTTGTGTATTTCAGCTTCGTGAATTGAATTTTCGAATTTGGAATTTTAATGAAACTTATTCCGAAATTTGGAAACACAATTATACAACTTTGGCAAAAATGAGAAAAAGAATTGTCAAAATTTGACACGTCATAAGATTACTATTCAAAAAAACACGTGAAATTAGAAAAGGCCAACTTCAAGTAAGGACAGAAGGACAGACCAAGCATTTTATTATTATATAATTTGCGTATAAAATAGAAAAAATCAATAATTTTATATTTTTGTCATTCACGATTTTTTTTCTTTTTTATTAGTTTATTTATTTAATTTTATATTTATATATTATTTTTACATTTTATATTATAAATTGACTGGACTTATTTTTCGTGCAAATAAAAAAAAAAAATATTAGGAAATTAAAAAATTTTGAAAATTGTTAAAAAGACAAAAAATTCGATTTTAAAGTCATGTGACTGTTAGGTCCTGTAATGTTAATTTGTCCGTAACTTTTCTCGTAAAATGCTGAATGAATTGAGTTGAAACTTCGTTG